TATCAGACAATCAAAATTCGGTAAAACCGAAATTAAAAATTTATTTCTTGCAAATTTAATAATTCTAATCATCTGAAAATCACCAGCATTCTAGTAGGGACTGAGCCCTACTCCATCGTGAAGAATAGAGAAATTTATTTCAATTTTTAAGTAGTAGCAGGTCCACCCGTACGCTATCAGATAATCAAAATTCGGTAAAACCGAAATTAAAAATTTATTTCTTGCAAATTTAATAATTCTAATCATCTGAAAATCACCAGCATTCTAGTAGGGACTGAGCCCTACTCCATCGTGAAGAATAGAGAAATTTATTTCAATTTTTAAGTAGTAGCACCCTCACCCGTACGCTATCAGACAATCAAAATTCGGTAAAACCGAAATTAAAAATTTATTTCTTGCAAATTTAATAATTCTAATCATCTGAAAATCACCAGCATTCTAGTAGGGACTGAGCCCTACAGGATCCTGAAGGATTTGACGTTTGACTAAAATAGTCTATATTATGGTTTTGTCCCATTAAAATTTTTGATAAATATTGATAATTTGAAAAGATGAATTTTCTAGTTAATATTGTTTTGAGAACACTTCTTTTTATTGAAAATTCATTGTTTAATAGTATTTTTCAGTTGTTATACCTACTGTTACAGATGATCGCATAGTGCTGGTGTTTTCTTTCATTGATCCTTTCATTGGATCTTCTAGTACTTTCATTTTTTCATCTATTAAAATTTTATTTTTTATAACTTAAAATACATATAAAAACTGTTTCCAATAATGGGTTTAAAGAGTTAAATATGTGAAAATGTTTGTAATATTGTTTTATTAATATACAGGTACATTGATCTATACATTATACACAGCGAGGTACATTAAATCATAGTTGAATGTAAGGAATAATTATTTTCTTTACATAGTTTTTATTGAACCTTTTAAATAAACTTTCAAATGAACTTTTGATTCTCCTCATGACAATTTTTTAATATTTCATTTTTATATATTATCATTACTTGTATGGTATTTGTATTTTGCATTATATATTTTTTTATTATTTATATATAGTATTCTTTATTGCATTTATTTATACTTATATAAATAGTCGGTTTAGAAATATTGTTTTAGAGTACTTATTATTTATTTTGTTTCTTTGCTTTCATGAGAGTTTAATTACAAATGTTTTTCGTCATTATTGTTACAATATTCTTTCATCTTTTCTAATATATCTATACCTCGTCTCTGACTCAAGATATTTATATACCACAAACGCGCGAGTACCTACCTACGTCATTGATTGTCACGTGAATGATATGAATTTATATTATAATCTTGCTTCTCAGAAAATTATTTCTCTTATAGGGTAACTGTACCAATTGTCGAGGGTTTTAGACAACATGTGACTTTGACATTTTTTTTCTCGGAAGTAAATGCACTTTAAAATTTGATTTTTGTATATTTGGACGAAGGATCTAATAATGTTTAATATTCATATTTATTTTTTTAATATAAACTAAATTGTTAAGCAAAAAATATATTTAAAAGTCAATCGAGCAAAAGCACCATTTGTCGATGGTCTTGTGCTAATTTCTCGAGGGTCTGTTCCAATTGTCGAGGGTATGACATTTTTAAACATATAACCCAATATAACCTAACAATTAACCTGTACAGATATCAGAAAATCGAGTAGATATTAATTTTTTCGATAAAAATATTATAGAACATTACCAGAAAACAAATATATTTATTTAACTATAATTGAATAATTTATAATATCGATATAAAACATTTTTATAGTAGATGATACAGGACAGAAAATTATTTAACTGTTTTTTAAACTTTTATAAATAAGTTAATTAAAATTAATCAATTTTGTTAATCAGACATTAATTGAAAAAATAAATTAATTTAAGTCACATTAAATTTGTAAACGAATAAAATAAACTTTTATTACGAACTGTAAATATAATGGTTAATTATAATTAAACTATAGTACAAAATTTTTTAGTTTTAAATAATGCATTTTTTTATTAATTTTTTTTCCCTCTTCCTCGTTTTTTTGGTTGATTATTTTCTGTTGGTTGTAAATTTTTGAAGCATTTTTTTCTTTTTCTCTGTACCTATAAATGTTTGGCATTTATGTTTGACGTTTAGTAAATAAACACTTAACCATCGATAAATGGTGCATCAGCGAAAAAAGTGACTACACCAATTTTCGAGTCATTACCTCGAAAAATGGAACTGTCAAAAAAAAGGAACCAAATACCGATGATTTGCTTTTAAAAAATATTAAATATTTTTTTTTAACAAAAAAACATGCATACAAAATTAATTTAGTTCGTGTACAAAATTATAATAATAATTTTGTACACAAAAAGTCATTATAAATACGTTTAATTTGCATTTCTAAAAATCTGTTTTAATCAACCAGAAGTATTAAGAAAATGGAGATTCGTGTAAATTTTACAGCAGTGAATTATAATATTAATTAAATAATTATTTTAGTAGAATCGCTACGAAATTTGTATATATAAATATACAGTTGAAAATACAAAGATTATTTAGAAATTTTTTTTGTTCTTAAATATTATATATTATACTATTTATCTAAAAAAGAAAATTATTATCCTCGACAATTGGAGCACCCTCGGCAATTGGTGCAGTTACCCTAATAATGAATCATATTATTGTTCTATTTTGCAATGTATAGCAGAAAATTTGTATCCAATTTGTTCAGAGTTTTGTAAAGTTTATATAATTGTATTTTCTTTTAGATAAAGTTATATAGATTCAATACAATTTAATACAATATTGTAATTTACAATTTTGACTATGGAATTTACTGTAAATTGTGTTGCGTTGAAAACACTTGTTGAGTTTGAGTTGTAAAATCATTTTCAAATGGAGCACAATTTTTTGTTTTACATATTAAAAAACGAGTAAATGATTTAAAAAATGAGGTCCCTGAAGGTTGGCATCGACGTTTAGCGTCGAAAACTGTTCTTTAGTATTTTTTATTGATAAAAATGTCACTAATTTTACCCTTTTTATTCATTTTGAAAGTAAACAAATTTAAGAGTGCTTTTTTAATCTAAACTATTGAGAAAATTCTTTGAATCTTAGTTTCGTGAAAAAAGTGTTTTTTTGACACACAGCGTTGACGCTAACTTCGGGTACCTAAAAAATGAATAATTGAATATATTATACAATTTATTCAGTCATCCATAAAATATTTTTAAAAATTGTAAATATGATTCTTGTTTATCGTTTTAAAAATTGTATTCCCAATTATATGGTTGTTTTTTTTCTCACATTTATTTTGTGTTTTAAACTCGCATAGCAGTTAAAAACCAGTTAAAAACTTTGTTTATTTTGTTCTTTAATTTGACGTTTAATGTGTGATTATAAAGATTCAATGCTTTATTGTACATTGAATTATGAGGTTTGTTCTTTCTTTATTAAATAAAAGTTATATTTGTACACGTGTCAGTGGAATTATTGGTTTTTTAATTTCTGGTTTTTATTTCAAGTTGTCAGTCTAAAATGAGAGTTTTCAATTATTAATATAATAGAGATACACATATATATGATAAATATAGAATTGTTTAGATTTATTATTTCTTGTTTTATTTTAATTTTTTATTTTAGTTCATTTTCCTTCTCGTTTTCTGAATATTTAAAGTAAATTTGCAAATCAAAAGCTCTTAAATGTCAAGGTTTTGTTAGTTTTTGATTTGAAATTTAAAAGCTAGATATTTTCTAAACTTTACATATTATTGGGGTGGTTCAAATGTCTATTTATAAAAAAGGACGCTTTTTAGAAATTTTTCCAAAATTATAATTTGATTATTGATATTTTGTTACTCTAAATGTCAATTAGTAAAAATGTTTACTAATTTTAAGTAGTTACTGTCTTTTTGCTTTTAAATTAGTAAATTTTACTATAATAAATAGTAATTTCTACTAATAAATAGTAATTTGTAATTTCTATTAATTTATTAGTATAATTTACTATATTTTAAAAATTAAAAAATAATTCACTAACAGGGTGGCCACATGTCAGTAAAGTCAGGGAAATAACAAAAAAAAAATTTTTTTTTGAAAGGGAAATTAAGGAAATACTCAAAATATTTTTGAACAATTGAAATTTTCTAAACTTTTATTGAAAATAATAAATTTTTTTCAAGTATTTTGTTACAATTTTGGAAAATTAACTTTTGTAGATTTTTAATTGCAAATTTTGAAAAAAATAAATTGAATTATCAAAAATTTTAATGAAAAATCTTTAAATGTAAAATTAAAAAATTAAAATTTTTGAAAATTAGCTTCTACTTTTTTAAAATTCAATATTTTCAATTACATATTTTCTCTGGGTGCATAATTATAATTTTTAGAAATATTATTAAAATTCATAAATTTTACTCATTATCCGTAAACTTTCATATTTTCCTGTAAAAATAATTTTAAGGTCAGGGAAATTGATGAACTAAAAATTGTGACCACCCTGACTAATTCAAATTAGTAATGTCATTAGTTGAAGTTTAGAGTAAAATTATATAAAAATTTTCTTTCATTTCCTTTAATTCGGTTACTTCAAAGTAAATTTTTAGTTTAAATAAAACAAATATTTAGTTATAACTTTATTTAGTAAAGCACTTATTTGGTTGATTCAACAAAAAATTTTTTTGTTTCAATCAAATTTTTTCTGAGTGTAAAGTTTCAAATATTCGAATGTTAAATTTAGGTTTTTAATTTTTATTACAATCAGTGTTTTATGAAAATATTTTTAATTTTCACACAGTTTTTCTAAGGTTATCAAATTGAGACAAAAAATGAATCAAAATTGTTGATTCGTTTTTTGTCTCAATTTGATATCCCTAGAAAAACTGTGAAAAATTTCGTTCATTTGGTCATTAAAAATTTTTACAATGCTTTGTGTAGAAACAAATTTTCAAATAAAAAAAATCTATTTTAAAAATTATACTTTTAAATAATAATAATTTATTCGTTTAATAAATTATTTTAGGCACAATAAAAGTTGAAATTAAAAAATCAAATTGCATCAGAAGAGTGTTAATAATTATAGACTGCGATAATTAATTAAAATCACGTTCACAAAATAATCAATTATCGATAAAATGTGTTTATTGGTCAGCCACTTAGTTATGAGACCAGAATAGTGTGATGTGATATATTTATATGCAAATTAGAATGAAATTACACGCCAGTAGCGTAAATCACGAAAATAGGACGGCATAAGAGAGCCGCAGTAACAATGTACCTACATTCGTGACTAAAGCTTGAAATACCGGAATTATTGATTTTCTTTCAACTAGTATACGATTCGCAAAAAAAACTCTCATTGTTATATATATATATGTATATACATGTGTTAGGGAATTGTAAAAACTTTTCATCAATGACTAACATTTCCCTTTATGTTTGTAGGTACTTGTAAAATTATCTCAAAGGAGATGTTTTATATATAGTCTGTGCGCGTCTGGTTCTTAAAAGCTCCATTTATTAATCAATATTTTCCACCAGTTATCCTTTCTCAAACGATTATATAAAGTTGACGTTACTTTTTCTAGCAACAAGCAAATAATTTTTCCTGGTTTTACAATATTGGTTTATAGAATTAAATACTTTTAGGAGATTTTCGGGTCGTATTCTGATTTTATAATTAATTTGGGTTAAATTAAATCAGTCAATTAGTATTTTATTAATTAATATTATTAATTTAATGTGTGAAATTTTTACGTTAAATTATAGTTTAGAATTTTATAATTTTTATAAGTTTTAATAGATAAAAATTATTTAATTTTTATATACAAAGACTTTGTTCGTGTACAATTTAAACTCGATGACAATCTTCACTTTCTTGTTTCTTCTATTGAGGTTCCATTGCCGAAAAATTTTTTGTATTTTACATGGATTATTTACAGATCGAATTATTTACTTTCGCAAATATTTTTCAATATAGGAAACTTCTTCCTTTTGTTCATAAAAAATTTCTTGTTCGTCGAATAAAAATTAGAAATACGATTATTTGTTAATATATTTTTTTACATTTAAAAAAGAAAAGATTCTGTACCAGCAGAATCGAAATTCTCAATCGTTGAAAGAATTTTTGTTTTTGTTACAATTTTTAATCACAGTGACATTTTTGGAGCGTTTTATGGAAACGTCCTATGGACTTAAAAATTATTTTGTTTTTAAATATATATAATAATAATAGATAGATTTTCGACTACGTTATTTATACTTTTTTGTTAAACGAACACGCAAATGGCCTATATAGTTTTAACTCTTTTTTTTTACAATAACATTCTTTTTTTTAATCACCTTGCGGAAATCGAGCTTTCAGTTTTTTTTTCTTTTGCAAAAATAGCTCAATCGAATTGACGTTGTAATCTTGTTGCAATCTTAATTGCCAAGTGCATCGAATAAATTAGATGTTTTCTCCCATATATGACAATGAATCGAGTCATCCACTTGCCTAATAATAGTCAACATCGAATCTTCGTTGCCTCTATATAAAAAATTTTGAAAGAAAAATTAAAGGAAATAAACTTTTTATTCGAGAAAATTGCATTTAAAAATAATTGGTGAAATTAAATTACAAAAATAAGAATTAAAAATATAATTAAAATTAAAAACTTTATGCTTGTATTTTGGTGAAATAAATTTTTTGTTTAAAATGAGTAAAAACATTTTGATATTATTATTTTTCATTGTATAAATAAATTCATTAATTTTCACTATTCATTCCTTTACCGGGTAAATATTCAATTTATGATCCTCAAGTTTCAATAATGGTCCAAATAAAAGAAATATTTTGCCATTATAAATATTTATAAAAAAATTATTGACTTAATAAGTAAAAAGAAGATTAAACATTTAGAATATTTATAATATATATTTAATATTTAACAGAGTAAAATTTATTAATTTTGAAGAAGAAATAAATAACAGATATCAGTAAAGTCAGGGAAATGTCAGGAAAAAAATTTTTGTCAGGTAAATTAAGAAAATTGAGACTTTTTTCGACTTATTTTCAAAAATTGCGACTTTTTTTTTACTTTTCTTCCAAATATTGCAACGAAATACAACAATTTTTAGTAAAAAAAAGTAAAAAATAATAATATTTTAGAATTATTTTTTAAATTATACAAAAATTCTTTTAAGAAATTCAATTATCTTCGAACAATATAAATAAAAATTGATGAAAATTTACTTTTTGGACTTATTAAAATTTTTGAGAAATCATGGTCCTGCTTATAATTAAAATCCTTTAAAAATTTGATAATTTTTATTTATATTTTTCAAAGATATTGTAGAAATTTTTTATTAAAAACTTATTTTAAAATAATCGTTCGTGAATATTAATTTTTCTGATGACAAGTTTTTCTTTTTTTTGAAATTTTATTCAAAGCTTATAGTTTGTTGATAAAGTTGAGCGAAAGGAATTTTACATTTAAATTGAAACACGTAGTAAAAGTAAATATTAAAGTTTTAATTTGAATATAAATATAATAGCGATGAGAGAAATTAAATTACATACATATACCCTTATTCACTAATACAGTTGTGTAAAAATTATTGATTTAATTTCTCATCAGACGTGTACAGTGTTATTGACCCCGGGAGTACGTTTTCTCATTTTAAATTAACTTTTATATAATAATGCGTTTTAGTTAAAATTCATTAGAATAAAACTTTAACTATTTTACGAAATTTGAATATTCGTTAGTGGTAAAATTAAATGGAATTTAAAAATTGAACAAGTTTTGTTGAAGTTAGGCAAGAAAATATTTTTTTTTCGTTTAATTGACGATTCTCCACGATGTGATAACTTTTTACTAGGATAACTTTTTATTTGAAAAAATTAATTTTTTGGAAAATTTCCCTATGTATATCAATTTTTCCCTAATTTGTAAAATAATTTTACAAACTTTAATATAAATTCTCCCTCGGTGTATTTTATATTTTTGAAAATGATGGATTAAAATTAGTTAGAAAAATAAACAAGTGAATTTCCATATAAAAAAATTGAATAACAATATACTATAATATTTTTTTAGTATTTTCAACCTAAAAACAATATTTAAAAAAAATGCTTCAAAAATTGTAAAAATCTTTCTTTTACTATAAAGTTTTAGTGAAAAGTGATTAAAAGTTAGTAAAAATGATTGGCACTTATATTAAGTAGTTTTAAACTAGTAAAAATTCTTACCAATGGGAATTAGCTAAATGTTCACTAATTTAGATTTGAAGAGTGGTGAAATGTTTTTACCCATGTTTAATCAGTGTGAAAAATGATTGTAATTAAAGTTGCAAATTCTATTCAAAAAATTTGTTTATTTTTTTTTGTTTTTGTTTCTTTTCTATTGAAAATAGTTTTTATTGCTAATAAAAGAAAAAGAAGGATAAAAATGATACAAATATGTAATTTTGTTTATACTATTGCATTCTTATTGTGAACTCACCCTAATTTTCAAAATGTCAAGTGTTCATTTCGCCTGAACGAAACTTCCGGAAATCTGTTGACGGCTAAGGTCTACTCGAGAAGCGATATCGGTATTGTGCCCAGGCAAACAGTTCTATAGAAAGAATAAATAATCCAATGTATCCTATATATATGTCCTCAATTTAACATATATCTTCACATGCCAGGCTTTGCTTTTTTTTGTACACGAAAATGAAATTTGTTGATGCATGAATGTTTTTTTCCGTTCTTCGATTTTCTATATATCCAAAATGAAGAAGCTTTTTTCTATGTGATTATTGCGTGCTCTCTAAATCGTTGGAATTAGTAGTTTTCTACTATATGAAAATTGATTGATTAAATTTCAAAATTTAGTCCATTATATATCTGCGATTTTGAATTTTGAAAAAGTGACATCGGATTCTCGTAATCAGCACTTTTTCATTAGTAGAAAACTACTAATTCAGATTTAGAGAGAAGAGGAAGAAATTAGTGCTGCTAGAAAATTTGGATCAGTTTAGAAAAGGAAAAGTAAGTGATTAAAGATTGGTGAATTAATAGAAATTATAATTTTTGCCGTAAGGAGGAATTATATTCGAAAATTAATATTCAGGTTGTATAGAAAAATGAGGGTGTAGTTCACAACATTTGAATAGAAAAATATTTTTTCTATTTAATCGTTAATTTTATCAACGTTGTAAACTTCACCAACGTCTAGAAATTTTTAATTTTTTTTTTTTTTTGAAAAACTATTAAGAATTGAAAACAAATACTTAAAGACTTGAAAATTAATAATATCGTTTAAAAATTATGTATATTTATGGCAAATCGATGCTTTCAATATAAAGCACAACGCATAAATTGATTAGTTTTTCAAAATTTTTTTTTATTCTCTGATGAACTGTTTCACTTAAAACATGCATATGCGGTGATTTGTGGTTGAGAGAGGTAGATAAATTGATTTTCTAGTATACACACATCTATCATGTTCAACATGAATTGTTTATGTAATTAACTTTTTTCTTTAAAAAAATTTTATTAAACAAATTGTCAATTTTTTTTTTCTTTATAAACATGCGAATAGCGCATAATGAAGACAATAATTATGTTTATATATATACACATATAATATTAAATTGACGTAACAATTTCCGCGGGAAACATTGATATCCTTATAATGAAAATTAAAATTCTTGAGAACAATGAAATATATATAATAAAATACTTTATAAAAATTATAAAAATTTATAATTATGTATATAGTATACTTATAAATGGTTATTTAAAAAATTATACTTTAATGCAGTTTTTTCTCATGTATGTAAAAATATTTTTCATAAATACTAAAGCTAAAATAAGTTTAATACTTTTAATTTGTGGGATATTTTTGAAAAAATTTGTTTTGTAGGTATTTTAGTATTAAAAAATAAGAGTAATTTATTATCACTAGTCACTAGGGAAAATTAAAACTCTTTGAAAATTTTAATAATTAACAGGATAATTATATCTATACACTGAAAAAATTTATTTGAATCAAATAAACGATTACTTATCATTAACAATAAATAAATGTTTATTTATATCAAATAATTTGTATACAAGTCAATTAAATGAATAAATGAATTTTATATAAATTCATTGCAATTATTTGGTTCAAAAACAATTTATTTAATGTAAATAAAAAATTATTTTACTTTTTGTAAATAATTTACTTGATATTAAACAAGTATTTATTACTCTTTTAGTTAATTTATTTTAATCAAATAAAACTTTTCAGTGCATTACTGAAATTATAATTATAATATTTTGAAAAGCATCATTGCCCAACTAACCTGTAAACTTGCTGTAGTATCAAATTAAAAATAATTAATTTGATAACAATAAATCAGTCACTTATCCAAGTAGTAATAGTTTACTATAATGAAATAGTTAATAATAATTAAATAATTATAAATTACTCTCTAAATTAGAAACAGTTAAAAATCATAGTTTTAACTGACAATCAGTGACTGAATTTTTGATTCTGAATCAGTTAAAGATAACTATAATATTTATAGTTATTTTTAACTAATTCAGATTTAGAGAGTGAAACATTACAGGTTAATTGGGTGAATTAATAATATAATTATTTAATTTGGCTTTGAATAAAAATATTTACTTATATAATTTCATGATAAAAAAAAATACTTTTAAAGTATTTGGTCCAAAATTCACTGATTTTTTATGTAATGAAAAAATACATTTTTTTATATATCATTTGAATATTTTTTTAGATGTAAATCGATAATTTAATGTTAATTATTTTGCCTAAAAGTGTCTAATCATTTTGTTATTAGGGTTAACATTTGGATAAAATTTTTGGAAAATACTTTTAATAACATTCATAAATATATATTTGTAATCACTTAGTGGGTTTTATAACAAATTATTTTGACTTTCATTGTATTCTATGATGGTCTTTAACAATAGTTTTCTTTAATTATACTAAAAAAATTTTTTTATAATAAATACCATAATTTTTGTTTCATAAATATCATAATTATGGTTATGACCTTATAATATTTTTCTTATTATTTATATTGTATATAATATATTAATTTGCTCCCTGTATTAGTAAAGATACTGCATTAAATATTTTTATTACCAGAAAATTATTATTTGGTTTATATGTGCGTTAAAAATTTGAAACAGACTTATCTTTTTTTTTTTGTAAATTTGGGCGTTAAGTATTGTATAATGAATAAATGTTTCATGCTCACTAGTGAATCAAAACATTTGTCGTAGCTTTGTGGTTAATGTTTGAGCTTCAGTCAGAGACGCTTACATTTGGCACAATAAAATAGGTGTTTTATTTAATTGAATTATAGTTGAGAAATTAAGAAATATTTTAAATTAAATTAATTGAATTAAATTGAACTTTGAATTCTTTAATTAGGACGCGTCGCGAAGAAAGGGAGCTAAGAAGCCAAATCTTATAGGTTTTGTTTGTTATGTTTTAAGTGGAAAGTAAATAAAGTTGGTTAACTCTCAATGTTTAAGTTGAAACCTACATTACATTTAAAATAACAAACAATATAGAAAAAACAAAGTCTGAAACCGTTTACATCATAAAACCGAAATGATTAAAAAGTAGCCTCTTTTTAAGCTTAAGACTAGATTAAGTTAATGTTAGGACTTAAAATAATACTCTCAAAGCTAAAATTCAGTTAAAAATGTTTTTAATGTATACGGTTTTAGTCAAAAGTGGACTAAAAGTAAGATTTATTTTTTACAGTGAATCTATAAGATTTTGTTTTTTAAGTCCCTTTCTTCGCGACGCGTCACATATAAATAATAGAATTATTCAACAATAATGGAAATAATCAAAACTATACTGGAAATAATTATTAATAACGGAAGTAACTACAACTAAGATCATTTGAACCATTATGAAATCACAATTTTAGAATAACATGCTTTGCACAAACTATGACGTCGCATGGTTCAAATGCCCTTAAGTAAAATCTAATAATAACTTTCTCTTGTGATTACAATAGAAAACAGTAAATAGTAATAAAAGAAATAAGTTAAATAAATAATAGGGGAGAACTAAATCAAGTAGAATTTAATTTAAAAGAAGATGGTTTATATATATATTAGATGCTCCCTAATAAGGGAGTTATATTAAACTAGGGGTTTGTTATTATTGAAGAGGGAAAATTTAATGAACCGATAATTAAAACGTCGCTGACTAAAAAGAGTGAGGTCGACAGGTTGATGAGATTTTAATCGATGAATTTAGAAAGTAATGTGAATTCCTTCGATGCTGAATTTTGTGAGATGACGATGATATTAGGGAAGTGTTAAAAGCGAGAGACGATCCTTGGTTTTTTTTTCGACAGTAGCAGCGAAATCGCTATATAAGGACGTTATCAGTCTACGATTTATTACCATTGTTGGTGAAGCATGGAAATATTGCATTGAGAACTCGATTGCAGAAGCCACGGGCACGGTTGTTCCAGCCGCCTAAGGTTTCGTTGCCCTTCAATCTACTGCCTGTATACATCATGCATTCTTTATTAATTAACTTACTTTCTTGGATTGTACTTCCGTAAAACGACTTACCTCCTCTATGACTTTCTTTAGAAAGTCTCGTTTAATATTAGTTACTATACACAGAGAAAATTTATTCCTGAGATTTTACTAAATTTTGTTTGATAAAACTGGGATGAAAGGGCAAAATAGTAATTTTTCAAGAAATAGACTGTAGAATAAGCAATTTCATTAAATAATAATGGAAAAGGCTGCTGTCCAAAGCCTTTGTCACTTTGCAAGTGACTTTCAATCTTATGGCAAATGCGACTTACTGGTTTTTACTTTGGACAGCAGAAGTTAAGTTAAGTTAAGTTACATATTTATAATATATATTATTAATATTTATATTATATAATTATTATTTAATATTTATATTAAGTTAAGTTAATAAATACCTTACGATTCATGTATTAGAGCTTCAACTGAGACTTTAAAATTTCACTGACAGTTCGGTAAAGCGTAAGATAAGTGTTCGCTATATTTATATTTACTGAATAGTTTGGTAAAACTTCAAGAACAAAAATAGATAATAATGCTTATGCATAGTAGATCCACATTAATACTGTCGTAAATCTGAATTTACCTAATTCAATCATTACTTAACCCCCGTACAATTTTATACGATTATCGCACGCTTTACATTACTTTAAAAACATTAAACTGTTCTTTTATATTAATCTGAATTTTATTTTACCGCTTGTGGGAAAGATTCAAATTAACAAACTATTGTTGTTCAAACTAAAAAATGATCGATGTTAATGAATAATTTTTAAATATATATTAAAGATCAATTTAATTATCAATTTAGGACCTGTTTTCCGCCCCCTTGAAATTTTCGTTCAAGTGATTGAAACATATTTTCCGCCAAAGAAGTCTTATATTTTTAATAATTAAAGATTAAATGAGGGTGTTTTGAGCATATTAACCCTTAAATAATAAGGGTTTTGTATAATGTTTTGTTTCAATCACTTGAACGAAAATACTGAAATATTAAATAATACTATTCACATTTAATTTAAATGCATTTTATTGCAAAAATTCGGTAAATTATTAAGAATAATTTTCCTCTGCGTATATAGAATGAAAACTATTTTAGCCTTTAATATGTCATGGTGAAAAAAATCGTAATTTAAGATCAGTCTTAAATTCAGCATGGGTTGTCTTAAACATGTTGTATCTTAATTTAAAATTTTCTTTTTATTTTTTTATTTGAATGTAATGGACAATGAAATAAGTTACGGAATAACTTGATTTGCACTAAAAGGAATAATTTTTCATATCCTTCGTAATTTATTATAATGTGACGCGTTCCGAAGGAAGATACCTAAGAAACAAAGCATTTTAAGGTTATGTTTGGGTTATTTTTACCTGAATTAAAAATTTCTGTTTAGTTGTGAAAAACTAAATGTATTTATTAATTATTGTAAATTTAATAAAGACTTAGGCATCAATGGTTTATTTTGAAAGTTTATTCTCTTTGTGCATTTTTATTCTAAAAGTTACAAACATAACCTAAATTTTTTGCTTCTTAGGTACCTTTCTGTAAAACGCGTCGCATATTTAATCTAATTTTCATTTTTCTAATATTTATGTTCACAAGATTGCCACAATTCAGGGAAAAGTTAAGGAATTTTATCAAAATAAGTTACTTGAAAAGTATATTAAATTTTTAAAATTCATAAGAGAATTCTCCAGAAATTCGGAACATTAAATTTTGTATTTCAGAAATATTTTAGGTGAACTTTCTTTTCTCTTTAAATAATTAAATTCAAAAAAGAACTTTCTGAATAATTATTCAGAATTATTTATTTAGAAAGAAATTTTTGTTAAAAAATTTAGAAAATAATTTTCAAGATATTAAAGTAGCAAATTTTGTAAAAACTGTTGAATTTCAGAAGATTTGAAATTTGAAGTTTTTGATAAATCTTAATTCTTACTCTGTAAATTTGAATTAATAAAAATGTTTACTATTCGAATTATAGTGATTGGCTTTTTACTTTTGAATTTGTAAAGTCTACTAATGAATAGTAATTTCTACTAATTTATGACTAAGAAATATTTTAATTAGTAAACATTTTTACTATTTGAAATTTAAAGAGTATGGAAAAATTATAATAATTAAATATTTATCTAAAATAAATTATTGATGTTTACGAATAATTTTACAAATTAAAGATATTCACAAATTAGAATTAATTATCATAAATCAGATTAGAAACATTCTTTTGTTTTTAATTATTTTTAAAATGAATTAAAATATTTAGTGTCAGGGAAAAAGTCAAAATTCTGTCTGGAAATTAGGGAAAAGTTAGGAAAATAATTTTAAATTTTTGTGTCAATCTGGTTCAATGTTAATTTGTTAATTAATTAAACTATTTTTGTTTAATTAATTTCTATAAAATGGACTTGTTATTTAGATCTTATTTCCTTAATTGATTCTTTGAATAGTACTATGTAATAGGACAAATTTCTATTCAGTTGAATCTCATTTTTTTCAAATTTTTATATCATAAAATTTTCGAGAAAGTTAATTTTAAAACTTTCCCGTAATAAATATAATATATTTTATTAATTGCTGTTTATTTTATAATTTTAATTTTGAAAGAATAAATATTCCAGGCGGAATTTCTTTTTTTTTTTTTAATGAAAAATGAAGGTGAAATCGTTTTCGGAAGTTTATCCGTACCTTTCTTATTATATTACGTATTTCTTTTTCTCTTTTAACAAAATCTGAGGCAACTAATTTTCTTTTCTTAGCTCTCCTCTATTTTTAAATGATATATTCTTTCATTTAATTGATCCTTTTATCTATAGGCTTTTCTAGGTCATGATAAAAGGTTTCCTAACTATAGGACTCCACTACTGCTACGAATTATTATATTATAGAGAGAGAGTATAATAGAAGGAATTTATACGATTAAATACTACAAGTATATAGTTAGGTGAATTTAATTACCTTCACTCCCACTGGCATTCTGAAATAATGAAAAAAAAATATCTTTATCAATACATTATTTCTATTTAGATATATTTGCGCATTTATATTATTTTAATTTTCATTTTTGTCTCATGCGCTTTTTCAACGTGTTCAATCAAGTTATTATATTTTATGATTGGCTTCAAGTTAATATAGGGAAAACTTTTAATTGGAAAATTTTAATTTAATATGTTTCGTGCAAATTGTCCGATATTTAATTTTTCAAAGAATTATATGTCCTAGCTAATTAAATTGTAACAGAAAATAAAATTAAATCTACTATATATACTGAATTAATAATGAGTTTAATAAAAATGTGCTAAAGTGGGGAATTTATGATTTTAATTTTTAGAAAAATGTTAATATTTAATGTCCCGTTAATATGTTGTTTAGAAATATTTAGTGACGGTTTTATTTTTTTGAATTTCAGTATAAATATTTACATTCAATTTTAGGTGCTAATTACATAAAGTTTAATATAATTATTAATATATGAAAATTTTGTTATCTAGAACATTTTATCTTTATTTTTTATATTGTGATTAAAATATATTATGTAGAATTATTATTAATAAATGATTAGGAAAATAATAATTATTTATATTATTATTATTATTTTTATGTGTTAAAATAGTTACAAAAATTATAATTTCTTATGATTAAATTATTTTATTTATTTTTATTTATTTTTATTTATTTTTATTTATTTTTATTAAACGAAATTTAAAAAGAAAATTCTATTTTTGTGTAGAGATTGTGGAGAGTTTGTTATCGGTTTTAATTTTAAAATATATGTTATAATGTAATAGAATAATTTAACATTATTACATTATAGAATATAACAGAAATTTTAGAGAAAGGAATCAGTAGTTTGAATCAGTTTTTAGTCCAGCAACTTTTCTGCTAGTTTATGTCTGACTATTTACACTCAACACTACTGAAAATCGTTAATTTTTACCATTTCTGTCAGTACTGTGAGAAAAAATTTTGTTTTGTATACAAAATTACTCTATTTAGTCGCATATTGATTGAATTAAAAATTTATAATATAAAAATTACAAACTTTATTTTTTGTAATTCAAAAATTACGAAAAACTAAAAATGACCGAATATCTAACATATTTTTAGTTGTATATTTCAATACTGTGAGATTCTATACTTTTAATGTCAATAGTTATTTTCGAAAAACAATTAAAAATAAAACTTTAGAAACTGTCCCAGTTTATTTGAAGTGAAAAAAAAAGATGGGAAAATAAATTTTTGTTCAATTTTAAAGAAGAATTATTATTATTGAAATTGTAGTGAAAAAAGGGGACAAATTGAAACTTTTGGTATATAAACGCGAGGAAAAGTTTTCAACTTAAATTATGTCGAGATTTTTGTTTTTTTGTTTTTTCTAGGAAAATATTTTCTGACCTCTTTTTCAAGTTTCCTTTTAGTTGCTTCAGTAGTAGCTGTTTCGATAACTTCTGTAATGAACTTGGTCGTTTCTTTCATAAGTTCCTCATCTTCTTTGAATGCCTCTTTACGCTGCTCCAAAGATCCAATCACTAAATGTCTATCTGCTTCTTCGTTAACAGGGGAACTAAATGATAATTTCATTCTTCCAGTCATCTTCTTTTTGTCACTTTATTACTTCCTAGTGCTCAATTTCAATTTTGATGATTTCTTCGCTTGTTTAATCGCATCCTTCAAGTCTGCTGAAAAAGAAATTTATTGTCTTTATTGAATTATGCTTTTTGTTCAGATAAATGTGTTAGTTGTTTAATTATAAAGAGTAATTGGTGCTAAAAGTTACACTGTAAAAAAATATATCGTGTTTTTGATCTGATTTCGGCTAAAACAACTTGCATTAGACAAAATATTGGCTTAATTTAGATTTGTGATACTAAGCTACTTTTTTTCTATGTTTCAAAATTTGCACTACTTTAAATTCCTTAATAGTTAAAATAAAAAAATTCTTCTCAGTAATTTTAATAAAATTCTTAGAAACAATTCAATAAATTTTAATAAAATTCTTTGCAAACATTCAATTATTATCAAGACATTTTCAAAATTCAATTATTTTAATATCTATACTAGTTTTAAAAAAAATCCCCAAAACTTCAATTAAATAAAAATTTTTTTGTAAAATTCTTTGCAAACATTTAATTATTTTCATAAATAATAAAATTTTTAGCAAGAATTCAATTATTTTTATAAATAATAAAAATCTTTTCAGGAATTCAATTATTTAAATAAATTTTTATAAAATTCATTGCAAACATTTAATTATTTTCATAAATAATAAAATTTTCACAGGAATTCAATTATTTAAAATACAATTTTCATACAATTTTTCGCATGAATTCAATTATTTAAAAAAATTTAATAAAGTTTTTCTCAAGAATTCAATTATTTTTATTAATAATAAACTTCTTCTGAGGAATTCAATTATCTAAATAAATTTTTATAAAATTAATTGCAAGCATTCAATTATTTTCATAAATAATAAGATTTTCACAGGAATTCAATTATTTAAAATACAATTTTTATAAAATTCGTTACAAGAATTCAATTATTTTTATAAATAATTTTAAAAAATACAATTATTCTTAAAAATTTTATGAAAATTTCAAAGAATTCAATTATTTAAAAAAATGTTTCTATAATTTGTTTATTGAAATTTAATTTATTATTTTTAATACATTTTTAATTAAATTTCTTGAAAGAATTAAATATGTGAAAATTTTTATGAAATTCATCGTAAGAATTTAGTTATTGTAAAAAATTTTCGATAAAACTCTTTATATTTCATTTTGTAAGAAACATTCAATTATTCAATAAATTATTTATTTTTGTTTTTAAACAATTGAATTTCAGTTAAAATTTTATATATTAATTGAATATTAGAAGCGTTAATAGTTCGAATTTTTATAAATAATAAAAATTTCAATAGCTTTTCAAATTTAAATTTTTAAAAATTTTAATTGTTGTAAAACTGTAATAATATTAAAATTTTTATTTTGAAATTGAATGATTAAAGTTTTGACAAATTTCAACAACAAAAAATGATGAAATTTTTCGGAAGAATTATACAACTGTAAGTTTTAAAAAATATAGTTAAATTTCAAAAAGGCTTTACGTTGAAATCATTTAAAATATTTTAATTCTTGTGGAAAAATAAATAGTTATTTAAATATTTATTAAAAAGAAATTATTCTATTTTTTAATGTAACTTAATTTAGAAATTATGAAAAAATTCACGTCGAATATATTTTTCCAATATCTACTTTTTTACTACTTTTTTTAGTCTTAAAGCTATTTTTTTGAAATTAATTTTCGAGTACGAAGTCTGTATATGTTAAAAACAAAAATGAGTTGAACTTACTCTTTAAATTTGAATAAGTTAAAAATAATTGATTTTGAAGCAAAAAGTCAGTCACTAATTCAAATAGTAATATTTCTACTGATTATCAGTTAAAAGTAACTGATGTTTCAGTAAATATTTTTTTAACTGATTTAATTAGTCAAGTGTAAATAATTTTTCTGTTATTTTTTACTTTAATTTACTTTAATTTATTTTTATAACTGATTCAGAAGCAGAAAGTGAGTCACTGATTGTCACTTGAAACTATGATTTTTAACTGATTCAAATTAGAGAGTAAGAAAAAAACATGTTTAAGCTATAAAAGTGCTGTAAGACTTTATTTTTACAATAAATTATTTTTAACTTAATAATGATTATTTTTGTTAAATTAAAACACTGAAAAAATTGATTTGATTCAAATAAACGATTACTTGTCTATTATTAAATAAATATTTGTTTGTATCAAATAATTTTTAATTTAAGTCAACAAGATGGTATTTGTTTCAAACATACTGAATTTATTGGTTCAAATACAATTTATTTGATCTGAATAAAAAATATTTGATTGGAGTAAATATTTAATTGATTCAGGTAAGTATTTATTTGATTCAAGTAAGTATTTATTTGATTCAAGTATTATTTATTTGATAGTAATCAAGTAATCGATTTGTTATAATTCAAATAAATTTTCTTTTCAGTGAAATACTTTTTAATAAAAGATAATAAAATTAGTAAAATTGGAAGAAAATTTGAATTCCTGAAACACTAAAATCTATCTATTTGATTATTATTATTCATAAACTGATCAATGTGCATTTGCCCTAAATTTAAAATTATCCCGAATCACTATAATCTGGCATCAATATTTCTCAATTTCCATATTAACATAAGATTGAATTTCACTGTCTTGATTAGCATATAATATATAGTCACAAAACCACATAGGTCCATTATCTCTGTTATCGCGTGTTTACAAACTTTGGCAGTCAATATCTTAGTTTTCAAATCAGCAAACATAGTTTACTTTCCACCGCACATGTTCACTTAACGTTAACATTCCCGCACTTTAAATGTGTAAAGTTTGAATAAAAAATTTTCTCGTCACTCGTTTCTTTTCTCTTCCTCTCTTTGAGAAAATCTCCTCGTCGAGAGTTTTTTGTCATCAGAAAAGATTAGCGAGCCACAGGTGGCCAACATGCTTGTTATGATTCAGAATTGTTTAGTGAAGAATGTCAAAAAAAAAGAATAGCTTAAAATGATGAATTGAAATTTATATATGGGGAATAATATATTGTTGATAATAATAATTATAGAAGAATTGTGTCAGTGATATAGAGGGACATACATATAATGAATGGGTATTGATATTAGATGGAGACTTGTACTTACAAAGGATTAATGACAAACGATTCCTCTAATTTAGTTTGTTTGCCCTGTATTTACTGGTAGTGTCCCGGGCACTTTATACCTGGTAATGATCGGTCGTCTGGAGCCCGGCTTTGCTGACTGACTATCGGCCCAGTAAAACAGCTCGGGGCATGCGCCTCTTACATTATCCACAACCCCCCCATATGATTTTCGCGAGTGTTAATACACTAAACCGAATCCTGATGTATACACAAAACTGAAAACCCTTATAATCTACATGTAATGCATATATTTATGTCAGTGATTCTGCGCGTTGGGTTTTTCTTTAAAAATCTTGGCTTAAAATCATCATCATGGGAATTTGAATTTATTGTAAGTCGAGATTTTGGAGTTACATTATTTGCTTTGTATAGATTCGAATCAAATTCTAGATTCAAATGGACTTCTAAAAGTAATTGTTATAGTTTTAAGAAACAAAAGTAAATTTGGGTTCGAGTTGATAACTTTAAAGAACTATTTTGGATATATTTCGAAAAATTAGTTTCGAGATCTTGGAGTTATTTGTTTTGCAGGGTTGACACAGGTCAGGAGATTTTTATTAAAAGTACACAGTAAAAAGTAAATCTTAATTTAAGAGCTGCCTTAAATTCAACACTGTCTGCTATAATGTTAAAGGATACGAAAAACGTGCGTAAATTCAACATTGACTGTCTTAAAAATGTTGCATCTTAATTTAAGGCAGCTTTCGTGCCTTAAAATAAGATTTTCTTTTTACTGTGTACTGGAAAAAATTAAATGTTTAGAATTTATAAGAAAATTCTGAATTTTTGTGTCTTTTTGTCATGACTCATAAACCATGAAATTACCACGAATTCTAAAAAGAACCTTTAACTTTTTCGCAGAAATACAATTATTTTCCAAAAAAATAAAAACTTCACAAGAATTCAATTATTAAAAATAGAATTTGCATACATTTTTTAGAAAAAATCCAATGTTTTAATATTTTTGTATTAAATTCTTCGCAGTAATTCAATTATTTTCATAAAAAAAGTTCTTTTTAGGGATTAATTATTTTTATAAATAATAAAATCATTCGAAAGAAGTCAATTATTATCATAAATAACAATATATTCATGACAAGAATTCAATTATTTTAATAAAATTTCCCAAAAGAATTCAATTATTTAAAAAAATTTTTGACAAAGTTCTACACGATGATTCAATCATTTTCTAAAATAAAGAAAATTTCACAGGAATTACCTATTCAATTATTAAAAATCGAATTTGCATAAATTTTTTCGAAAAAAACCAATTGTTTGAAACTATTTTATAAAATTCTTCGCCATAACTCAATTATTTTCATAAATAATAAATCTCATTGCAGAATTTCAATTATTTTTAATACAATTTTAATCGAATTCCTCGAAAAATGTAATTATTCTTAAAAATTTTATTAAAATACATTTTGAAAATTTAGTAATTTGTTAAAAAAAAAATAGACAAAGATGTTTTATGTCTGAAATTGAGAATGAAAAATCCGTTATAATACGAAATTATGAATTGTAGGCAATTATAATAATCTTAACAAAATATATTTGTAGACAAATTTTTGATGTATAAAAATTGTATTCAAGTTCTCTGTTAGCTTTAGAATGACAAAAAAAACTTTGATATCAGATAACAAGGTTGCCGCTTGGGTTCGTATAGTAACCTACTTCAAGGCGTTTTATGACTCTAGTTCAAACATTAGTTTCTTTTAAAATCTAAAAGAGAAAAATTTCGTTGTTTTTTAAAGAATGTTGAGTTATAAAATAAATTTGTTTAGTTTTACTGGTTTTACATTACCTTAAAGTGATTCTTTTCATTTTACTTTGCCAGATTACTGAGTACATATTTACATTGCATTTTTAATAGGAGCGTAAAATAATTTTAATTAAGACGAAGCGGTACGTTAGGTTTGAAGTGGGAACAATATGAGAGTGAGAAGGAAAAACGAATAATTCTCTTTCACTCTCTCTCTCTCTCTCATTGTGCTAAACTTTATAACTTTCACTCCTCTTCTTGTTATTTTAGTATGTGATGTGAATATAATTATGATTTCATTACAAAATGACTAATTATTAGTAATCTATCAATTTTAAGAGGTTTTCAGGGTCGCTGATTACGAATCTAAAGTCGGATTTTCAAAATTCAAAATGGTGGAAAATCTGACTTCAGATTCGTAATCAACGGTCCCGAAAATTTGAAAAAATTATCCACCATATTAGATCCGCCATTTTTAATTTTAAAAATTTGACTTCAGATTCGTAATCAGCGCAGTTATTTTATACTGATTGGTCTCTAAATTTGAATCATTAAAATTTCACTGATTGAAATTTAGAAATGATAGAGTGAAATATGGCCGATAAGTTAATTGTTTTACTGTTAATCAGTAGTTTCCTACTAATTCAGATTTAGAAAGTTTGAATTAGTAGGAAACTATTAATTAACAGTAAAACCGTGAACTAATGGGCCTTATTTTAATATTAGTAAAAAAATAACTAATTATTAGTAGAAAGCAACTGATTCAGTAGTCAACTTCGACTATTTGTTTGTAAGGAAATTTAAATACTATTAAAATATTTGCTAGACATAAATTTACTATTTTTTTTTGGTCATCTAAACTAAAAATTACACTGACTAATGAATTAATCAGTTTTAACTAAAAATTAGTCATTTTAGCTTTTGATATTTTATTAAAATAGTCTCGTATTATCATTGAGGAATCATGGTGAGGAATTTCAATTTGTATTTCTGGCGTAACTGTTTAGGAATAACAAATTCCGTTGGAAATTGAACTGATAGATTACATATAGAATTTATTGGAAGCTTTTTTTGGTAATAATGTAAAATTTTAAAATAATAAGTTTTCGATTTTTATGTTTGAAAAATTTCCTTACAAGTTATATAGTAAAAATCATGTATATACCAAAATAAATTTTTTTACTCTCTAAATCCGAATTAGTTAAAAATAACTAATTGCCAGTAAATGCAGTTTTTTTAAGTATTAAATTAATACTGGAGTGGATCAAATTGATGCCGAAAATATGGATCAATTTTTAATTTGATCCTTTTTTTTGGTATCAATTAGTTGCAATTTTGATATTAAGTTAGCTGTGTAAATTAACTAAATATCTGATATAAAATTATAATAATTAATTAAATATTATGCAACTAAAATAATAATAACAATAATAATTATTATTATTATATAACTAGCCACACTATCCGCGCGCAAGCGCGCGGGAATGTTGTATGGAACTGCTTATTTTAAACAATTTAAAAAATTTTAAAGAAATAATTATTATTACCTAACAAAGAGATTTAACTAACTAAAATTCAAATAATTTCACTCAATGGTCTCAATTTAAATAGAATTTACATTACTAGACTAAAACTATGGATAGAACGATTCCAATTAGTATCTAGGTCATCTTTTGCATTGCTTATTTTATAAACCCATTTTAATTTAAATACATTTTTAAGAAATAATAATTATTACACATTGAAAAAAGTTTTACTTGAAATAGCGATAAGTTTCTCTAGAATAACGAAAGTATTAATTGAAGCACTAAAAAATTTCGCTACTAAAGTGAAATCTGTAGTTTAGCCAGCTAAATATTTTTTGCCGTGCATAACGAAAAAAGAATTAAATTAACATCAGATTTTCTACATTCAAAAAAAAGAATTCAAATAGAAATTAATCATTTTAAAATTTAACCAAATTCACCCCAGAAATCACTGAATTCGATAATTTAGAAGAAAGTCAGACAAAAGCAGGGTTCCTACAGAATCTGGAAATCATGGAAATGGTATGGAATTTTTAAAAGGCTTCTGGAAATCAGGGAAATCATGGAAAAGGCCTGAAATTTTTAAAAGTTTCTAAATTTTTCAGTTTTCCATTTTTTCTCTTGAATAGAAATTCAAATAATAATAATGCTAAATCCCATAAAAGAGAGGAAAAAATTTTGAATTTTAAAAAATTCGAATTTTTGATAATTTTTGATAATTTTAGATTTTTTACCAAAGAGTCGAGGCTATTTAATAAGTAAAGTATTTTCCAAAAGCACAAAAATAATTAAGTTAAATCCCATAAAAGAGATGAAAAAATGTTAAATTTTAAGAAATTCGGATTTTTGAATTTTTGATAATTTTTGATAATTTTAGATTTTTTACCAAAGAGTCGAGGCTATTTAATAAGTAAAGTATTTTCCAAAAGCACAAAAATAATTAAGTTAAATCCCATAAAAGAGATAAAAAAATGTTAAATTTTAAGAAATTCGGATTTTTGAATTTTTGATATTTTTTGATAATTTTAGATTTTTTACTATAGAGTCGAGACTATTAAATAAGTAAAGTATTTCTCAAAAGCACAAAAATAATGAAGTTAAATCCCATAAACGAGAAGAAAAAATGTTGAATTTTAAGAAATTCGGATTTTTGAATTTTTGATATTTTTTGATAATTTTAGATTTTTTACCATAGAGTCGAGACTATTAAAAAAGTAAAGTATTTTCCAAAAGCACAAAAATAATGAAGCTAAATCCCATAAAAGAGAGGAAAAAATGTTGAATTTTAAGAAATTCGGATTTTTGAATTTTTGATAATTTTTGATAATTTTAGATTTTTTACCATAGAGTCGAGACTATTAAATAAGTAAAGTATTTCTCAAAAGCACAAAAATTATGAAGTTAAATCCCATAAACGAGAAGAAAAAATATTGAATTTTAAAAAATTCGGATTTTTGAATTTTTGATATTTTTTGATAATTTTAGATTTTTTACCATAGAGTCGAGACTATTAAAAAAGTAAAGTATTTCTCAAAAGCACAAAAATAATGAAGTTAAATCCCATAAAAGAGAGGAAAAAATGTTTAATTTTAAGAAATTCGGATTTTTGAATTTTTGATAATTTTAGATTTTTTACCAAAGAGTCGAGGTTATTTAATAAGTAAAGTATTTTCCAAGAGCACAAAAATAATGAAGCTAAATCCCATAAAAGAGAGAAAAAGGGTTGAATTTTAAGAAATTCGGATTTTTGAATTTTTGATATTTTTTGATAATTTTAGATTTTTTACTATAGAGTCGAGACTATTAAATAGGTAAAGTATTTTTTAAAAGCACAAAAATAATGAAGTTAAATCCCATAAACGAGAAGAAAAAATGTTGAATTTTAAGAAATTCGGATTTTTGAATTTTTGATAATTTTTGATAATTTTAGATTTTTTACCAAAGAGTCGAGGTTATTTAATAAGTAAAGTATTTTCTAAGAGCACAAAAATAATGAAGCTAAATCCCATAAAAGAGAGAAAAAGGGTTGAATTTTAAGAAATTCGGATTTTTGAATTTTTGATATTTTTTGATAATTTTAGATTTTTTACTATAGAGTTGAGACTATTAAATAGGTAAATTATTTTTTAAAAGCACAAAAATAATGAAGCTAAATCCCATAAAAGAGAGGAAAAAATGTTGAATTTTAAGAAATTCGGATTTTTGAATTTTTGATATTTTTTGATAATTTTAGATTTTTTACTATAGAGTCGAGACTATTAAATAAGTAAAGTATTTCTCAAAAGCACAAAAATAATGAAGTTAAATCCCATAAAAGAGATGAAAAAATGTTAAATTTTAAGAAATTCGGATTTTTGAATTTTTGATATTTTTTGATAATTTTAGATTTTTTACCATAGAGTCGAGACAATTTAAAAATTAAAGTATTTTCCAAAAGCACAAAAATAATGAAGTTAAATCTTATAAAAGAGAGGAAAAAATGTTGAATTTTAAGAAATTCGGATTTTTGAATTTTTGATATTTTTTGATAATTTTAGATTTTTTACTATAGAGTCGAGACTATTAAATAAGTAAAGTATTTCTCAAAAGCACAAAAATAATGAAGTTAAATCCCATAAAAGAGATGAAAAAATGTTAAATTTTAAGAAATTCGGATTTTTGAATTTTTGATATTTTTTGATAATTTTAGATTTTTTACTATAGAGTCGAGACTATTAAATAAGTAAAGTATTTTCCAAAAGCACAAAAATAATGAAGTTAAATCCCATAAACGAGAAGAAAAAATATTGAATTTTAAGAAATTCGGATTTTTGAATTTTTGATAATTTTTGATAATTTTAGATTTTTTACCAAGAAGTCGAGACTATTAAATAAGTAAAGTATTTCTCAAAAGCACAAAAATAATGAAGTTAAATCCCATAAACGAGAAGAAAAAATATTGAATTTTAAAAAATTCGGATTTTTGAATTTTTGATATTTTTTGATAATTTTAGATTTTTTACTATAGAGTCGAGACTATTAAATAAGTAAAGTATTTCTCAAAAGCACAAAAATAATGAAGTTAAATCCCATAAACGAGAAGAAAAAATGTTGAATTTTAAGAAATTCGGATTTTTGAATTCTTGATATTTTTTGATAATTTTAGATTTTTTACCATACAGTCGAGACTATTAAATAAGTAAAGTATTTCTCAAAAGCACAAAAATAATAAAGTTAAATCCCATAAAAGAGAGGAAAAAATGTTGAATTTTAAGAAATTCAGATTTTTGAATTTTTGATAATTTTTGATAATTTTAGATTTTTTACCATAGAGTCGAGACTATTAAATAAGTAAAGTATTTCTCAAAAGCACAAAAATAATGAAGTTAAATCCCATAAACGAGAAGAAAAAATATTGAATTTTAAAAAATTCGGATTTTTGAATTTTTGATATTTTTTGATAATTTTAGATTTTTTACTATAGAGTCGAGACTATTAAATAAGTAAAGTATTTCTCAAAAGCACAAAAATAATGAAGTTAAATCCCATAAACGAGAAGAAAAAATGTTGAATTTTAAGAAATTCGGATTTTTGAATTCTTGATATTTTTTGATAATTTTAGATTTTTTACCATACAGTCGAGACTATTAAATAAGTAAAGTATTATATAGTAAAGTATTTCTCAAAAGCACAAAAATAATAAAGTTAAATCCCATAAAAGAGAGGAAAAAATGTTGAATTTTAAGAAATTCAGATTTTTGAATTTTTGATAATTTTTGATAATTTTAGATTTTTTACCATAGAGTCGAGACTATTAAATAAGTAAAGTATTTCTCAAAAGCACAAAAATAATGAAGTTAAATCCCATAAACGAGAAGAAAAAATATTGAATTTTAAAAAATTCGGATTTTTGAATTCTTGATATTTTTTGATAATTTTAGATTTTTTCCATAGAGTCGAGACAATTTAAAAAGTAAAGTATTTTTTAAAAGCACAAAAATAATGAAGTTAAATCCCATAAAAGAGAGGAAAAAATGTTGAATTTTAAGAAATTCGGATTTTTGAATTTTTGATAATTTTTGATAATTTTAGATTTTTTACCATAGAGTCGAGACTATTAAATAAGTAAAGTATTTCTCAAAAGCACAAAAATAATGAAGTTAAATCCCATAAACGAGAAGAAAAAATATTGAATTTTAAAAAATTCGGATTTTTGAATTCTTGATATTTTTTGATAATTTTAGATTTTTTACCATAGAGTCGAGACTATTAAATAAGTAAAGTATTTCTCAAAAGCACAAAAATAATGAAGTTAAATCCCATAAAAGAGAGGAAAAAATGTTGAATTTTAAGAAATTCGGATTTTTGAATTTTTGATAATTTTTGATAATTTTAGATTTTTTACCAAAGAGTCGAGAGTATTAAATAAGTAAAGTATTTTCCAAAAGCACAAAAATAATGAAGCTAAATCCCATAAAAGGGAGGAAAAAATGTTGAATTTTAAGAAATTCGGATTTTTGAATTTTTGATATTTTTTGATAATTTAAATTTATGTTGTAGTCTTTAATAATATACATAGTGATTATTTTTAATAATAATTATATCTGTCAAAAATTATGAAAAATAAATATTATTATATAAAATAATTACAGTATTTAGAGTTTTGCAAGTTAAAAAATTATTTAAAAGTTAAAAAACTAAATATTCTGTAATTAAGAAATTTATGAAAATAAAATTCAATTGAATGTTATATCAAATAACTTTTTTTAATAATATTGAAATAATGTTAACATTAAATTATATACATTAAATTAAATTATAAAAAAGTATTTACCTTCAGAATGAATGATAGTTGAAAAGTTAAAAATTGAATTAAACACATAATAATATAAAATATAACCATTGAAACACATCAAAACACATTAAAAAGTTTGAGATTAAAAAATATAAAAAATGCCAATACTTAACCCACAAAATTTAATTTTCAAAACAAACAAATTAATGCAGATATTTTGCTAACGGAAAGGAAACTTACGATTATTATAATGTATATTATTATCTGACAAAAAAATTATTTGAACAATAATTATTATTGTTGATACAGTTGTTTATTTTTGTTTGTAAAAAGCTTTTAAGATAGAATCGAAACATAATATACACCTGTTTATATATCTTATAAAATTTTAGAAAATAGTTTTTCCGTAAAATAAATATTGTAAAATCAGTGAATAAACACATTGATTGCTTCTTACATCTAAAAGCAATTTTCTAACGGAAGCAGGAAGGATGCCGGTTGATACTTAATCTGTTTATAAAAGTTGACTTCACTTCTATTTATAAACAACATTTTTCAAATTTACTTTATTTAAAAAAAATGTATTTTCTATATTTTCTTTTTATGAAAAGCAATTTCATTTTTATTGAATAATAGGTTTTTTTAACGATACAATAGATTCTGTAGGATGTGAGATTTTTTTTCATATGTTATAAATAAATTAAATGATAATTGATAATTACTATGGTCTCTAAATTTGAATCAATTAAAAATAACTGATCCAAAAGCAAAAAGTCAGTCAATGATTAATGTCAGTTATGACTATATGATTTTTAACAGATTTAAATTTAGAGACTGATAATATAATTATATTTTTTTATTTATTGAAGTATATGATAGTTATATGATGAATATTATCGTCGTGGAGTTTTATTCTTTTTTAATTTCTTTTTCCTTTTTGATGCCATTCTAATACGATACTCCCTCCATGTTCTTTGTATAATTTTCGCTGCTCTGTTACTGGAGAAATTTTCCATTTTCTCGGCAAATGCTTTCATTAAGGCTTCCTCTTTTTCCTGTTTCAATATTGCATAAGATGTTGCTTGTACATTATAAGCATCCTATTGATTCAAGTTACAATTTTATATTATTAAATATTACTTTTATGAAATCGCCGAGCTGTAAAGTTAAAACTAAAATTTTTGTATTCATTTTATGAAGACTTTGCTTTTTCATAAAAATTTCATTTTATGAATTTTACAAATTGCATTCACAAAAAGTTTTTTTTCAAAATTTCTAATTTCGCAAATGTCAATAACTATTTGGTTAAAGTGTCCAAAAAATGTCCAATAAGGGGTCAAAAGATGTGTCTCAAAAAGCACTTCAGAAAAAGAAAAACAATTAAATGTGGATTTATTACCAAAAAATGAAAAAAATAACGTTTTTACAAATTTTGATTTTTTGAACTGTTAATAACTTTTGTTAATATTGCCGAAAAGTATTCAATAAAAGGAGTAAAACAATGTTTTCATGAGGAGGCAATATTTTATAGTCCTGTTCCGATAATCGAGGTTCCAGTGTAATAATAATAATATAATTTTGTATGTAAAGTATTACTTGCAAATCCTTAAATTCCATTATGAGTTTATTTAAATTTGAAGATAATTCCACTTTTGACAAATGAAGTGCTTTAATGTTTGCATCATAATTTATGAGCGAAGACATTAATTGTTTCTGAGATTTCAAACTGTAACATAGATAAAAGTGATAAGCAATCGACGTTTATTTATATATTGATAATTTAATTGTGTTGCATTTTGAATATAATTCAATCATGAGAAAATAATTGTGTTGTATTTAAATAAGATGCAAAGTGCTCTTATTTTAATACCAGGATAGAATTAAGATAATAAGTTTAAATATAATTAAACTTGAATGATTTATCTTTTGTTTTAATACACAGCACAATTTTTTTGAGGTTAACATTTTTTTTAAATTACTTATTCTCAAATTTGACGAATTATGTTTTTTTATTGACACTTAGAATTGTTTAAACTAACTGGGCTTCGTGGAGAATTTTCTCGCGGCTTGCGCACTCATCCAATAATTTCTTGTATTCCTCTTCGTGAATCTCAATTTGATTTTTTATGGTTTCCTGCTTTTCTCGCATTTCTAGATATGTGCTAACCATTACTGATTCTGAATCATTTCTAAAAAAAATTTTGGGAATATTTATTTGTAATTAATATTTTATCGAAGTACTTTTTTGTAAAAATTAGTAAAATGCATATAGCAAAATTCACTTTAAAAATAAAAATTGACAGAAATACGCAGAAGCTCCGGATAGTTTTGGTTTTACTTTGTAAATAGTAAAAGTTATTTTACAATAAAGGGAATTGTAGGAAAAGTCAGAGAATTTTATCAAAAGTACTGGAAAAAATTAAATTTTTAGAATTCATAAGAAAATTCTGAATTTTGTTGTCCAACACAAAAGCCTTGCAAAAAAAGGAAAATATTCAATTTAATTTTAAATTCTTTCTATTGAGTTAAAATTTCTAGTAAATAATTGAATTCAAATCTTGAATATAATTTTTAAGAGTTTTTCTTTATGACCAGGAAATAAATAATTCATGAACGGGAATTTTTTTTTATGAAAAAAGCAATCACCCTGTAAATTCAGATTTATAGAGCGAGGAAAAGTTTTAAAAAGAATTAAAACCTTTTTTCTTACACAATTTTTGTTATACTTCTCTTGTGTTCAGTTTGTGTCTGTTCGATAAGTTTTTCACATTTGTCAATTTCTTCTGAAATTCCTTTGACAAATTCTAAATGTTTATTTCTTTGCTCATCTAGGGTTATTTTTAAAGCTGCGCGAGAAATGAAGATATGAAAATAATTCTTGAATAATTAGTAAATATTTAAATATGCATAATTCATAATTAAATATTTTCCCCATTACTCACGTTCAAGTTCGATTTTCGCTTTTTCAAGGACTGCTGATGCATTTCTTAGTTTTAATTTATATTTTCTTTCCTCACTTGGAGTGGTTCTTATTCGTTCCTCAACAATGTCATTAAATATATTCACGCATTTAATTAAATTTTTTATTCGAGTTGGCGCATTTTCTAGAAATTTTTTTGTTAATTTGCCAATTCTTGGATAATGAGATAAAACCTAAAGAATTTAAAAAAAATTTAATTAAAATTTCTCTTGATTATGGTTATATACAGTGGAACCTCGATTATTCAAACTATAATTCAAATAGGGCCTTGTTCGGATAATAGAAATTGCAATTATTTTCGTTTATATTTATTGCAGAGATTTTTGTACCAATAGATTTAAAAATTGAAAATTTGTGTTTAAGATGACGAAAATTTTTCGGATAATACAAGTTCGGATAATCGAGGTTCCACTGTATTTTATTTAATATTTTCTATTGTGATTTAAAATATATAAATATTTGTAAATTTTTTGCAAAAAAAAAATCTGTACCTCCAATAATAATGTTAGTTTTGAATCAACACTGATGCATCCTTCTTGAAAAATTTCTCGTTCTCCATGTTCTGTTGGAAAAAATTCGAATGAAAGAAAAAACATTTTTGTCTTAAAAAGAAATTAAATAAATTATTTGAAAAATAAAATTTTTAAAACTATAACCTAATAAATAATTTACATAATAATAAATTTACTTTGTAAAAAAGTGTATGAGTCGTAAATGTTTTCAAACAACTGCTGTTCACTTGGTTTTAGAATTCTCATAAATTTCTCCTCTTTGTAAATTTCTGAAAGACACATCTAGAGAAAGGTATTATTTCAAATATTAAAAATGTAAATTTCTTTAAGAATAAACAATTTGGGATAAATAATAGAAAATATTAAAAATCCAAAGGTTTGAATAACAAATGGATGAAAAGAAAACTTAAAAACAATTTTTGTTGTGATAACAAATAAAGATAACGATAATCAGTTATTCAAAACAATTTTTTTTTTAATTTATAAAATAAATAACTAAGAAATAATAATATAATAGAAATGAATTTAAAATTTATAAGATTTTGTTATTAAAATAATTTACCGCTATTTCAATTTTAAGTGAGAAGTCCTTTAAAATTCTCATTAATCTTAAAATCGCTTCTTCGTGATTTTGCTCTTCGAACATTTTATCACAAACTAAAACTTATTTTTTAAAAACGAAAGTATTTAATAATAGAAAATAGAATTAAATGTTTATACTGTTGAACCTTTCTCCATATGACAAATATCGTGTATTCTGAATGAGTTTATCTATCATTTGGGAATTATCGATTTAACAACTTATTTATTCAGTATACCAAAGTACCATAATATTGTCAGTTTTAAAGCATATTTTTTAGTACTAAAACTTTTTAATAAGTACCTTATTAGTAATAAAAATTGTAATTAGGAGCTTAATTTTTATTTTTATACATCCTAATTATAACTCTTACTATAATTAGGGTTACGAAAGGAATTAATATTTAATTATTTCTATTTTTTATTTAAAAACTTTTTATTATCAAAATTTCATTTCACGGAAAATTAGTTGATTATATTATACATTTTGTTTCACTATATTTCGAATCATTGGCAGTAAATTATTAAGATGAGTTATTAATGTTGAAAAAAAAGGTCACTTTTTGTCATCATTATTTTCTTTCATAGAGACGAGAGTAATCTCGTGATTGATAACTTTTCCTTTGATTTTCTGAAAGGTCTGAATTTAATTCATCTTCTAAATGCGATTCAGAATTTTCCACAGGAATTACTTCTTCCACTATTTCTCCTATTTTCAATGAGAATTTTAAAAAAATATTTATTTTACCTCTTTCCATAAAAAAATAGTTTTATAAAATCTTTTATATAAAAAAACAAAAAATGAAGAATAGGTATTCGTTTTAAACAATAACTTACGATTACTAAGTCCGAATTTTTTTTTAATTTCTTCAATAATTGACAAAAATAAGGGTCCTGTGAATTTAAAAACAATTTTAATATAATTTTCACAAACTTTTAAAAATTAAAAAAAAAGAAAATTTGAAAAACTTATTTTTAAGTTTAATAAAAATTTAAAGAAAATTAGTACATTTTTACAAAAGGGCATTAAACTTTTGTAAGTCTGTTTACTATGTATGTAAAATAAAATAATAAAACAAGTAAAGAAAAGGTTTTAATTTTAAATTTCATAAAATGTCGATTTTTAATAAATGTAATTAGAACATTTTAAGAATTTAATTTAAAATTTTTATTTTTGAAATTTAAAAGAAATTAGATAAATTTTTTCCTATTTATTTAATTAATTATTCAAAATAATGGATTTATAGAAGAATTCTTATGTTTTTAACTAAATTTAACTAATTTCAGAAGATTGAAGAAATTCAATTTTTTTTTTAAATAATAAAATTCTTCGCAGAAATTCAATTATGTTCAAAAAATTAAACGAATTCTGGTCAAAGTTTCAATTATTTTTATAAATATTGAAATTCTTTTTAGAAATTCAATTACTTTCAAAAATTTTACACAATTTAATAATTTTCAATATCTATTATTTTAAAAAAATTCTATGCAAACATTTAATTATTTTCATAAATAATAAAAATTTCAGCAGGAATTCAATTACTCACAAATTATTTTTAAAAATTTCTTCACAATAATTTAATTATTTTCATAAATAATAAAATTGTTTACAGACTTTCAATTATTTTCATAAATAATAAATTTCTTTTTAAGAATTTAATTATATTTTCATAAATAATAAAACTCATTGCAGAATTTCAATTATTTTTAATACAATTTTAATCGAATTTCGTGAAAAAATGTAATTATTCTTAAAAGTTTTTATTATAATTCGTCAAAAGAATTCAATTATTTAAATATTTGTTGATGAAAATCTTAATTAGAATTCAATTTTTGAGAAACATTCAATTATTTAATAAATTATTTATTTTTTTATTTAAATAATTGAATTGTCTTAGAATTTTATAATAAAAATTGATTTAAAAAGAAATTTCATTTAAAATTTTAGATAATAATTGAATATTAAAAATATTTTAGCATGAATTTTTAGAAATAATTATTTTTAAATGGAATATATCAAATTAAAATCTTTGAAAATATGAATTTTTAATAGTTTTAATTAACAATTCTGTAAAATTAATTTTATTCTTAATTAATTTTATTTTAAATAATTTTATTGAAAAAATGTAATTGAATTTTTTTTTAAATTATTTTAAGTTTTTATTTCTATTATACCTATATATAAACAATTTTTAACAGAAGTTCAATTATTTTCATAAATAATAAAACTCATCGCAGAATTTCAATTATTTTTAATACAATTTTAAACAAATTCCTCGAAAAATGTAATTATTTTCAAAAATTTTACTAAAATTCGTCAAAAGGATTCAATTATTTAAAAATTTGTTGATAAAACTTTTTATGAGAATTCAATCTTGGGAAACATTCAATTAATTATTCTATGGAACTAATTTTCTTCAAAAAGCTTAATCGAAATTTTTTAAAATTACTTCAAGTTCTTATTTTCTATAATGTATTAATTGAAGAATTTCCGAATAATTGAAATTTCTGTAAAATTGAATGGTAAGCAAATAGATTTGAAAATTCTGAAAGAATTTTTTGAAAAATTATTATAAAAATAATTGATTTAGAGAAGAATTTTAGTTGAAAATTATAGAAAATAATGTGGTATAGAAAATATATTTTTTTAAAATAAAATTAAAATAATTTTTAGTTACGAAAAAATAAATTTAAATTTATAATTATTTTAAATAATTGAATTATAGTTAATAAATTTTATTTATGTCAATTAAATATTATTTGCTTGAAATTAATAATTAAATTAAAAAAATTAAATAAATACCTACAAATTCAATTACTTATAAATATTCTTACTTTCTGTAATTGCTTCGAAGAAATATTTCGGAATTAGGTTCAATTTAATCAAATTTGACATTGTGATTTTTAAATTTATTTTTTAAAAATACTTAAAAAAATTTAGAGAATTGAAAAAATGGTTAAAAGAAATTATTGAAAAACATGGAAATTTATTAAGTAGTACATAGTCATTATCACTGTTTGTTATTTTAATTTTTAATAAATGACACCTTTCTTCTTTTGTTTTGTTTACAATTTTTTTTTGTAATTAGGCTAAAATTTACTCGACCTTTAAATTTAATAATATTTCAAAAATAGAAAATGTTTAAATAAAATTTGAGAATAGTATTTAAATATTGTGGAAATAATTCATGAATTACTTTTGTTTAAAATAATAATTATTTTACTAAATTAAATTTTGAATATATTTAAATTTCGCGCCAGTTCGCTTACGCCTCTAGCGGTAAACGTTGTTATTAATCGTTAATTCGTCGTCAGTGGTTCTCAAATGAAAAATAGAATTTTAGTGATTTAGTATAGTTTAGTTTCGCTTGGTGAACAGTAAACATGGCGTACCGTGGCGTTAAGGGCTCTGATCCATTTGTATCGAAAACATCGAGAAATGAAAGATTCGCTCAAATGTCGAAACAAGAACAAATTATTCAGCAAAAGAAACTTGAGATACAAGCAAAACTTGAAGAACAAAAGGCGAGGCAAGCGATAGAAAATGCTAAAAAATCAACATCGTCTGCTTCTCTCGCGACTTCCAGTAAAACTAACACTTCAATTAAGTGAGTTTATTTTGTTAAATTCATTAAATTTTTTCTTTTCATAAATTATTTTTAAATTTCAATTTGAAATTTTCATTTGTTGTAGTTTTTTTATTTTATTAAAATTTTTCTTCTTACAAATAAATTTACATTCTATTGATGTCAATTCCAAGGCAATTTCAACGAAATTCATTGTATGCTATTTGGAATATCTTTAAATAATCTGATGACTGATATTTTTATCAAATTTTCAATTTAAAATCTTTCGGAAATTGTATTTTTAGTGATGTTTCTGAATTTTTTGGTTTTATTATTACGATATACTTTTCACATGTTATTTACATTTGAATGATTCAGATTTTTTTATACGCGGAAGTTTGATATTGCTATAATAAATTGCATATTTAATGATCATGCAATATTGAAGGTAATTGAGTGTCACAAGTTCATTTTTTAGGTTAGAATTATTACATTTTTTTAAATGTTTATCTCTCTGGCTTTTTATTATCCACATTATACTCAAGTATTTACGCGGGAAAGTTACTTTAGAATTCTTAAGTATCGGGTTTTTAAATGCATTATTTTTGTAGTTTGTTGCTTTAAAATTTTCATTTTTTCACCAATTATTAATGTACTTTTTTCGAAAATAATAATCGAAATTCAATTCTTTTGAATTCTGGAATTAATTTTGCAGAAGTTGGATGATTTTAAAGTTATTAGAATTGAAATTTCGTTTGAATAGTGATTATTTTTGAGAGAAACAAATTTGATTAAATTTGCATTTTGAAATATGTTTATGTGAAGAGAAGTGATGTTAACATGACACACATTGAAAAAAACTTGCATTAAATTAAGTTGGTCGATGTTGGGAATTTTTTGCGACAGAAAACTTTTTCTTCTCATAAATTGAATGTCACCAAACAATGTTAATTATAAATACAGGGTTGCCACAGGTCAGGAAAATCAGAGAATTGAGGGAAAAATCAGGGAAAAGTCAGGGATTTTTATTGAAGTACTGGGAAAAGTTAAAATTTGCAGGATTCAATTATTATTCACAATTTTTTTTTACAAATTTCTTCGCAATAATTTATTTTCATAAATAATAAAACTTTTACAGAGATTCAATTATTTTCATAAATAATCTTTTTAGAAATTCAATTATATTCATTTTTCAAAAAAATGTAATTATTATTAAAAATTTTATTAAAATTCGTCAAGAGAATTCAATTATTTAAACGTTTATTGATAAAATTCTTCATGAGAATTCAATTTTAAGAAACATTTAATTATTCAATACATTATTTACTTATTTTTGTATTTAAATAATTGAATTCTCGTAGAATTTTCTACTGAAAATAGATTTAAAAAAGAATTTTAGGTAAAATTTTAGAGAATAATTGAATGATTGCAGAAATTCAATTATTTTCAAAAGTAATAAAATTTGTTAGATGAATTTAGTGATTTAATTTTTTTAATTCAATTTTAAATAGATTCGTCTTAAAAATTTGCAAAAATTCAATTAACTTTTTAAAAATTTTAATAATTTTCATGAATTTAATTAATTTCATTATAATTTTTATGAAATTTCTCGTAAGAATTCAATTATTTTTAAACATATTAATAAAATTCTTCGAATAAAATTAATAATTTAAAATAATTTAATAAAATTAAATCGCAAGATTTCAATTATTTTAAGAAATAATAAAATTCTTCGCAAGAATTCAATTATTTTATATAGAATTTTCATAAAATTTTCAAACAAAATCAATTATTTAAAAAATTTTTTAATTATAAAATTCTAGGTAAACATTTAATTATTTTCATAAATAATAAAACTCATCGTGAATTTCAATTATTTTTAATAGGTACAATTTTAATGGAATTCCTCGAAAAATATGATTATTCTTAAGAATTTTATTCAAATTCATTAAAATAAATCAAGTTAAATATTTGTTGATAATATTCTTTATATGAGAATTCAATTTTAAGAAACATTTAATTATTGAAGAATTTTTTCATTTTTGTATTTAAGTAATTGAATTCTCGTAGAATTTTCTAATAAAAATTGTTTTAAAAATTAATTTCAGTTGAAATTTTAGATAATAATTGAAAACATTATACATAGTATGAATTTTTAGAGATAATTGTGTTTTGAAAAAGTTATATTCAATTTTTTAAAAATATTTCAAGTTTTTATTTTCTGAATATTTAAATGAAGAATTTCCAAATAATCAAAATTTTGTAAAATTGAATTGTAAGCAAATCGATTTAAAAATTCTCTAAGAACTATTGCAAAAATTATTTTAAAAAATTTGATAATTGTTCATTTAATTCTTTCGGAGAATTTTAATACAATTCTTAAAATTAATTATATTTTTCGAAAAATTTAATTAAAATTATATTTCAAAAAAAAATTGAAATTCTGTAAAGAATTTTATTATTTAGAAAAATAATTGAATTTGAGCAATGAATTTTTATTACACTTTTCTTAAATAATTGAAATTCTGTGAAGAATATTATTATTTTTGAAAATAATTGAATTCTTGTAACAATTCTTATTACATTTTTTAAAATAATTTAAATCCTAGGAAAAATTTTATTATTTATGATAATAATTGAATTCTTACAACGAATTTTATTACATTTTTTTGAATAATTGAATTGATGAGAAAAATTGTATTACTTTTAAAAAGAAATTGTATTCTTGCGAAGGATTTTATTAAAATTTTGCAAATTAGTTCTTTTTTATAAATTTTATGGAAGTTTAAATTATTATAAAACATTATTTAAGCTGAATAAATAAATAAATAAAAAAACGATTACTCCGAGTCGAAGACTCGGAGTGCTTGATATCTTCATGTTTTATAAAAATATTCTTAAAAGTTTGAGAGTGAATCAGAATATTCTTTGGGGTCAGGGAAATAGTCAAAATTTTGTCTGGGAATTCGGGAAAAGTCAGGGGAAAAATAAAATAAAATTGTTGTGTGGCAACCCTGAAATAATATCGAATGGAGGTCAAAAGAGATGCATCTGTTTATTTATAGGAAGGAGGATGAGAAGCCAACAATGTCTGCTACCGTTAATTTATTTGCCAACGATGGCAGTTTTCTTGATCAGTTCAAAAAGATTGTGAACAATAAAGGTCCAATAAAACAAGAGACACCACAAATAAAGACTGAGGAGAAGAAGGAGGAGAGAAAAGACGAGAAGGAGGATAAATCTTACGATAATTCACGAGACAGAGAACGTAGATGGAGCAACGAAAAGAGTAGAGATTGGGAAAATCGAAGGGATCGTCGAAGAAATGATTCCAGATGGGGAAGAAATACCGACAGACGACAAAGTTCTTCCTTAAGTCCATCACCCACAAGACACCGTTCATCTCCAAATCCCGAATCAAGACACAATTATCATCAATCTAGTCCCCGATCCCACTATCAGTACCAATCACAAAATTCAAATTCAACTTCCAACATTCCTCCTCTCATGTCCCAGCCAATAATGCAAATGACAAACATCCCACCACCAAATTTAAGGAACATGCAACAAAACGTTCCACCTCCAAACATGCAACGAATGCCAGTACCACAAAAAATGAACAATAACTATCCAAATATTGACAACGATTCCAGAATGTCTCTTCCTCCGCCAAGTCACATTATTCGCACACCCCATCACCAAATGCAAAATCTACCACCCAATACAAACATACCACCTCCAAGAATGCAAATTCAATCAAACGTTCATGTGCCTAATATTCAAGGGATGCCTTCAACAAACAACCAACATATTATTTCCCCCCCTCAACAATGCAATATTCCACCTCCAAATAATCTCCAACCACCAAATATCCCACCGCCAAACGTTCGTCCACCAAATTTACTACCGTCAATGTCCCAAATGCCTCCGAATATGTTGCCCATCAATCCAACGCAAACGATTGTCGTCACCGTGGCCAATGTCACTAATATTCCACCACCAAACGTTATGATAATGTCAGCACCACCACCCAATGTCCATACGGTGCCTTCGACTATTAATTCAATTCCGCCACCGAATTTAAATGTACCTCCGCCTAATGTACCTCCGCCTTCGATCATTCAAAGTGCACCACCTCCCACTCATCTTCTACAAACTTCCTATCCGTTGTCGAGTCAGGTTAATCTCGCGATTGGACCACCCAATGTTCAGATACCTCCACCTGTAAGGCCTTCTGTACCTGGACAACCTGCGGAACTAGGTATTTTCTTTTCGTATGCTTAGCTTTAGAGTTGCTCACCTGGGTTGCCTAAGGTCAGGAAATCTAGGGAATACAGGGAAATCAGAGAATAGTCAGGAATTTTTATTAAAAGTATTGGCAAGAATTACATTTTTAGAATTCGTAAGAAAATTCTCAATTTTTGTGGTTTTTTCGTTTGCCTCATAAACTATGAAATTACCACGACTTCTAAAAAAGTACTTCATTTTTTTCTATTTCTGACAATAATTTCTTTTTAAATAATTTAATTCTTCAAAAACTAAATCATAAAATTATTACTTAGAAATTTAAAAAAATTTAATTTAAAAATAATTAATTAAATTTTAAAAGTGGTGCGTTTACAATTTCCATAAATAGATGAACTTCAAAAGGTTTCAATTTGAAATTTTAGAAAATATCAATTTTCAATGGAATTATTGACGAATTTAAATTATTTTCAAAAGTAATAAAATTCTTCGCAGAAATTCAATTATTTTAAAAAATTAAAAAAAAATTCTCGTCAAAATTTCAATGTTCTTTATAAATAATAAATTATTTCTCCGAAATTAAATTATTTTCAAAAATTTTCCTCAATTCAATGATTTTTAATATTTACTATTTTAATAAAATTTCCCAACAGAATTCAATTATTTAAAAAAAAAATTTTGATAAAATTCTAGGCAAACAGTTAATTATTTTCATAAATAATAAAATTATTTTAAATACAACTTTTAATTAAATTTCGTCGCAAAAATTTTCAAAAATTTAATTACTTTCATAAATCATAAATTTTCTTTTGAGGAATTAAATTATTTTTGTAATTTTAATAAAATTCTTTTCAAGAATTCAATTAATTTTAAAATCTTAATAAAATTCTTCGCAAAAATGTAATTCTTTTCATAAAAAATTAATACAATTTTTTTAATGAAATGATTTAAAATAGATTCGCCTTAAAAATGTGCAAAAATTCAATTATTTTTAATAACTTTGATACAATTCATTATAAGGATTTAATTATTTATCAATGGAATTTTAATAAAGTATGGCAAAGGAATTTAATTACTTTTAAAAATTTTAATAATTATCTTCTCAGGAATTCAATTATTTTCATTACAATTTTAATCGAATTCTTCGAAAAATGTAATTATTTTTAGGAATTTAATTAAAATTCGTCAAAAGAATTCAATTATTTAAATATTTGTTGATAAAAATTATTAGAAATCAATTTTAAGAAACATTTAATTATTTAATAAATTAATTATTTTTGTATTTAATTAATTGAATTGTCTTAGAATTTTCTAATAAAAATTGATTTAAAAATGAATTTCTGTTAAAATTTTAAATAATAATTGAATATTAAAAGGCTTGTAGTATGAATTTTTAGAAATATTGAATTTTGAAAAGATTTCAAATTAAAATCTTTGAAAATCTGAATTTTTCATACTTTTAACTAACAATTCTGTGGAATTAATTTTTTTGAAAAAGTTTAATTGAATTTTTGTTGCAATTATTTCAAATTTTTATTTTTTAATATTTTTTTTTTTTTATTGAAGAATTTACGTTTAATCGAGTTTTCGTAAAATTGAATTGTAGAAAATTGAATTTGAAAATTCTCGAAAAACTTTTTCAAAAATTATTAAAAATAATAATTGATTTACAGAAGAATATTTTGTTATTGAAATTGATATTTTTTAAAATCTTAATTCCTATGGAAAATAATAATTATTAAATATTTTGTTTAAAAAAAAGAAGTTATTGAGATTTTCGGTCAGGCAATCAGTTAAAATGTTGTCTGGAATCAGGGAAAAACAAAATTTAATTTTTGTCGCAAGCCTGTGGAACATATGCTTTGAACAAAACTGTGTTATTACAATTTTTGAAAATTAACTTTAGAAGAATTTTTATTGCAAATTTTGAGAAAATAATTGAATTCTCAAAAGAAATATAATTATTTTTAAAAATTTGGATTAATTTCTTTATAAGAATTTAATTATTTCAGATTCAAAATTATAAAAAAGATGTTTAATTATTTTATAACAATTTGGTTTAATTAATTTTTGGTATTTTTTAATCTTCAAAGCATAAAATTAGAATTTCATTATTTTAAAATTCAAAACAAAAAATAATTAGAAAACAAAAACAACTAACTAATATCTAAAATAATATTTTTGATAAACAAATTTATAAATAAATAAACCATTTTTTTAATTCAAAGATTTTTTTATTAGAGTTTTTCATAATTTTGAAAAAATGTACTTGAATTCGAATGAATTATAAATTTTAATTTTTGCTAATTAACATTTTGTTAATAAGTATCTTATTATAGAATACACGATTTAGTTTTACGTTTTTCTATGTTCGGACTTTGATCTTAAATTGAAATTTCTTTTTATTTATTTATTTAAAAGAAGTTCAATTACTAGGGCTAATAATAGAAATTTACGCACTAAGTTTCAGGGAAAAATTTTTTTTTTGTTTTTAAATATTGAAAAATTAGAAAAATATTAATCCTTCAAAAAATTGGAAGTTTGTCCCGTAGAAGCGGAGCAGCTAGCAAAAATTGTAGCTGATTGCGGTGATGAAATAGAGCAAGAAGTTCGAGAGAAGAATGCTCAAGATCCTAAGCTATGGTAATTATCGTCCCTTTTGGCCGATTGTTAAAATTAATTTTTTGAGCATTTTTTAACACTTTTTAATTTATTGACGAGTGTTGTTTGAAAATTATTGCACAATTTATCATGTATCTTTTTATTTTCTTAGGTGTTTCGTTGATTATTCGTACAATTCACAAAAATAGTGCATTTTTGCAAGTTTTTTGTTGCTTCTTTTTTTTCATGCTTTTCATCACTAAATTAGTTTTAAAAAAATTTTTACTCACAAATAAATAATTTAATAACCACAACTAAATAAAAGATAATTTCAATCTTTTCAATTTTACAAATTTTATATTTACATTCTTGGAAAATTTCAAAATTGAATCCATTAATTTGTAGATTTTATACTGAAAAAAAATTTATTTGATTCAAATAAATTACTTGACTATTATCAATTAAATATTTACTTGAATCAAATAATTTTGATTTGAGTCAATTAAATGGTATTTGCTTTAAATATGTACTGAAATTTATTGTTGGTTCAAATAAAATTTAATTAACTCAAATAAAAATTATTTGATTCAAGTAAATTGTCAAGTAATCGGTTATTTAAATCAAATAAATTTTTTTTCAGTTTATTCATATAATGTTTAGAATAATTTGGCACTTTTTGTAAATAGCTGAAAAATTCTATAATTATAAATTAATATAATTGTAAATTAGTAATTTTAAGTTATTCAAAAAGCAAGTCTTTACGATTTTTTTAAAACTTGCATTGAATTCCAGTTACATTTTTAATTGGATCATTAATAGAATTTTAAATTTATCGTAATTGATATTATTTATTGGTAGATTATTAATTTAGTGAAATATATTAATTAAATTAATTTAATTGAATTTTTAAATAATTAAATTTAATGAAATTAATTAAATTAAGAATAGTTCATTAAATTACTATGATTTGACAATTTGTTGCGAGTCTTGTAAATTTATAAAAGTAAAACAAAACTTTTTTTATGGCATTGATTTTTGTTTATTAATTAGCTCCTGCTATGTAATTTAACTTGTTCGCCATTTTAATGTAACATTGATCAATTTATCCATCCAAGATATTTTTGACTTAACAAATTTAGTGAATGAACGAGAGAGTGTGTTTTTGGTAAGATTGAATTTTTGAAATTACGAAAATTATTTTTATAATTTTATAATTACCATATTTTTAAAATTGTTTAAAAAATGTATGTATTTTTCTAACGAACAATTTATATTTATTAATAAATTAATTAACATTTTGGAAAAAAATCTTATTACTTAATTAAGTAATGATTTTTTTGAAATTTTACATTTTTATCGTGGAATTTCTTTTTTAATTTTTTTTTTACAAAAAAGAAACAAAAAATGAAGTTTTATTAATATAGTTTTAATTCGAAATATTTTTTTTTATATTCGGCATATTTTTGGAAAAATTTTATTTTAGTTTCTTAATTTTACAAAATTCCTTTTAATTTTGTAAATTTTACAATCTCAGTTTCGTATGTGTCAATTTTTAATTTTTCGAATATCGGCTTATAAATCGTGTGAAAGTGAGAGAATGGTGCTAAAAATAATTAGGATTAAATCTTACTTGACAGAGTTTTAAGTATTGTTTTAATCAAGGTTTCTGCACCAAAAGCAAAGTGCAGCGTATCTGCAGTACAGGGGATTAGTGGCAAAATATCGAACTGAAAAAGAGTCCAAATACTGCGGCGGTGGAGATCTTTATTGTCCAGAGGAAGCTCTCAGTGATAATGAGGATGCTGAGAAGTCTCATAGAAATTCTTCTCTTCAAGGTAATTTATTAATAATAATAATAATAATATAATTAAGCAAGACCGGAGAGTTTGAATTTTTATTTTTCTTTCTATTAATAATTTTTTTTCCATTTGTAGATCGATACAAAGAGGAAAGCAAAGAAGAACGCAAAAGAAAAAGACGCAGTCGATGGGGAGATGCTGAAAATAAAATTCCATTTACAATGTCAGGACAAGTTGCACAAACTGGTTTTTCAGTAGCGGGGCAAATTGGTCAAAATTCGGGATTATTGTCGTCTGTAAATTTAATGCAAGCCAAAGGAAAAAATCCAATGTTGTCAAAAGTATCGAGAAGTGATCCAGCATTGGTTCAATATGCCAGGCAAACTTTTGGTTCTTTGGATCTCAGCGAGGAACAATGGAAAAAAGCCGAGGACCATTTTAAGGTGATTTATAAGGGTTGACATAGGTCAGGAAATTCAGAGAAAAGTCAGGGAAAGTAGAATTGGTTAGGGAAATCAGGGAATTTTATTAAAAGTATAGAAAAAAATTTAATTTTTGAATTCATAAGAAAATTCTAAATTTTTGTGTCTTTTTTGTTTGTCTCATAAAGTATCAATTAGTATCAAATTACTACGAATTCTAATACAAAACCTTCCATTCTTTATATTTTCACAAATTTTAATAATTCAAATTCTTCTGAAATTACTTCAATTTTTTAATATATATTTAATTAGTTATTAAAAACAATGGATTTATAAAAGAATTTTAGTAAAAACCACTAAAAATTTTCTGATACAATTTTTTATAAGAATTCAATTTTGGGAAGCATTTAATTATTCAATACATTATTTGTATCTGTATTTAAATAATTTAATTTTTTATTAATAATTTTCTAGTAAAAAATGATTTAAAATTGAATTTTAGTTAAAATTTTAGATAATAATTGAATTTTAAAAAGGTTTTAAATTGAAATATTTGAAAATTGGAATTTTTCATACTTTTAGCTATCAACTTTGTAGAATTAATTTTTTTAATTAAGTTTTTATTTTATAAATATTTAATTGAAGAATTTCAGATTAATCGAAATTTCGTAAAATTGAATTACATATAAACAAATGGATTTGAAAATTCTCAAAAAACTTTGTCAAAAATTATTTTAAAAAATTGATTTAAAGAAGAATTTTAGTAAAAAATTGTAGAAAATAATAATTAAATTGAAATGATGAAAATAATTTTGATGAAGTAACAATATTTTTATAATATAGAATAATGATTGTATCACTCGGTCATCTTTAATTATTATAAAACAAGAAGATTGCGAGCACTTCTTAGTCGAAGACTCGGAGTGATTGATATCTTCATATTTTATAATAATATTTTATAATTGATTGAATATCAAAAAGGTTTGAATTTGAAATTTATTCAATGTTTATAAATAAATTTTTTTTCATTCTTTTTGAATCTATAAATTTAATTTCTTGTTTCATATTAGGCGTTTATTTTGTTCATATTTATTTTATTTTTTTATAGTTATTTTATTTTGTTTATATTTATATTTTGTATTTATATTGCAGATTAATCTTTTGTATCAAAATCTATTGAAGAAACGTGAAGAAGTCAAACGATTGGAAGCTCAAGGAAAGCATAAATACGAGTATGACAGCGATGAAGAAACAGAGGGTGGAACGTGGGAGCATAAAATCCGTTCCGCGGAAATGGAAGCCACACAAATGTGGGCTGAAGAATTAACAGCTCAGTCCGAGGGAAAACATCATATTGGTGATTTTTTGCCACCTGAAGAATTAAGAAAATTTCTGGAACAATATAATGCGGTTAAGCAGGGAAAGGAGCCCGATCTTAGTGATTATAAAGAGTACAAGTTAAAAGAAGATAATATAGGTAATAATTTTATTCGAGTGCTCTCGATTTTAAAATCAGATTAAAAATTTGAATATTTAATTTAAAGAGCTTTAAATATATTGATACAAATACAATTTAACGGGGAAAAAATATCACGTAAATAAAATCACAATTGATAAAAGTATAGTTCAAAGAGAATTATTCTCTTTGAATTTTGTTAGAGATAATAATAATTTATTGAATGATAAATAATAATTTATAATTATAAATAGTAATTTATTTTGTATTTTTATTTATTTGTGAAATAAATAAAAAATAAGGTAATAGAGAGATAAATATGAATTCTGTTAAACATTTATTGATAATTTATTTTTTATTTTTCAGGTTTTCAAATGTTACAAAAACTCGGATGGAGCGAAGGCCAAGGACTGGGAAGTGAAGGCAGTGGTCGTGTTGATCCTGTAAATAAGTAAGCAAATTATTTATTTATTTTCAAATTCATTCAAACTTTTTTGATTTCTCTATTTTTCTAATAATGGAAAATTTATTGTTTATATTTACCGAGAGAAATAATTTTAAATTAATTTTGCAGAGCGACAAATAGACTAAATAGTGCCGGATTGGGTACTGACAGACCAGACGGATTATCTCGAGATGATGATGAATTTGATGCGTACCGAAAACGAATGATGTTGGCTTATAGATTTAGGCCCAATCCACTCGTGAGTTTAAATAAAAACAATTATTTCGATGAAATTAATATCTTTTCTTTATTTAGAAAATAAAAATATTTAGTCTACAAAATAAATTGCTTCTTTACAGAATAATCCTAGGAGACCATACTATTGAAACTTACTACGAGAGCATAATCAGAACTCATCATCACATAATTTTCTATTTATGTGAAAGAAAACAATCGTTATTTTGTATATGTATGGTGAATATAGTGTAATATGTTCACATTGTTGAAATAAGGAGAGATAAATCGTTAAATATATTCAATTTATGTCTTATTTATTTCTTCTTACCTTTAAACTATTTATTTACTCGTTCTATCCAGTTCATAATTTTTACGATCTTTTATTACACGTTCTATATAATTTTTTTTATATAAAATTATAGTGAACAAACGTTAATTTTGATAATAAATATTACGTCTCTTTTTATTGATGATTCGAACGATTTTTTTTTTATTTTTTTAAATTTAAAACCTCTCGAAAGTTTAAATCCCCGAATGTTCAGTCGGTAATGTCACTGACATTTCTCACGTGTTTTTGTGTTTGTGACGATTGTTGTGATTTCTCGAAAAATTCTTCCTAATTTGTTTAATTTAAACACCTTTTTGACATCAAAAATGGGTTTTTTGAATATCGTTAATTAATCACGAGGTTAATTATTATGTTTTTATAAATAAATTATTAAATTTCGGTACCGATTCATGATATTCATCTGTTGAGGTAAGGTTATGTTTACTTCTCTAATTTCTATTTTCTTTCAATAATTAATAATTATTTCTATATTAATTATTTTTAACTTGTCTTTTTATATTATTATTATTATTATTATTATTATTTTATATTATTAATCATATTAATATTTATTTTCCTAATTCTTTAGATTTACTTTCATTCTTGTCAATTGTTTCATTTTTTGTAAGTGGTTTATATTTTTAAATAATTTAATATTTTAAACACTTTTTCTTAAATTTTCATTGTAATATAATATTACAATCTTCTATCTATCTTTTTTGTTTCCTAACTTTTTCAAAATTTTTCATTTTAAATATTTTCAATTTTAAAATTAATGTTTTGAAAAATCAGTGAATTATTGCAAAGAATCTTATCAAAAAATTTGAAGAGAATAATTGAATTCCTTCGACGAATTTTTTTATTAATGAAAATAATTGAATTCTCGCGAAGAATTATATTAAATTTTTTAAAAATCCTAATTAAATTATTTGGAGAATTTCTTTGAATTTTTTTTTTAAATAATGAAGTTCATTTAATAATTTTAATTGGAAATTTTAAAAACAATTGAATTTTATGAAGAATTTTTTGAAAATTGTATTGAAAACAATTAAATTTCTCAAAAGAATTTTATTGTTTTTAAAAATAATTTAATTTTTGCGAAGAATTTTATCATTTATAAAAATAATTTAATTGTTCCCAAGAATTTATTAAAATTTTAAGAAATAAATGAATTTTATGTAAATATTTGAAAATAATAAAATTCTTTGGAAAAATTCTATTAAAATTGTTTTGACTTTCTGCAAAGAATTTTACTATTTATAAAAATAATTGAAATGTTTCAAAGAATTTATTAAAATTTTAGGAAGTAATTGAATAATTATTGTTTTGAAGGAATTTTATAGAATAATTACTTTTGTACTTAGTAAGTAAATTTTTTAAATTTTGTAATTTGCATAATAATAAATTGATAATAATAAATAAATAATAATAAAATAATAATCTACTCGAAGGTAAAAAATAATAAAAGAATCTATTTTACTTTATTTCTAAATTAGATGAATTTTCTGCAGCGATTAAAAAAATCAACTGCTGTATTGCGTGCGATTCAAAGGCAGGAAATAAATTTTATTACTTCTAGAAAACAAGTTGATAATAATTTTATTTGTAGTATAATAAATAGAACATTTACAAGGTCAAATGTTATTAAGGAAGAGTATTCTATTCCCTTGGCTTTGCGAAATAAAAAAGCCAAATCAACAAGTCATACTTATAACTACTTTGTTGATATCAGACAGGTAATGGAAATTTATTTATTTATAATTTTAATTTTATATATTACATTATATTGAATTATATTTTATTATATTAATTGAATATTTAATTGGATTGAAAAAATATTTTTATTTTTCTGTAGGTAAAAGTCGAAGGCGGATTTGGAGGCGATGGAATTATTTCATTTATGCAATTATTCAGTAATGAAAAAGCAGGACCGTCAGGTGGTGATGGAGGCAATGGTGGACATGTTATTTTCGAAGTATCTACGTTTAATTTTTATTAAATAAGAAAAAAATGTAATTGAAACAAAAATTGTAATTATTTCTTTTTTCTATTTTAGGTATCGGCGGACGTGAAAGATTTGAGACAATTAAAAAGTGTTCATAAAGCAAAAAATGGACAACGAGGAATGGGTGACAATTGCTACGGTAAAAGTGCAGAACATTTAATAATTAAAGTACCAGTTGGCACGATAATTCGAGATATAGATGGGAAAATAATTGCCGATTTAGACGAAGAGGGAATGAAGTTTATTGCTGCACGAGGCGGTGCCGGTGGTCATGGAAATCCATATTTTAAATCTGAAACAAATCAAACACCATTGATTTGCGAAAGCGGTGCTGAAGGAGAGAAAAATCAATATTTATTGGAAATTAAAAGCATGGCACACATAGGACTGGTAATTCGTCGAAACAATTATTTTCTTCGAAACAATTCAATTCCTTTTAAAATTTTATGCGAGAGTTAAATTATTTCCTTTATTTTAAATTAACTAATTTACCAATTTTTTATTTAAAATTTGAAAAAAAAGTAATTTTACTTTTTAAAATTGTCCGAAAAGTAAAATTTGGTAAATATTTTTTTTCGTTTGGATTATATTTTTATCAGATGGAAGTAGGAATCAATTTTGAAATTACTCTTTTCTTTAAAGATAGGACTTCCGAATGCTGGGAAAAGTACCTTACTAAGAGCAATTTCAAGAGCACGACCAAAAGTTGCTTCTTATCCGTTTACTACGTTGAGACCGCACGTTGGCATTGTTCAATATGACGATTATGAACAAGTTGCTGGTAAAGAAAAAAAAATTGCTTTCTATTACCTACATTAAATTTTGGAAAATTGAGAGAATTTAGAAAAATAAGAGAATTTTATATTTTTTGTCTACAGTTGCAGATTTGCCAGGTTTAATTCAAGATTCACATAAAAATAAAGGTTTGGGTGTGCAATTTTTGAAACATGCCGAGAGATGTAAAGCATTACTTTTTATCATTGACATGTCGTCAGAAGAGCCTTGGAATCATTTCGATATTTTAAAATATGAAATTAGTCAATTTAATCCGAAATTAATCGAGCGTCAGATGATTATCATAGCGAATAAAATGGATTTACCGTCTGCTCAGGTATTTAAAGTTGATTTTATTTAAATAAATTGAAATTTAGATTAATCAAAAATTTTAAAATAATTTATTATTTTATTATCTTCTCCAAAATTCAATTATTTTCATAAATAATAAAAATTTCACAGGAATTCAACTATTTACAAATTTTTTATAAATTTCTTCGCAATAATTCAATTATTTACATAAATAATAAATTTTTTTACAGAAATTCAATTATTTTCATGAATAATAAAACACATCATAGAATTTCAATTATTTTAAATATAATTTTAACCGAATTCCTCGAAAAATGTAATTATTATTGAAAATTTTATTCTTATAAATAATTAAATTGATGTGAAAAATTGTATTACTTATAAAAATAATTGAATTCTTCGACTCGGAGTTCGAATAATTTTACAATTAAAGAAATTCGTAAATAATTGTAATAGAACATTTTTTTGAATATTAAATACTATTTTAAGAGTGAATCAAAATATTCTTTAGGGTCAGGGAAAAAGTCATAATTTTGTCTGGGAATCAGGTAAAAGTCAGGAATAAACAAAATTAATTTTTTGTGATAACACTGTATAAATATATATTTTTTCTACCTTGCATTTTATTTTGCAGGAAAATTTAAAATTATTCGAGGAGAAAATTAATCTACCAATAATATCGATATCGGCAAAATTTGGAACAAATGTCACCTCTCTTTTGAGAGATCTACGAATATTATACGACGATTTATGTAAACAAGAAGAAAAACAATAAATTATTTAGTAAGTAAGACATTTTATTTTAAATAAAAAATACCAAAAAGCATTTCTAAAAAAAATTCTCGCAAATTTTATTTCATTGCCTTCTCGCACATTGTGAAATTACCAACAATTTCCTTAATATTCTCTTGCTCTAATAGTGTGCAAAACCATCGAGAAACATTTTCATAATTTTTTCTCATTCGCAAATCAAAACAATTTTCAAACAATGGCATTAGTGCAGTGAAAATTGTAATATCGGCAAGTGTTATTCGTTCGCCGACAAAAAATGTTTTCGTAACAAGGTTTTTATTCAATGATTCCATAAAATTCAATGAATCATCTTTTGCCAATTTAATACAATCCTTGGATAATTTTTTCACACCCAATGTCGATAGAATCCAACTGGTCACGTACGGTCGAATATAATTATCAACAAACATCATCCATTGTAAAATTTCACTTTGTGCAAAAATATTATCACCCTTGAATTTCTCATTTGATAAATAAAAACAAATTGCATTGCTGGTGGTAATTTTTACATTACCATCAATTAATGTAATTGGCAAATTTTTATCTGAATCGTCGAAATAATTGACTTGTAGATATTTTTCACAATATTTTGCCGTCATTTGAACGCGATAGCATTCACAACTATTGTTATTTGCGTATAAAATTGGTCCCGGTATTTCACAAACAGCTATTGTATTTTGTGACAAAGTTAAATTTCCCAACGAAGCTGAAAATAAAGAAAATGAAATTACAATTTTGAAAAAATCTATTTTTTTTGTGGTTAAAATTAAAATAATTTAATTTTGAAATTAAAGTTTTTAGGTAATAAGGGAAATGCGAATTTACCTAGTTACCTGCGGGTTTCATGTCAAGTTTCGAGAAAGCGTATTCTTTCGCTACTTTTAACGCTTCGTTTAGTCCGGAAATATTTGATCCCGAAGCTTGTGCTGATTCCGGTTTTCCACCACCTTTTCCGTTCATAATTGACGTTATTGACTGAATCCATTCATTTGCCTTTAATCCTTTACTGACAGCGCTCTGAAAAAAATTACATTCATTTACTGCACAATTCAAAAATGTTGCGAATTTTAAAATCAATGAATTGATTGATAAGTGACATTTTTTTAAATTTTAAAATAGGAAATTTTTATGACTTATAATTTTGGTTTTCAAATAATTTAATTCTTACATAGATTTTTATTGAAATTTAAAAAAATAATTGAACATTTTTTAGAATTTATTAAATTAAATTTTTGAAAATAATTGAATTCTTCGGAGGATTTAAATATTAAAACTAATATTTAAACTAATTAAATTCTAGCAAAGAATTTTATAATTAATAAAAGTAATTGAATTCTTTATAGAAATTTTGTTTAAATTGTATTAAAAATAATTGAATTTTATAAAGAATTTCATCAAATTTTTTTAAAATAATTTTTATTTACCGAAAAATTTTATTACAATTTTAAAAAAAAGTAATTAAATTCTTTTAAGAAATTTAATTAAAATTCTATAGAAAATAATTGAATTCTTACAAATATTTTTATTAAAAAATTTAAAATTGTACTGAAACTAATTAAATTCCAGCGAAGGATTTTATTTATAAAAGTAATTAAATTCTAGCTACGATTTTCAATGAAATTTTGGAAACAAATAATAATTTGAATTGCTTTGAAGAATTTTATTAAAATTTTCAAATAATTTAATTCTTCTAAAAATTTGTAGAAAATAATTGAATTCTTTAGGAAAATTTTATTAGTTTGAAAGAATTTTTGTTTAGAATTTAAAAAAAAAATAATTGAATTCTTTCGAGAAATTAATTTCAATTGAATTTCTGCGAAGAATTTTATTAAAGTGTTTAAAAATAATAAATATTAATAATTAATAATTTATTGATTGATAATTTTAACTTTATTATTAATAATTTATTTGTTATTTAGTTAAATATGTGAATGTTTTTAAATTTTTAATTTGAAATGAATTCGAAAATTGAATTTGATATTTAAAAATATAAAATTTTTGTTATTTGTTAGGTTGGAAATTGGAAAATAATAAATAAATAATGATGATTTTACCTTAGGAACGGCACTGAGTGCAAAAATTTTCTTCTTATCGGTATCGACACTCAAGAATAAAGCACTTGTCTCCGGAGATAAAGTCTTTACTTTTTTCAAAGCAGAATCTAGTGCCTTCGTATTATCGTATGCTTGTAAAATTTCCACTATGACAGGCGTTCCAATATTCAATTTTACAAGTTGTTCAACAAGTTCGACAACTGAATTTGCAACGGCTGCTTTCGTTGCACGCTCCTTATCATCCAATGATTTTTTTAATGACTTCAACATATCTCGCATCTCATCCTATTGAAAAAAAGGAAATTTCTTTATTTTTTATTCAAAATTCAAAAAAAAAGGAAGTAGAAAAGTAAATGTTTGAGAAAAGTAAATTTAATAAATAATAAATTAATTAAAAAATAATAAATTTTATAAAGAAAATAGAAGAAATAATTACCTTTCGCCAACAGGGAATTGTAGCGTGTGAAATATCCTCGGTTAATTCGACAATTTTTTTAACGTATTCCTTCGAATCAAAAGTGTTTGTATTATTTTTCACGTCAGCGTCGAGTTTCTCGAGACGTTTTTGCAAAACTTCTGCTTTTGTCAAAGCTTTGGTAGCTTCAGGACCAGTGAGAGCAACAATTCTTCTTATTCCTTTTGCGATTGCATCTTCACTTGCAATTATAAAATCGCCGATATGTCCCGTATAATGTAAATGACTAAAAGAGGAAAAAGACAATTGTTTTCTAAATTAAAAAAAGTCCCCTCCTTTTCTATTTATTTGTAAAAATAAATGTCAAATTTCGAAGAAATTACAAAATAATTTCTAAAAATGAAAAAGTAATTTAAAACTCACGTTCCACCACAAAATTCAACGCTTGTTTTCGTTCCCGCTGGATTCAAGGGATCCTTCTCCAAGTCCTCAACGGGAATTCCAACACTGACAATTCTCACTGGATCGGGATAAGTTTCCTCAAACATTGCACGAATTCCTTGCACTGTTTTTGCTAATGACAATTTACTCTCCTTTGCGAATATCTTTTTATTTTCATCAATTATTTCATTTGTAATTGTTTCCGTCTTCTTTAATTGTTGCGTTGTCATTCCACCTGCAATAAAAAAAAGTTTTTATCAACAAATTTTTATTTCTACTTTTTTCTATTTCAATTTCTCAAATTTTATAAATAAAGAAATAAATAATAAATAAACTGTCAAATAAAAAAAGTAAACTAAATAAAAAGGTAAACTGAATAAAATAAATTAATTAATACCTAAGTAAAAAGATAAACAAATAAATAAATTAAAAAATGAATTAAATTTTGATTAAAAGACCTTTGTTGGTGAAATCGAATCGCAAACGATCGGGAGCGACGAGAGATCCTTTCTGATCAGCTTCGGTGCCAAGAACACTTCTCAGTGCATGATTTAAAACGTGAGTTGCTGTGTGATTGCTCATTATCAATCTTCTTCTGGCGGTGTCAATATTCGAAATAACCTTGTCGCCTTCTTTTAATATTCCCTGACCAACAGTGCCAATATGCAAAACGTATCCACCTCTGACTTGAACATTCTTTACCCGGACTTCTGTGCCCTAAATTATGAATTAATTCAGTTAAATAAGAATAATGTTTACTAAATTTAATTTTAATTAAATTTCAATTACTAAATTAATTACTTAGTGTTTTTAAAAATGGAATTTTTAATTTACCTCGTCACCAACTTTAACTAAAAATCCTTCGTCATAAATTTGACCACCTTGCTCCGCATAGAAACTCGTTTGATCTAATAAAATACCAACTTCTTCGCCAGACGTGACTTCTTTGACAAATTGTTTACCACGTCTCAAAGCAATGACAGTACTGTTACACGAAGTAAATTCATATTCCGCCTTTTTGTCCGATGATTTTACCGAATAATTATATTTTGGCATATCGTTCGTTGGCTTTATTCCCTTGTCTTGTAATTCCGTTATTGAATGAACGTCCAAATTCACTTGATCGTCTATTTCGCCGGTTTTTCCCTGCGATGCTATCTGAGCCAATTTTTTCGCTTCCTCATAGCCTTGCATATCGACTTGCAGACCCTTTTCCTCGGCCATTAATTGCGTTAAATCTACGGGAAAACCGTAAGTGTCATATAATCGCCAAGCAACTTCGCCGGGAACAATTTTACACGATTCCAATTTTCCAATTGTTCGATTCAAAAGATTTCGTCCCCTCGATAAAGTCTTTAAAAATTGCGTCTCCTCTTCATTGATAATTGAAATTATCGAATCGGGATCTTTCTTCACCTCCGGAAAGACATCGCCTGCAATATAATTTTTTTGTTTTTATATTATCAATAAAAAATAATAATAAAGACAAAAATAAAAAAATATATATAAATCAAAATAAAATTATTTTATACAGAAAAATGAGTAAATTTTCCGCTTACCTAGAATGTTTACGACAACGTTTACCAAAGAAGCGAAAAATCCAGGTTTCGCATTAAGTTTCTCCGTGGCGTAACGTACACCGCGTCTTAAAATTCTTCTAAGGACGTATCTGCAAAAAAATAATAAAAAATTGTATACTTTAACTATAACATATTATATGTTTGCTTCTTTCTTTTCTAACATTTTTAATAATTTTTCTTTTCAAATATTTTCATTTTTAAAATTAATGTATTTAAAGGCATTGAATCCTTGCAAAGAATTTTATCAAAAAATTTGAGAATCTTTAGAAAATAATTCAATTCTTCTCGGAATTTTATTACAATTTTCAAACAATTTAATTAATTAAAGGAATTTTATTAAAATGAAGAAAAGAATTAAATTCTCTCAAAGAGTAGATATTAATAAGAGTTCTGACATTAAAAGAAAGTGATATTCAATCTATTATTATTATTATTATGCAAATTACAAAATTTTTTTTTATTTTAAAATATAAATTTTTGAATAATTTTTTTCAAAAATTCAATTATTTTTAACAAAATTTTTAAAAAATTTAACGAAAGATTTCAATTATGTACTTTCTAAAATTTTAATAAATCTTTCGAAACAATTTAATTACATTTTTTTAAAATAGTAAAATCTTTCCAAAAATTCAATTCTTTTCAATAAAATTTCACGAAAGAATTCAATTTGTTTCTTAATTTGTTATAAAATTATTCAAAAAGAATTCAATTTTTTTTAAAAATTTTAATAAATCCTTCGAAACAATTTAATTAGTTTTATAAATATAGTAAAATTCATTGAAAAAATTCAATTTTTTTCTAAAATTTTAATAAAACATTCGAAACAATTATTTTTTAATTTTTAATCAAATTCACTGAATTAATTAAATGATTTTAGAAAATTGTAATAAAATTCTGAGAAGAATTTAATTAGGATTTTCAAAAAATTTAATAAAATTCAAAAATTTTTATTTGAAAATAAAAAATTTATGTATGGAAATTTTATCCAAAGTATTAAAAAAATATCAAATAATTAAAAATCTGAAATAGTCTATGAATTCTCTTTCTCAATTAAATTGAAATTATTTGAAATTTTAACTAAAATAAATAATATTAAGTTTTTAATTATTCGATTAACAAAAATTATTTAAGTTTTAAAATGTAATTTAATTGGAAAATTAAGAAAAAAATTAGTCTTACGAAAAATTTTACTTAAATTTGTTTTTGAAGATAATTGAATTCCCGAAAATAATTTTAAAAATTGAAACAATTAAAAGTTTTGTCAAATTTAATTGAAATCGGAAGTTTGAAATTTTTGTTTTTTTCTTATTATTATTAATATGTAAAATATTTCTATTTACCCTCGACCAGTGTTATCGGGAACTCCACCGTCAGCGAGGGCAATTGTCAGTGTACGTGCATGATCCGCTAGAACTCGATAAGCCATGTCAATTCCGTCCTTGTCCTCGTCGCCAACTTTTCCCTGATAAGCCGGAGCACCTGTTCCTTTTTCGATTGCCTCGAAAATTGGCATAAATAAATCAGTATCGTAATTTGAACGCTTATTTTGTATCACCGAGACTAAACGCTCCAAACCCAATCCACAATCGATGTGTTTCTTCGGCAATGGTCGTAGTTCACCGCTCGACTCTCTGCAAATTATTATTTTCTCCATCATTCTCTTCTATACAAAGAAAGATTTTTATCAAAAGAAAATAATACAATTTTAATCAATTAACCTGTTGTACTGAATAAAAACGAGATTCCAAATTTCAAGAACGTCGGGATCATCCATATTGACAAGTTCAGGAACTTCTCTGCCGCCAATTCTATCGAAATGCAATTCACTGCATGGTCCGCAGGGACCAGTTTCGCCCATTTCCCAAAAATTGTCCTTCATTGAACCAGGAAGTACGTGAGTCGGTAGCACACTATTAAAATTTCTCTTTTTCAATGACAAAAGCAAAACCAATTTTGTATAAAAAAAAATTATAATTTCGAATTAAAAAATTTTTTTTTCTAAAAGAAACAAAAAATTTTGTAGCCAAAAAATATTATTCACAAATAACATCATGAAAATTTCTTACCTTTATTTTATAAAATTTTTTTTAATTTCTCAGTTTTATTTTCAATATAAAAAATAAAAATTTGGAATTGACAATTATCAAAAAACTGTATAATTCCGATCAAGCAAAGTGTTTTAGAAACAAAAAAAAAACAAAGACTAACAAAAATTACCCAAGAGAAATCCAAATTTGTTTGCATTCTTCATCGGGTGGTAATCCACTTTTCTCGTCACCACCGAAATAAGTCACGTAAAGTTGTTGTGCCGGAAGTTTTAAAATCACAGTCAAAAATTCCCAGGCCCAAGTACAAATTTCTTTCTGTAAATTAAAAGTTTTTTTTTAAATTCCGTCCTTTTTCCTAAAATTTCTTTTTCTAATTCAGTTTTCAATAATATATTAATTTAATATTTTTTAATATTAATTTACGTAATTGAATTTTTTTGCAATAAAAAGATTTATTTAGTTATCGAACCTTGAAGTAATCGCCGAAAGACCAATTTCCCAACATTTCGAAAAAGGTGTGATGATAAACGTCCTTTCCGACATCATCCAAATCATTGTGTTTTCCACCAGCTCTGAAAGAGTTTTAATATCGTCTTGTATTAATAATTTTAGTACTAAATACAATTTTAATTCTAATATATGAAACAATTATCTTTAGATATTTGTTCTATTTGCTTTTTTACCTAATGCACTTTTGAGTATTTACGACTCGAATCCATTTTGACATGTCACTATTAGGATCCACGGTTCCCAAGAAAATTGGTTTAAACTGCAAAATTTCGTATTAAAAAGAATCATTTTTTAGTGTTTTTTTAGAAAACCAAAAAATTCATTTAAATTAAAAATAATTTATCATTTTTTTAATTTTGAAATAAAGTTGAAATATTAATTGAGCAATTAGTTAATTACTTGAAATATTAATTAACTAATTATTTAATTAGTAGAAATATTAATTGAACAATTAGATAATTAATTAAAATATCAATTAAATAATTAGTTAATTAATGGAAATTAATTAATTATTAATTGTTATTGTTTATATTTTCAAAAATTTTAATATAATTCTTCGCAAGAATTCAATTATTTTTAATAAATAATAAATTCTTCGTAAGAATCAGGGTGTCTAACAAGGATTGAGAAAATAATTTCCTGACTTTTTATCTGTTAATAGTCTCCACCCTTTGGTAAAAAATCTAAAATTATGAAAAATTCGATAAACCGATTTTCTTAAAATACAACATTTTTTCTTCCCTTTTATGGCATTTAGCATCATTATTTTTGTGCTCTTCAAAAATACTTTACTTATTTAATTTTCTCCACCCTTTGGTAAAAAATTTAAAGTTATCGAAAATTATCAAAAATTCAAAAAACCGAATTTCTTAAAATTCAACATTTTTTCGTCTTTTTTATGGCAATTAGCTTCATTATTTTTGGGCTCTTCAAAAACACTTTACTTATTTAATTGTCTCCAACCTTTGGTAAAAAATCTAAAATTATGGAAAATTAGCAAAAATTCAAAAAACCAAATTTCTTAAAATTCTTTTTGTACGTAAAATTTTGAAAGAAATGTAAATTTGTACCTGATTCATTCCAGCATTGGCGAACAATAAAGTAGGATCATCGTGAGGAATTGTTGAACTCGAATGAACATAAATATGTTCCTTCTGCTTTATAAAATAGTCGATGTAAATTTGGCGAATTTCCTTCGCGCTCATCATTCCGACCATTTTTGCAAATTTCCCTTTATAAATCTTCAACTGCAAAAAGAAAAAATTTAATTAGCATTTACTCTAATTATACTATACGACTATAAATTCTATAATTATTCCATATGGTTCAAATCGGTCAAATAAGTAAAACAAAAAAATCAGGATCATTGGTTACGATCATTGGATCATTACAATAATTTTGTTCTATTTCTGTCACTAACGGAATGAATATTTTCTACCAATCAAAATATATTGCTAAGTGATGGAAAATTTATTTAATAAATAATATTAATGATGAGATTAAAAACACAAAAATGTTTTTTGTTTTATTCAATCAAAGGACAATAAATTGTATGCAAGTGAAAGTTGATATTGCATCAAATTTGTTGCAGTTAACCTCAAATGGTAACAATTGGATCAATTGGATAACAATTACGTTATAAACAAATAAAGAACGATTTTTTCTTTGTATCGGTGAATAGTATTTAAGTATAAGTAAATTATATTTTTAACTATAAAACTTGCCTGGAGAAAGGGAGAAACATATGCCGGTCCTAAATTCCTTTGGAGCAGGCACTGAGATTTTTTTTTTTGGAAAACAATTCACGTATTTAAAAAATCTGTACTACACGGCGCGTGCGTGGAGAATATCGCATTTCATTGGCTACACACTCGCGCGAAAAAAAGCACAAATTTAAAACTCAAAGTGACAAATTATTTAGTATAAAAGAAATTTTGCAGTGTTTTCTATTAAATATTATTTGACAGATTAATTAGATAGTGAATATTATTTAGATATTAAAGATAAAAGATGATTTCGATTTGATAAAATGGGAAATAGTTTCAAATTCATGCGGGGAAGAAAGACCAATCAGCGTACAGTTCTTCTAAAACGCATGCGTCATGTTAAGGTTAGTTTTTGGAAATTTCGTGGTTTCTCTTTCATAAAAAAAATATTATTTTAAATTAAAATAATATAAAACAAAAATAAGACATAAGTGTATTTAAACAAAACTTGTAGTAAAAGAATTATTAATTTAGTATTAATAATTTATTACAATCTCGGGAACGAATTAATAATTCTTATTTGTTCTGTTCACTGTGTCAGTGGTGTCAGTGTTTTTATAAATCTTTCAATTCATACACTTTCGGAGAAGAAAAAATAATTTTAAAATGCCTTTTATGAAAGGTGTTGAACCTATTAGAAGGACAATTAAGTATTTAAATGCTGGCAGATTAGTATTGAAGGATGAAATACATATTTTTTCTATTAATTACAATAATTATGGAAAACATCATAGTGGAATAAGGTCAGTTTTTAGGTTAACTTTTCATGCATTAGAATTTTTTTTTATAATTTATAACTGATATAATATATTATATTTCTTTACAGAAATTTTGTCTTCTGGCATTTAGCGCAATTACAATATAAAAATCCGATGGTACAAATTGTTACTTTTAAAAATATAACGCCATCGCCTTTCATAAGGTGTTTCTATGGTGAGTAATTTTCGATAATTTGTTACTTAAACATTTAAAATACAAAATTTTTCTTAACAAGAGAATTTAATTAAATTACATAATTTCCGATTCAAACTTTAAAAAATTCAATTATTAACTAATTTACTAATTAATTATTCTTGTTTATTAATTTCAAAAATTTTAATAGAATTCTTCACAAGAATTCAATTATTTTCATAAATAATAACATTCTTCGTAAGAATTCAATTATTTTTATAAATTGTAAAATTATTTACAAAAATTCTATTATTTTTAAATAATAATAAAATTTCACTAACGAATACAATTATTTTCTAAAATTTTAATAAATCCTTCAATACAATTCAATTATTTTTTTTAATAGTAAAATATTTTAAAAAATTCAATTATTTACAATAAAATTTCACGAAAGAATTTTAACAAATTTCTTCGCGAAAATTCAATTATTTTCCTAAATAATACAATATTCTTCGAAGGAATTCTATTACCATCAAATTTCTTGATAAAATTCTCTGCAACAATTCGGTGATTTTTAATACAATAATTTAAAAATTTAAAATATTTAAAAAGAAAAATTATTAAAAAAAAAAGTTAAGAAACAAAAAATTAATTTTCCATTTTATTGTGAAAGAAAATTTATTAATTTTTGTTTGTTTTAATTGCAGAAAATGGAAAGAGAATGTTAATTGACGTTGATAGCAGGGAAAAAGACGATATATTAGAGCATTTAATAAAAGTTGTTGGAAAATCTGAAAAAACTTTAATTAAGGAATCGTTAACTCGCGATAAAAAGGACAATCCCGCAAATTTTGGTTACGGATGTGAAAGAAGTTGTATGTGCGTTGTTCCCGGTCAACTTCCATGTCCTCAAATTTGTCCTCTTCCAAATCATATGCGAGGAAAGTTTACCTTCAATCCTGATCTTAAACCGCGACGTTAAAAAGAAAAGAATAGGTTTGTAAATAATGTATTTTGTTAATTTTTCTCATCACTTTTTATCCCTGTAATTAAATAAGATACAACGATAATTGTTTGTTTTATTAAAAAACAATATTTCACTTTACCTAGAAAGAAAAATACACTTTTTTGTAAAAAGAAGCGATTTATTTTCTTGAAAAAAATATCAAGTACAATATTGTATTTTTCGAAAAATACGGAGGAGAAAAAAACTATCACACATTTAAGTCGTTTAAATGATACACACAAAAATTGGGGGGGGGGCAAAAAAATACTTCGATGCTAACAAAAATAGCATTTAAGGAATCATTTTTTTTATCTAAAGCATTTTTTACATACATATAAATATATAAATTAGTGGCGGTTGTAGAATCTCTGATTTCTTTCTGTTGAAAGAGTATTATTTAATTTTTTTTTTTTGCAAAATATATACGTTTATGTAAGGGAAATTTTTATATACACCTAGAGAAGAGAGTTTTTCAATATTTAAAATTCCATGACAATTTTTTAGAAGGCTTAGCTTGTGTATATTTAAATTGGAGAATCAAAAACGAGATTACTATGATTGGTCATCTATTCTCGGCTATTGTCACAATATACCGAAAACAAAAAAGAAAAATTGTGAATTATCTTTTCGGTTTGGCTCGATTGTATGGTTTTCTATTTTGGTAATTGCTCCCATGATTGTGACGATATCGAGTTGAAGTGGACGGTTTTTGGTTATCGGATTTGACATATTGTTGAATTATTGGCGATCCAACGAGTGGTTTATTAAGTTCAAATTCCTCGGGAGATTCTCGCATCATTTTCAATTTAGCCTCTATCGCCTGAATGGCCGTTTCACGACTGGAAAAATAAATGACAATATTGAAAGGAAAATCTAAAAAAAAATTTATATAAAAATACAATTATTTTACTAAACTGAAATACAATTATTAAACTAAAACAGGCTTTAGACTCATCTTCTAAAACCAATTATATAGCTGAAAGTTGAAATAAAAAGTTACATATTCTCAAAAATTTTACTAAAATTCCTGGAAATTATTTAATTATGTTCAAAAATTTCTCGAAATTCAATTATTTTCAATATCTACTATTTTAATAAAATTTCCCAAAAGAATTAAGTTATTTAAAAGAATTTTAATAAATTTCTAAGAAGAAATTCAATTATTTTAAAAAATACAAAATTTTTTACAGAAATTCAATTATTTAAAATTCGATTTTGATTAAATTTCTTTGAAAAAAATTCAATTATTTTTAATGCAGTTATACCTAATACAATTTTTTGAAAGAATTCATTTATGTCCAAAAATTATAATAAAATTCTATATAAGAATTGTATTTATATAAATAATTTTGTATTTAAAAAATTATTTTAAATCAAATTTTAATTAAATTTGTCCCAAAATTTGTAAGAATTCAATTATTCTCATAAATAATAAAATTCTTTCGCGGAAATTCAATTATTTCAAATACAATTTTCATAACATTTTTCGAACAAAATCAATTATTTATAATAATTTTTTATAAAATTCATTGCAAGAATTTAATTATTTTCATAAATAATAAATATTATCACAAAATTTCAATTATTTTGTTTAAAATTTTAAGTAAATTCCCCGAAAAATGCAATTATTCTTAAAAATTTGATAGAAAATCTTTTTTTAAATCCTATGAAAGAATTCAATTATTTTTAAAAATTTAGGTAAAATTATAAGAATTCACTTATTTTTAATAGAATTGTAATAAAATTATTACCAAGATTTCAATTATTATGAATTGAATTATGAATTATTATGAATTGAATCATTCAAAAAAATTATATTTAAATTTTGATGAATTTCTTTATAAGAATTTAAATATTGTTAATATTATTTTAATGAAATTTCTCATAAAAATTAATTTATTTTTAAAAATTTTAATTAAATTTTTCGCAAGAAATTTATTTATTTTGAAAAATTTGGATAAATTTCTTTATAGAAATTAAATTATTTTAGATTGAAAATTATAAATTAAAATAATAATTGAATTGTCATACAACTTTCTGATAAGAATTAACTTAGTTAAAAATGAATGTCAGTTAGAATTTTAAATAATAATTGAATATTAGAAGCGTTATATTATAAATTTTTAGAAATAATTAAATTTTAAAAGATTTTTGAATTAAAATCTTTGAAAATTTTAATTTTTGAATGATATTTAAATTTTTATATAATAAATCACAGAATCAAATTTTTGTGATTTTTGTAAATCGTCTAAAACGAGGATTTCAGTCGTCAAATTTAATTATCCAATAAAGCAGGCGAAGCCTGCTAAAATTGAAATTAAATTAAAATAATCTTAAAAATCAAAATTTAATAAAAAGAATACCTTATTTTATTGTCTTCCTTTTTCGCCCCAGCCAAAGCTGGAATATCAATCTTTGGTTTAGGTCTCTCCATGTCGCTCTAGAAAAAAAAATTTATCAGAAAAAAAATATTTGACTACCTATAAGGAATTATTTTTGAAAAGGGGGGAAAAATGTTCACCTACCTCGCTAACGCTATGAGCCCAACGTACGACAATATTTTTCGAGCCAATTCGAAGATTATGCAATTTTTCCATTGCAAGTTCAGCATCTTTCACCGATTTATAAGTGACAAAGGCATAACCACGCGGTTGTCCAGCTTGTGGACCCGATCGATGAAACAGCAGGTCAAACTTTTCAATTGTTCCATGTTTTTGAACGAGTTTTAGGAGTTGGTACCGGTTGACAAATGAAAGAATAATTAATAAAAGCTGAATCGAGCAAAATATTTTTAGTATTGACAAAAGAAAAAAAAGTGCTAAAGAAATTAATTTTTTCCTTTTTTCAAATATTTGCCATTGTAAAAATAGCAAAAATAGCAAAAATTACTAAAAAGTTTATTCAATACTTACTCATTAATTCTCAAATCCAAATTTCCAACCCACAGTCTTCTGTCCTCTATTTGATAAGCCTTGATCGGTTCTAAAGGAAGGGGAATTTTCGGATTGATCTGCAAACGAGTGACATTTATTTCAGAAAATTGTTTAATAAATAAAAATAGCACACGAGAAGATACTATTTTTATCGCATCATTTACGAACATTCTAACCTCAAAAAAGAGGCAAAAAAATACTCTCAGCCTTTGCAACTTACCTCCATTCTTGATGAATTGAGGGGAATTATTAAATTAATTGTAAGGAAGCCTTTTTTCAGTTTGTATTGATTCCCATGCAGGAATTCGTACAATTCTTATAATTATTTATGAGAAACCTTACAAAACATTTCTTCTTTTTCGTCTCTCCATCATGTCAACTGGGAAAAAATTCCTTTCCATTCAACATTAATAAATCGTATCGATACATTATTCGTTTAAACAAAACAAAATCACCAACAAAAGACCAATTATCACAGGTTCAATCAGATAATTTATAATTAGTCTGGATATTTTTAAATACTCTATTTTCTTTCACCGCGTCAAACATCGAACTCGACACCATTTTTAAAAAAAACTCCTGTATTATTACTGTACATTCTGATTGGTCAATTCAGACCCAATTTTTCTCAGATCCAACGGAAATGAAAACAAAAAAGAATTGAAAGTACAGATCTTTTGTCATCAATTTTCTTTTTTGATATTGCGATTACAATTTTAACCTAATCAAAATAGAATAGAAGTACTTTGTAAATTTATTAATTTTGCTAAAAAAGAAATTTTTCCAAGGATTTAAATCTCCCGCCTTGTACTGCAATGCGCATGCGCGAAAATAATTTCAAAATGGCGTCGCAACTTCAGTAAACTGTCAAATGCAATAATAAATTTTTGAAAAAAGTCCAACATTGTGAAAAGTTTTTATAATTTTCGGACACTTGAAGTGAAATTGGTTTGTTTATCAACAATGGAACGTGTGATGATAACAGGACAATCGTCACAAACGGAAACAATTTGTGAAAGAGATGTTACAGACGCCCCGCAGGTAAGCCCGGTTATTTTTTATTTTCCATTCTTTTAAATGTTATTAGATAATTTACAAAATCTTTAGCCTCTAGATAAGAGTAATATGCAAGTAATAAACTTTTTAATCCGTTTGGGAATTTTGATCCCAGAACGTCGACAGTCGGTATTGTCAACTGTCAAGTGAATGAAGTGAATTCTATTTTTTCTGAATTTACAAATCCAAATTGAAATTTACATTTATTCCCATTTATTATGACGTCAACAATATTCGAATAGATAAAAAGTATTTTTTTTTTCGTGATTTTATAAAAGCTCTCGTGATCTCGAGTGAATTTTAATCTACAATTATAAGTGGGGGAAAAAGTGACAAAAGCACAAGATATACTGGAATAAAAATTGAAAGAAATGGAATATTAACAATTGAATAACAATAAAAATACAGTTGATATGCAGGCAAGTAAAAATACAAAATATTGTTTTGAAATGGCCAAAGTACTAATTTCAGTTTCTAAAAAGAATTGCAATTTATTGCAATTTTCATCTCGAATTCGAAGAGGAAATTTTTATTCAACTGACAGCGGGAATAAATTATTTCCATTATCTGGAATTAGGGTCATGGATCTAACGAGAATTGTCGCTGGACCGTATTGTACGATGCTTTTAGGTGATTTAGGTGCGGAAATTTTGAAAATTGAAGAACCTGGTATTGGCGATCAGACACGACAATGGGGACCATTTTTTGGTAATTCAAAAAAAGCGACAGCCTATTTTGTCAGTTTGAATCGTAATAAAAAAAGTGTTTGCATCGATTTGAAAAGAGGCAAGGAAATTATTTACGATTTAGCACAAAAATCTGATGTTCTTATTGAAAATTATGTACCTGGAAAATTATCCACCTATGGATTAAATTACGAGGAAATTCATAAAATTGCTCCACATTTAATTTATTGTTCATTAACTGGTTATGGGTACAAAGGTCCCTATAGAAACAGGTATTTATAATCGTTTTTCAATACTGAATAATTTTATGCTTAAATTCAAATAATGTCGTAGTAGTAGTAGTAATAATAAGCTATTTATCTTTTATCTATTTATCATCTTCTATATTAATAATCGTTATTAAAATTTTTGAAAACAATAAATAATTATAATTAATTACTAAATTATTGTTAATAATCGAATGTTTTAAAATTTCGAATCTGAAATTATTCTAAAATTGAAATTAATATTTGAAAATAATATATTTTTTTAATTTGTACAATAATAATAAATGAAATACCGCGTTAAGCGCGTAACATTTGCTAGTAATAGGAATAATAATAATTTTTACTACAATTCTTTCTTATTATTGTACTTTTATTTTCTTCGTCATTCTTAATTTATTTTATTTTGTTTTCATTTATTTATTTATTTAATAATCAGAAAAGAAATAATATTTAAATTGAAATCAACAGGCCAGGTTACGATGTAATTGCGGCGTCTTACGGTGGACTATTGGATATTACAGGACCAGAGGATGGTCCTCCATGTCGTTCGGGTGTTGCTTTAACTGACATTTCAACGGGTTTATATGCACACGGTGCAATAATGGCGGCTTTAATTCAAAGATCAAGAACAAAAATGGGCCAATGGATCCAATGTGATTTATTGTCGACGCAATTTGCAAATTTAATAAATGTTGGATCGGCCTATTTGAATGCAAATCAGGAGGCAAAAAAATGGGGTTCTGCTTTAGATAGCATTGTTCCCTATGAGGCATTCAAAACAAAAGATGGATGGTTCACAGTTGGCACTGGAAGTGATGCACAATTTAAGGATTTAATGAAACGAATGAAACTCGTGGAGTTGATTGATAAATATGAGAAAAATGCAATAAGAGTGAAAAAACGAATTGAACTGGTGGAAATATTGAGAGGAGTTTTTAATAAGAAGACAAATGATGAGTGGTCGGAGATTTTTCAGGGTTCTTCCTTTCCTTATGCGCCTGTTAATAATATGAAGAATGTACGTATTATCATTTTTTTGCAGTTAATTATAATTTCTAAAAAGTGTTATTCAATATATTAAAGTTTAGTTTCATTTAGTTGCTGTTTTATTTTGTAAGATTTATTTTTATTTTGCATTTATTTTTTTATTTGATTTATTTTCTGTTTTATTTCGTTTTTATTTGATTTATTTTCTATTTTATTTACTTTGTATATTTTTTTTCTATTTTATTTATTTTGTGTTTTAGTTCTTTTTTATTTTATTTACTTTCTGTTTTATTTCGTTTTTATTTTATTTATTTTCTAATTTATTTCTTTTTCATTTTATGTTTTTCTATTTTCTATTTAATTTTATTTCCTTCTTATTTTATTGATTTTCTATTTTCTTTCTTTTGTGTATTATTTATTTTCGAATTTATTTATTTCGTATTTTATTTATTTTGTGTTTTATTTATTTGATTTCATTTTCGTTCTATTTATTTTTCTCATTGAATTTTCTCCCTTTTTTTGTGTATAAGAATTTAATTTTTTTTTATTTAGGCGTTCGACGATGAGCACATTAAGGAAATTGGATTAGTGGAAGAAGTGGAAATTCCCGACGAAGGAAGAGTTAAAATAGTTGGACCCGCCGTCAATTTCAGTGACAGCAGAAATGAAATTCGCTCACCGCCTCCAAAATTAGGGCAAAATACTCGAGAAGTCATGAAAGATATTTTGCAATATCCTGAAGATTCTATCAACAGTTTCTTAAAACAGGGCATTATACGATAGATATTTTTTTATCTTCTTTTCTGGAATTTAGAAAAATTTGTCTTTAAATTTTTTCACTATTTTTAAAATTAAAAAATTTATTTTTAATTCTTTTGAAACTTGAATGTACTTTTAATTTTTTTGAAACTTGAGTGTACTTTGTATTTTTTAAATGTAAAAGAATTTTTTAATTTTTAAACGTAAAAGAATTTTTTAATTTTTAAACATGAAAGAATGTTTTATTTTTCAAACTTGAAAGAATTTTCAATTTTTTTAACATAAAAGAATTTTTAATTTCATAAACGTGAGTGTACAGTTTTTGTTCTTAAAACTCGAGGATATTTCTAATTTTTTTAAACTTTAGAAAAGTGTATTTTAAAAAAAAAATTTTACAAAATAATTGTAATACACATTATGTAAGAAATAAATATTTCCATCAAGAAAGAAAATTCGTCTCTTAATTTCCTTTTCTTAAAAGCTTTTTTTTCTTTTTCTTTTCTTTATTTTGTGAATATATTTCTTATTTTTAAATAAAACTTGTGAACTTTTTTCTATTAATTAGTAATTTTTTTCCAGGAAGTTCCAACAGTTCATCTACGACTACGAAAGCCACGATCGAGCAAAAAAGTTCAATGGACTCAGGGAACAGTCGACAATGAGGATCTAAATAAAAAGAAATCTAAATGTAAGACGAAAATTTTTGTTTAAAATTACTTATTTTATTCCTTTGAACTCTGAGTAAAGAATTTCTTCACGAATTTTCATTTGTAATTTGGGAAATTTTTTCTTTTTGTGAAAAAAAAGTTAATTAAAATTCTTTTTTTTTGGAAAAATAAATAATTTTTTGTCATTTTTTTGCAGGTTGTTGTATTTATGAAAAGCCAAAAGCTTTTGGAGAAAGTAGTTCGGATGAAAGTGACGACGAATGTGAACATTGTCACGGACATAAAGATGATCATAAAAAAATTTTACCAATTAACAAACCTGACAATCCATCCGCAGAAATTCCTCACTCTGGTAAGAAGAATTTTTCAATTTTATAAAAGTTTCATTAATAATTTATTCACTAAATAAATGGAAAATTTTGAAACAATCGCAATTTTTTAAATAGAAGAAAATTTTTTATTTACAAGATTTAATTAAGAGAAAAATGATTAATCAGTTTTTTCAAACTACAATTAAATAGAAAGAAGACAATTTGATTACTTTCTGTAATTAAAATTACAGAACCGATAGCCACTGGTTCAGCATAATTGACGTTTCTAATTCTACGTGACCTGTCCACGCATCTTGTCTTCATTGTACAGACATGAGAAAGACGACAGATGCAAACGACTGTGATTTCGTTTTAATATAAACCTATTTATTCGAATTTTAGGTCAAACAAAGAAAGAGAAAATAATTAAAGAAGCTACTAAACTATTCTTGGTCTTTTTTTTTAAAATACATTTTTATCAATTTTAATTATTCCAAATGTATCATTTTCTCACGTCATTGAAAAACTGTATAACTTTATTCAAAAATAATTGTTTTCTAAATAAATATCTTTTCGATTTCTAAACATTTTTTTTCCAAATTTTCGCTATTAATTTAGGAAAAAAATTTTCCGAATCATTTCTTTCAAATTTATAACTGTCAAGAGATTAAATTTCTAGACGTGAGAATTTCGACAGCAAAAAAAAATCCAATTTCAATTTTATTTATGGACGAAAGTCTATAAATAAAATTGAAATTGGATTTTTTTTTATTTCTAAGAGAAAAAAGATCGAGATAGTTCTATAAGCATTTAACATTTTCCAAATATAATATTACGAAAAAAATGATATTCATTTACACAAAAAAAGGATTGTTTTTAAAATGTTTCCCCAATTTAATTAATTAATATTGTAATCAAGTCTTTCTTCACAAGCGAATATCATTTTCGAAAAGTTCCTTTTGAAAGAAAAAAAAATGTTATTGTAAAACTTGATGTTAATATTCGTAATTTCCAGTACCGAAAGAATATACAATAATAAATGAAATTAATATTTTAAATGTTAATTAATTTTATTAATTCATACAGTATTTTATAATATTAATAAATAATTGTAGATTGTTCTGAATGAGTAAAAACTCATTTTTATAGAATTTATTCTCATTTGCAAAAATCGAACAAGCGATATAGTGAAATTAAAATTGAAATGGAAGTTTTAAAAATAAGTAGCAAATAATAATAGTCCTTTGCGAAAGAGGATAGAAAATTAAATTTAAAAATGACAAACGCATAGTTTATGGCAGGTATATGAAAAATTGTTAAAAATGCTTTTTGCTTTGTGCTCGAAACGTGTATTTTTATACAAGTTATACATTTTGATAATTTCAAAAAATAGTAATTCAGAAAATAGCATTCAATCTAATAAATCTCAATTATTGTTAATCTGTCGTAATAGATATTAATGAAATAAAAATATATACACGCATACATACATTTATATCTCTCGTATTTTACAAATATTTCTCCTGTTTTTCATTCTTCTTTCAGCGAAATAGAATTTTACAAATAATTAAATTTTGTTTTAATTAGTCGAGTTGAATTTTCAGTAATTTTCAAGAATTATTAAAGTTTTGTTAAGGCCTCGAATAAATTACTGTTTCTTTAATCATTTTAATACTAATATTAGTTTTATTTATTGATATTTAATATTAATATTGAATATTCATTTTTAATATTCATTTTTAATATTAATATTGAATATTAATATTTAATATTAACAGGCCTCGGACAGTTCGACTTTTTTCGACTTATTTTCAAAAAAAGCTACTTTTTCGACTTTTCTTCCAAATATTGCAACAAAATACTATTTTTTTTTTTGGTATAAAATTCAAACTATTTCGATTTTTATCGAAAAAATAATTGTAGTCAAATATGTCAAAATAATTTTTTCTGTATCCCTTTGCCGAAAGTACTGTCTTCTCGGTCTGATTTGGCTCCGGGAATAGCGACTTTTGTGGCCGGCTCGACAGACCCAACGAGCGCTCTGATTGGTTACAAGAATTTCAACACACGTACATGTTAGCATAGCAACCACACAGACACGTTACATACAGAGCTCACGTTTTGAAAACAACTGACAGTCATCAAAATAATGCATGAAATTTCTTATTTTCTTTTATTATTTTTTAATTATTAAATATTTATTTGTAAAAGAAAATTTCTTGTTTACTATTCTTTAAATTTTACTTACAATTATTTTTTACTTATAATTTTTTTTTCATGCCCGCCCCGACCAGCTAAGTCTCGGCTTCGCCTCGACTTTGCAAAAGTCGGGCGGGCAACTTATTGAGCTATTTTATTATTCAAACAATAATTATTTAACGTACTTTCGGCTGGGGATACAGAAAAATTGTATACGACACACGGCCAGAAATTTGGATACCCTAGCGAGCGTGATATATAAAGCCTCGGCTTCGCCTCGGCCTTATATATCACGCCGGCCAGGAAATCCAACTTTCTGGCCTAGTATCGTAATATACTATTGATTTTTCAATAATTAAATTTTCGAAGTAGATAAGTATTTAAAAAGTTAAATTTAAATTTTGTCAAATATTTTAATATTTTAATTGTATTTTAATTTTGTCAATATTTAAATTTTGTCAAATTTTAATGAAAATATTTCACTCTTTTTTTTAAATATTTCATTAACATTTTTGAAAATAAAGTTTTGCAAAATTTTGATTGCAAATTTTATAAACAATTAAATTTTTAAAATTCGATCCGAGGCATGTGTTAATATTAATTAATTATTTTTATTACTTTTATAGTTAATATAATTTTCTCCAAGAAAAATGGAAATCTGTTATAAAAATTGAATTTTCTAATATTATTTCAATATTTAATGAATGAAATTTAATTCCCAAATGACATGTAGTGAAAAGACAATTAATTATAAATTTTATCGTGTAAAATATAATTTTAAATGTCGAAAATTTTAAAGTCGAAAAAAATTTAATTCTAATTTCTAAACTCAACCATATATCACACAACTAATTTATTATAGAGAAAACGTTGTTGTGAAACATTTAATATTTTTGTAAATTTTTAAAAACACTCTTACACTTTAGTTCAATTATTTTTCATATAAATTTAGAAACAACATTTAAATTCACTATTTAAAAAGAAAACGTAAATTAACCATTAATATGAAACGTAAATCGATATTGAATTACAATAAAATTAATTAAAATTAATAATTAATAACTAATAATTACAATATTTAAAAATATGTTTTTAAAATGAAAATAATAATTTCTTTACAATATTATAATTTCATTTTTTTTCAATAGATTCGTATTGAAGAATATTTTTTATTGTAATGATTTCTTAATAATTATCTACAGTAAGAAACTGATTAAAATTTGTCTTTTTTTGACATATTTTATAAATTTTTTATAAATACTATAATAATACTATTAAAGAAAGTAATACATTATTGAATACAATAATTTTATCCAAAATTGCAAAAAGTATTCTATTATATTTATAACATTGTTCTTTATAAAAAGAAAAAATAATTTCTAGACTAAAATTTAAAAAAAAAATGTTAAATTATTAAAGAAAAAATTATTTTATTATATAGAAACAAAATTTTTCTATATCAGTTTTCTTTCTCTTCTTTTTTTTGAAAAAATAAATATTTTGATTTTTAATAATTAGAAATATTTCTGTGAATGAAATTGAATTGTCTTTTTTGTTTTAGGAAAACTAATTATAATTAGTAATCAGTTGAAAAATATATTTACAAAATAAATGTAAATTGTAATGAAAATTAAAATGAACATTTACTGAGCAAGTAAAATTTGTTATTTACTTTTACTGTAATTAAAAAAGTTGGAAAAGTTTCTATTATAATTTGAAAGTTGAGAAGCTTTTCTTTAAAAGAAAAGCTTCTTTCTCGCATAATTTTTTAAGACAGTTTTTTCACAATTGCACTGTTACTACAAGTTCAGTTCATAAATTTCTCCTTTCTCCATATTATTTCTTTTTTTTAATAATAAATCCAATTTCAAATTTAAAAACCATAAAAAAGATCGTTGCTTCTTCGAAATCATTTTTACAATTTGAAAAATTGTTTTTTTTTCTTCACATTACATTAAAATTTTGAACTCTATTTTTGTTCGAATTTAATTCTTTCAAAAATAAATTTTAAACTATTTTCATTTTCTGTTTTAATTAAAAATATTTAAATAGAAATTAAATTTAATTTGAATTGAATTTAAATATTTTTAAATAGTTTTCTTTTTGTTTCAATTTAATTGAGACAAAAATTAAAGAAAGCAAAATTATTTTTTGTAATTAATTTTTGATCAATTTTCGAAATAAAAAAAAATATTTATTCGTTTAAAACGATTGCAACAAAATATTGAAAATAAAATTCGCATTTTATTGATATTGAAAATTTGGTTTTTAAATTGGAAATTGGATGGTTTTTAGTCAGTCAATGTTGCAATTACTTTTATGATACCTTCGTCTTTTGCGTACCTCAAGACCTCGATTAAGATCTTCTTCATTCAATCCCAATGTTTTCACCATTGCTCTGCTTCGCCAGACCTTAACCGTATAATCGTCGCTCGTTGTCACCAGCATTTCTGGATCACGGGAATTAAACGCAACCGAATTCACCACATCTGAATGGGGAAATTTTGCCAAACAAACGCCATAGTGCCTGTCCCAAAGATATCCGTGTTTATCTTCAGCGCCACTAAAATAACACACACGAAAAATCAATCTCCGCAAATTTTTGCAATTACTTTTTAAAATTATGATATATAAAATTTTCTTCTTATTTTTTTGATAGCTTATTGAAACTTTATTTTTAAACTGTTTTCATTGTAGTTTTGTATAAAGAAAAGAATATAAAAATAAAGTTAATGAAAATAAATAAAAGTAAAAATGTACGAATAAAGTTAATAAAAATTAAAGAAATCTTAAATTCTGAATATAATAAATAGAAATTGTAGGAAAGTATAGTTAAACGAAAATATTGACGATACCTTGCGACATATTCGTTGCACACGTCGAGAAAAATGAAGAAGCATTCATTATTTGGTGTGTAAGCTTTATGCGCTCTTAGCATAGTCCCAACTTGTTTTAACGTGACCAGGTCAATAACGTGAATATCAATTTCCTGAGCAATCGGCGGCGGTAGTAAGGGATTAGTAATGACGTACCCTCTTGGCCAAGGTCTCGTATTTACATAAAGGTATCTTTAACAAAAAAGAGAAATCACAATTATTTTACTAAAATTCCAATTACCAATGGGACAATTTGTTCCCTTTTCGGATATTAAAATGAAATTATTTTAATATAAAAACCTGTGATCGGGAGAGAGTCCCATTCCAATAATATGTCCATGCAGATCAATGAGATGATCGACTTTATCGAATTTATCGGCAACTGATTCGTAATCCTGCCAATTTGGTTCAGGTCTAGGCGACACTTCCCGTTCTCGTTCACGTTGCGCCAATCTTTCACGCAATGACGGTCCAGGATCGAGTCGTCGGGGAAAATTCACCGGTTTTATTCTCTTGAAACCAACTTGATGCGGTGTATAAGTTTTCGAGCCGGTTGCGAAAATAAGAAACTTCTCTGGATTGTCGTTTAATTCATCAAAATCACAATCCTCGGCAGTTGACGATCCTGTATAAATTACAACAATATTTATTTTCAAAATGTAAATTCAAATTTTTGAATTAATTTCAAGATTTTCTAAATTCCTAGAAATTCTCTTAAAATTGAATTTTCTAAAAATAAGAAAATTTACCCTCAGATTCACTTTCTTCTTCAAGTTGGGAATTTTCTGCTTCTTCTTCTTCGTCTTCTTCTTCTTCCTCCTCTTCTTTTTCATCATCATCAATATCATCTTCATCATCCTCTTTGTCTTCACTTTCACTGTCACTTTCCGCTATGTCCCTTTCCATTTCCACCTGACGATATTCTTTATTATATCGAATCGGTTTTGCATATTCAAAACCATCGCCAAGTTTTCGCCAATTCATAAATCCACCTTCAAGTGTACTGTATCTGGAAAAAAGGAACAATTTAATTAAATATTCCGTAGTTCATATTTTTGGCAAAAAGAAAATCTGTTTAAAACTGATTTTTTAAATTTAGGAGCCGTTCACTTTTGTTAAATATTTAAATACCTGATAGGAAAGTTATTTTTCTACTTTTTAGTAAAATAAAGGAAATATTTTCTATAAAAAAAATCATTTTCGTCAATAAGGAAAAGAAATTTATAATATGTAGAATAATAAAATTAAAAAAAAAATACTGTAATCTTGAAGATGCGTGGTGTAGGACTTCCGGTTGTTCTGGAGGTGGTGAGCAATTTACTGACGTTGATGATAAATCCCGATGACTCGGTGGATTTCCTTTCTCCTCGTGCATTAACGATGTCGATGGCTGATCCTGTGAATCCTCGGCTTCCTTAGGAGCTGGCGATAAACAATCGGCGACCATTATTGCCCGTATTGAAGCCGCATTTCCATTATAAAATCTGACAATCAAACGAAAATATCAGTCGAGTAATTTGTAATAATTATTCGAAATATTATTTCCATTATTAAATCTGATGATCGAAAATATTAATCGAGTAGTTTTTATTTCCATTATAGAACCTGACAATTTTAATCGAGTAATCGATAATAATTATTATTCGAAATATTAATTAATTATCAGTATTATTCGAAATATTGATTAATATTAATTATTATTCGAAATATAGAGTAACAATAATTATTTCTCGAAGGAATAAATAATAATAATAATTAATTCCTCCCAATCGGTAAAATGAGTAAAATATATGATAAATAACTTTGAAAGAAAAGAAATGTTTAAATACAGAGAAAAATGAAATCATAAATAACTGAGATTAATCAGATTTAGTGAAAAATTTTTTATGGAAATAGTGACAAAGGAGAAAATATGTTTTTTTTGGATTCTTTACTTATAAAGTTGACTCATAATGGGAACATGTTCGCTCGCTGATTCTTGATTGGCCTTATTGAGCCAAAGTACACTTGAACTGACTAAATGAGCGAGCCAATAAACATCGCCGCTTAAAAGATAACGTTCACTGTACCAAGTGCCAAATATGTCGTACGGTTTATTCACGATTCTACACTGTAAATCAAAGCCAGCTGCAAAACCAATTAAAAATAGATTAGGAAAGAAAAGCAGATTAATATAATCCATTCATTAATACAAACATTACAACAAATTAAATAAAATGAATAAAAATTAAAAAAAGGAATAAAATAAATTCTATCCTAAATTAAAATTAATCATTAAGAAAATTGAGAATTAATTTCGATTTTATTTTGCTTTTATTAAATTAATAAAATTCAAATTTATCGTCCATTAAGAATAATTTTAATCGGTTTAGAAATTAGTTTGTCGTCTTATTTTTCGTGAACAAAAATATTTAGAGTTTTAATTAAAAGTTTTGTTATTTTATCTTTCGTAAACGAAAAGTTCAGAATTTTTAATTAAATAATCTTACGTGCGACACGAAAGACGGCTATTTCGCCGGAAGTCGTGTGCGGTGTTCCGAAATGAACACCAGAAACGAGAAGAAGAGTGTCCGTTGAATTGAACTGAGAGAATTGAGTGTATCTCCATCTAAATGTCTTCATATCGTGTTGATATTTAATTGTCACTGGATACTGACTATCCCAAACCTTCGAAAAAAAATTAATAACTTTACAATGTAAAATTTAGAAATTTGTAAAATTAGGTCTTTTTGATAGCACATTGTTTTAGAGCTCAAATTGTCATGTCAAAAATTTGAGAATTAATTTGTAAATAGATTGATTTGCCTTTTAGTGAAATTAATTGTCCTAGAATTTTGACATTTTGTAAATATTATTGTATTTTTTGAAGATGTTTGAAGAATTGTAACTAAAAATTTGTAAAATATTTAAATTTTACAAAAGTTTTTCTATTTAAATAATTCAATTAACGTTGAATAAAAATATCAATTATTTAAAAGAATTTTTATAAAATTCTTCGCGGGAATTCAATTATTTTTAATGTAATTTAAATGAAATTTCTTGATAAAATTCATTAATTTTTAAAAATTTTAATGCAATTCTTCGCAAAAATTCAATTATTTTCAAAAATTTTATATAAATAAGTATTGTATTTAAATAAATAGTTTCTATATAAAAAATCATTTTCAATATAATTTTAATTAAATTTGAAAAAGATTTGTAAGAATTTAATTATTTTCATAAATTATAAAATTCTTCGAGGAAATTCAATTATTTTCATATAAATTAACGCAAAATTTCAATTATTTTTAATACAATTTTAAATAAAGTCCTTGAAAAATGGAATTATTCTTAAAAATTTTATTAAAATTGTCCGAACGAACTAAATTATATGAAATATTCATTTATTCAATAAATTATTTATTTTTATATTGAAATTTAAATATTTGAATTCTCGTAAAACTTTCGGTTAAGAATTGATTTAAAAATGAATTTCAGTTAAAATATTGATAATATTTAAATGTTTATTTAAAAATGTTATTAATATATTACCTGCCTTTAAAAATTATTGAACTTTTGTATAATTTTATTCAAAAATTCAAGAAAAATAATTGACTTTTAAAAAAATTGCATTTGTAATTTTTAGAAATAATTAAATTTCAAAAGTTTTGTAAATTAAAATTATTTAAAATTTCAATTAAAATAAATAAAAATAAGTTTTTAAATATCTGATTAACAAAATTTATTCAAGTGTTGAATGTAATTTTTTTTTAAATAATTTTTAAAAAAATTACATTCAACACTTTGAATTTTTTTTGAAAAATTGTAATTACAATTTTTCTAAAAATAATTAAATTCTCGAGAATAATTTAAAAAATTTAAATTTTCGTCAAATTTCATTGAAATAAATTGTATATTTGAAAGAATTCGATTTTATTATGTACTTTAAAAAATTATTTTGAAATTTACACATTATTTTTTTTGTTTTTACTTAATTGTTTTTTAGTTATTTAGTTAATTAGTTAGTTAGTGATTTGGAAATTTTTAATTTCTGTATATAATTAGAAAAGAAAATTCCACTTACAACAATATAACCATCCTTTGAACATGTTGCAAATAATTTTCCATTGTGAGAGAAACTGACGTGTAAAACTTGATGAGCATGTTCCTTTAGAACTTCAGTTTCCAAAAGAGGTGTGTGATAAGCCAATCGCTTAAATTCACCTAACCAGGAATTTTTACCTGCAGAGAAAAGAGAAACTAATTAACGAATCGAAAAGACGAAAAAAATCCACTCTCCTGACTTTAATTACATAATAAATTACTTTTTTTTTGCAAATAATAAATATTCCGAAACTGCTAATTTATTATTAATATTATAGAGTATTTCCATTATAAATTATTAGAGTAACTAATTTTTTTACTATTAAATTTAAATTTGATTTATTCCTTTATTCCATATCTGAAAGATTTTTACATCTAAATTTTCTAGGCCTTTATTTAAATTAAATTAAATTGATTAAAAAGATAAATTAGTCAAATATTCAGATTATAAATTTTAATAGTCAATAATCGTAAAAAAAGAAAGAAAACATGTAACAAAAATTATTTATAAAGGTCAAAAGTTCAATTTAACAATAAAGCGATTTATAGGTTATGTGTTAGAAAATTCCTTTCTTTTTTTTCAAATTTAAATATTTATTTACCTGGAACAATTCCAATGCTTGGATCAATTTTAAATGTAAGATACAAAAGATTCTTCCAGAGAAATTCATCTTTTGAGACACGATTCCAAGACTTGCAGACTTCGCCAGCAGTTAGCAATTCCTTTGGATTTAGGTACCGGAAGATGCTGAGTAAAATTGAATCTGGCATATAAAACCAATTGTCGATTGGATTAATCACAAACGATTCCTCGGATGATTGTTCCTCATCTTCATCGACATTCTTTTTATTTCCCTTAACACTTTCATCAGAATCCATATTTATTCTCTTTGTTTACTGCGGAGAGTCAATGGTGGAAAACAGCTGATGATAATATTATTTGTAGACAGTACTTCATTTCCTTAGATTTAGTTTTGAAAGACTGCGGTCAATTCGCGTTTAGGTCAGTCACCACCCCCCAGCGTTTTAAAAATCAACGAATATAACGCGTACTTTATTTTTATAACGAAAAACTGCGCCAGAAACAATGGGAACAACAATCAAATTTTAGGTTATGTTTTGTGACATTTAATCGATAGGAGAAAAGAATTTAACTTTATTTTTATATTTATTTCCTTTTTTTAAATGAGTATTTAATGATTAATGTAAATCGTAATAAAAGACCTCGATTTTATATTGGAAAACCAGAAATATGGGAAAAATCAAAACAATGAATTGAATGAATTTTGAAAATATAATTTTGACAGGGAAATATTTCATGGAAACAATGCGGAAATTTTGAAATATTTCTTTGAACCGTTTTGGCGGGAATTTTAAATTACAAACTCTAATTTCAATTTCTCTCAAAGAAAAGTGTTATTTATTTTTTATATCTTTTTCTATTATAATGGAATAAATCATTTTTTATTATATATAATAAGAGAATTTTATTAGAAAGAGAAAGAATCTAGAAAGATTTAAAGGTGCATGCGCATAGATTTGTGTAAATTTTTGAAATATTTCCACTGACATGAAGTTAGCAGAAAAACCATAAAGTTTGCACTTTGCAATTGAAAATACAATTGTTTAGTTTAGTCTTGTTTAGTATTAATACAAAATTAAATTGTTAATTAATTTTGTATTTTCAAGTAAAATTTAAAACCTTTTATGATAGACTAACAAGAAATTGAATTTAAAAAGTATTGAAAATTATAGTTGATGAGCTAACTTCACATTACTAGTGATTGTTATTAAGAACACACATCATCAATTTTATCATTCTTGCATCATTAATGCATTGTGACAACACATGTGGATGTGAAACAATACTCAATTTTTTATATATTTGAAATTCCTCTCTTGCATTTTTAATAGTGAACGAAGAACATTTTTAAATTTAATAAAGGCGACAGTTTAAAAGGTAAGAATAGTTTATGTTCTGTATACTTTTCATTCTTTTCCATTTGTTACTCCTTCATGAAGAATTTTAATTTTGCGGTGTTAACATCTGTTTATTTATATTCTCAAAAAAATTCCTTCTAAGGAAATTTGGGAAATTTAGAACTGTTTATTAATTACATGTTTGATAGACTTAATTATATTTTATAAGAAAAAACGAAAATTGAATTATCCGAAATTTTGAGGTTATATATAACTCAACGGACAAATTTTCAATTCTTGCGTCATTTTTCCTGGAAAAATTAAATTTTATCAATTCTTTTAATTTCAATTGATGCAATTTTTAATAAACAAGGGTAAGAATTATTTTTTCTATTTTTCAACTTGATTAAAAGTTAACAAACAGTTATTATTTTTTACATTGTTATTCAAATTTTTCTATAATTTTCTACAGTTTTTAATTGTTTAAAATAAAAGAAAAGACTAATTATTTTATTTTAGTGTTTCGAAAACAAAAAATGATTTTTTTCCTAGTGTTTTTGCAACCAAAAGGAATAATTATAATGAAAAATAATAGGCATAATTTCCAAATAAATAAAAAGATAATATAAATTATATTTTTCAATTTTAGAATAACAATGTCTGGAAATATTTATACTTCGGACAAATCAGGAAGCGACGAGAATGGCGATGGAACCGAAGCAAAGCCATTTAAGACAATTTTACAGGCAATGCGACACGCTGGAAAGGAGCCATTCCCAACAATTTATCAGGACGCAAAAGAGGAAGGCGTTAAATATGAGCCAGCGGCAAAATCGCAATTGAAGAAAGTTCACAAAATTTGGGCACGAGAACAACAAAAGAATGACGATAAATTAAAAAAATTACACGAAGACGAGGAGAAGCATTTGAAAAATTTGGAAGAAGCTAAAGCAATAACAATTGAGGAAGACAAAAGTCTACCGCAAGGGTCTCGTGTTAAAATTAATCAATGCTCCGAATATCGTGACAAGAGAATACAAATTTTCGGTTGGGTTCACAGACTCCGGAGGCAGGGTAAATAAGCGCAAATTTGTTTTTCTTTGTAAATTTTGTATCATTTTCTTTTTATTTTTTATATATAGTTATTTTCCTTTACTTTTTGTTTCCTAATTTTTTCTTTTGATAATTTTTCATTTTTATGTTTTTGTTTTTAAGGTCATGTTATTCAGTGGTCACGTGCCCCATATACTTAACTATGGAAAAACTTTACACAGAATAACATGACCTTAAAATTAATTAACTTCTAATTTAATGCTTTAATGATTTAAAGAAGACCAAGAAGTAATTAACTCAAATTGTTTTCAATTAAAACTATTTCTTGTAATCATTTTGAATCTGACATAATTGAACTCTTATAAAAAAATTTATCCAAATTTTTCAAAATATGTAATTAAATTTCTTGCGGAAAATTTAATTAAAATCTTTAAAAATAAGTTAATTCTTACGAGAAATTTCATTCAAATAATATTAAAATTATTTAAATTCTTATAAAGAGTTTTATCAAAATTTTTTGAAAATAATGTCCCGTTATGAAACTAAAGAAATAAATAAATAATTAAATTTCTGCGATGAATTTTATAATTAACATTTTTTAATAATTGAATTATTTCGCGAAATTTCATTACAATTTTTTAAATAATTGAATTCTTTCCAAAAATGTTATAAATTGTGAAAATAATTGAAATCTTGATAAGAATTTTATTACAATTCTATTAAAAATAATTTAATTATTTCAAAGAATTTTACAAAAAATTTTCAAAATAATTGAATTCTTACGAAAAATTTTATTATTCAGGAAAAAAATTAAATGAATTTTATTAAAATTTTTCAAAATAGGTAATAAAATTTTCGGGAGGATTTTTATTAAAATTCTTTAAAATAATTCATTAAATTCCTGCGAGAAATTATTTAAATTATGAAAACAATTGAAATCTTGCCAAGAATTTGATTAAAATTCATTAAAATCATCACTAAATTCTTGCGAAAAAATTTTAACAATCATGAAAATAATTGGATTTTTTCGAGTAATTTAATTAAAATTATATTTAAAATATTTCAATTCTCATATAAATCAAAAATTTTTTAAATAATTGAATTTTTGCAAAGAATTTTACTATTTATAAAAATAATTGAAAATTGTTTCGAAGAATTTATTAAAATTTTAGAAAATAATTGAATTCTTTTGGAAAATTATATGGCGAATTAAGAGAAAAAATTGAATTCTTTCGTTTAAATTTTATTGAAAATAATTGAATTTTCGCTTCAATTGTTTTAAAGGATTTATTAAAATTTTAGAAAATAATTGAATTCTTTCGTGAAATTTCATTAAATAATTGAATTTTTGCAAAGATTTTATTATTTATAAAAATAATTGAATTCTTCCGAAGAATGTATTATATTTATGAAAATAATTGAATTGTTGTGAAGAATGATATTAAAATTTTTTAAATTCTCTAATATTTTCTATTGTTGTTATTTTTAGGTAAATCTCTAATGTTTATAACATTGAGAGATGGTACAGGATTTTTGCAGTGCGTTTTGGTTGATAAACTTTGTCAAACATACGACGCACTTACTCTGAACACCGAGGCTTCCGTTGATTTACGCGGCACATTGAAAATAGTTCCCGAAGGAAAGACTGTAAGTTCAAAAATAATAAGTACTAATTACTATTTATTTATTATTTATAAAATAATAAAATAAATACAATATTTGTAATATATTTATTTTCTTCTAATACAGGAAAAATAATAAACGAATACGTTTGGATAATGATTCTTTAATTACAACTCCAACGTTTCGAAATGTTTTCTTTTGTTTAGCATTTTTAACAATAATTAAAAATCATGAAAAGCATTAATTCTTCTTGAATTCGCTTCTTATCTTAATAACTTTTAATTTTTAAATTACTAGGTATTTTTATTTGAAACGAAAACTAGATTTTCTTTCATATCTTAGTAATTGAAGAATTTAATTTTAGAGAATGTTAATTCTTTAAATTTATTTTAAAATAAAATTATTAACTTACTTTTTTTTAATTAACAGGCACCAGGAGGTCATGAATTGGTTGTCGATTATTGGAAATTAATCGGCGCTTCGCCACCGGGTGGAGCGGATTCTATTTTAAATGAAGAGGCGCAAGTTGATGTGCAACTGGACAATAGACATATTATGATCCGAGGCGAAAATGTAAATATTTCACTTATTTTCCATTTATTGGTGTAAAATAAGTTTTCGAAATTTAATAGAGAATTTGTTTATTTTCTCAAATACGACGCAGGAAAATGATCAAAGACAGATTTTTCTGAAGTAGAAAACAAAAATATAATTCAAACATGTTTATTATTACATACAGTAAAATGAGTTTTATTACTTATTTTTCAGACTTCGCGAGTTCTTGTTATGAGATCAATATTGACCCAAGCATTCAGAGATCATTACAGAGATCGTGGTTATTATGAAGTGACTCCTCCAACTTTGGTTCAGACGCAAGTTGAGGGAGGCTCGACTCTTTTTAAACTCGACTATTTCGGGTATTTATTTAAATTTAATTATTTATTTACTTCTTTCTTTTTTGTTTGTTCTTTCTTTCCTTTTTTTTCTTCCTTTCTTTATTTTATTAAAAAAAAACAAAAGTTCTGTAAAAATAGTTCAAAAGTTGAAAATTTAACGAGAATAGAAAGAAAAAAATTTGTTTGTAACAAAAGGAAACTAAGATGCATTTCTTTTTTTCAGGGAGGAAGCATTTTTAACTCAAAGTTCTCAACTTTATCTCGAAACTTGCATACCATCAATGGGAGATGTTTATTGTATCGCGCAGTCCTATCGAGCAGAACAATCCCGAACGAGACGTCATCTCGCCGAGTAATTAATATCTTCTTTTTTTTCAACGAAACAATAATCTATAAAATTTTTAACTTTTAAAAATAAAAAAATTTATTTATTTACAGATATTCTCACGTCGAGGCAGAATGTCCATTCATTTCTTTCGACGATCTTCTCGATCGACTGGAAGACTTAATTTGCGATGTCGTCGATCGTGTTTTGAAATCCCCATTGGGACATTTAGTTAAGGAACTCAATCCTGATTTTAAAGTGCCGAAGAAACCATTCCGAAGAATGAATTACAGCGATGCTATTAAATATTTAAAGGAGCACAATATTACTAAGGAGGACGGTAGTTTCTACGAATTTGGCGAAGTGAGTGCAAATTTACAATAAAAATAATATCAGGTGTGGGTAATAATAATAAAAATCTAACAATTAATAACTAATAATTGATAATTATATTACCAGTAAATTTTACTTCGAATTTCGAAACCTTTTTTTTTTTCTTTTCTCTGGAAAGAATTCAATTCAAAAGTCTTTTAAAATTTAATTATTTCTTTCAATTTTATTTATAACGCTTTAAATATTCAATTATTTTCTAATATTTTAGCTGAAACTACTTTCAAAACACTAAATTATTTAAAATTACAATAATTTTTTTTAAACGAATATTTAGAAACTTATTGTTTATAATTTAATTCTTTTGGAGGATTTTAATAAAATTTTTAAGAATAATTGCATTTTTCGGGGACTTTATTTAAAATTGTATTAAAAATAATTGAAATTTTGCGATAATTTTCATTATTTATGAAAAGAATTAACTTTTTAAAAAAAATTTTATAAACAAAGTTCTTAAATAATTGATTTTGTTCGAAAAATTTTATGAAAATTGTATTTTAAAGAATTGAATTTCTGTGAAAATTTAATTATTTATATGAAAATAATTGAATTTATCTAAAGTCTTTTATTATTTATAAAATTAATTGAAGTCCCGCGAAGAATTTTATAATTTCTGAGAATAATTGAATTCCTACAAATGATTTCGACAAATTTAATTGAAATTTTTTTACAATTTTTGAAAATAATTGAATTTCTGAGAAGAATAGCATTAAAATTTTTTAAAATAAATGAATTCGTTCAAGAAATTTTATTAAAATTGCATTAAAAAAAATTGAATTTCTGCGAAGAATAATTGATTTTTTTATTCAACGATAATTGAATTGTTTAAATAGAAAAATTATTGTAAAATTCAATTATTTTCTAAATTTTTAGTTATAATTCTCCAAAAATGTAATTAAAATTAAAAAATAATTTTTATAAGTGAAAAAATAAAATTCTTTAAAACATAGAATTCATTTCAATTGAAATTTGAAAATAATTTCAAAATAATTTTTAAAAGTAAGAAAATAAAATTCTTCAGAATATAAAATTTATTTTAATAAAATTTGACAGTTGCTTCAACAATTTTTTTAAAATTATTTTGGAAATTCAACAACCTATCTGCAAAAAATTATAATTTCATTTTTTCATTAAAAAACTAATTTTTTCAGAATTTCCGAACTAAATTTGTCAAATTTCAATAATTTTTGTAAAATTAATTCTTAAATACTTATTCTTATTTATTTGTCCACGTGAATTAAAATTTCAATAAAATACTCTCAAACCTTTTGAAATTTAATTTTTTATATAAATTTGAACTGCAATTTTTCCAAAATTCAATTTTTTTTTAGAATTTTCGAATATTAGATATTTGAAACTTTTAATTTTTAAGGAAACTTAAAGAATTAACGATTTTTTATATTATTAAATAGGTATTATATTTTTTACGCCATTAAAATTTCAAATATTTCAATTTAAAAACTTTGAAATTTAATTATTCTAAAAATTTCTACTTTAAAACTTCTAATAAATTATTGTTTTTCAAAATTGTAACTAAAATTCCTTTTTATATTAATTCTTATGAGAATTCAACTACAAGAATTCAATTATTTAAATGGAAAACTAAATAATTTACTTACTTCGTTTATTTTAATATTTACAAATTAACTGTCCAACTTTTGACATAACAATTCGAATTCTAAAACAATTTAGAATTAAAAATCACTAAATTCTCTCGAGTACAGAAAAGCTCGATTATTATAGTTAATACCTAGTAATATTTTTATTTTTTGTTATTTAAAAAGGCAAAAAAATTAAATTAATTGTTTTTTGTTGATTTAAGGACATTCCTGAAATGCCTGAGAGAAAAATGACTGATGAAATAAATGAACCAATAATGCTTTGCCGTTTTCCGGCTGAAATTAAATCCTTCTACATGCAACGTTGCCCGGAAGATGAACGACTCACTGAATCCGTCGATGTACTTTTACCAAATGTGGGAGAAATTGTCGGCGGTTCTATGCGTATTTGGGAATATGAAGAACTCTTAAAAGGCTACGAACGGGAAAATATTGATCCAAAACCATATTATTGGTACACCGATCAGGTACGAAATTAATTTTTTCTTTCTTTAGATATTTTATCTCTTTAATCAATAATAAATTTAATAATTTATTAATATTTAAAAAAAAACAGAAAAAAAATTGAAAGAATTGAAAATAATTTCCTCATAAAGTCAAAATTAAAAATCAAATTTCATTTTTAACAATCTAGTCAAATATGAATTTTGAAAAATAATTTACAGTTGTAATTGTAATAAAAAAATTATTTTTTTGATTTATTCGAAAAAACGGGAATAAATAAAAATGATGAATTTAAAAAGGAATAAAAAGCTGATTTTTCATTAAAATTAATTGAAATTGAGAATTTATTTATTTATTTATTTATTTTTTTTTTGAAAAAAAAGAAAATTATTCTTTCTTTTAATAATTTTTAAACATTAAACAATTTTTTTCAAATTCTATAAAATAATTTCAGCGTAAATACGGAACTTGTCCCCATGGTGGCTATGGATTGGGCTTGGAAAGATTTCTCTGTTGGCTACTAAACAGATATCATATCAGAGAAGTTTGTCTCTATCCACGTTTCCTCGAACGTTGTCGTCCATAAATGTCTCGCAAATAAACGCGAATAATGTTGAGAATATTTTTTTTTTCAATCCTGTCTAACTTAAATCAATTATAAGCTTGTCATAGATTTGCAATAATTAAATAAAGAATACCAAACAATTTATGTATTTACTTGCAAAAAAATAGAAAAAAAAGAGAAATCTAATTTATTGATCAATTTATTAAAAATGCCACGCTTAATTTTGTTTTATTTAAATTATTCTTTTTGCCGATGAAATTGAATAAACAATTCTGATTAAGAATAATATTTTATAATTCAAATTATTAGTACGACTTTAATAATTCTGTTTGAATTAAAAACATCGCATTTGTAAATTGTGTATTGTGGCAGTTACTTGAATATATTTTTTTTTTAATTAGATTTAATTGAACAATTTTAATTTAATAAATAATGTTGCCGTGGACGATTTTTTTTATTTTATGTTTAATAACATTTCTCGCGTTTGTCGTGAATTTTTACAATAAACGGGAATTTTATCAAATTGCATCAAAAATTCCAGGACCATTTTCACTTCCTATTTTAGGAGACGCTTATCTTTTTCTCGGCAATACAGAAAGTGAGTTCTAGAAGCTAAAAAAATATGTAATAATGTAATTGAAAATTTTTAAACATTAATTAAAATTTAGTTAACATACTAATTTATTTTTTCTATGAACTTCAAGAGGAAAGAAAAAATGTTATTGAAAACTTAAATTTTCAGAAGTGTATAAAAATTTATTGGCTCTTTCTAAAAAATTTGGGACAAATGCTGTTCGACTTTGGTTAGGTAATCGATTAATGATCTTTTTCTACAATCCTGAGGATATTAAAGTAAGAAAATAGCAATTAAAATCTGAAATTAAAGTAATAGTCTTATTAATGAAAAGAGAAATACCTTTTTAATAGAAAAAGAAATAGTTTTGTTAATGAACCAAAATGAAATAGAAATAAAATAGAAATAATTACTTTTTACATACTGAAAAAAATAAAGAAATTACAATTTACAGAATATTCTTCAAAATTCGAAGACTTTTGAGAAAGGTGATTTATATTCTTTGATGGAGCCATGGCTTGGATCAGGTTTAGTTACAGCGAAAGGTAATAAAATTGAACTAAATTTAATTCTTTTTTGAGAAAAAGTATTTTGTAAATGAAAATGATTCTTCAAGAAATTTAATTTAAATATATTTTTTATTATCTTTTTGCTTTCGCAGGAGATGTATGGAAAGTTCACAGAAAATTCATTCAACCGACTTTTAATCAACGAATTTTAAATTCATTCGTTGACATTTTCCATAAACATTCTTTGATATTGACGAAAAAATTGGAAAAAGAAATCAATGGCGAAGAATTTGATATTAATCAATACATTGCAATTAATTCACTTGCAATAATTCGCGGTGAGTGACACATTTTTTTTTTTAATTTTCCAAGTAAAAGTTTATTTAAAATACAGAATTAAAATTTTTCAAGTAAATTTATTTATAGTAACAAAGTTAGTTAGTTATTTTTTTAGTTTAAAAATAAAACGCTCTTTGTTACTAAATCTAATAAAGAAAAGAAAATAAAAGTAAATTAAATAAATTGAATAAAAATGTAATTAAAATAATTAGATAATTTTAAAAACGTAATTGACGTAATAATTGAAGTAAAATGAAAAATAAATAAAAAATATTTAAAATATTTTGTCTTTACTAATTTTTTTACAGAAAGCGCAATGGGAATTGATGAGAAGGAAGAGGAGAGTGACAGTAAAAAATATAGAAAGGCTCTCAAAAAGTGAGTGCGAAATAGTTAAATTATAAATTATTTCTATAATGATTTTAATTATTGCTAATCATTTTTCTTTAAGTTAAATTTTATTTATTTATTTATTTATTTATGAATAAATTATTAAATTTATCATTTAAAATAATAATACTAAATTTATTTCAAATTAATAGAATTAATTTCACTTCTGTACTGAATCTAATTTTCATAGCTTTCATTAATTGAAATTCTTCATTTTTCGCAGAATACTCGAAACTATCAGTCAACGAACCTTTAAATTCTGGCTTCAAGTGGACATTATTTTTAAAATGACAAAATTATCGACACAATTTCAGGAAAGTGTTAACTACCTGCACAATTTTACGGATAAGGTGAAATGGTTTTTCTATTTTTTCAATTTAAAATTTAAAAATGTTTCTCGATTTGCAAGAATTGTGAATTTTAATTTTAATTTAACTTTGGCTTTAATTTGAAAAATTCTAAAAATTAATTTTTTAATTTTTAATTTATAAATTTTGAAACTAGTTCTAATTTAGAAATTTTAGAATTGTATATAATTTTAAATATTGTAATCTCATGTTTTGAACTTAAAAATCAATCATTCAAAATAAATTTCAGGTAATTCGAGCGAAACGGAAAAAAATTGGCAATAATAATTTTACCGTAGGTAATAATTAATTATAATTATTCGTTTATTTATATTTATTTATATTTTTTATTTTTGAAATTTTGAATTTATAAAAACATTTTTTTGTCTGGAAAAAAATTACTAAAACCATATTGTTTTTTTTAGAAAAAGCAAGTAAACTTAAGAAATTAATTTTTGAAAATTGCAGATGATGACGATGATTCACCAAAGAATATGAAACCATTTCTTGATTTATTAATGACACTATCGGAGAAAGAGAAAATATTCACAGATTCGGAACTTCGGAATGAAGTCGACACTATTATGTTTGCTGTGAATATATTTTTTAGAATAAAATTTTCATTTTACAATTAATAATTTTTCATTTTAAATTTGAGATTTCTAATATTTCTTATTTCTTTTTACAGGGACATGATACGACTTCATTGACAGCATCATTTACATTACTTATGTTGGCCTCTCATCCTGAAATTCAGGTTTCTATTTTACGTATTTCAAACTCAAAGAAATATTTTTTACTTCAGGATTTTTATTACTTTTTTATTACAGAATTTTTATTATTTGTTTCATTATAGGATTTTTTATTTTATATTTATATTTATATTACTTATAATTTTTAAAACCTATTGACAATTTTTTGTCAGTTTCGTTATTGTTTTTCTTTTTTTATTCTTGTTATTGTTTTTTGCTTGTTTTGCTATTGCTTTATTTTTTTATTCTTGTCATTTTTTTTGTTTTGTTATTTTATATTTTTATTTCATTTTTATCACTTTCTTGAATATTGGACTTTTTTTCTTACAGGACAAAGTCTACAAAGAGATTTACAATGTTTTTGGCTCTCAAAGTCCTGAAGAAGTTCCCTTCAAATCTGAGCATGTTCAATATTTTCCCTACTTGGAGAAAGTAATTAAAGAAACTTTACGTCTATTTCCGGTGGTGCCATTTTTACAGCGTAAAGTCAGTGATAATTTTGAAATAGGTGACGTACTTTTGTTTTTTCCTTTTTTTATTTCTTTCTTTGTTATTTTTTTGTTTTTGTTTACAAGTAGAAAATCTAAAAATTAATTCTTTTTCTTTTTTTAGGCGAATATACAGTTCCAAAAGGTTCTACAGTTGTTGTTCCAGTGCCGAATATTCATCGCGATGAAAGAATTTGGCCGGATCCTTGTAAATTTAATCCAGAAAGATTTTCATCTGAGGAAATTGCAAAACGTCATCCGTACGTTTATCTTCCATTTAGCGCAGGACCAAAAAATTGTATTGGTATGACATTTTTTTTTATATTTTTTATAGTTTTTGTTAATTATTTTTTTACTTATAATTGTTTAAAGAAATAAAAATTCCATAATAATTAGAATTTTACAATTTTTTTGCTCCAGTTTCTAAAAAACCTATTTTTTCAAATATTATATTCAAATAATTTTCTAAAATATATTATTCTTCTTTTAAGGACATTGTGAAGAAGGACAAAATAAAACCAATTGAGGATATTCGAATAAAATTGGACGCTGTACTTCGTGCCGTTGAGCCAATTAGTATCAGAATTGAGAAACGCATCAAGAGTTAAACTATAATTTTTAAGTGACTTAACGCCGTTTTTGATATTTTCGATTTTTTTCCAAAAAAGCCGCCGCTTTGAATCAATTAGAAAATTAGTTACAAAATTGAACAAATAGCGACAAATTTTTATTAATTTTAATAAAAACTTCTTTTTTAACTATTTAATCAGTATAATGTTCTAAATAATTAATAATAATAATAATAATAATAAAAATAATAATAATACTTAATAATAAAATTGAAAAAATTCCAAATTTGGCAAATCTTAGAATAATTATTAATTAAATAATATACAGAATTAAAAAATAAATAAATTAATTAGAAAATCTAATATATAATTACAATTGACGAATTAAATACCAATTAATAATTACAATGCAAGAAGAGTAAAGAAAAACATTTTTTACATGCACCATTTTTAATTATTATTTTTGCTCTTATTTTGTTTGGATTTAAAAATTTTAGTGAGGTTTATATTTTATTTTTAAAAATCAATGAAATATCAATTTTTTGAAAAAGTTTTATTTATTTATTTTTATTATTGTTTAAAAATTTCATCAATATTAATTTTACTTGATTGAATCATTGAAAAACACAAAATGCAAATTTCTCATTGAAATTAATAAAAAAAAAAAAAAAATTTATCACTTATTTCTCAAAAAACATAATTTGAAATTTTTATTAAAATTTAAGAGTAATTTTTTTCACGATAATTTAAAATTTGTAAATAATTTAAAAATATGAACGTCGTGATCATGAATTTTTCTTTTTTGCCGACAAATTATTATTGCTGTCTCATCATCTGAAACTTATACTATAAACTATCCAGGAAAAAATAAATTTATTTCTTCTTTTCTCAAAAAAATAAAAAAAGCAAATTGTAATAAATAAAAATTACAGTAAATATTTCATATTTTTATTTTTCCATTTTAATTGAGTTAATTTTTATAAATCATCTTTTAAAGAAATTTTCAGTTAGAAAATAATGCAATTTTTAGAAATCATCTTTGGAAAAAAGTGTTAATCAAAAATGAAACGCGTAGAATTTAAAAGAAGTTAGATTTTTATGGATAAATTATAAAAAATTAATAAATTGTAGTAGTATCTAAATTTATTTAGATGAGATAAACTTTAAAGATTAATTTATTTCGTAAGCAGCTAATGTAAATTATTATTATTATTATTATTATTATTATGACGGAAAAGTTCATAGAGCATTTCAATTTTGTACTTGACATTATTCAAATTATCGTTTTTATGAAAAAAAGACGAGGAAATAGCTTTTATAGCAATAGATATTTACAATGTGCTTATAATCCTGTGCTAATTAAAAACTTGTTAGTTGAATATTGTACATTGTATCAGATACTCGATGAATTGCAAAATTAGAATTTAATAATATTAATAATATTTTTATTTATCGGAGTTTCGTTAACTTTTACTCGGAGTGACTGTTTTACTCATAATTTTTTATTATTATTATTATTATTATTATTTATTACTATCATTATTTATTATTATTATTTATTATTATCATTGTTTATTATTATTTTTTCGAATTATATTTTTTATTCTAACTATTCTAATTATTTTTTGATAATTTTTATTTATTACTTTTATTTTTTTCATTTATGTTTGAAATTTAACTTCAAAATTAAATAATCTACATTTTACAAAAGTTATTGTAAATTTTCGTTAATACTATTTTTATTATTATTATCACTATTATTCAACATTAACATAATAATGTTGCCATGGACAATTGCAGTTATTTTAGGATTAATGACAATTCTTGCATATATATTTAATTTTTATAAGAATCGAGAATTCAATCAACTTGCATCAAAATTTCCTGGACCATTTTCACTTCCTTTGTTAGGAGATGCTTATCTTTTTCTCGGCAATTCAGAAAGTAAGTTTTTCTTGTTTTTGTCGATAAAATAAAAAAATTTTAACTATCTTAACTGAGTGAAAACTATTTTTATACTTAAATAATAATTTTTCAATTCTTTTTTTCTTTTCAGAAATATACAAAGCATTATATAGTCTTCCTGAAAGATTTAATGCAAATTGTGGAAGAATTTGGTTGGGTCCTCGATTAATTATATGTTTTTATAATCCTGAAGATATCAAGGTGAGAAAAAAATTACAAATATATAAAATTGTAAATTATAAACAAATTTGAGGAAATATTTCGAAAATGTTTGAAATTTTTTTATATTTTATTATTTATTATTATTATTATTATTATTATTATTATTATTATTATTATTATTATTATTATTAATTCAATCTATAAAATTTAGCCTAGAGAATACAGATTCGAGCAATAAAATTTATTATCAATATTATTACTATCGAAATAATATTACAAATTAAAAAAAAAATATTTTTATTCTCTACTTTTTGGCAAAATTAAATTTTCCTACAGTAAATCGAAAATTGCCGTTTAAAATTGTTTTTGAAATTAATATCTATTATTAATAGCAAAATAAAATAAAGAAAATTAAGATAAAGAACTAAAATTTACTCTTTTTTAATTTTAGAAATTAAAAAATTGAAATTATTATTTTTTTTACAGACTATTCTTCAGAATCCAGCAACTTCTGAAAAAGATGATTTATACTCTGTAATGGAGCCTTGGCTTGGTTCTGGATTAATTACAGCAAAAGGTAAAAGTATTTAATTTAAAAAATTTCCTTTTTTTGAAACTTGTTTATTTTTGCAATATTTTTTTAGAAAAATCTTTTTTGTAAAAATTTTTAATTATATCTGTCTTTTATTTTTTGTAGGAGATGTATGGAAAGTGCACAGAAAATTCATTCAACCGACTTTTAATCAACGAATTTTAAATTCATTCGTTGACATTTTTCATAAACATTCTTTGATATTGACGAAAAAATTAGAAAAAGAAATCAATGGCCAGGAATTTAATATAAATCAATATATTTCAATTAGTTCCCTAGCAATAATTCGCGGTGAGTTAATTATTTTTTTCCTCCATTATTTAAAATAATTTTTTCCTCTTCTCACTTTGTTTTCAATCACAAATCAATGTAATAGTTTTTTTTTGTTATCTTTGTAATTATTTTTATCTCCATACATTAGTTATTGTCTTTTTATTATTTTTTAAAATTTTATTTCTATTTTTTAATTTAATTTCTTTTTTATGCTTAATTTCCTAATGAATTTATTATAATTTGTTTCTAAGAGAGCGCAATGGGAATTAATGAACACGAAGACGAGAATACCAATAAAACATATGTGAAAGCTCTTGGAAAGTTAGTAAATGAATTAATTAATAAAGAAATTTTTTTTTCTCTTAATGATTCAAAATTCAATAAAATTAAATAAAATTGTTACATTTTTCTGTTTTATTAAGTTAAATTCATAGTGGTAAAATAGTAAATATTCGTTGTTGTAAATAAAATTTAAACTCAATTTGAATCTAGTTTTTAGTAATTTTAAAATCGTCTACATTGTAATTTTACGTATTTTTCACAGAACACTCGAAACTGCCAACGAACGAATCTTCAAAGTTTGGCTTCAAGTGGATATCATTTTTAAAATGACCAAATTATCGAAACAATTTCAGGAGAGTGTTAAGTACTTGCACAATTTTACCGATAAGGTAATTCATTTTTTCATTTTTTCAATTTGTGAAAATTGTACGTTCAAATCTTTTTTGTATAAAGAAAATTTGTTATACAATTTTAGAAAAAATCTATTATTAATTTACATTGTTTTTTGCAGTTAATTAAATCAAAAAGGGAAAAAATTAACTCTGATAAGGAAATTGAAGAAGGTAATTAATTTATTATCGAAATTATAACAAATCATTTTTTTATTCAATTATTTTGAAATACACTTTTTATTTTTTTTTGTATTTAATTTTTTATTTTATTTTATATTATATTTTTTATTTTATTAATATTCATTTTTATTTTTGTGAAGATTTTTTTTATTAAAATTCTTTAAAAAAATTAAATCCCTGCGAAGAATTTGATTAATTAATGGAATAATTTAATTATCATAAATTTGATCAAAATTTTTGAAAGTACATAATTGAATTCCTGCGCAGAATTTTATAATTAACATTTTTTTAAAATAATTAAATTCTTTCGAGAAATGTTATTAAATATGAAAATAATTGAAATCTCAGTAAAAATTTTATTAAAATTCTATTAAAAATAATTGCATTCTTATAAAGAATATGAACAAAAATTTTTCAATATAATTAAATTTCTGCGAAGAATTTTATTATTTACGAAAAGAATTAATTTTTATTTTAAATATTTAATTAAGTTTCATTCTTATACAGAATTTTATTGAAATTTTTCCAAATAAAGAATTTTTTGCCTAGATTTTATTAAAATTCTTTAAAATAGAATTTAATGAATAATTTTCAAAAGACTTTAATTTTTGAATAATTTTAGGAGATTCTTCAAAGAAAATGAAACCATTTCTTGACATATTGATGAATTTATCGGATAAGGAGAAACTATTATCGGATTCGGAACTTCGAAATGAAGTCGACACTATATTGTTTGCAGTAATTAAATCTTACATTTCCGTTCAATTATTAATTTTTATTTTTATTATTAACATTAATAATTAATCATTCTTAATTGAAGTAGATTTTAATTTATTTTAGAATTCTCAATTTTTAGGGTCACGATACAACTGCAACGACTGTATCATTTACTTTACTTATGTTAGCATCTCACCAAGATATTCAGGTTTGTTTATGTTCATTTTTAATTTTTATCTATATTAATTTTAATAATGGAATATTAATTAAAATTTTAATTACAATAATTGAATATCAATTATAATAATGTAATAAAAATTATAATAATGTAGTACTAATTTTATTGATTCAATAACAATTATATTAATATAAGAATGTAAAAATAATTTCAGAAATTCTCTCTTACAGGATAAAGTCTACAAGGAGATTTACAATCTTTACGGATCGAAAACTCCCGAAGAAGTTCCTTTTACATCCGAACATTTTCAACACTTACCTTACATGGAGAAGGTGATCAAAGAAACCATGCGACTCTTTCCGATTGCGCCATTTTTACTGCGAAAAGTCAGTGAAAATTTGAAATTAGGTAATTTATTTATTAATTATTTTATGGTACTTTCGTTTTTTTATTTTTCTAAAAGAAATTATTTTTCAAAATAATTATTCAAAATATTTATTATATTAAATTTAACATTTCTAATAATCCTTAATTTGTTTCAATCAATTTTAAATTAATTTTGTACTAAAAAAATTTTGTATTGTTTCGATTGAAAGAAATTTTAGGAAAATATATTTTCGTTGATAATATTTATTTATTATTAATATTATTCAAAATATATGTTTTCTTTTCTTTTTTTTTTTTTTGAAGCTTTTGAAAATTATTGAAACAAATTAAGAAATTTTTATTTTAATTTTATTTTCATTTATTTTTTTCCAATCAATTTAAATTTGCGTTTAGCACAAAAAAATTTTTTTCTTGTTTTATCTATATTGTAAAAAGAAAAAAACATTAATTGCAGGAAAAAATACAGTTCCAAAGGGTTCAAGTGTCTTAATTCCAGTATCAAATATTCATCGGGATGAGAAAATTTGGCATGAACCTTTTAAATTTAATCCAGAAAGATTCTCATCAGAGGAATCTGCTAAACGTCATCCGTACGCTTATCTTCCATTTAGCGCAGGACCGAGAAATTGTATCGGTAATTAATTATATCAATTTTATTGATAATTATAAACAATTATTTTTCGTAATTAAATTATAATCAGGTTTTCTTTCGTTAGAATCTAAATTTTTCTCTTCTATCGACTTTTCCTTTATTTTATTTATTTGGCATTTATTTGTTTATTTTTATTTGTTTCTTTATTTTTATTTATTTGTTTATTTTTATTTGTTTCTTTATTTTTATTTATTTCTTTATTTTCATTTGTTTCTTTATTTTTATTTATTTCTTTATTTTCATTTGTTTCTTTATTTTTATTTATTTATTTATTTTTATTTGTTTATTTTTATTTATTTAGTTTTATTTATTTATCCATTAATTTCACATTTTTTTTACTTTAAGGACAAACGTTTGCAATGATGTCGATGAAGTCAATAGTGAGCACAATTCTCCGCAAATATATTGTCAAGAAGGATAAAATAAAACCAATCGAGGATATTGGAATAAAATTGGATATTCTACTTCGTTCCACGGAGCCAATTACAATTAGAATTGAAAACAGAAAAATTTTGAATTAAAAAACAAAATTTTATCATTCCCGAATAAATACACAAGCAAGAAAAGAAGATTATTCCGGTAATCTGTATTCAATTTAGTTGCTCTTTGCGGGAATATAGAACGAGAAATGCAAAAACTTTCACCATCGCAAATAAATAAATCGTCAATTGAATACGTGCGGAAAATTTTTTTTTTATATTATTTATTTCACGGGCGTTTATTTATATAATATATATATAGAAAATTCATTTCAAAAAAAGAAATAGCTAAACTTTTGAAAATATTTAAATTTTTTCTGTTTATAATTTCGAACAAAATACGAATTAATTGTATTTTTTATTTATTTTTTTTTTTGTTTTATTCTTACAGTGCTCTACACTATCATTTCATTGTATTTGTATGTATCTAAACTCGTATATCCTTTAAATTCAACATTTATTGACGAAAGCAAATTTTATTGTCTTATTCATTGCTTAATTTGTATTCGATTCACTCCACAGCGCAAGACCTCACATAAAATAAATTTATTTTACTGTCAAACATTTTTGGTACGAATTGCATCAATGATTCACTAACTTCGAAATATTGCCATTGTTATTATTATTATTATTAAATTATTATTATTATTATTATTGCTATCATCAATAATATTTTTTTCTTTTATTTTTACTATAAAAATAATTAAAATTTAAAAAAATATTTTCATTATTAAAACATCTACTGTTTTGGGAGAATTTTAAATTTTCCATGGAGTAAATTGAAAATTCCTATTTAAAATTGTTTTTATTTGTAATTGCTTCCTTCGAGACTGCTATTTATAACCAAAAAAAACTATTTCAAAAACTGAATATATATTATTTATAAATAATAATATATATTTTAAAAAAAGAATATATAAATTTAAAAAAAAAATTTTGTTTCAAATAAAAATGAATGAAAAAATAATTTGAAAATAATGAATTAAATGAGCTAAAAAGAGAGTTTTTATTGGATTAAAAATAGGACAAATTTATTAAAGAATAAATTAGTATAAATAAATATTTATTAAATAAAAAACAATTTTTTTAAGGTACCATTATTTTTTTAAATCAATTTTCTTCGCGAACAGAAAAGAATTTTTTTACCTTGACAAAAAATTACAATGATTTGACCAAATCTTTCACTGCATATAAAAAAAAGAAAAATTGGCAGTACGACTATTGCATTATGGGGGACAAAAGGTGCAGTCTTCGTTGTTTAGTGTTTCAATACTCAACAGTTGAATTTTTGCTCCCGATTAGATAACAATTAATAAAAAAAAAGAAAAATTAATTATTATTTCAAGAAACTAAATAAAAAATAATAAATAATAATAATAATAATAGTAATAATAAAAATAACGAATATAATAATATTTATAAAAACAAAAAAATAATAAAAAAATTACTTTAACGAAAATAAAAAATCTAAACTAGAAATTTTCTTTTGTAAAATGGGTGTTATATTAATAATTGCAATTGTATTTATTTTATTAAGTTTTATAATTCAATATGTGAAAAATAGACGACTATACAGACAAGCGGAATTATTTTCTGGTCCCAGGCCTTTACCAATAATTGGAAGTGGTCATTTATTTATTGGAAATGCCGAAGGTTTGTTGTATTAATACGAACGAATTAAAATTAATAAAAGATAAATATATTATTTCCAAAAAAAAAGATAATTGTATTATAATAAATTTTAATTTTTTGTATCGAATATTTTTTGTATAGAAAATACAAAATATTTTTTGTATCCAATAATTTTTATCAAAAATATTATTTGTAGGTATCGAATATTTTTCATCGAAAATACAAAATATTTTTTTGCATTGAATATTTTTTATTAAAAATAATTTTTTGTATCGAATATTTTCCATCGAAAATATTTGTTGTGTCGAATATTTATTATCGAAAATAAAAAATATTTTTTGTATCGAATATTTTCTATTGATAAATATTTTTTGTATCAAAAATATATATTTTTTAACGAAAAAATTGTTTGTATCGAAAACATTTTTCACCAAAAAATATATTCAATCATAGAATAAAATAGAATAAAATAGCTTTAGAAAACATTCTTTTCGCAAACTGTGACGTCATAATGGTTCAAATTACCTTAAGTAAATAAATATCTCTAAATAATTAAATAAATAGAGAAAAATAAATAAATACGAATAACGTTTTCTGTTACTCATTTATAAAAGAAAAAAAATATTTTTGAAAAAATTTGATTCTAAACATTTAGGTATTTAATTCCTGTAAAATTAAATTTGGAAAAAATTGAAATTAATTTCAATTCGAATAGATAATAATTTATTTATGTATTATTATCATTTATTTTTGTTATTTTAAAATAAATTCTTTGAAGTAAAGAAAATAAATGTAAATAAATTTTTTTCCTAAATTTGATTTTAGATATTCTCAATAAATTTAAAGATATCTATGAATCGTATCCTTCACCGTTGCGAGTGTGGCTGGGAAATCGTTTATATATCGCTATTTACGAACCTGAACAACTAAAAGTGAGATATTTTTTTAAAAAAATTGTATTTTATTCCTTTTTTTATATCGCAAATTAATTTTTCATATTTTTTTAAGGCAGTTTTTTTAAGTCCAAAGGCTATTGAAAAAGATGATCTTTATAAATTTATGCGTCCATGGTTAGGGACTGGATTATTTACTTCACCGGGTACGTTAATTTTCATTTTACAATGAATTACTACAATTTTAATTTTAATTGCCTTTTTCAATTATTCAAGAATATTCTATTATTAATAATATTAATATTAATAATAATCATAATAATAATTATTATTATAATTATACTAATAATAATAACAAGAATAATAATAATTATTATTATAATTAAAAAAATGAATAATTACAACTATAATTTTTAATATAAAATTTTTCTGTTCTAAATGAAAATTTATTTTTAGCCGCGAAATGGCGAATTCATCGAAGATTAATTATGCCGGCATTTAATCCAAAAATTTTACAATCTTTCGTTGAAATTTTCGATAAACATTCAAGAATATTAGTGAAAAATTTAGAATCACAAGTTGATGGCGAAGAATTCGATGTATTTAAATTAATATCAGTTTGTACTTTAAATACAATTTGTGGTAAGACTATTCAATTACTTCAGTTTTAAATAATTTTATAACTAATTAATCGACTACAATTTAAATTTTAATTGCACTTTTATTTTTTGTATTTTTTTCGCTTTTTTTATTTTACTAATAATTTTACATAGATTATTTAATTTCTTAAAATTATTTTATTTGATAATTTTCATTCTTTCTTTTTCTTAATTTTTGCTGTCAATTTTTATTATACAATTTTTATTATTAATTTCTATCTATTGTTAAATTTTTATTGTCATTTCTATAGTTAAATTTTTTTGTAATTTCTTTTGTTAAATTTTTATTGTAATTTCTATTGATAATTTTCATTGTTTTTATTTTGTTTTATATTATTTTATTTATTACAAAGATTTAAAAATCTGTAATTTTTAATTAATTTTTATTGTTAATTTTTATTATTTTTCTTTATTTTTATTGATAATTTGCAGTTAATTTTTTATTGTTAAAAAAATGTTTCTCAGCAATTTTTCTACTTTTTTAAGAAAGTGCTATGGGCGTTTCAACAAATTCCGAAACCGATAAGCACAATAAATATGCCAAAGCAGCTGAAAGGTTATTATTAATTTTTTCTTCTGTAAATATTTTGCAAAAATTTCTATAATTAAAAATTAATTTTCAATTTTTCCCTTCTTTATTTTTTTTTAAATATTCCTAATAGAGTGTTTCAAGTGGTTTTTCATCGAATGGCAAAAATTTGGCTTCATCCGGAATTTATTTTCAAACTCACTAAATTATCACGAGACATGAATGAATCAATTCAATATTTACACAGTGTCACAAATGATGTAAATACAAATTCCTTTTCTTTTACATATTTAAATAATAATTAAATTATTAATTCAAATATTTTATTTGCGACAAATGAAATTTTTTTTATTTGCCTTTTTTGTTTGTGTTTTTTTATAGTTTTTTTTTTATTTTATATTAAAAATATCATTTTTTTTTTGTTTTCAAAGGTTATTCGAAAGAAAAAAGAATTAAAAGCCGTTGGACTCTCTGCTAATGAGGGTAAGAAAATTTTAAAACGATTTAAATTTTCTAAAATTCGAAAGAAATACTTTTTCTTTATTACGTTTATTACCGTAAATAAATTTAATTCCGAATGGAAAATTAAAAATTGTCGCGATTATTGCAGATACGAATAAAACTCACTGGAAACCATTTTTGGATCTCCTGATGGAATTATCAGACGATGGGAAAAAATTCACAGACGAAGAATTACGCGAAGAAGTCGATACTATGATGATTGCGGTAGTATTTTTTTTTTTATTTCAAAAAGAAATTAATTAAATATAAAAGTAATGAAAATTCTTAATATTTCAAAATTGAAATTGAATATAAAAATAATTTTCAAAACTAACGATAATATTTTTCAGGGAAATGATACAACAGCGAGTGTTAATTCTTTTGTTATGCTAATGTTAGCCTCTTATCCCGAAATACAAGTAATTTTAATTTTTAAAAAACTTTAATTTTCTCTTGAAGAAAAGTTTATAATTTTTCCTTTTTTCTCTCCCTCAAATTTAGGAGAAGACCTATCAGGAAATTTTTGAAATTTACGGAGATTCGGATCCAGAAGATTGTCCAATTAAACCTGAAGATTTACAAAGAATGCCATACTTGGAACGTGTTATCAAGGAAACAATGCGTCTATTTCCCGTTGGTCCTGTTATTTTGAGGAAATTGTCAGATGATCTTGACATTGGTTTGTGATACACTTTTGTATTTATACTTTTCTTTTTCTTTTTCCTACAGGAAAATTTAGAAAAAATTTCTCTTTCTAAAATTAAATTACCAAAAGTGTTCGTAACCAATATTCTGAATTTTTTCCCTTAAAAAGAAATAATTCTAATAAGATAAACGAAGACATTCAGATAAATTAGAAATAATTCTAATTTGTAAAAAAAATCTAATTTCAAAAAAGAGGAAATTAAACAAGAAGGCAATTTTTTTTGCGAGAAGATGCTGCGTTGATTTTGAGTGATCTTGACAAAGAGTTTACGATTTTCTCCAAATTAGGTGATCATAAACTGCCAAAAGGATGTTCAGTGGTACTTGTAATAATAAAAGTACATCGTACCGATGAACTCTGGCCAAATCCATTGAAATTCGATCCTGATAGATTTTTACCAGAGGAAGTTGCAAAACGTCATCCCTATTCCTACATTCCATTCAGCGCTGGTCCACGAAACTGTATTGGTAACAAATGCTAACAAATTTATTAAATTCAAATTTCTATATTTTCAATTGTTATTCTGACTAAATTTAAATTTTTCTAAAAACTGTAAATTTTATCCAATCGATTTTTAATTCCCTAACTGCAGTTAAAATTAGAGAAAAAAAATCATTATATCATGCAGTTTTATATCAACTGTTTATATAATTTATTTTTATTAAGCTAGCAATGTTAGTGGCAAAACTACTAGAAAATTTTAAAAAGAAAAAAAAAATTGAATTAAATAATTTGAAATATTTAATTCTTTTTCTAAATACCTAATAAAATTATACCCAGAAATTCAATTATTTTTAGAAATTTTGATTGAATTCGTTATAAGAATTGAACCATTATTAATGTAGATTTTTTCGCTAATTGATTTTATTTATTTGTTAAGTTAATTAATTTATGAATAGAATAGAAATAAAATTAATTAATTTATTTATCAAGTTATTAAAATTAATTTCAATGTCATTTTATGACAGGTTTCAAGTACGCAATGATGTCAATGAAAGTACTTTTGGCAACAATTCTTCGAAAATACATCTTGATAAAGGACAAAGTGACACCGATTCAAGATATTAAATTAAAAGTCGACGTAATGCTAAAACCAGTTGAAAAAATTACCCTTCGAATTAAGAATAGACCATTGAAAAAGTGTATTTAACTTTAAATATTCGTATCGTTTTCCATAAGTTAGTAATCGATGAAAAAAAATAATCTCCGATAAATTAAAATTAATAAATAAATATTCTACAATTAAGAAAAATTTCTATCAAATTATAAATTGTTTTTTCAAATAAAAATATTGTTTTTAATTTAATTAATAAATTAATCGTCTGTAATTTTTTGTGTTCGATGATCAAATAGGAAAAAAATGTTGTAAAATGAACAAAAAAAAGAAGAAATTTACCTTAAATTGTGAGATAAGGACTGTCAATTGCACCAGCTCCAGCAACAATTCCTCCTTCATTCGATGATGACGATTTCGTGCGTAAAAGATGGCCAACTTGTTCATTCACTTTTATTTCATTTTTGCTTCTGTAAAATTCATTTTATTTTTACTTCTTCAAAATTTATTTCAAAAATTTTTCTTCTCAATTAAAATTTATTTCAAACATACCCAATTATCACGCCATATATTCCAAGTTCGCAAATAACTTCTTGCGGTTTAATAATTTCCTCACTATCTGCTCGAATGATATAATTTTTGAAAAGCGGGGGAAATATTCGTTCCATTAAAATCCATCCAGATCGGTCTTTGGAATTTTTGAATTTTTCCAATTGTATTCTAACTTCATCGTCATAAATATTATTGCCACCTCCTTCACGCTGTGGTTTCAGTACATAATTCCTAGGCTCACTGATTCCCTTCGCAATTGCCTTTTCGCCATTTTCGTCCTTTATTTAAAGAAAAAAGAAATTCGACGTTAAATAGAAATTCTTTTTTTTTCATTTAATTTTTTCTCCTGTTAAAATTACGATTTTTTTTCTTTTGAATTAATTTATTAGAATTATTATATTATTATTAATATAAATTATTCAATTGAGAATTTTTCTTACTTCGCATGAGATTTAAAAAATTTTTTATTAGAATTTATTATAATTTTATTAATTAGAATTATTTTCTTTATTGGATTTTTTGGATTGGAAAATTCCCTGAGAAAGATATTAAAATAAAAAAGCGACTTTTTAAATAAATAGGGAATTAAATTTTTAAATTAACAATTTTTTAAGAATCAGGAAAATTTTGAATAAAAACTGAAACAGTAAAAAAAGTGAAAAAGTTACTTACAAAGTCCAATGAATAAAGGCCAGTGAAGGTATCAGTGACTTTTTTAACTAAATTAGAATCACTGAGAAATCGTTCTACAACTCCAGGAAGCGATAAAACTTGTTGAACCTATTTTTATTTAGGAAAGAAGAAGAATTTGTTACAATAATTGTTCATAGTAAAAATAAAAACAAAACTTCCTTGATCAGAAAGCAAAAACTTTAATTTATTTTATAAATAAATTATTTTTTTATAAATAAATTATGAAAAATAAATAAAATATTATATATTAAAAAAAATTTATATTTATATTAAAAATATTATATTAATATTTGAACGTACCTTTTTGGTGCCTGCTAAATGATACTGTATCGAGGGACATTTGATAGCGAGAGAACGTTCAATTAATAATCTCACATCCCATTCTTTTTCCGTGGGATACGCTTCTAATCCATATCCAGAACGATAGTACACAACAGAAATTATTGAACCATCGCTGAAAGAATAAAAATTTGTTTTATCATTTTTATACAGTTTGCAAAAATTATTCAATATTAAGAAATTTAATATTACAAAAAAGAAAAGAAAATAAAGTTAACATTTATTATTATAATTGATAATTGATAATAATAAAAATAATACTTATTTTTCTACTGTTTATTACTAATATTCTTATATTTATAAAAAAAACAGTAGTGAAATAATTATAATTATTATTTTTTCGCCATTATGAAAATAAGGTATGATAATTATTTAAACTTACACAATTAATTCATTTTGTGGTCCCAATTTAGCTTGAGTAACTAATTCAGTTAAATTTCTTCTGATAATTTTAATATTTGAATTTAAATGTTGAATGCCAAATTCAATAAATCTTTGATCACTTATATTGTAAGTAACGTCTTCGACAACAAACAATATTTTCGCTCTGAAATTTAATTTCATTAAATTATTTCATTTTTTTTCATTTAATATAGGTATTTGAATATTAATTTTCTCCTAATTTTCTTTTGCTGAATTTACAATATTTAGCAAACTTACTCCTGATTTTTGTATAAAGACCAAGCGGAAACTAATCCTGTACAAAATCCTGTTACCGAATTATTGTCCGGCATCTGAAATCGATAATAAATTTTTTATTAGAGTCTTTTTGAGTATTTTTAAATATGAGAAATCGAAAATTTCGTAAAAATCCAATAGAATTCGAATTAAATTAAATTTAATTGATTTAAATTAAATTTTGATTAAATCTGAGGAAGAATAAGTGAACTTACATTTTTCAGTTTATCGGAATGTCCCAAATCTTTTAAAATGTATCTGAAATATGATTACAAAACAAATTAATTTTGAATTACTTTTTCTCTCTTTTTTTTATTAGAAAAATAATTCTTCTTCCTTTACTAAAATAATGAATTTAATTTAAAAGAAAAGAATTTGATTTTACCTATGAAATTCAGTGATTGCATTCGACATGCCTGCAAAACTTGAAGCTACAGTATTTATTTCTACTTGCTGAATTTTATTATCACTATCGCTGTGAAGCATATAATCCGATCTGAACAAACCGAGACTGATCGCCTGTAAAATAAACAAATTAACTGTAATAATTTTATTACCGTTTTATTTATTCTCATTAAATAAATCAAATTGTTTTCAATTAAAAATATTTCTTTTATAATTTTGAATCTGCAATAATTGAATTTTTATAAAGAAATTTATTATCTAGCAAAAGAATTATATTTTTTCAAAGTATTTAATTAAATTTATTTTTCTTACAAAAAATTCTTTAAAATAATTAAATTCCTGCGAAAAATTTTATAAATTTTGAAAATAATTGAAATTATGCTAAGAATTTAATTAAAATTCTCGAAAATAAAAGAATTTTTTTCGAGGAAGTTAATTGAAATTGTATTGAAAATATTTCAATTCTGATAAAGAATTTAATCAAAAATTTTCAATAATTATAATTGAATTTTTGCGAAGAATTTTAACAAACTTTGAAAAATAATTGAATTTTTTTGAGATAAATAAATAATAACAATTAATTAGTAATTGAACTTTTTTAACATTTTGAATATGAAATTATTTCAAAATTGAAATTAATATTTGAAAATAAATTAATAAATATCAATAATCACCTGACTGAAACCTTCAGCGTAAACTTTTTCATAAATTTCGAACAGTTTCCTTGTAAAATCATCGGCTTCGATTGTACTAAAGAACAATATAAATAATTTATAATAATAATAATTAATTAATAATAATTTCAAGTTATTATTGTAATTATTTATTTAAAAAGGCCAAAGAATTTGTAATGTAGATAAAAATTAAAAAATAAATATTGTAATAAAATTTGGATATAATTTTCTATTACCTTTTCAAGACATCGACTAAAAATTGATGATCATGAGCAACATTGTGCATTATATCATTAATAACAATTTGAATTTCCACTGCTTTTTCGAATTCTCTTTTTGGAAATGTCGATGGTAACAGTAAAAACGGTGCAATTTGCACTTGATTAAAATTAAATGATTCCTTCGATCTCATACTGACACCTGAAAAAAATTGGAAGAAACAAATAAAACTAATTATTTAACAAACAAAAAAACTATTAAATAATAAACTCAATTATTATTTATTTATTACATTGTAATTAAAATAAACGTAGTATAAAAAAAAGAAATATTGCAATAAAATAAAAGGAATAAAAGTAATAGAAATTCTGGAAAATTAAAATTTTTCACTCAAATTTAAATTAACTCACCGTTCATGATTGCCCAATCTTTTGACTTTTGCACGACAGATTTTAATTCCTGTTCTGATAGATTTAACTCTACACATGGTTCTAATTTTGCTTTATGCATTATTGGAAAAAAGAAATAATATGCAGTTGTAAACAAACAAATTTTAATGATACGGTTTAACTGCGACAAAAATTAAAATTATGGCCGTTGTTTACTCCGTTTTATGCGAAATTCATTTATTAATAACAAACGACAGGTTGTAAAATTATTCTCATATCACTGTCACGAGATAACAATTAAAATAAAATTAAGTAAAAAAAACTGCAATAGACTTCAGAACTACACACGTGACGTGACTGTTTGTAACAAAACGTCATTTTCCTAACCTCAAAAACTTGTAATCAAAACATTGATATATAATATACGTTACTATATTAATAGCTATTATTCAATAAATAACTTAATTATAACCTTCCAAATGATTTACAATTATATTCCAGTGATAAAACTAATTAATAATTGCTTTAATTAATTAATTTAATTGAAAAAACGTTAGTTCCGGGTTTGTCCGCAAGATATAGGTAGATGTCGCCCCAAAAAATGGTGTTTTTTGGTAGTTTTTGAGTTTTTCATGTAATTCACCTTCGCCGAAACTAGCACTCTCATTGGCTAGATTCAAATTTGCGCGCGAACCAACAAGCCAATGATAGGGCTCATGTGGAAATGTACCTTTAGGTTTTCTCATTGGCTTGTTGGTTCGCGCGCAAATTTGAATCTAGCTAATGAGAGTGCTAGTTTCGGCGAAGGTGAATTACTTGAAAAATTCAAAAACTACCAAAAAACACCATTTTTTGGGGCGACATCTACCTATATCTTGCGGACAAACCCGGAACTAACGTTTTTTTTACTTAAATTAATTAATTAAAGTAATTATTAATTAGTTTTATCACTGGAATATGATTGTAAATCATTTAGATTAATAAAAAATTGTGTGACATTCAAAACGAGTTAAGAATTCAATCTTTAGAAATAAAAAACAAGTGTTTCAAATTTTCAATATTCGGATATTTTATTTTCGATACATTGATCACAAGGAAGATTCTGTATTTTTTACAATAAAAATGTAAAGATAATTGTAAATAACTATTTTTTTCTGTAAATAGGAAAATTAAAAGCACCATCAGTTTTTATTTTGAACTTGAAGAAATCACAATTAATTAAGTAGAATTACGAAGTAAAACTAACGCAAATTTCTAAAAAAAAATAACTCCTTAAAACAAAAATAACAGAAATATTATTAATAAAAATAATTAATTAATTATTAATTAATATTAATTAATTAAAATATTATTATTAAAAAAAATCTTACAAAACTTTAAAATTTAAGTTCTTTTTTCTCTCAATATTTTGGTTAATTAGACACCTTTTGAATATCAGTCAAGAATTACAAGTTATCGATGATTTTTTAATTATAAATATAAATAATTACGTGATCTTCTTATCGCTCATATAATTTTTTTTATATCTTTAATAAATTCTTTAAAACATGTAAGAAAGAAACACGTAACATTGATTTATATCTTGCGATAATTTTACACAATTGAAGTTAATTATTGTTTACATATATAATAAATATATAATTTATATTTAATATATAATATACATTAAAACTTTCATTTTCGTTCAAAGCCGAAAGGCATGAACTATGAGTAATAAATATTAAAATTTCTTTTCTATTTCTTTGTCTACTTGTAGTAAATTTAAAACTTTATATTTAAACATTTTAAATAGAGAAAGTTAAAAAATATATTCATATTTTTTTTTAATTCAGTTTTTTGGTATGAAAAAAGTTTGTGTTTTGTCATTAAAAAAATATACCAGTAAAATACTTTTTTGATATCCGCTAAATTAATTCGTTGTTTAAAATTACTGGTAAATTAATTTAAAAAAAACAGTCTGAATAAAAAATGGAAAATAAAAAACAAAATTTGAATTTTGTGCCCAATTGTCGCGCATTAAATTTTTGTGAATAGTCAAGTTGATTTTTCCTCTCAATTGCTTCTGCTCGATAGTAAAAAATCATCTTCTGGACGAGGTAATCGTTTATAGCGTTCCTGCGATGATAAATAAACTGTAAGGGATCCAAAAATAATGAATATTAATCCTATAACATTCACCAAAACTCCTTCAGCTGGCAAATTTTGATACTTCAGTGCTCTGAAAAATAAGTCAATTGTTTATTATTACTATTATTATTATTATTATTATTATTATTATTATTATTATTATACTATTATTATTTTATTTGTTTATTAACAATAACAACTATTTTATTTTTACTAAATTGTATTATTTAAATATAATCTAGAAAAATTTTGGTAAATAAAAATAGTTTTCTTGTGTAATTTATAAGAGTATTTACGATTCTTTCATGGAGTCGACGAAAAGAATTTTTTCAGTGAGTCCCAGTAAACAAGAAGCAACACTGGCAATAAAACCAGCAGTTCCAAAGTAAACGTGAATTGGCATATAGGCAGCTCGTAGAGTAATTTGAACTCCAGGATATAAGAATGAAACACAACCAGCGATCCACTGAAAAATAGAGAATAAATATTGAAAAATTTAGAAACAATTCTTTAGAAGCAATTTCTATTTTTACTATCAAAAAGAAAAATTCGTTTCAATTAGAATTCACCTGTCCAACAAATAGAATGATAGCCGATAATCCAATCCAACTGTGCAATGAATACAAATTTGGAATATTCATTTTGTTATGAAAACTGAAAACAGCCACTGAACCAATAATCGTTAATAAAAAGGCAAATAACATTATTCCTCCGTGAATTAATTTCAATCGCCTCTTACGAACATTTCTTTGTGTTCTGTAAATTAACATTCCTAAAAAAAAACAAAAAGCAGAAATGAATAAATTTAATGAAAAGTTATTATAATTTTAATTAGTTTAAATTTTAATTAAATGTTAAAAAAAATGTTTATTCTTACAAAGAATTTTATAAAAAAATTTGAGAATAATTGAATTTCTTAGTAGAATTTTATTATTTATGAAAATAATCGAATTCTTGCCAAAAATTGTATTAAAAATTGTGAAACTCCTAATTAAATTCATTTTAAGAATTTCTTTAAATTTTTTTTAAATTTTTTAAATATTGGAGTTTCTTTAATAATTTTAATCGAAAATTTTGAAAATGATTGAATTTTATGAACAATTTCTTTCAAGTTTTTAAAATAATCGTGTTTCTTAATAATTGAAATTAAACAATTACATTATTGAATTTTATTAACATTTTTAGAAAATAATTAAATTTATTATTCTCAAAATATATTTGAAAATAAAAAATTTGTATATTTAGTTAAACTAAATTGATACTATAAGCAATGTAAATAATTAAATTTTCTCTATTATTTACCATTAGCGTAGAGAAATACGAGTCCAACTGTCATCAACATTGGATGCCAATTAAATTGTAAAGCTGGACTTGAAGACCAAGCAAATCCGCCTCGATAGCAAAAATTCCACGTTGCCATTAGAATAATTAAAAGAATGCCAAAAGCTTGAGTTAAAATTGTTAAATATTTAAAACCCTCGAGTTTTTGGGACTGAGCCGGTTCTCCTATTTGATCCATGTCTGAAAGAAATTAAACGTAATGTCAAGGAAAAGCAACGCAAAACTAAAATTGAAATAAATAATTCAACTGCGATAAAAATGTGGAATACGATAAAAAGAATAAAAATAAAGGAGAAAAAAATAGATTGTAAAAGGTCAAGTGTCTCATGAAGAAAACAGTAGACAATAGAAGATAGTGGAGAAAATTATTAATAAAAAATAAAAAACAAGGAAAGAAAAATAAAATCATAAATCATTGTATATATAAATTAAATATAGCGACTGAGCGAACTATTTTAAAAATTACGCAAGTTCTCGACTACTTGTCAACAATATGTTTAATAGTGTAAAAATAAAAGACATACCTGAACAGAAATGGTACTGATAAGGAAAAGTTGTGGACATAGATTTTAGTTACAATTATCTAAAAATACGTGCATAATTAAAAATAATAAAGAAACAGAAACGAAAAAGTATTTTAAAATATTAAAATGACATAAGCTTTTTTAAATATCGTATGAGCTATTTTCTTTACGAGAAAAAACAAAAGCAACAGCAAGTTTTTTATTGTTATTAATAATAAAAAATAGGGAAATATAAAAACCTGATTTTGTTATGCGAACTTTTTAGAGAAATTTCCGCAGTTCCGAAATCCGAATTCAACAGGTGCGGTTGCAAACTATATATATATTTTAAATAGAAATATTCTGACGTGCACCAAAACGCTTCTGCGTTTTCATGTCATTGATTTTCTAACTGCGATTAATATTTAAGAGGAGGCAGTATTCAGTTGATTAAAAATTCCTCGCATTCTCTATTTCTTTATAATAGTGACTCGGTCCCCTCGGTCCTCGGAAATCATTAAAGTGACTTTCAAATTGCGCAGAAGGTGCGATAACTTTCCTTTTTTTTTATGGAAATAAAATTTGTTTGAGGTTAAGATTGTTGTTTTGGAACTGTCAGTACTGCCAACCTAAAAATACTAATTACTAATCATAAAGGTGGATTCACAACAAAAACTTCTTCGCGATTTTGATTCGTCATTTGACAAAAAGCGGGAATATTCAAATAAAGTCCAGGGATACATCCGATATATCGAAAATTCTCGAAACAGCATTGATTTCTATTGCCAACTTCAGATCCTTTTCATCCTGCTTGCTTGCGGTGGTCAAAATTTTTTATCAAAAATATAAAAAAAATGATAGATTTTCGTAATAGTGATCAAAATGATAAGAATTCGACGAATACGAATTATAATCAAGAGGACCTTTCAAAAATACCAGGTGTGAAGAAAAAAGATTTATCCATTTAGTGTTCTTTTCTTTTTTTTAATATGCGGGAGAATTGTGGAAAAAATTATTGATTCTAACCTCAATTTTACGGGTCTTTCATGCGCTTTCGAAATTAATAAATTGAAACAAATCTATAGCAATTATATAACTTTCTTTTTTTGCATTTTTAATATCACGATAAATAATTGACATCATTTAATTATGATTTTGAGGAATTTTTTTATTAGAATAAAATTTTATGAATTAGTGAGAGAGAGAAACGAAGGGACAGAAGGAAAATTTTCTAATTTGATGATACACGTGTAAAAATCGTATGAAACAAGAATGATGAAAAATTGCATGATTTTATTGCAATGATACAAAAAAAGTTATTTGTATTATGTACTTTTGTTATTATTTTACTTATATAAATTGATGAAACTGGGAAGTAGGTCGTCACTTTGATTTCACATTCTTTTTTTTGCCATTTTGCATGTAACTATTTATCAAATAATTAATTTGATAATTATTATTACGATTTGTCTGAATTATTTTACCACTTTCGAAAATGTTAAGAATTGTATTTTTTAAATTAATGTTAATTTAATTAATTAATTGTTATTTTTATTTGTTATTGTTATTTATTTTTTTGTATTATTTTTATTATTTATTAATTATAGGCATTAATATATTATTATAAATATAAATAATGTTTTGAAGTGTTTAATTAACATTTTTAATTTTTATTTCAATTAATAATTTTTTAATATATTTTGTATTAGAAAAAGTATGAAAATTGAGGAGAGTTTTGAAGAATAAATTTTAATTTATTCCTTTTTTGCAGTATCCCATAAAACGTTGATGCCACTTAGTCCATATTTGAATTTTGATCCATCGTACTTACCACCGAGTCAGCCGGAATTTATTTTCCCCGAAGGAGCCGTGAAGCAACGTGGACGTTTTGAATTAGCTTTTAGTCAAATTGGAGGAACATGTATGGCAGGAGCGGCAATTGGCGGTGTAACTGGATTGTATAAAGGAATTTACGCCACTTCCCTTGCAGGACAACAGGGAAAATTACGAAGGACTCAGTGAGAGAACAATTAATTAATTAATTTCAAAAATTTTAATATAAATTCTTTGCAATAATTTAATTATTTTAAAAATAGTAAAATTCTTCGCAAGAATTCAATTATTTTTAAAAATAGTAAAATTCTTCGCAAGAATTCAATTATTTTTATAAATAGTAAATTTCTTTGGAAGAATTCAATTACTTTCAAAACAATTTTAATTGAATTCCTCGGAAGAATTGAAATATTTTTAAATATTTCCATAAAATTCAATCATTTCCTAAAATTTTAATAAATTCTTCGAAACAATTCAACTATTTTTATAAATACTAAAATTCTTTGCAGGAAATAAATTATTTTTAATCAAATTTAAATAAAATTACACGAAAGAATTTAATTATTGTGAAAAATTAAATTACTTTCAATGCAATTTTTAAATATATTCGTCAAAAAAATTCAAAGAATTTAATTATTTTCAAAAAATAATAAAATTCTGATAAATTCAATTATTTTGAATATACTTAATTTTAATAAAATTCTTTACAGAAATTCAATTATTTTCGAAACAACATTAATTGAATTTCTCAAAAGAATTTTTAATTATTTTCAAATATTTCTATAAAATTCTGCAAAACAATTTAATTATTTTCTAAAATTTTAATAAATTCTATCAAACATTTTAATTATTTTTATAAATAGTAAAATTGTTTGAAGAAATTTAATTCTTTTCAAAACAATTTTAATAGAATTCCTCGAAAGAATTTAATTGTTGTCAAATATTTACATAAAATTCATTTATTTCCTAAAATTTTTAAAAAATTTTTCCGAACAATTCAATTATTTTGATAAATAGTAAAATTCTTCGCAAGAATTAAATTATTTTTATAAATAATAAAATTCTTCTCAGGAATTCAATTATTTTCAATACAATTTTAATAAAATTCAATTGCTTTCAAAATTTTCAATTAAAATTATTAAAAAAACTTCATTATTTAAAAAAATTCAAAGAAATTCTTTAAACGAAATTTAATTAGTATGTTTAAAAAGTTTAATAAAATTCTTCGCGAGAATTCAATTATTTTCATAAATAAAAAAATTCTTCGAAAGAATACAATTATTTTCTTCAAATTTTGTGATAAGATTCTTTGCAAGAATTCAACGATTTTCAAAACATTAATTTTAAAATCGAAAATATTTAAAAAGAAAATTTTTTTTAAATTTAGGAAACAAAAACGCAATGAACAACTAATTTTAAACTGCGGACAGATTACCGGAAGTCCGGAATACAACGATTATTAATATAGAAGATTAAAAAATCAACTAAAATACTATTTTTTAACTTCTTTAATTATTTATTGGTTCATCTTGAAGAAAGGATTGTTTTGATTTATTTGTTATTTCTCTAATAATTTGAAAAGAATAAGACTAATTTAAAATTATTATGGAATGAATTTATTTGGTTAATTTTATTTAATTATTTGAAGTAAAAAGTGTTAAGAATTAGAAAGTGTTAGAAGTGCAATTATTAGAGAAATGACTGTGTAAAATTTGAAAAGTGAAAATTTTCCTTTTTATTGTCAGATTAATTAATCATGTGGTTAAACATGGCGCATCTATGGCAAATACTCTTGGTGTTGTATCGGTGATGTACACGTGTTTCGGCGTTTTCTTATCCTATGTTCGAGGACATGACGATTCGATAAACACACTAGCAGCAGCGACAGCAACTGGAATGCTCTTCAAATCTACAGGTAATTTTCTATTTTCCATGTTAAGTACCACTTTTATTCATTAATTCATTAATTTTGTTATTAATTTACAAAAATAAGTGCATTTTTATTTTTTTATTAATCAATCAATTAATTTAGTTATTAATTTACAACCATAACTAAATTAATGTTTTTAATTTATTTTCATTAATTAATTAATCAGGGTTGCCACAAATATTTAATTTTGTTGAATAATTAAATGTTTTTTAAAATTGAATTGTCATAAAGAATAGAATAGTTTTATTTCTTGTGGTGCCAATTAGATTATTTATTTGATTTAGAAAAATTGGATAAAAATAAAAGACAATAAAGAGAGAAATAAAATAAAAGACAGCAACGAGAGAAATAAAATGAAGTAAACGAGACACTTTTAAAAATTTGTTTTTGACTTTTTGTTTCCTTTCCAGCGGGATTGAAGAAATGTGCAATGGGTGGTGGAGTTGGACTTGGAATCGCTTCACTTTATTGCCTTTGGAGTAATCGAGAGGCCTTCACGGAATTCAGGCATCACTCCATGAATCCGGCGTAAGACCTGTGTGTATAAATGGCAGCTCCCTCTAAACAAAAATTCACCTGTTATTTACGAATGTTCCCACATTAATACTGACACTTACTTTCTTCTTCTTTAATTATTAAAAAAAACTTTACACATTTTAATTCAAAATCAATTCAAGAAAAAGTAAAACAAAAAATTCTGTTAAAATTTCTAATAATATTTTTCCAATCTTAACAGAAGATTGAAAGAAGAGAAAGAAAAAAAATTCAAATAAATATATATAGTAAAAGAAAACTATTGAAAACAAAAATATAAAAATATAATACAGAATTATTCAGGAGGAATAGAATTACAAGAAACTATTTATTTATTTACAATCTAAAAATGCTTCTCTAAGTTAAAATGAAGGGAAATAAATTTTCTAAAAGCGATTTTCTCCAAAAAAGCATTTTTATTTTGTGGTTTATTGAACTTTCTAAACAAAAATTAATGAATATAAAAATGGGATATTCGTAATTCTTATTTTCTCTAATAATAAGGAGCCAATTTGTACTGAAAAAAAATTTAATAGTTCACGCATAGTAGGAAAGAAAATAGTTTTTAATAATGATAATGACAAAAACAATTAAATTGGAGCTAAAAATCGTAATTGACTTTCAACTCCAAATTGCATAGATATTAAGTAATAATAATAAAATAGTAATAAATATAATAATAATAATAATACGAAGTTAGTAATAGAAGTGGTAGTACCAGCAGTAGCAATAGTTGTAGAAAATAGTAGTAATTAGTGCTAAAATAATTGAAATCATTGTTTAATTTACAATGTACTGAGGCCTGGTGCTAAAAATCTTCACATTATATTCTGAATGAAAAAAAACCTCTTTTACAAAAAGGGTAAAAAGTCAGAATTTTTAAAGTTCTTCGATAATAATTACTATTATTATCCATTGTAAATAGATCATAAGACTTGTTCAATTGAGATTCTTGCAGTTTCTTTTTTTATCACTTTGAAAAAAAAATCCCCCAGTCATTTTAATTAACAAGTTTTTTTTTCTTTCTCATCCCTTTTCTACAGGGATTTAATGGGAAAAAAATCGAAACCAAATACTTAGAATTTAATTACTATCAAATATTAAAGTTGTATCAATAAAAATTTAATAAAAAAAGGTCATAATACCATCGATAATAATTAGAACAATGTCCCATTTAATATTTATAAAAGTTGAATTAATTTGTTCATTCAAAGTTTATTTCGAGTTAATAAGTTAGATTTCATTTTTTTAATGCCCTAATTTAATTAGTTTTAATATTAAGATCATTTTTCATAATAATTTTATTATTTTGATATTTTAATTTGTAAATTTAATTATTTTGTCATTAAAATATTTTCATACTAAAATATTTTAATATTAATGTTTTAATATTGATTATTTTAATATTTATTAAAATATGTATTGAAAAGTTGATTAAAATAATAATTATTGAAACATTTGATTATTATTATTGTAAAATTAAATTAATACAACTGGTATATAAATTTTCCTCTTTAACAAATTGACTAAATTTGATTAACAAATTGAATTAACAAAAATTCTTTAAATAATAACGCATTTAAAATAATGTAACTATTATAAATAACGAACTATTATAAAAGTAATATACACATTTTTTGATAAAATGTTATTAAAAGTTGGAAAAAAAAGAAAAAAAAATACAAAATTTTATATTATAACTGTAAAAGAAATTCATAACTTGGTGATAGAATGACTGTATTGTAAATTTTTGTCTCATCTTCTTGAAATTAAGAATCTAGACATTTTTTATTTTATTGTATAGGGAGAATACAAAAAAAACGACAAAGAAATAAAAAAAAAAGTGTCGGAGGGAAAGAAAAGAAAATTTAATTATGTAAATTTTAATAAAACTTGTATTTATTAAAATAAATTTAAAAATTAGGGAAATTTTCTTTTGCCACTAAGAGAAGAATAAATATATTTAGAAAATTTTCACTTTTCATTAAAAAATTTCGATCTATTTATCATAATATTATAACATAATAATTAAAATATAAAACAATAAAACCGAATTGAAAAGCATTTAATATTATAATTATCGCATAAATAATTAGACACAGAAAGTGTAACATTTTTCTTTCCATCAGATTCATTGTGTAATAATAATTCAAATAATAAAGTGATTGTTTCATTAGAAATTGGCTCCTAATTTTTATCCACACCACTAACGAGTTTTTTTTATTATTTACTTAATTAACAATTTTAATTAAATTAAAAAAATATTCTTCCATTAAATTTTAATTCTTTTTCATTTCAATTACAATTCTTTTTTCTTCAATTATGGTTTCTTTCGGCTGCTATTATTTATTGATTTACTTTATTTTATTTATTTTCACATTCTAAATAATTAATGGAAAAAATATTCCTTTCAAATAAATAAACTAATTAGCATTTCTTTATAAATAAATCTCCTAATAAAATACTTTCTTTATAAATAAGAAATATTATATAAAAAAAAACACAAAAATATTATTTTTTATAATAATAATAATAACAATTTTATTAATAACAATAATAAGTTTATTATTATTATTATCAATAATAAATTTTATTAACAACTTCAGTTCGTTTTTTTAATTTACTTATTTTATAAACGGAAAATTAATCTATTACTTCTATTGTTATTAATTATTAATTATTAATTTACTAAGAAATTTAACGATTTTTGAAATTTTCTATTCGAAATTATAATTTGAAACACTTTTTAACTTTTTATTTATCACTTTTTGTATTTCATTTTTATTTTTGTTTTTTGGTGTTATTTTTTATTAGAAAATAAATTGAAAAAAATGCTAATTAGTTTATTGTTAGTAAATAAATTTTTTTTTTTCTTAATTATTTAGAATTAAATGTAATTTTCAGATATAATTAGAATTGAACTTTTTAATTTTAATAAATTTTGCTTTACATTAAAAAAAAAATTAGGTTTCGTAAATTTTCATTTATTTTCTCATTTTCTTTTCCAGATCTAAATGACACTTTGGACGAAAAATTCACGAAAAAATTAGCAACGAATTTCCACTATTATTGTAAATAGAAAATTGTCTCATCAATAATGAATTTCACATTATGCCGAAACGAATGTTACGATTCGATGCGGTATATTTTGCAAAGAATAGAAACGAAAATGTAAATATTAAATTTTTTTCTCTCTTCCAACGTTATAAAAAAATGTGATAAAAAGTACAAATTTTTGTAATTTCATTTCTTCCTTTTTTGATTATTCAAATTTAAAATTCAAAAAAAGAGAGAATTAGAAACTTTGATCTGTATTTAGGTTTCTTTAATTTTTTTAATTGTTCGTTTTCATTTAATTTATTTATTTATAGACGGGACAAAATAATATTCACCGTAATTCTAAATAATTAATTTTTTTTCGACTCTATAAATGAATTTTAGCAAAATATTGTGAAATTGAGAAATGACAAATTTTTGTTAGAAAATGAAAAAAATTTAACAAAAAATTTGAATTAAAAGGCTTTTTTCTTTTCTATATCGAAAATATTGTCGCAAGGCACCTGGACATACATAGATAGAACATCTGATAATCTTATCGTTCTTTATCTTTTTCCCCTACACTTTAACTTTTGATAGACGACAATTGATATTTCTAGAGTGAAAACAACACTTCTTTGATCGGAAAAAACGAGAAGAGAAAAAGAAAAATCTTTTTTAGATTTCTTTCGGAAATATTTATAAAAGAAATTTTATTTTAACAAAAAATAGTGTTTTCAATTGATTTGAAAAATAATTTTTGTGTTTTTCTATTATAAAAAATTTTGTGTGTTTGTGTAATCAATATTTTTACCCAAAAAGCTAATATTGTGACAGTGGCAAATTTCGAATGGTAATTATAAAAATTTTCTTTCTAAAAATATTTATTGTTTTTCAATAAAAGAAAATTCTCTTGTGATTAAATTTAAAAAAATCCCCTTCTGATTAAATTTAAAAAAATCCTCTTCTGATTAAATTAAAAAAAATCCCCTTCTAATCAATTTAAAAAACCTTATAATTAAATTTTAAAAAATCTCGCAACTAAATTAAAAAAACTTCTTACCAATTAAATTTTCCAAAAATCATACTCTAATTAAATTCAATAAAAAAAGTGGACTAATATTTTTTTTTAAATACAAACTTCTTCAATACATGAAATTACGTCAATATTAAAAGCGCTGGAAAAAATTTTAATGTCAAATAAAGAATGAAACACTTGGCATTATAATTATTATTACAAATATAATCCCGGTGATTCAGAAAAGTATTTTCTCGATTCTTTGTCTCTTTGTAGTGACAATTATGAAAAAAAAACATTTTTTTTCTATTTTTTTATTGACTTCATTTCTGAAATTAAATTTAATGGAATTTGAATTTATTTTTTCCATCAATTTATCGAGACAATGAATTAATTATTATTATTTATAGATAATTTTAGTGAAAAATTAATTAAGCAAAATATAAATAAAAATAACGAGTAAATTTTCTATAAAATAAAAATTTATATATTTTATATTTTGCTCAATTAATATTCCACTAAAATTATCTCTAAATAATTGGTACTTATAATAAATAATAAAATATGTTCACTTCAATTTTTATTAGACAAAATTATTTTTGAATCAATGAATTTAGTAAAAATACACAAAAATAAATTCATTGATTAAAAAAAATGTTGTCATTTAATAAAAATTTAAGTAAAAATATTTTATTATTTAATAATAATTTATCTAAAAAGAAATTAATTCTATTTCGTTTAAAATAAAAAGAAGAAAACTTATTTGGGGAAAAAAATGATAATTTCCTAAATTTGTTTAAAATAAAATGAAATATTAATAACTTGTCTTGAAGTGAAAAGTTGGATTCGATTTTTAGAAACAAAAATAATAAACTATGACGATGTTAAAGTTAAGTGTGTCGAGTACTCTCACAATATACAAATATTTGAATTTCGTGATTTCACATTTTTACTCAAACAAATCGCAGACAATACGAAAAGAAAAAAAAAAGATGGGAAAAAAGTGAGAATTGGAATGTAAGTTATAATTAAACTTTTACGATGTGTTAATGAAACATTGACCATGAAGAATACTCTCGGGGAATTTTTAGATTTTAAAAAACGTAAACTTTTTTTTTCATCAATTTCTTGATTTTTTTTTACTAGATTTTGATTTTTTAAACAAATTTTTTGGTTTTTGTCTTTTTTTTTTAATAAAAATGGAAATTAAAATTCAGTTTCTTTTTCCTACGCAACTTTCATATTTTATTTTTCCGTCTATTTTAAAAATAAAAAAGAAAAAGAAATTAGTATTTAAATTAAATTAGTTTAACTCGAGAATTGAAAAGAAAATTTAAAGATTCAATTTTCATTAAATTTGTAAAAATTTTACACCGTCAGTTTTTGATTTTCTTGCTTTTTTTCTGGGGAAATTTTTACATTTTCAAAAACTAACTTTTTCTTTCCAATTTCTTAGATTTTTCTACCAGATTTTGATTTTTTAAACAAATTTTTTGTTTTTTATTTTGATAAAAATGAAAATTCAATTTCTCTTTCCTGTGCTGAATTTTCATAGTATATTTTTCTGTCTTTGAAAAATAAATAAAAAGGAAAAATTAATATTTAAATAAGTGTAACTCAAGAATTGAAAAGAAAATTTAAAGATTCAATTTTCATTTTCTCCCGGGGAATTTTTAGATTTTAAAAAATATATACTTTTCTTTTCACTAATTTCTTGAATTTTCATTTTTACTATATTTTGATTTTTTAAATAAATTTTTAATGGTTTTTTCCTTTTTTAGTTGAAGTATTATATTTCAATTTTTTTTCCTACTCAATTTTTGTCTATTTAAAAAATAATAAATAGAAAAGAAATTTTTAACTCTAGAATTGAAAAGAAAAATTTTAGATTTAATTTTAATTTCTAAAAAATTTACCATATGTATTTAATTTTCTCTGCTTCTTCATTTTTTTCTTTACTCAGTAATTCTCTAGAAAAAGACTAAATTAATATTTCCTAAAAATCTATTTCAAACTATTTTTAAAAAAAATTCTTTTTTCTTCATAATTACTTTGAATTTGAAATTTATATTTTTTCGGAGAAAAATTTATTAGTCCACTTTTAAAAGTGTATTTACATTCTTAAAATATATAATACTGTATATATGTATCTATCTATAATTGATAAGTCAAGAAGGGACGGGAAAACCATAAGTGAGAAAAATTGTAAATTATTATCGAGATTAATTTGACTCAGAGGACATGATGCAATTACCATTAGGAAAAAGAAATATTGTCCGAAGAAAAATAGTTTGGAAAATATTTATCTTTTGTGCGAGATTTTTTTTTCTTTTTGCGTAATCACGATCATCGTCGTTTTGCCTCATGGGTGAAAAAGCAGTCGATCTCCGTTCATCAGGCCATGCGGATCTAATCAAAAGTCAAAGCCAGCGAACGCAGTTAAACAAAAACTATTTATAAATTCGACGTTTCCGTTTTTCTTACAATAAAAAAAAATTCTAGATTTTTTATGAATAAATTAAAGAAAATTTTTTGAAACGTAATGAAAAAATAATTTCCCTCTCAACTCACCTGTTAAATTATATCGTTCAGAAGTTGACCAAAAAACAAATATCCAAAGTGCGTTTTACTTTAAGTGTGTCAATCCTGGAAAGTACCTGAAAAATTAAATTTTTGTTAACAACAATTTTCATTTTTTTTCATTATTATAAACAATAATAATTATCTTGCTTTTGTTCTACTATTACACTATTATTTATTCATTTCAATGTCAGCCCTTAATCCCAAATATTATTATATGAAATTTTGTTTTTCATTTCCTATTTTAATTGGTTTTCTCTTTATTATTATTTTTTACTTTCTTATTCAAATTTTGTTTTTTACCTAGTATTTAAATTATAATTAAATAAATTTAAAAAAAATTTACTGCAATAATTTATTATTTATCAAATATATAGAAAAAAAATTAAAAATTTATTTTCTTTATTTTTAGTTTGCTTGATCTTAATTTTATTTGATATTTTTTTTTTAACGAAACATTTAATTAAGTCTTTTTATTTATTTAAAATATATTAACTTTGGTATATAAATAATAAACTATTTTTTATTAATAAAAAAATAAATAAAACCAAATATAATTAAAGGAAAAAAAATTAAAATATAAATAAATACTAAAAAGAAACCTCGAAATGAAAATTACAGATTAAAAAATACAAATATTCCAAATTACAGAAAAGGATGGCAAAAGGCGGAGAGAAAATGAAAATTAAGAAGAGCAGAGCAAAATTGCTCTGAAGTAAAGAAGAAACGAAAGAAAAGAAGTAAAGCACAAAAGAGAGGAAAAAATCCCCAAAAAAATGAAAGAAGATAAGAGAAAAAAATTGTGAAGATAATTTAAAAAAAAAAAAGAAATAATTAAAAGAACGAAAAGAAAAATGGACGAAAAACGAGCGGAAAGTTTACTTGGTGCTTTATATTCGTTGACGGCGATTTTGACAACAATTTCAATTGTTTGCTTGGTAATTCCTTGGCAGCATTGGTCAAGAACATTGGACAGTTGCATTGACGTTGATTGCGGTTGTATTTTATATGGCATCAATACATTCAGCACATTTTTAGGTGGCGATGTGAAAATTTGTCATTTTGGAACGTACAGTTTAATTCCAATTTTAATTTTTGGTCTATGCCTGGGAATTTATCATGGCTATCGCTCTTGCATTCCACGCGGTCTCGATGAACCACGAATTGCCTCACGACGAAATCCACACGATAGCCGGTAATATTACTATTTCTAAATCAAAAAAGAAAAGAAAATTATCTCTTAAAATTATTTTAAAAAGAAGTTAAGAAATGTTAAGAAAATTATATTCTTTTCTTAACCATTCTTTTTTTATTTCACACTTTTAAAAGTATTTTTACATTCTCATCACGTGAGAAGGTATTTTATTAAATAAATAGGTTTAAATAAAAATTAAAAATTTAAGTAAATAAATTAAAATAATAACTATTATATTCTTAATAAAATATTTAAATTTAACATAAATAGAAAAAGTACAAAAAAAAATTTTAATTTCAATTTTTGAATAATTTCGGATTCGAAAATTTAAAACAATTCAATTATTAACTAATTTACTAATTAATTATGATTATTTTGTGTTTTCAAAAAGTTTTATAAAATTTTTTGCAGGAATTCAATTATTTTCAATACAATTTCAATCAAATTTCTCAAAAGAATTCAATTCCTTTTTTAAATTTTAATGTAATTCTCAAAAATTCAATTATTTAAAAAATTTTTGATTAAATTCTATGTGAGAATTGAAATATTTTCAATACAATTTTAAATAAATTCTTGAAAAAACTTTAATTATTTTCGAATATTTTAATTAAATTCTTAACAAGATTTTAATTATTTTCACAATTCATAAAATTGTTCGTAGGAATTTAATTATTTTAAAGAATTTTAATGAAATTCCTCCCAAAAATTCAATTACTTATTCAATTCCTATAAAAATTTTTATAAGAAAAGAAATTTAACTAAATACTTTAAAAAAATTTAATTCTTTTCCAAAATAACAAAAAATATTCGTAGAAATTTTTCAATTATTTTGAAAAATTTGAAAAAATAATTAACTACATAAATACTTTTAAAAAATTTAATTCCTTTCCTAAATAATAAAATAGTTCGTAAAAATTGAATTATTTTGAAAAAAATTTGAAAAACTATTTAAAAACAAATTTTTAAATACATTTTGTAATTAAATTTCTGGAAATATTGAATTATTTTTGAAAATCTTAATAAAATTTTTATCAAAATTTCAATTATTTTCAAAATTTATAAATAAAATTTTTAGCTGAAATTTAATTTTTTTAAAGGATTTTAATAAAATTTGTACATAGTAGAAATTCAATTATTTTTTACTAAGTAATAAAATTGTTCGTAGAAATTTAATTATTTTGCAAAATTTTGCTAAATTCTTACAAAGATTTAAATTATTTTTGTAATTAATAACATTTCTCGATAAAATTGAATTGTTTTAAAATAATTTTAATAAAATTTCTGAAAAGAATTCAATTTTTTTAGATTGGAAATTATAAATTGTAAAAGAAATAATATAAAAGAAATATTTTTAATTAAAAACAATTTAATTAATTTTTAGTATTTTTTAATTTTTAACGTTTTGATTACCTAAATATTTTTTTTATGCAATTTCCAAAACTGGAATTTTATTAATCGTTTTATTCAAAAATTATTAAAATTCCTTTTTTAATAATAAACTCTTTAGGTTTTCATTCAATCTTTCTCTGAAAGAATTTACAAAAATATTTTGTACTTCTATTGTTTTCAAATTTTAAAATCCCTTTTTTGATAGTTTTCTTTTGTGAAGTATAAAAAAAAAAATTTTTTACTCACGAAAAAAATTGTACTTTCTCTTGATTTCAGAGATTTTGTGAGGGGCGACGTTATTGTTATTCGTCGAAAAGAAAGACAGCCATTTAAGCAATGGATCCTGGCGAGTTTTTTGGCTGCACTTTTGGGTTTTCTATCCTTGGCCCACGCAATCGTCATCACCGATGGTTATTACAAAACTTGCGAGCAATATAAACGAAATATGGTGAAGCTCCTTGGTTCTCGTGGTCGTGAACTTCAAGTACGATGCAAATTTTCAACAAATTTTAATCAATAATAATTTATCCAAATAAGGGAATTATTATTTTAATCATAATTTATCCGAAAAAAACTGTTGTCATTTTGCCTAAAACAGAAAAGAATAATTTCACTATATAAATTGATAATTTAATTGATAATTTAATAAAAAAAATTACTCACCAATTTTTTTTTTCAATTAACAATTAATAAATATTAATAGCAATTTCTTTTTCCACAGGCAATTCACAATCGTCTTCCTTGTGGTGCAATTTTCGATTTTATGGACTATATTCAACCGGATGCGAATAATTGGCGACGAGGCGACGAAATAAATACTGGACTCTCCCTTCAATTGTCAATTATTTCCGCGTGGTTCAATTTCTTCACCTGGATTTTAATTTTCACAATTAATTTCATAATGTCACGTCGTCGAGTCCACAGTACCGGGGAAAAATTTTGCTGCTTCTTTTGAAATCTCAAGAAAAAAGAAAACAGTATTCACAATATACCTATAAATATTAAAACAAAAAACAAATAATTTAATTGTCGCAAATAATTTTGTATAGTATTAATTTATAATTTATAACAAAAGAAAATAATATATAAACGAAAATATTCAACTAATTATTATAATTGAATCGAAAAGAAAAATTCCCCCCAGAAAAAAACGAAAAGGACAAAAAAAAATTCCTTTTCGAAAATATTTTGCTTAAAAATATTTTTTTCTCGATGAAAAAATATTTCCAGGATATATTTTACATTTTTATTTCAGCATTGTGTGTACTTTATACATATAGATACAATTAAATTTTATTCTCAATTTTTTTTTCTTTATATACATCACATCACCTATATTTTATATTTTTTGAAAAATATCTCATTAAATTGTTACACATTTTTTTTGTTTTATTTTTTTCCTCTTAATTTTTTAACAGTGCTGAAAAAAATAACTGTGCATCAGAAATAAAAATTCTTTCTCTACGATATTAAAATCGTTTCACATATATTTATATATAATATATTAATTTTTTTTTCTCATCTCTATCGCGCATTTTTTTTCCATTAATAATTAACAATAATACAATATATTTTTAAGTTTTTCGAAACGATTTCGAATTTCAATAGCAAAAAATGCAGGAAAAAAAATTAAATTGAAATTCGAGTTCTTTTCTCGCAGCTTCTATTAAATTACCATTAATATATTTATTTATTTTATAATATAAAGAAAAATTGGGTTTTTTGTTTCATTTTTAGAAAAAAAAAACCGGTAAATGCAGAATAGAATGGTAAAGAGAGAAAAATACTATAACAGTAATTGTAATATTAACAGATATAGAGGGAAACAAAATAAAAATTGAGTAAAAAAAAAAGAAAAATTATCTCACTCGAAGTAGCACAATCTTGCAATAGAATCAAAAATACAGTCGTTACAATAAATACAGACAATCATAATACCATTTTTTTAAAAAACATTTTTAACACTTTTTCAACATTGTGAAATTTTCTTTAATCACACTTATTTTTTAAATACTGCACTCCTCTTTTTCCCAAGAAAAAAATAAATGAAAGCTCGTCGAGAAAAATTGTCTCAAGTTTAGATTTTTTCAATTCATGAAAATTAAAAAAAAAAGTAACAAAAACCAATAATTTTTTACTTCTATAAGTAAATAAATAAAATTTAAAAACTAAAATAAATAAAATAAAAACAAAAAAATAAATTTTTATGATAAAAAAAGAATACAAAAGAATTTAATTATTCAATTCAGTAAAAATAAAAAAAATAAAAATTAATCAAGTAAAAATAATCATATTTTAGTCAAAATAATTAAAAATCAATTTCAATTGCAATTTTCCGAAGAAAAATTTTTTAATCGTAATTTTTTCCAGACAAAAAACGAAATAAGTTTTGAGAAAATTTCTCCCTTGACGAGATAAATGGAAAGTATGACAAATACTGCGATATTTGGCTAACAGGCAATGTATCTAAAAATCAAAAATTAAAAAAAAATGCCTGCCACATAAAAGACGGAATGTAAAGACGAAAAAATTTCCACTTTCTTTCAAAATGGAAATTAATTCTCCAGTAGATAAAAATTACATTTTTTATAATATTTATATACAAAAAGACGAATCGAAAATTTCCCAGTATTTTTTTTTCATTCTACAAAAAATTGAATATCAGGCGGATAGCACCAGTATTACAATTTTTTTTAGTTAATTATTGGTCGCTTATTAAAAATAATAATAAAAAGAAATTTCTTTTCGATACAATTTTTTTCAAAAACAATTTTAATATTTTTATAATTTTATAATAATCTCTCGTTATTATAAATATTATTAATTACTAATATTAATTATTAGCAATAAATATTATTAATTACCAATATTATTAATTACTAATATAACTAATTACTAATATCATTAATTTTTAATATTGTTAAGTATCAATATCATTAATTATTAATATTATTAATTTCTAATATAATTAATTGGTAATATTATGAATTACTAATATCATTAATTATTAATATTATTAACTATTAATATTGTTAAAAATAATAATTAAAAATCCCTTCAATTTATTCAAATAAATTTGATTTTTCAAAAAAAATCGATTTTTTTTCATGTAGATTTTCTTTCACAATTTTGTGAATAAGTACAATTGACTGTGTGGTAAATATCGATTTTTTTTCTTTTTTGAAAGAGAAAGAAAAGAATTGCAAAATAAAAACCTGTAGTTTAAATTTGATAAAGGAAGGCACCTAATCACATATTAACTATTATCTAATTACCTCACATAAATATATTATTTTACACATAATTTGTAATTTTCATTATTATTTTTTATAATCATTATACAATTATAATTTGTCTCGTCGTCGACTTATTTAGGATATTGTCTCAATTTTTTCTTACTATTTTTCCCCACTAATTTAATTTTCTAACACAAAAAAAAATAATTTTTCGAATTGAGATTTTTTATTTCAAAATTCTATTTTATTATCAAAACAAAAATTTTTCCTTCAAATTTAATTCAAAAACCAAATTTATTTCCCCACTGAAAAATAAATTTCTTTGAATATAAAAAAAAATAATTTAAGTTTTAGTAAAAAATGGTAAAAAAAATTTTAATTTAATAATTTAGAAAATAGGAGTCGAATTGAAAATTTGTTTACAAAATTCTCTTTTTTCGAAAAAAATTTTTCTTCTAAAACAAAAATTATTCTCCCATCGGAAAACAAATTTCATGAATAAATAAATTTAATTTTAGTAAAAATAGTGAAAAATATTTAAATTTAATAATTTAATAATTAAGAAAATTTTTTTTTGTAAATTCTAATTCGATTTTTAGAGACAATATATTTTTTTTGTTTTTATAGACAATATAATATTTTCCCAAGGACAATAGAAAATTGATTACAGTAGAAATTGTAAATTGACACTCTAAGAAACAAAAAAAAAAAAAAAAAAAAAAATTCGTTACCAGAAACGAAAAGAAAATTATTACAATAATTTATTAGAAAAATGTTTTATGAGGATTTTTATTTTCAAGGACTGTTAATGAATTCAGTCTTCTTTTAATAAGGCAATTTTAGAGATAAAACTTTCCATCTAAATTCTTCTTTTCTTTTACTTTTCCTTTTAGTATAGATTTCAAATCAAGAATAGCAAAATTATATTGTCCATAAAATCCTAAAGACAAATTTTTGTTTTTTTTTCTTTAAAAGCTTCTATTTTCTCTATTTTTTCAAAAAAGTAATAAATTATATTCCACGTGGAAATTTTCAAAGCTGCCAAATTTTCTTCTTCTTCTAATAGCGTCTTTTTTATATTTAAATAAAATTTAAGTGTTTTAAAAAAATTAGAAAAAAACAACTTTTTACTTGAACTTGAAATGAAGAAAAAAAATTGAAAGACTCACAATTGACAAAAAATGGATTGTGAGTTTTTACGTATTTTTTTCGATTTACATACTAAATTTTTCTACCTCGCAGTTTTTTTTTAAATAGTCTTTTTCGGATTATATTTTAATATATTGGCGAAAAATTTTGATCTGTACAAATGTAGTGAAAATGCTTTAGCTGCAAAAATAGATGCTTGTTCTTTGCCTTCTATATAGATTCTATTTTTCATATTATATCATTTTGGTATCAAGCTGCCAAGTTTTTAACAACCTGGATATTTTTTTTTTTATTTTCATTAATTATTTTTATTTTTATTATTACTTTTATCATTACTTTTTTTTTAAAGAGCAAAATATAAGAGCCATCGCCATTTATAAGAAACGAGTCTTTCTCCATTTAAATATATATTTATAATATAATCATCATTTTTTGTTTTATTCTTTCTTATTTAAATCTAAGTTTCTTGAAAGGCGAGAGCTTATACCTTAATTATAATATATTCAATACTCTTGCTAAATTTAACGAAATAAATATTTTTTTCTTGCTTGCTAATTAAAATTATTTCGCAATGCACCGTCTTTACTTATTCATTATAAAATCACTCAAATACTTTAATATATATTTTCCGTTCAAGGACAAAAAATCCATCTTTTCATAAAAGCTGAACAAAATAATTGAAAAAAAACACATTCGAATTTCTATTGAAAAGACACTGGACTTTCACAAGTATTCCATAGTATTTTTGTTTCTTCTTTTTTTTTAATCATTATCATCGTATTATAAATTGTCTTTATTATTTTCATGTGGGATTTCTGGACAATTGTTTAAATATACAAGCTGGATTTTCTATCTGGAAGTGAAGATTTCCTTTTAATTTCAATTTGAAAGAAATTCTTTTTGAAATATTCGATTTTTTTGTTATTAATAAATTATATTGTGTAATAAATATATAAATATACAAGTATATATAATGTATATAAATGTATAAATATATAATTACAATTAATAATAGTTTTGCCTTTATAATAATAAATAGTAATTTAATATTGTCATTAATATTTTTATTTTAATATTCAAGATCAAAATTCCGAATAATAGGTTATATTTTCGAATAATTTCGATTTTGAATTTTTGAATTTATTAAAATTTAGTCAATTAACTTATGGAAACTTGGTAAATTAATTTATTAAAATTTAGTCAATTAATTAATTAAATTTGTTATGAATTAATGAAAGGAATTTATTTTGAAAAAAGTAGCGATGACTCCCAAATGAAAACTCATTAATCGCGAAAAATCTCCAATTTTTTATTCTCTTTCAGTTTCAATTCACCAATTTATCACCAAACATAAATTTAATTTTTAAATCTTGTTATTTTTTAATAAAGTTAATTTAAAATAAATTTAATTTAACTTCCAAAAAGCAAATATTTTTCTTTAGAATGAAATTGAAAACTACAAATTTTCAGAATGAAACGAAAAATAATTTTTCGGATTTCAGAATTTTCGGTTACTTTTTTTTTTTAAAAAGTTCTTTTTTGTTTACTAAAGAAATTATTCCTATATTTACAGAATTTGATAAAATTTTTCAACATTTAAGTAGTCAAAAAGTTTTAGAATCAGATTTTTAAAAAAACAATTTTATCTACAAAAAAAAACACTTATTTTAGTCAATATTTTCAAGATTTCAATTTTTCAAGTTATAAATTATAAAAAATAAATGATGAAACTAAAAAGTTTTGCAAAATTTTACAAAATAACAGCTGACTGAAATAAATTTCAAAGATACATAAAATTTATTCAAGTCAGAAATTATTTAATATTATTTTTTGTACCTAATTTAAATTCAAATTGAATTTTTAAGTATCTAATTTCAAAATAATTAAGAATTTATTCCATAATTTGCACTTTTATAAAAAAAAATCGGGTATTTTTTTGCAAGAATATACGTATAAAAATTATTAGTTAGAATATTTAATAAACAGAATTTTATTTCGAAAGAATTTCCACTAAGCTAAGAATATTAATTTCTATTTTAAGTTAAGGGCATTTCAACAATTATGACGTCACATTTTGTACAAAGAATGTATTTTGAAACTGTGACGTCAATAATGGTTCAAATGCCCTTAAAGTTATTTTTTATTTGTAATGGAAATTTTAATTAACAAAATATTAGGTCACAGAATCATAATTTTCTTGTAATAAATGTTCTATTAAATTTTTATTAATAAGTTTCATTAAATTTTCATTAGATTTTTATCAAATTTTGTATTAAATTTACAAAATTTCTAAATAATTCACTTTTTATTTCAAAGAAATCTAATATATATATATATTTAATTTGGCAGAAAATGAGATTTCTGACAAATGAAAAATTTATTCGATTAGAATTCTTTGAATTAAAAAGATTGTTAATTGATAATTTTGTTAATTAAAAATTTTAGTTAGTTAAAGGTAGTTAAGTTACTTTATATAAAAATTCGGTAACGAATTCCGTTAATTATAATTTTTCCTTAGAAAAAAATTAAGATTAATTTCAATTTGAAGCTAATGAATAAACTAATAAATTTAGCTTTATGAAAATTGTAATAGAAAGACTTTTCCCAATAGCTAAATATATATAACTTTCGATTTTAAATAATGTCGAATTTCTATTTCCTAAAATTTTTACTTTACGAATATATTATTACCGAATTATTAAATTTTTTTCGTAATTTTTATTTCAATTCAATTCTAAATTCAAAAAAAAATTTTTTTAAGTTTTATTTTCAATTTTTTTTCAATTAATTTTGCAATTTAATTGCTTAGAAAATGTACTAAAAAAAAAGATTAAAAATCTTTATTTAAATCATCGAATTATTATTTATCGAATATTTCTTTTCACAAAATTTCTAATTAATCCGCTTTTAAAGGAAATCTAAACTAATTGTTCGAGACATAAAAATTCCGTTAAATGAGATTTCTGAAAAATTAAAAATTGATTAGATTAGATTTCTCATAAATTAAAAAGATTGTTAATTAAGAATTTTGATAATTAAAAATTGAAAAATTTAAATAAAAATTCGGTCACCTAATATTTTGTTAAGTATAATTCTCGCTCAGTAAAAATTCGGATTAATTCAAATTTGAAACAAATAAATAAAATAATAAATAAACTAATAAATTTATCTGTATGAAAATTTTTTCTAATAAAATTCTATCTCAAAATTATTAGTCAGAATATTTATTAGAAAGTATTTTCAAATAGCTAAATATATTAATTTCTTTAATAAAATCAGCTAAATGAAAATTTTTTCTAATAAAATTCTATATCAAAATTAATAGTTTGAATATTTATTAAATAGAATTTTATTAGCAAATATTTTCAAATAGCTAAATATATTAATTTCTATAATAAATTCAGCTATATGACAATTTTATCTAATAAAATTCTATCTAAAATTTATAGGTTGGAGTATTTATTGAACAGAATTTTATGAGGAAGAATTTTCAAATAACTAAATATATTAATTTTTATAATAAATTGAGCTAATAAAATTCTGTTTAAAAGATCGTACTATTAATAGTGGAATTATTCTAACTAATAATTTTTATAAAAAGTGATTTTGATTTCCACTTTTATGTTCCGAATTCGTGAATAATGAGTTTTCTCCCCAAGAAGTCTTCCACTATTTTCCATTCGTAAGAACAAAAAAAAAACTTAAAATTGAAATTTATTACATCTTCTTCCAGATAAAACATCAGCGTATCTCCGAACAACTTGATCCAGTTTCCCACTAACGTGCCCTCAAGTGAACGGATTACTTCTCCGTTTCAACGAGCCAAACCTCTTTTCAGGCTCGCGTATCACCTCAAACGGCGTCATAATCGTCGAAGAACTCGTATGTCTATCATCATTATTCTCATCACTCGGAAAATCCTCAAAACTCATATTACTAACACCCGCCGTCGCAACAGATGGACTTTTCTTACCTTTCGGCGTCTTCTTATAACTCGAACCCTTATTCTTCTGTCCAATTTTCACCGCCGGCAGAACATTAATACAATCATTTCGATTCTCATTAATCAAATGATATCTCGACTTATCCGTTTTCGACAATTTCTCCTTTTTATACTTGGGCGAGTCGTTCATCAATGGTTCCGGCGACATTGGCGACACAATATCCGAATTTAAATCCGTTCTCGAAACACTATTCGTCGCCTGGATTGTAATTCGTGTCGCGTGCTCCATTTGTCGTGTGAATTGTTGTTCCGATTGCACGCTCGTCGATAGAATTGACGTCAAGGCGTTGTCAACAAAATTCGGCGATTGCGACAATGGAAGTGAATTTGGACGTTCTTGCAGAATATTCAATTCCTCGAATGGTATCGATCCGAAGAGATCTTTTTGATCGTTGACAGGACATGTGGATTGAACGGTAACTCTGCCGAATTTCGACATTGAGGTGATGAAGCTCTCGGGAAAAAATTCTTGTCGCTCTTCTTGATAATTGTACGTGCCAATATTGTTGAATGAATTTGGTTTAAATGTGAATGGCGATGAACCGAATAGATCCTTATTCTCCAGATCGAAATTATCATTATCATCATCGTCAATGTTGACGAGAGTTGTGGAAATAATCGGCGAGCTTGTAATTGGCGTTGAATTGTGTGGCGAATCGTTGATACTTGGATTTTTTGGACTGTGACAGCTACTTTTTCTCGAACTACTCGATCTTGGGAAAGGCGCCAAAGCGAAGACGTCCTCCTCAATTCTCCAGATTCCATTCTTGACTTTCGATTTTTCATCCGAGGAACTGTCATTCAATTTCGATGTTGTCTGATATTTGTACTGATGACCAACAAACGGATCGGCGTGAATTTGCTCTGGTTTCGCTTCTGGATCGAGTTCGTCGTCGAGTAAAAGTGGCTTCTCTCCGTATTGATGGCCGACAATCGGATCGGCTTCGATTGTCGGTAAAGTCTCCCGATGATGATGATGATAACGTCTCGATTTTTTTAACCGATGATCGTCCTCATGGGTCGCTACCGATTCACATTCGGCGTGATATGCGGAACTTCCGCACGTTCTCACACTCTCGGATATTGTTTCGTCAATTTTTTCCCTCTCGTCCTCATTGTCGCCGTTACAATCCTCGTCGTTCATTGCCTTCAAATCGGATGCCGAACCGATTGAATCGTCTGATTCGTATTCAATTGGTGCGTTATTCAAATCTTGGGTGGTCTCCTTTTTTCTGCGATTTAACACTCCCTTTATACGTCGTCTCTTCTTTTTGGTACGATCAACGTTACGTTGGACGATTTCCTTATCGCTGTCGTCACTCGACACTTCGTCGGCGTTGAAAGCAAGTTTTTCGTATTTCGAACGATCTTCGATTGGCGCTTTCACAAATGGTGGCGAGACGGGACTAGATTCTGCAATTAACGACGCTTCGTCGTCAATTCCAGCGGCGCTTTCCGCTTCCGGACTCCAGTGCGTGAATATTTTCTCCCTTTCTTCATTGATCACTCCTGGAAAAATACAGAAAATATTCATTACTCACGATAACATTTTTTTTTAATTTCACGTGAAAAAATTATATTTCAATTGTTTTAAATTAGAAAAATATATTTAAATTGTTTAAAGTCAGAAAACAATATTTAAATTGTTTAAAATCAGAAAACAATATTTAAATTCTTTTAAATTAGAAAACTATATTTAAAATTATTTCAAAATTTTCAATTATTTTAAAATAGAAACCAGTTTTTTAAAGAATTGATAAACATTTTTGAAAGCGTTTAGTACTTACCCAAAAAATAGAACAATAAATAAGAATAGTAATAGAATTCGGACTGAATGTGCAAAAATAATTTTTCTTCACTTTCATTCAAAAGAAACAGTGCACAAAAAATTGACCACGCAAATTTTTTTCTTTTTTCTTTTTACCATAATATAACTGAGAGAATTCTAAATAGTAGAAAAGAATAATTTACAAGAATAGAAATTTGGAAATAAAACGACACAATATTTTTTTAAGCCTAGAAGGAGAAGGAGGTGTCTGATTAGGTCTGTTACAGTTTCGGTGTAAAAATGTGAAACAAAAACAGAAAGCGCAATTGAAATTTTGAAAAAAATAAAAATTCCGAGCACCTCAAATAAATTTTATAGGCCAATTTCTTTTTCCTTCTTTTGTTAAATCTATGCTTTTTTTTAAATAAGCTCTTGTGTTAGTACCGCCACCACCTAAGTCTGGAACAGTTCTAATCAGATTTTGGAGGATTAAGGATTTTCATTAAAAAACGCAGTAATCCCATTTTTTGACAAATATTTTCAAAAATTATAGAATAAATGAGTAAATAATTTTAAAAAACAAATAAAAGGGTTAATTAAAAGTTTATTAAAAGCAATAAAAAAATAATTATAAAAGTAATAAACTACCTAATTGAAAAAATATAAAAAATAAATTAAAAAAATATAAAAATAAAAAAAGTAAAAATAGTAAATGGAAGATAGTAAAAAAATCAATAAAGAAACAAGAAATAAAAAACCAATAATAAAAAAAAAATATTTATTTATTTATTATATTGAGTAAATAATAAAATAATCAAAAAATAAAAAAAAAATAATAAAAAAAATAGAAAACAATATTTCAATCATAAAAGCGAAAAAATGACCAGACGAATAAGTCGAAAAAAATCCTAATTTTTTTTTTTCGTGAATAATAATTTTGTACAAAAAAAAATCCAAAATCTTCCAAAACATTGCAAAATTACTATTTATTTATTCTAAATGGACAAAATTAATTCTTTTCAATTCCAAATTTTCGAAGAAGAAAAAGTCGACTTTTTTGTAACTAAAAAATTGTAATTAAAATTAAAATTGTAATTTTTAATTAAAATTGAAATTTTCTATTAAAATTGTAATTTTTAATTAAAATTGAAATTTTTCATTAAAATTGTAATTTTTAATTAAAATTGAAATTTTCCATTAAAATTAAAATTTTTAATTTCCTTTAAAAAATGAGTAAAACGAAAATCTGAAAAATTTTCCCAATCAGGATTTCTGCGTTTTTTTTTCTTAAATGTCCATGAGCAGAAAAAACAAGACTTTTTTTATGCTAATATATAGATGTTTTATTGCTGTAAACATTATTCATTATACACAGCAATTTATACGAAAAATTATAAGTAACCCATTATCGGCATTGCTCGTAATTATTCTGTAAAACAACTTTTTTCATTTGTTAAATCTCTTTCTTTTCAGATATATTTCTTTTCGTTTTCTTTTCTTTTTTTTTTCTTTTTTAAAATATTTTACACAGCGATTTAATAATTAAGAAGAAATAAGCATGCTTTGTCCACTGGTTTTTTTTTCAAAGACAATCGCATTAGTTGATTGTTTTTTTTTTTACTCTCGCCATTGAATATTAATTTTCGGAAACAAATATTATTTTTTTTTTTTGATTAATTATTAATTATTAATAGACATCGGAGGTGGGAAGCAATGCGGGACGAGGAATATAGATAAAATTCGAGTTTTTTTTGCAGATTAGACTAATGAGAAATTTTAAGCCTCCCAAACTCATTAGGATGTTCCAGACAGTGGACAGATGAATTAATTGAAAAAATTTTTTTTTATCTTAAAGGATCGCTTATTTAGATATAAAGCCTTTTTTTCTATACAGTTCGTTGACTTTGTTTTTTTTTTTTACTTTTTTTGGCTTTAAAGTCATTGAAGACATCTATCTCAGTGAGACGATGGAATTTTTTTCAGTTTTTTTTTTCTTTTTTTTAATAATTATTATTAGAAGTGCCAATTAACATTAGTGCCATTTTAATTGAAATATTTACAGAGTTATGTGAACAAGCAAACAAACCAACCCAATCATTTTTCTTTCAAGATGATTTAAAATTTATCGAGAGTTTTCTGTTTTTTTCTTTCAATTCACTGACTTAATTTTCAGTCGAATTTTTAATAAAAATACTAAATTAACTTAATTTATAAAAACAAATTTCAAAAGAATTTATGACTGAAATTTTGAATACGAAAAAAACGAATAAAACAAAAATTTCCAAAAGTAGAATTGTAATTACTAAATTTAGTGTTTTTAAGGAAAGGAATTTTTCAGAAATGAAAATAATAATAATAATTAACTAAATAAACTAAATTTATAACAAATATTAAGTAAATTTATGAAAAAAAATTTGGTACGAAAAAAAAATAAAACAAAAATTTCCAAAAGTAGAATTAATTACTAAATTTAATCTTTTCGAGAAAAAGAATTTTTTTTAATTAAAATAATAATTTAATAATTATATAATAATTATTACTTCAATAATCGATAATTAAAGAACAATTTTTAAGTAACAGTTTTGGAAAAATTCTCGTAAAAATTTTCAATCATATAATTTATATATAAGTCACCATGCACATCACATATTATTATTATTATTATTTTTTTGTTTTGAGGAAAGAAGATAATTTGTTCTTTGTTCGTTTTCTTTTCATGAAAAATATAGATTCAATTTTCCGGAGTTCGCATGCTAATTACATCAATCAACAATTATTAATTTATATATTATATGAAAGGAGACCACAATTATAGATATATTTATAATAAAGAGTTATTTAAACCCGAGTTCAGAAGAATATACACACGAAAAAATATTTGATCTTTTATTTCTCGCCCAAGCTGGAAGGCAGATTAACCAGCTGTTGCGATTATTATTATTATTATTATTATTATTATTATTATTATTATTATTATTATTATTATTATTATTTAATATCTATTTTCTTCTTTACACTAACATTATTATTTATAATATACATTTATAGTCACATCTGTGCATTTTAAATTTATTATTTCAAAAGAAAGAAAAAAAATAAGAAATAGAAATTCGCTGACAATTCAAATAAATTTTCATTCTAAGAAAAGATTAGAAATTTGTTCTAACAATTTAAATATTTTTTTTTTTGTATAATGAAAATTTTTTTTTTCAAAATTAATATAGAAGAAAATAAAACAATTTTGAAAATATAAAAAATTAAATAATTTAAAAAATATAAAAAATAACAAAATTATTTAAAAAATAGATAAGAAATAAAATTCAACAATAAAAAAATTTAAATAAATTCTATAAATTTACTTATTTACGGACATTGAGTAAATAAAAAAATAAAGCATTGAAAAATTATTTTTAATTTACAACTTTTTAAGAAAATTAAAACTTGTTTTAAAAATTGATTTTTTAACTAGAATTTTTTTTAAATTAATAATTTATTATTATTATTATTATTATTATTATTATTATTATTATTTATAATTACTATTACAATCCATAGTTATATTAAAAACTAAAAAATATTAAAAATAAATAAAAAATAAAAATTACTTCGTGATTTTTAAATTTTTGCAAGTAAAAAATTGTATTTGATTTTTCCTTAGAAAAAAAAAACAAATACAATAAAAAACTCAATGACAAATAATGTTAATAATATTAATAATTATTATACCTAGTTGAAACTTTAAAAAAAAATTAAAAATTGTTTTAAAAATTGTTTTTTTTAATTAAAAGAAGAAAAATGAATTAAAAAATTAGAAAAGAGAAGCAAACATAATAAATTAATTTTAATTAATATGTTAGAATTAATAATAATGGATAATAATAATAAAAATTATTGTATTTATAATAATTACAAAATTTGTAAATTAAAAAAAATTCGAATGAATTGTTAACGATTTTCTTTTTCTTTTGTTTTTCATTTAAATAGAAATTGTGTGCAGAAAAGTCTTTTTGAAATAGAGTGCTTTGATTTTTTTTTGTTATGAAGAAAGAAAGCTTATTGTTTTATTTTGTATATAATTATCTATTTTTTTTCTTTTTCATTTTGCAAAATAAAATCGAACTAGAACCGATTGTGTTATCGGCTTTTGTGCTTTGAGCGAAATTAATGTATTTTTTTGTTTGAGAAAAAAGCTAAGCTTGAAATTTTCAATTGAATAAAATTCTTCTTTTCTTTTTCGCAGTTAAACATATTCTATACATTATTGTTAAAACTATATACACTAAAAAGTATTTTTTTTTTGTTTTTGAGTAGAATATTATGAAAGACATTCTTCTCACTTAACTGTATATTTATAATTCAATTATTCCATCATTTATATCTCATATGCTATATTTAATTATTTATATATATTTATATCTCACATTAAATCTAATCGCACCATTCCTTCCATTTTTTTTCTTTTTTTTCATCAAACAATTCCATTTTTACAAGTCAAACTTTCGACTATTTACAATAATCGTCCATTCTTTTTGTTTCTTTAATGCAATTTTCTATTAGTAGAAAATTTTCTATTTCGTCGGTAATTGTCAGTTTCAAGTTATATTCTTTCAATTTTTGTTTTTTACATTAAACTAATTAGTAATTACAATTACTAATTGTTGATTATCGTTATTAGTTTTTTTTTTTTGGAAATTTTTGTCTTCTGTATTGTAAATTGAATTTTAAATTCGATGTTTCAAAAAATGTGATTATCGCATTCTACAAAGGTGAAAACAACTTATAATTTTGGTTTTTTTAATTTTTAATAAAATTTATTTTATATATATTTAAATATAGAATAGAAAAAGAATTGATGATTGAGCATAAAAATATAACTGAGCAAAATTTTTCTTTATAATCACAGAAGTATTCTCAAAAAACACCCATTATAATTGTTTCTTCTTTTTATTTTGTAAACTATGTATTTTCTAGAATATTTTTTGTTTCTCTAATAAAAAATAGTTTGGTGTTTATCTTAAAATTTTAGACAATTGAATTTCATATTTATCATAATCTCAAAATGTCGACTCTTTGGTTCTTATTTAAATTTTGATTTTTTTTTTCCAAGTAATCAAAATTGTTTCTCTTTTTTATTCTCAAGAAAAAAGCGATTAAATTCTAAAAATTGTTAATTTTAAATTCTATTAACTTTCATTAGCAAGATTGTTCTTTTTTCATTTATCATTTTTGTTGTATACAAGAAAATTAATATTTTGTAAATTTCTTTAAATTAAAATCTATTTATCAAATTTTGATTTTCAAAAATTAAAATTAAAAATTAAAGTAAAATCATAACACGGAGAAAATAAAAAAAAACTATGTACATTTTTGATTAGCCGACATATTGAAATGTCTTTTCTCCAAAAAGGAAGTGTTGGATTATTTTAATTAATAATAACAATAGAAAAATAACAAATTCAAAAAATGGTTTAATTAAAAAAATTCCTTCTATAAAAAAAAAACCCTTTTTTTAAATTCAAATCTTGTAAATAAAATAATTATATACTGTTCTATAAATCAACTTCTACACGTATTTTACAGAAATTGAAATGTAAAATATTTTTCATCACTTTAAATATAAAAGATAACGACTAGACTTTCATATGTAATTTGAATTAATATTTATAAATGACATAATTATAACTTTCGAATAAAATTAATTGGTAAATAATTACATTGATTCTTCCATTAATAACACACAAAAAAACAACTAATTATCTATATGAAAAAAAGTTCTTTTCTTTAATGAAAAAATAGTTTCAAAATTAAAGTAAAAAAAAAGTATTAATTAAAAATCCTGAGTTTTCGTCTTTTTTTAATCAAGTGGAATGGAAAAAGAATTTTTACACAAAATATCCACTATCACTATTTAAAAAAAAATTAAAAAGAAAATGTTAAAACATTAAAAAATTAAATTAAAATTCCTCTGGTCGTTTTTAGTTACGAATTAATAATTTTTTTTTATGAAAAATTTCAATGAAAATGTTTGTGAAATATATTTTTTTATTAATGGGACTAGATTGTGACTTGTTTGTGTTTTTTTTTCTTTCATAAAGCCTACGATTATTCTTTGTTAAGCGACGAAAGTTATTTTTAATATTTAGTCAATACCCTGATTAAGTCTCCAGAAATTTTCTTTTTTTTATATATATATATATGTATATAAATGACTATTGTAGCGTTTTAGCAACTCAAAAGAAAAAGAGAGAAGAGTATTTTTTTTCTATAAAGTAGAGAATTAAATAAAAATCTCATGCATTACCTCCAGCAATTGCCGTCGCCTTTGATCCCAGTTTATTCTTTTTGCTTGCTGAAAAAGAAAGAAAGTTACTAAATAAATAATAATTCAAAACCAAAATGGAAAAAATAATTTATAAAAATTAATAATAGGAAGAAAAATTTTTTTTAGAATTACACAATTTCTATTATTTTATTATTTATTTCGTTATTTATTGATTATTTATTATTTTTTTTATTACGTAATTTTAATAATTATAGTGATTAGAAGTTGATAGAAGAGTTTAATATTTAATTAAAGGTTTGGTATTTTTAAAATGAATTTCATACAAATTGGTAAATTAAGAAAAGAAATAAATTTGTAGTCATGCGTTGAATAAATTTAATAGATAAAAAACTAAGTGAATAAATAAATAAACAAATAAATAAGTAGATAAATAAGCAAATAAAAAATTGAATAGGTAACTAAATATTTAAACAAAAAATTTAATAAGTAAATAAATAAACAAATAAGTAAATAAATGAAAGTGAAGAAAAAAAGTAAATAAAAAAGCAAACAAATAAATAAATGAACTTTATGTAAATATTATTATTTATTATTATTATTATTATTATTATTTATTTATTATTATTATTATTATTATTTGAAAATAATCAAATTCTCTTGAGGAATTCTATTAAAATAATTTTGAAAAGAATTGAATTTCTGCAAAGGATTTTACTATTTATAAAAATAATTGAAATGTTTCGAAGAATTTATTAACATTTTAGGAAATAAATGAATTTTATGTAAATATTTGAAAATAATTAAATTCATTCGCGGAATTCTATTCAAATTGTTTTAAGAAGAATTGAATTTCTGCAAAAGATTTTACTATTTTTATCAAAATAATTGAAATGTTTCGAAGAATTTATTAAAATACTGAATTTATTCAAATCTTAGGAAATAATTGAATTGTTTTGCAGAATTTTATAGAAATATTTGAAAATAATTAAAAATTCTTTCGAGAAATTCAATTAAAGTTGTTTCGAAAATAATTTAATTTCTGTAAAGAATTTTATTAAAATTAAATATATATTCAAAATAATAGAATTGATCAGAAAAATTTTATTATTTTTTGAAAATAATTGAATTTTTTCAATTTTTTTGACGAATATATTTAAAAATTGCATTGAAAATAATTTAATTTTCAATATAGAATTTTCTAAAAATATTTTGTGAATAACTGAATTATATTTAGAGAATTTAATTCTATTAATTTAATTTAATTTAGATTAATTGAATTCCTGCAAAGAATTTTAATATTTATAAAAATAATTGAATTCTTACGAAGAATTATATTAAACTTTTTGAAAATCTAAACAATAGTAACTAATTTTGTACTTAATAAGTGAATTTTTTAAAATTTTGATTATGAAATTATTTAAAAATTTATATTTTAAAATAATAAATTTTTTAATTTGCATAATAACAAGAATAAATTGAAAACCACGGTCTATATTTTTCTTTCCTTTTTTTTTGGTTACTCACCAGGTAAACTGAATGGAGCCGATTCGAAAGGATCCTCGGGCACTTCCGTGTAAGACATAACTAAACTTTCACGACTTTTGACACCACTGATACTGCTATTGCTTCCTCTTCTAATTTTATCAAATTCAGCACCAAAAATATGATCCTCTGTTAGGTGACTAAATGGTTGAGCATCTTCAAATGGATTCCAAGCCGATACATCTGCACTAAGTGAACGACTTTCCATACCTGTGACACTTGAAAGCTCCCCCTGAAGATAAGCAAATTTATTGAAAAAAAATGAAGAAAATATTTCTCTAATTTTCAATTAATTCGTCAATTTTTCTAATAATCACCAATCGAACATTTTTGATAATATTCATGTTTTGTAAATAATTTAAGTTTTAATATTATTATTGAATATTAATTATTATAATATTTATATTATTTTTAAAATTTATTATATTTATAATAATCAATTCAATTAATATTAAGTTTTTTCTACTAAATACTTTAGTTCCAATCATTGACATCTGTTTAAATCGAATCTAAATCAAATAGTTGAATAATAAACAAAATATGTAGTTATTAGTTGAATTTTAGATAAATAGTTGTGATTCTAAATTTCTAAGAACTAATTCTACAATATGATTCTAAATTCTAAGTGCAGTGCAATAATGGTCAAATAAACGGAATAATTTTTCTTTTTTAGAGTAATTTCATAATTCAAAAAAAACATTTCAAAACAAGTAAAACGAATTCACTGTTATATTCTCATTATTGTGAGAAATTTCCAAATTTGTGCGATTTTTTGTTTGTTTAAAAGAAGTCAAGTTTGATTTAATGTTGAAATTTCTTATTAAATGTATTAAAAATTAGAAATTTTTAAATTTACTAAAATTTCAAATCGAAACCTTTTGAAATTCAATGACTTTTTATGTAATATTATTCATTAAATAATTTATAAGTAATAATTTCAAAATAGTTCTTCAAGAATAAAATGTAATCACAATTTTATTAATTTAATATTAAATCGTGTGGAAAATATTTCTATTTACTAAATTAACTTTTAAATCAAGACAAGAAACATTCAGTTGACTTGAAAAGATATTGTTCGTTGAAAAAAGAAATTTCGCGAGAAAGAAATTTAATTCACTGAGTATCCAATTGTAAATTAATCAAAGGAAACAGAAAAAAATGGTGCTCTCTATTACTTACAACACGTACATGCGAAGCGCTGGCACCAATTACAGGCTTTATTTCAATTGGCACCTCCGGTGTCAAAGGATCGTCCTGACGTGGTTTCACCGAAGCCTCATAAGGAGCCAAAAATTGCGATGTCTCATTAGCAAATACTCTGCGAATACATTAGCGAATTAAATTTAATTCCTTCATTTTTCTTTAATTTTCTTTATTTTTGTCAATTTTTTTTTTTTTTTTTTGAAAGGTAGAAAAAAATATTAACTCACTTATTGAATGCACTTGTATCACTGACATTTCTTCGATGCCTCGAAGAAATTAAAGTTGGACTATCAGGCGGCGAATTGCTTGAATTAATATTTTGACTTAAACTTTCGGTTTTAACGGAAACTGGCTTTGGTAAAATTGGAGGTGTCATTGTATTCGTTAATTTATTCGGTGTTAATTTTGCCGTTAATTGTGCACCGCCAATTAACGACGTTGGACCTGAATTTGTTAAATTTCCAAGGGTCATTTTTGTTACTCCTGGCTTTGGTGCAACCGACGGTGGAATTTTCGCCGGCGGTGGCATTGTTCGAGTATCGTCTTTAAATGGATCCGGATAACCTGAAAATCAATTATTTTTTTCTTGGAAAGTTCAATTTAAAATAAACTCACAATTCAAATATATGTAAAATGAGTAGAATGTAAAAATAGTAAAAGAAAATTATTAAAATAGCAAAAAGGAAATTATTATTAAAATAGTAAAAGAAAATTGTCAAAGTGTTGAAAGAAAATTATTAAAGTAGTTAAAGACAAAATATTCAGAATGCTTTAAAGATAAAAAAAATAACGAAAATTAATTAGAAAAAATTGTTTTCAATTAAAAATTATGATAATTTAAATTGGAAATTTAATTAAAAATTTTTACTAATTCCGATTTATACAGATAGTAATAATGGATTTTTCTTTAATTTTAAAAGATGACTTTTTGGTTACAAAAATTTCATCATAATTTTCTTATTTTTAAATCTGAAATAATTTCATTATTGCATAGAATTTTATTAAAATTTTTCAATAAGAATAGAATTTCTTCAAAAAAAAAAAAAAAACCGTTGAAGATAATTAAATTCTTTTAAGGAATTTCATAAAAATTGTGCTGAAACTAATTAAATTTTTCTAAAGAAATTCCTTAAAATTTCTGCAAATAATTTAATTGGTTCGAAGAAAATAAAATTTTTTTCAAAGAATTTTGTTAAAATTGTATTAAAATTATTTGACTTTTTCGAAAGAAATTTGTCAAAATTTTTGAAAATAATTGAATTCTTACAAATAATTAGATTTAAATTTTAAAAAATACGAATTGAATTCTACTAAAAAATTTTATTTGAAAACTATTAAATTCTTCTGAAAAATTTTATAACTTAAGTAAAATAATTCAAGACGGACTTTATTAAAATTTTAAAAATAATTGAATTGCTTCGCTGAATTTTATTAAAATTTTTTAAAATAATTGAATTTTTTAAAGAAAATTTATTACAATTTTTAAAAATAATTGAATTCTTCCAAAGAATTTAAATATTTATGAAAATAATTGAATTCATGGAAAGAATTTTATTATTTATGAAAATAATTGAATTTATGGGAAGAATTTAATTATTTCTAAAAGTAATTAAATTCTTGCGAAGCACTTTGTTACTTATAAAAAAGTAAAATTAAAAAAACTGTAGAATTAATAAAAATATAAATTCAATTGTATTGAAGAGAATTTAAATTGTTTGTAGGAATTTCATTAAAATTGTACTTTAAATCTTAAATTCATCTAAGAAATAAAAAAAATGTTTAAAAATAATTGAATTCTATCTAATAATTGTAGTAAAAATAATTGAATTTTTCCGAAGAATTTTATCTTATGTAAAATAATTGAAAAAGTTAAAAATAATTGAATTGCTTCGCAAAATTTTCTTAAAATTTTTGAAAATAATTGAATTTTTTCAAGGAATTTTATTATGAATTTTTAAAAATAATTGAATTCCTCCAAAGAATTTGATTATTTGTGAAAAAATTGAATTCTTTGGGAGAATTTTATAACTTATATAAAATAATTCAATTCTTGCTACGAACTTTATTAAATTTTTTAAAATAATTGAATTGTTTCGCAAAATTTTATCAAACCTTTTGAAAACAATTGAATTTTTTCAAAGAAATTTATTTTAATTATTAAAAATAATGGAATTTCTCCAAAGAATTTATTTATTTATGAAAATAATTGAATTTAAAAAAAATATAAATTCAACTGTTTTAAAGAAAATTTATATTCTTTGTAAAGATTTCCTTAAAATTGTACTGGAAATAACTGAATTTTTCTAAGGAATTTTAAAAGATTATTTGAAAATAATTGAATTCTATCAAAAAATTTTAGTGACAATAATTGAATTTTTCCGAAGAATTTTAATATTTATAGAAATAATTGAATTTGTTTTGAAGAAATTTTATTAAAATAGCATAGAATATAATTTAATTACTGCGAAGAATTTTATTAGTTATAAAAATAATTAAATTCTTGGGAAGAATTTAATTACTTATAAAAAAATAAAATAAAAAAAATATAGAATTGATAAGAATGGAAATTCTTTGTAAGAATTTCATTAAAATTATACTGTAAATAACTAAATTCATATAAGGAATTAAAAAAAATGTTTAAAAATAATTGAATTCTATCTAATAATTGTAGTAAAAATAATTGAATTTTTCCGAAGAATTTTAATATTTATAAAAATAATTAAATTCTTGCAAAGAATTTTATTAAAATTTTTGAAAATAATTAAATTCTTTTAAAGAATGTAATTATAATTTTTAAAAGTAATTGAATTCTTTCCGGTGTTGATATTGTTTAACAATATTATTATATCACCAAAATAAAAATAATAAAATATGAAATAAGAGAAAGTTCCTTTAAAGAAACTATAGAAAAAGAAACGAAAAGTGTGACAAATTATTAAAAGAAACAATTTTACCTGACGCTGGAAAGAGAGCTTCAAGATTGTCATCATTTGCCTTCGTCTCAAGTGGTTTTGAATCAAAATAAAATGTATTATTTTTCTCCTGAACAGTGACTGGTGATTGTTGCGTTAATGGCGAATGACTTATCAATGGACTCTGCGAATGATTAAATGATTGTGTTGCCGAATTTTGACCAAATGTTGCAACATTTTGATTTGGTGAGACAAGAAGTGGTGAGACTGGATTGAATTGAGTCGATGACGATGACAGTTGTAATGTTTGTTGCTGTGAATTAACGGAAATATTTTGCTGTACAATATTTCCAGTGACAAATGACGCTTGTGGTGTATTTATTGGCGTTATTTGTTGATTAATTTGTATATAAGAAACAGCATTTCCCTGGGGCGGTAATTGATTACCCTGACCGGATATTTGCGCCACAATTTGTCCACTAAGACTAATTGGACCTGTTGTGACGCCTTGGCCTTTTGGTCGTTGCCGTGGCGTCACCGATGTTCCTTCAACTGTTGCTGTGATGAGAGTTGGTTTTGTGATTTTTATCGATGACGAACGTTTCACGCATTCCGATTCCATTGGCGGTGATTGCAAACTATCCACTGTTGGCGTTGAAACTTTCTGCAAAATACATTTTTCCAAAATTGAATTTTATGAAGAATTAAATTATTTTCATAATCATTGTAATAAAATTCTTTGCAAAAAGTCAACTTATAAATAATAAAAATCTTCGTAAAAAAATTCAATTATTTTCATATAAATAATAAAATTCTTATCCAGAATTCACTTATTTTCAATTCCATTTTTAATTGAAATCCTGTCAAAATTTCAATTATTTTATAAAATCTTTTAATAATTCTTCAAAAAAATTCAATTATTTTAAAAAATAATTGAATTTTTGACAGGAGTTCAATTATTTAAAAACTTTTAATAAAATTCAATTTAAGAATTTTCATGAAATTCTTCTCAAAAATTGAATTATTTTTTTAAATTTTGTAAAAATTTATTTATTTGCAGAAATAATAAATTTCTCCAAAGGGATTTAATTATTTAAAAAAGTTTTATTTATATTCTATTTAAAGAATTTAATTATATTCAGAAATACTTAAATTTTTTATGTACTGAAAATTATCGAATTTTTGTGAAGTATTTATAAAAAAATTTGAATATATTTAAATTCTTTAAAATACTGAAGTTTTTTTAATAATTTTTTTGTAAATAAATAACATTTTTTTGGGAAGAATTTCATTATATTTCGTAAAAATAATGTAATTTTTTTAAATAATTTTAATTTAAAATTTTGAAAATAATTGAAATTTACAAAGAATTTTATTAAAAACTTTTGAGAGCAATTGAATTGTTTAAAAAAATGTTATTATAATTTTTAAAAATAATTGAACCTGTTAGAGAAATTTTATTAAAATTATCTTGAATATAATTGAATTTTTTTTTAGAAATTTTTATTAAAATTGTATTGAAATTAATTTAATTAATTTCTTAGAAGAATTTTACTATTTACAAAAATAATTGACTTCTTGCCAAAAAATTTACAATTTATAAAAATAATTGAATTGTTACGAAGAATTTTTTATCAGAATTGTTGAAAATAATTGAATTTTTATTAAAACTCTGAAAATAATTGAATTTAAATAATATTTTTAAAAATAATTGTATTCTTTCGAGAAATTTTATTAAAAATAATTGGATTCCTTTGTAGAATTTTATTATTTATGTAAATATTTTTATTTTTGCAAGAAATTTTCTTATTTATGAAAATAATTCAATTATTGCCGAGGCTTTTACAATTCACAAAAATAATTAAATTGTTTCGAAGAATTTTATCTGAACTAGCCAAACTATCCGCGCGCAAGCGCGCGGGAATGTTGTATGGGGCTGCTTATTTTAAACAATTTAAAAAATTATAAAGAAATAATTATTATAACCTAACAAAGAGATTTAACTAACTAAAATTCAAAAAATTTCACTCAATGGTCTCAATTTAAATAGAATTTACATTACTAGACTTAAACTATGGCTAGAACAATTACAATTAGTATCTGGGTCATCTTTTGCATTGCTTATTTTATAAAGCCATTTTAAATTAAATACTTTTTAAAGAAATAATAGTTATTACACACTGAAAAAAGTTTTACTTGAAATAGCGATAAGTTTCTCTAGAATAACGAAAGTATTAATTGAAGCACTAAATAATTTCGCTACCAAAGTGAAATCTGTAGTTCATCCAGCTAAATATTTTTTGCCGTGCATAACGAAAAAAGAATTAAATTAACATCAGATTTTCTACATTCAAAAAAAAAACGAATTCAAATGGAAATTAATCATTTTACAACTTAACCAAATTCACCCCAGAAATCACTGAATTCGATAATTTAGAAGAAAGTCAGACAAAAGCAGGGTTCCTACAAAATCTGGAAATCATGGAAATCATGGAAATGGTATGGAATTTTTAAAAGGCTTCTGGAAATCAGGGAAATCATGGAAAAGGCCTGTAATTTTTAAAAAATTCTAAATTTTTTCAGTTTTCCATTTTTTTTCTTGAATAAAAATTCAAATAATAATAAAGCTAAATGGTATAAAAGAGAAAAAAAATGTTGAATTTTAAGAAATTAAATTTTTCGGATTTTTGATAATTTTTAATAATTTTTTATTTTTTTCCAAAGAGTCGAGACAATTTAATAAGTAAAGTATTTTCCAAAAGCACAAAAAAAATGAAGCTAAATCCCATAAAAGAGAAGAAAAAATGTTGAATTTTAAGAAAATCGGATTTTTGAATTTTTTCGAATTTTTGATAATTTTAGATTTTTTACCACAGAGTCGAGACAATTTAATAAGTAAAGTATTTTCCAAAAGCACAAAAATAATGAAGCTAAATCCCATAAAAGAGAAGAAAAAATGTTGAATTTTAAGAAAATCAAATTTTTGAATTTTTTCGAATTTTTGATAATTTTAGATTTTTTACCAAAGAGTCGAGACAATTTAATAAGTAAAGTATTTTCCAAAAGCACAAAAATAATGAAGCTAAATCCCGTAAAAGAGAAGAATAAATGTTGAATTTTAAGAAAATCGGATTTTTGAATTTTTTCGAATTTTTGATAATTTTAGATTTTTTACTAAAGAGTGGAGACAATTTAATAAGTAAAGTATTTTCCAGAAGCACAAAAATAATGAAGCTAAATCCCATAAAAAAGAAGAAAAAATGTTGAATTTTAAGAAAAACGGATTTTTGAAATTTTTCGAATTTTTGATAATTTTAGATTTTTTACCAAAGAGTGGAGACAATTTAATAAGTAAAGCATTTTCCAAAAGCACAAAAATAATGAAGCTAAATCCTATAAAAGAGAGGAAAAAATGTTGAATTTTAAGAAATTCGGATTTTTGAATTTTTGATAATTTTCGATAATTTTAGATTTTTTACCAAAGAGTCGAGACAATTTAATAAGTAAAGTATTTTCCAAAAGCACAAAAATAATGAAGCTAAATCCCGTAAAAGAGAAGAATAAATGTTAAATTTTAAGAAAATCGGATTTTTGAATTTCTTCGAATTTTTGATAATTTTAGATTTTTTACCAAAGAGTCGAGACAATTTAATAAGTAAAGTATTTTCCAGAAGCACAAAAATAATGAAGCTAAATCCCATAAAAAAGAAGAAAAAATGTTGAATTTTAAGAAAAACGGATTTTTGAAATTTTTCGAATTTTTGATAATTTTAGATTTTTTACCAAAGAGTCGAGACTATTTAATAAGTAAAGTATTTTCCAAGAGCACAAAAATAATGAAGCTAAATCCCGTAAAAAAGAAGAAAAAATGTTGAATTTTAAGAAAAACGGATTTTTGAAATTTTTCGAATTTTTGATAATTTTAGATTTTTCACCAAAGAGTCGAGACAATTTAATAAGTAAAGTATTTTCCAAAAGCAAAAAAATAATGAAGCTAAATCCCGTAAAAGAGAAGAAAAAATGTTGAATTTTAAGAAAAACGGATTTTTGAATTTTTTCGAATTTTTGATAATTTTAGATTTTACCAAAGAGTCGAGACAATCTAATAAGTAAAGTATTTTCCAAAAGCACAAAAATAATGAAGCTAAATCCCATAAAAGAGAAGAAAAAATGTTGAATTTTAAGAAAATCGAATTTTTGAATTTTTGATAATTATCGATAATTTTAGATTTTTTACTAAAGAGTCGAGACTATTAAATAAGTAAAGTATTTTCCAAAAGCACAAAAATAATGAAGCTAAATCCTATAAAAGAGAGGAAAAAATGTTGAATTTTAAGAAAATCGGATTTTTGAATTTTTTCGAATTTTTGATAATTTTAGATTTTTTACCAAAGAGTCGAGACAATTTAATAAGTAAAGTATTTTCCAAAAGCACAAAAATAATGAAGCTAAATCCCGTAAAAGAGAAGAAAAAATGTTGAATTTTAAGAAAATCGGATTTTTGAATTTTTGATAATTTTCGATAATTTCAGATTTTTTAGCAAAGAGTCGAGACTATTAAATAAGTAAAGTATTTTCCAAAAGAACAAAAATAATGAAGCAAAATCCCATAAAAGAGAAGAAAAAATGTTGAATTTTAATAAAATCGGATTTTTGAATTTTTTCGAATTTTTGATAATTTTAGATTTTTTACTAAAGAGTCGAGACAATTTAATAAGTAAAGTATTTTCCAAAAGCACGTAAATAATGAAGCTAAATCCCATAAAAGAGAGGAAAAAATGTTGAATTTTAAGAAAATCGGATTTTTGAATTTTTTCGAATTTTTGATAATTTTAGATTTTTTACTAAAGAGTCGAGACAATTTAATAAGTAAAGTGTTTTCCAAAAGCACGAAAATAATGAAGCTAAATCCCATAAAAGAGAGGAAAAAATGTTGAATTTTAAGAAAATCGGATTTTTGAATTTTTTCGAATTTTTGATTTTTTACCAAAGAGTCGAGACTATTAAATAAGTAAAGTATTTTCCAAAAGCACAAAAATAACGAAGCTAAATTCTATAAAAGAGAGGAAAAAATGTTGAATTTTAAGAAATTCGGATTTTTGAATTTTTGATAATTTTCGATAATTTTAGATTTTTTACCAAAGAGTCGAGACAATTTAATAAGTAAAGTATTTTCCACATTAAAAAGTTTGACATTAAAAAATATATAAAAAATGCCAATACTTAACCCACAAAATTAAATTTTCAAAATAAACAAATGAATGCAGATAATTTGCTAACGGAAAGGAAACTTACGATTATTATAATGTATGTATATGTATATGTATATTTCTATTTTCTATAAGGCTGCGTCTACAATAGAAAAAAATAATGTGTAGAAAAATGTGTAATTTGTAGTGTAATGTGTATTGTTTTTAGCACTGCCAACTGTCAGGGTCAATTACACTATACATTACACAATTTTCTACACATTATTTTTTCTGTTGTAGACACAGCCTTAAAACGTATAAAAAACAAAAGAATAACTATAACTAACTTCAAGTGTGGACAGAGATTCGGAAATCTGGAATCACGACGATTATTATATATAATTTTTGGAAATAATTGAATGTTTTGAAGGAATTTTATTAAAAATTTTGAAAATAATGATTTTTTTAAAAGAATTTCATCAAAATTGTTGAAAATAATTGAATTTATGTTAAAATTCTTGAAAATAATTGATTTTAATTAATATTTTTTTTTAAATAATTGTATTCTTTCGGGAAATTTTTATTAAAATTGTATTGAAAATAATTGAATTCCTCCGAAACATTTTATTATTTATGAAAATATTGAAATTCTTGCGAAAAATTTTATTAAAATTTTTAAATAAAAATAAGCAAGAATATTTAATATTTTGTACTTAATAAGTGAATTCTTTAAATTTTAAATCTGTAATACAGTGAAACAAAATGAAATGAAAATAAAATTAAACTTATATTAAATCTTGCTTAACTTATTTAAATTTGAGTTCGAAATTTTGATTTCTTTAAATATTTGCCTAAAAATGTATTCTTTATGAAAGAGAGACGAGTAAAGAATTGTTTTTATTTCTGAATTGGAAAAATTTTAAAAGGGAGGACAAAATAAATTGACAGTGATAATAATATTCAATGTGTTAAAGTTTTCATTGTTTCTTTCTCTTTTTTTTTTTGCATTGAAAGAAATGATGAATGTCACGTCACTTGCACGCAACTGTGAATCTGTATAAACACGAATACAAAAGAAAGAGAGAAGGTCAGAAATACTCTGGCTATTGTCACCTGTCAGCGTTAGTATTTATAATATTGATTTTTAATGGCAACCGTCATTCAGATCTTAATGAAGTATACATAAAAATTAAAGAAGCGCAGCTAACTGCTTTAGGTACTCAAAAGAATACTTAATAACAGTATTGTTTCTTGCTTTATTCATAATTTACTAAAATTAATTTGCCTTCCTAATTTATATAATTAAAAATTATTCTCTATACAGAAATTAATTTTCCCTTTTCTTTTTTTTTCTAAAAAGAAAAAAGATTACTTTAAAAAACTAATCATTGTTTTTAAATAAAGAAAAGAAAAAAAACTAAAGAATAAAAAGAAAAGTTTATATCTCGATTATGTATAATGTTAATTGAAAATAAAAATTGCCTTTCAATTTATTAATCGAAAGGAAAATATTAAATCTAAAAGCAAAAAGGGAATTTTTAAAGAAAAATAAAATTACTTACATGTAAATTTTGTACTGGACATTCTTTGCCTTGAAGTTGAAAGGCAATAACTGAAACTTGATAGATATCAGGTCGTAAATCTGGATCAGGTTCAAGCATATAGCGAATTAACGAGTGAAGTCCTCGGCTATACCTAAAAATATTTTTCTCCTTTTTTTTCTGCAAATTTTTTTTCTCATAACTAGAGGGAAAAAATAAGACAATCTACAAACCTTGAATTATCGGGAATAGAAAAATTTCCAGATTGTATGGCAAGTGTACTTTCTCCAAATGGTAGTGTAAAAAAGCACAGCTTATAAAGTAAACAGCCGAGTGCCTTGAAAAAAAAAATTGAAAATATTTTGAAAAAAAAGAATTAAAATAGAGATTTTTTTTAACAATTACTTTAAAAAAGTTTAAATAAAGTAAAATTATTAACAAAAATGAATTTAATGATTTAAAGAAGAAAAATGTGCAAAATTGTTTTTTATTTACCCAAATATCTGCTTTGGTAGTAATTGCTTTTCCACAATACATATCCACCATTTCTGGGGCTCGATAACTAAGAGTCGTGTATTTTTTAATTTCCTCCTCGACAGTCGAAGCTCCTTGAACATTTGGATTCAGAGTTTTTCCCGTGGCCGAACCAAAATCACACAAAACATAATTTCCCGTTTCTGCTAATAGTATATTTTCCACCTGGAGGTTAATTATATTGATTATTAACATTTATTCTCCAATTTTTGTAATAATTTCAGATTCAACATTTTTAAACATTCAACTTAAATTTTATTTATATAATAAATATTACAAGTAATAATTATTGAACACAAATAAAATTTAAGTAAAAAAAAATAATAAAATGTAAATAATATTTTAAGACCATAATTTTTTTTATGAAACTGACCTTAAGATCTCTATGAACAATAGGCGTTTGACAATGATGTAAACGAGAGACAGCTTCACAAACATCACAAAATATTTGAAGCACTTCTGGTTCAGTGAATCCAGTTTGTAATCTGAAACAAATTTTTAAACAAAAATTTTTTAAATTCAATGAACAAAGAAAACGAATTTAAAAATAAAAATTCTATTATCTGTTTATTTACGTTTTGCTTTATTCTAATTACTAGAAAATGTTACGCGCGAAAAGTGATATTCAATTTATTATTGTTATGCAAATTACAAAATTTTTAATTATTAAATAATTTCATAACCAAAATTTGAAAAATTAACTTATTTAGTACAAAAGTAATTATTATTGTTTATATTTTCAGAAATTTTTTAATAATTCTTCGCAAGAATTCAGTTATTTTTATAAATAGTAAAATTTTTTATAAAAATTCCATTATTTTTAATAAAATTCTAGTAAAATTTCACGAAAGAATTCAATTATTTTCTAAAATTTTAATAAATTTATTGAAACAATTAATCTATTTTTATAAATACTTAAATTCTTTGCAGGAATTAAATTATCCAATTTTTAATTCAATTTAAATAAAATTACACGAAAAAATTTAATTATTTTCAAAAATTTACATAAAATTCAATTTTAACAAGAATTTTAAATTCTCTAAAAATAATTTAATTATTCTCAAAATATTCAAAAAAAAATCTATATGAGAAATAAATTACTTTCAATGCAAATTTTAAATATATTCGTCAAAAATTTTTTAAAAATTCAATTATTTTCAAAAAATAATAAAATTCTTCTGATGAATTCTATTATTTTGAATATTCTTAATTTTAATAAAATTCTTTACAGAAATTCAATTATTTTCTAAACAAATTTAATTGAATTTCTCGAAAGAATTTTTAATTATTTTCAAATATTTCTATAAAATTCTGCAAAGCAATTCAATTATTTCCTAAAATTTTAATAAATTCTTCGAAACATTTTAATTATTTATAAAAATAGTAAAATTCTTCGCTATAATTCAATTATTTTTATAAATAGGTAGTAAAATCTTTTGCAGAAATTCAATACTTTTTAAAACAATTTTAATAGAATTACTTTAAAGAATTTAATTATTTTCAAATATTTACACGAAATTAATTTATTTCCTCAAATTATAATTAATAAATTTTTAATCATCAAAATATTCTGTGAAATTCAATTATTTTTAATACAATTTTAATAAAATTCAATTGCTTTCAAAATTGTTAATTAAAATTATTTAAAAAAAACCCCATTATTTTAAAAAAATTCAAAGAAATTCTTTAAATTATTTTCATAAATAAAAAAATTCTTCGAAGGAATTCAATTATTCTGTTGAAATTTTTTGATAAGTTTCTTTCCAAAAATTCAATGATTTTCAATACATTAATTTTAGAATTGAAAATATTTAAAAAGAAAAATTTTTAAAAAAAGTTAGGAAATAAAAAAGCAATGCATACGTGAATTTATTTGAAACAAAAGCTTAAAAAAAGCACTAATTAATTGAAAATAGTATTTTTTCTTTTAATTCTATTTCAAAATGTAGTCACTGAACCTGCTATTCATCATTTGAAGAACTTGAGATTTGCAAAACGGCATAAGGAGCAGAAGTTCGTGAACTCCACCCCCTGTGTGACTAATACTGCTGTCCACATATCCTATAATGTTCTTGTGACCACTCAGGTTACTCTGTATTAAAACAAAAAAATATTAACCTCCAAAGAAATTAATAAATAATAAATAATATTTTTAATTGAAAATTTACAATTTCTTTCTATCGTTAACATTTCAAAAGACAAAGTATGCAATCATTCCTTTTTTTAAATATTTTTGCTAGTTAACTTTCAACTAAAAAAATTGATTTTCAATTTTTTTTTTAGTTAATTTTTATTTATAAAATAAATATTCATACGAAAATTACTTACCGCGATTTGTATCTCTCTCTTGCAAACATTGAGATCATGTTCATTGTTGACATACATACGTTTAAGGGCATATCGACCACCTGAAGATTTGACTAGGAAGACTACGGCGAATCCACCTGAAAAATCAATTTTTTTTCATTAAAGAAAATAAATAATTCGTTCGAAAATTTCATCATCTATTCAAAACAAAAGGAAACAAAAAGCAATTTTCTCTTTTTCCACTTTAAAATAATATTTAATTTGATATTAAAACAATTCCGAAGCGCATTAAAACGATGTCGTAATCAAGTTCGTCCTTGGTTTGTAATTCATTCAGAGAAAAAAATAGACATTTTTAATTAGTAAATGAAAAAAGGCATTAAAAATTAATTTTTTCAATTAATTTTGTCACTTAAAATTGTGTTTTCATTACGTTAATCGATTAAATTAATTAACTTCATTATTTACTACAATTCTGATGGTTTTTGATTTTTATTTTATGAAAAATTTTAAGTCTATTTATTAACTAATAAATTAATAAATAAGTTAGTAAATTAATTGCAAGCAGATAATGAATTAATTTTAATCGACAATAATTCTAATTGTTTTTAATTCTAATAATAAAAAATTTATGACTATTAATTAATAATTAATAAATAAGATAATTAATCAATTACAAAAAGGTAAATAATTAATTTTAATTGACAGTAATTATAATTGTTTTTAATTCTATTAATAAACAATTTAAGACAATTTATTAACTAATAATTAATAAATATTGATAAATAATTTAATCCATTAGTTACAAGTAGATAATTAATCATAATTTACAATAATTCTGATTACAGGATCTATTTTATACTTGATAATCCAATAAACGAAAACAATAATAGTGAAATAGAAATAATTATAATAATTAAAAAAGAATAACAAAAATAACAATTAAAGAGTAAAATAACCTAAATATGTTAATGTCAAAAAAAGTTAATTATTAAATTGAAAAATAAAAATTTTTTTTATGACAAGTTTTATTTTTCCATTTTATCTTCCGCTCCCTTGAAATATTGATTTTGTTACTAAGCGGAGAGTAAACATTTTTCCAAAAAAATAATATTCGCACTTTAAATAACAAAGTAGGCATATTTATAAATAAAATAAGTAAAAGGAACACCTTTCACCGAGAAATTTTTCTCTTCTCTAAATTAAATTTTACTTTTCTGTCTATTTAGATGAACTTTCTAATTATTTCACGAATGAATGAATGTCGTCGAGAAAATCAATTTAATATAAGTGATCAATATTTCATTACTATGGAAACTGAAATAATTAATAGCCGATGTATCGCATCTTATTTAGAATATTCACGATCAAACGTGCCATTAAATGATAAATCACACCTAAAGTTATTATAATTTTATGTTCAAAATACTTTTTAATGGCGAACATAACCTTAAATTATTAAAAAATACTGTTTACAGATAATAGTTTTTTTGCTTTTTGTTTTTAAGTAAAATATATATTTAAATATTTATACTATTTATACCTATTGCTTTTAATATTATTTTACCTAAAATTGATCTAGTTTTACAATTAATAAACGCCTTTTAATAAACAAATATTTTTTTGTTGACAATTTTTAACGGTTAAACGAATAGAAACAGCAACTTGAAGTTGTCTGTAAATCGGCACTGTAAACAGAGTTGAACCAATAGAAAACCACCTGCAAATTACCCAGTGTTGTAAAGTAATTTTAACATAGCTTAATAGCTAATTAGTTAATGACAATAATCTTTTAATTAACGTTTACTAGCTTTACACAAAATGCATTCCTTTTAATAAAGGGGGAGGGGGGGTAGTTCAAAAACGTGAAAATCTAAAAAAAGTCATTTACGTATAATTACGCAACTCTTAGTTCCCAACCCTGATTTTTGGATTTTATGTTGCAAACGTGACACGATTTGTAGACAACTTCAAAACACGATTTCATTAATAATTAAATATTGATATTATTACATTTTATATTCAGCTTAAAATGATCAAATAACGATGTAATTATTAAAAGCATTTGTTATTGTTATCTCAAAGAGATAAATTACGATGATTTGTTATCACTCTAAAGAATTGATATTAAGTAATATATCGATTTGTTCAACTATCTTTTCTCTACAAACAAAAAAGAGAGAATAAAAAGAGAAAATTCGTTTTTCCAAGAAAGACTAAACAGTAAAAATACTTGTTACCTTGTTAAATAAATTGTGTCAGATAATGTACGATAAGAAGAATAATAAAATTGATACAAATTATAAAGATAAATATCGCAGTGAATTTGTTTCTTCTTAAAGTGTTATACATTTTTTTAGATTAAAAAGAATAACTTCTTAATTTTAACTGAAGTCTGTTAGTTTTGCGTCATGAGTCACTTTACTGACTTCTCTCTATTTATTATCATCATGTATTATACATTCGACTTAAATTTTCATATAATAGAATCAAAACAATAAGAACTGTCGACACAATGTTCGAGAAAAAAAAATTAATCATCTCTTTTTTTGTTTGTAGCCGAAAATAATTATTTTTTTTCTCCAAGTAAACACTTTTTACGAAATGAGTCAGAAAATACGATTTAAAAATCACGGACGAAAATAATTACCTATTTTTTTCTTTTTACGATAGAAAAAAAAATCTGTCAACAAGGTTATTCGTAAATAAATAAAATATGATAAAAATTTAATTTCAAAATTCCGCACTGTTTCTGAATTCCATGCTCGATAAAATAGAAAAATTTTCATTAATTTAATTTTCCTTTATTTGCAATGAGATTTTTATTATATTTAGTAAATTATTCATTTTTAAATTAGATCGAATTTTATTTTTTTTCAACGCAATTTATCGATTAAATGGCCAACTTAAAATATGCGCAATAATAAATTCTTTAAATTGATCGAAGCTAAAAATGATAACATCCCCCAAGAACTATTAATTAAAATAAATCGAAAAAAGGGGAAGATAACCTACAAAAGATAACTTTTAAGAGAAAAAATTTTTTTTGCAATAATAAAAATCAAATCCAACCAATCCAACAAAATGAAAAAGTCAGAATTCAAAAATTACTGAATTAAAATCGAGAAGTAGAAAAAAGGGAATTTAGAGAAAGGGTTGATCAGGGGGAAAAGATCGAAGGGGTTTGATATTTTTAATATATAAATAATAATATAACTTATAACGGAAAAATATCATCCAGGATCAAAGATGGACGAAGGTGACCGGGGGGGCAAGCGGGTGCAAAAAAAAAAGAAAAGAATAAGATAAATTTTACAATTACACTGTACCTTCTGCAAGAACTTCCTCGACGGTCACTGTATGTCGTCCGACAACGAACACTTTTCCCAAATAACCGCTGGGCTCTTTCGACGTGTTGTCGATTTTTGAGAATAGTTTCTTCATTTTGGCACACGTCCTCGGCCCTCCCAATACCAAAGTGGCTTGACATTAAGGTCTTGTCGCCCGATTAATCAAATATACTTTTTATGGTTCCTAATATAACCGATCGATTCAATATAGAGTCGGATCGGTGCACAAAATATCCACGTCTCAGTTAGAATATAATTCACGATGGTTAGTAACTGCGTTTAAATACAACCAAGAGAAATCAATTTTATCATGATAACAGAAAACGTATATCAGCCAGCCGACATTTTCAGGGCTGCGCAAACTGAAATGATTTTAAATGCGCATGCGTCAATTTGCGAAAATTCAACCGGAAACATATGTGCACCATTTCCTTTCTAATGTCAAAAAAAAGTATAATTATATTATATTTATTATCTATTCTCTCCACTGTAAAAGTTAAGCCTCATTAAATTTAAATAATGCTGGGAATAACAAAAAAATTCTATTCAGTTCATTCAGTTCTTTATATTCCGACTTTTGTAAGATGAATATAAATTTGTGAAGTGTAAAACTATACTGAACGTTTTGAGGTTAGGTTCGTACATAATATTTTCAAATTTTACCCAGGAATATTATTATTTCCTTATTTTTACGTTTTTGCTTCTTATTGAAAACAATTTTTGGTTACAATTTACGAACTTTTCTTTTTTTCTCCCCTTTTTTGTATTTTTTTCGAGGTTATGTCGTTTGTTTATATACCAAAAAACTAATTTATTTTTTTGTTCGAAAAAAAGGAATTCATCATGAGTGACGCCGAGGATGAAATGATACTCGAGGAAATTCGAGCCTTAGAAAATGCCTTGTCGAAAAATAATGAAACAACAAACGAAACGGATTATACATTGACAAATTTGAAAACAGAAATTATTTACTGTCAGGATCAGTCGAAAATTGAAGATTATCTTGAAGAGGAAGAAAACGATCAAAGAACCGAAGATTCAACATCAATTGTCGAGGATTCATTAATAATTAATGATAATTTAACAGGTGCATCAGCCGAGGCTCTACGTTTAAATAAACAATTAATTGAACATTTAAATAAAACACGTGAACATATTGCCGAATTATTGGAAGAATGCAAACGAAAAAAGGAGATTATCGCACAAAAATTGAAGCTACGAATGAAAACAAATGTTACGACAAAAACAATAACATCACACGCTGGAATGCCGTATTTTAAGGATAAAAATTTCTTCGCCGCCCCCGCTAATGACGATACAAAATTAAAGGAACAACGCGGTGAATTACAAATAATACATCTTCGTCGTGTTTCACGTTGGACGACAAAGGATAAGGAATTATTATTAAAATCTGTGCACAATGAAGTTGTCGAAAGTATGCGATATATGCCCGGCAATGAGAGAATTGATCCAAATAGTATTAAATTGGGTAAAAATAATACATTACCCGGTGTTGTTGTTCGTGAAATTGGTGATTTGGGCATTAGAGAATTTGATTGGATGAAAATTGCAGTCAGTGATTTTCAAAATAAACATTCGCCAGAGGAATGTCGTGTTATGTGGAATATTTTCCTTCATCCATCGATAAATAAATTCAAATGGAGAAAGAAGGAGTTGATTGATTTAGAAAAATATGCGAAGCAATATAAAAATGAAAATTGGGATCGAATTGCTAACAAATTAGGTTTGTTGTATCATTTTTTTCTATAATTTACAAGGCTTTGTACTCATCTACAAAAATTTACTACTAATTTACTAAAAAGTTTACTACTTTTTTTTACAATTTTCTAGTTTTTTTTTTAGATTTGCGACACTAAAAGCTATTATGTATTACCTTCTTTTTGAAAATTGACACTACCTTAAATTCTCTAATAGTTGAAATAAAGAATTATTATCAAAAATTTAAAATAAAATTCTTGAAAATAATTCAGAAAATTTTAATAAAATTATTAGAAAGAATTAAAAATTTTTTAATAAAATTCAATTATTTTCAAAAATTTGAAGAACATTTAACGCAAGAATTCAATTATTTTCAATATCTACTATTTTAATAAGACTTCACAAAAGAATTCAATTCTTTAATAAGAATTTAATAAAATTCTTCCAGGAAAATTAAATTATTTTCATAAATAATAAAATTTCTCGAAAAAATTTAATTATTTCCCCAAATAATAAAATTCTTCCCAGAAATTCAATTATTTTCAAAAATAAGAAAATTCATCGCAAAAATTCAATTATTCTCTCAAATATTAAAATTCTTCACAGAAATTAAATTATTTTTAAAAAATGTGTAATAGAATTCGTTGCAAGAATTCAATTATTTTTATAAATATATTAAAATTCTTTGCCGGACTTCAATTATTTTTAATACAATTTGAAATAAATTTCGCGAAAAATGTAATTATTCTTAAAAAGTGTTATTGAAATTCTTCGAAAGGATTCAATTATTTATAAATATCAATTATTTATTATCTTAATTCAATTTTATTGAAATTTCTTCGAGTGAATTCAATTATATTTAAAAAAAATTCTTCGCAAAAATTAAATTATTTTTTATAAATATAATAAAATTCTCTTGAGGAATTCAAGTGTTTTTAATAACATTTTTCAGAAGAATATAATTGTTAATAAAAACTCTAATAAAATTTTTCAATTTAATTTAATTATTTTTAAAAATTTTTATAAAATTCTTCGCAAAAAATTTATTTGTTTTTGTAAATTTAATAAAATTTTTCGAAAAAAATATTTTCAATGTAATTTTATTAAAATTTCGTCGAAATAATTCAATTATTTTCAAAAATTTTAATAAAATTCAATAATCAAATTTTTAATTTCAATTATTAAGAAACAAAAATTTTAAAAACTTGAAAGAAATTCTTTATAAAATTTAATTACTTTAAAAATTATCAATTAAAATTATTTAAGAAATTCCATTATTTTTAAAAAAATCAAACAAATTCTTCAAAAAAAACTTCATTAGTATTTATAAAAATTCTAATAAAATTCTTTAAATTAATTTAATTATTTTCAAATTTTTCAAATTTTAAAATTGTAATAAAAGTTTTCTCAAAAATTCAATTATATTTGATAAAGAATAAAATTATTTCTGGTAATTCAATTGCTTTCAATACATTTTGAAATAATTTCCTCGAAAAATTTAATTATTCTTAAAAATTTTATTAAAATTAATTTTTTTATTGAAATTTATTAAAATTCATTTTTCGAAAGAATTGAATTATTTATAAATTTTTTTATAAGATTCTTCATAGGAAGTCAATTTTAAAAAAATAATCAATTGTGCATTCAATTATTTATTTTTACAAATAAATAATTGAATTTTCTGACCAAAATTGATTTAAAAATAAATTCCAGTTAAAATTTTAAATAATAATTAAATATTAAAATCGTTTTATTATAAACTTTAAGAAATAATAAAATTTCTATAAATTTTTAAATTGAAGTCATTGAAAATTTTAATTGTTGTACAACTAATAATATTTAAATATTTATTTAAGAAAAATTAATAAACTATTAGTTTAGAAATTATTAAAAAAAAAATTAGTTTTTTGAAAAATTGTAACTTTAATTTTTTGAAAATAGTTAAATTCCCGTAAATAATTAAAAAACATTAAATTAAATTTACAATTGGAAATTTCGTTAAAAATTTAAATAAATTTTTAAGAATTTTATTCTTTTTTATTTTTAAGAATTATTTTTAAATACAATCGTATTTTTTAAGAATTTGAATAAGAAATTTGGAAAATAATTGAATTTTAGAAAAAACTTATGATTGAAGTTAAATAAGAAGAGTGATTATTTTTGTTGAAAATCAGGGAAATAGGGAATCAAATTTTTGTGAATCAACTAAAATAAATTTTTAGGCGTCAAATTTAATTTTTCTATAACTACTTTTTACTACTTTTCTTTAGTCTGAAATTTACTTTTTGCTACTTTCTTAAAATTAATTATCGAGTGCGAAGTCTGCAATTAAATTATGATTAATGATTAATTAAATTACGATTATAATTAATAACTGAATTTGTTTATTTCAGGCACACAGAGAAGTGGTTATCAATGTTTCGTGAAATACAATACAATGAAAAAAGTGCCCCATAATGATAAACCCTGGACAAAGAAGGAGGACAATAAACTAATTCAATTGATAAATAAATTTAAAGTTGGCGATTTTATAAATTGGGGCGATATCGCGAGTTGCGTTAAAACACGAACGAAACATCAAATTTATTTCCGTTGGATGTACAGTTTAGCGCCACATTTAAAGAAAGGACGTTTCACCGAAGAGGAGGATAAACTATTGAAAGAAGCTATCGAAAAATATGGATTGAATTTTAAGAAAATCTCCACTCTCGTCCTTCCCGCACGCACCTCGGCTCAATTAAGTGATCATTACAATACATTGACAAATAAAGATGACAATAGTTGGACAGTAAATCAGGATACAAAACTCCTTGAATTATATCACGAACATGGTAAAAATTGGTCGAAAATAGCGACATTTTTCGAGAATAAAAGTCGTGTTCAACTTCGTCATCGTTGGACAGCATTGTCACGTTACGAGCAACGTGGTCTTAATCTTCGACAAATCCCAAGAAATAATTATCGCGATAAAGTTGCCCAAAAGGAAATGATTGTCTTTCAAAAGGTGACGACAAAAAGTGAGAATGATTTCAAGGATTACGATGAAATTGACATGGAGATTATTCACTATTTTCAATCGGTGAATATTCCCGTGACAAAAGCGGGTCGTAAGAAAAAATTCTACACAACCAGTGAACTTGAACAGACAACAAGAAAAATGTACAATATTCTAAATCTCCTGGGGGCAAATCTAATAATTCCAACCGATCTCGACGAATACGATTGTCTCAATGAACGTGACAAGCAATTATTGTCTTCCTTGAAAAATCTCCCCTCAGACGCATTGAATGGTAAAATATCCGAGAATATCGAACAAACACGAATTCGTCTATTTGGAAATAACGAAACAAACGATGAACATTATGTGCCCCCGTTACCATTCGGTGGCTACACACGAACACAAAAATACAATCAAATGATAAATTACAGTCTCTATATTGACACCGTATTCACCGAAAATCGTGATATGAACTTTGAAACTCTTCCCATAATTTCACAATTAATTGGCGAGGAAACTAATCACCAGTATGATAAATTTGCCAATTTACTGTCAAGTCCATGTCGATGCGATGGTAAACGTCAATTTCAAAAAATCTACATCCTCGGACCCAATGAATTGATGAAAAAAGAAAATGCCCCATGTCACAGTCAACAAATACATAATCTCTTTCAATTTCAATCGACAGTCTCGCGACCAATAACGTCGGTGAATTTATTAAAATCAAATTCTTCATATTGCGCGAATACAGTGGAGGTGAATTTGGAAAATTTCCCCTCAATAAAACCGTGTTACACGACAATAATTGGTTATCAAGGTATTGAGAGTGTGAGAAAAACAATTCGACGAAATAATGATGCTGATGATGAGGATAATAATGATCAAACTGTGGATTTGGTAAAAATGTCGGAATTTTATCGTCGAGCATTAGTGACATTGAGAACGCGTCTTGTTCAATTATTTAAATATCCAATTATTATGTCACAAATAATGCCACCTGAATCTGTTGAAGAGAATGATGGTCTTTTTACAAGTGATGACAAGAAGAGGAAAAATCCTCCGACTAAAACTTCGAGGAGTCAAAAGAAGAGAAAAATCAAAGTTGAAGTTGAATAGAAAGGTAGTTTTTTTATTCCATTTAGATAGAACAAAAAGAGGAAACAGAAATTTTGCTATTTTTCTTCAATTTTTTTTCTAAAAGACGTATTTTTTTCATTTTATTGAACTTTTGGAATTTATCATTTTTTTCAGTTGCTTACAAGAAGAAAAAAACTTCTTTCAGTAAAAGTTGAATCTTTTTCCAAGAATTATATTATTGATTACTATTTATAAATATATATGAAATAAACGTATATATGTACAGAATAAATAATTTGTTAAATCGTTAAATTGCTTTTCAGTAAAAATTAGAATACAAAATAAAATTTATTTTATTTCTATTTTATTAAAATGGTGAAATTTAACGTAATTTTTATGGCTGGTACAAAAATTTTTCTCATTTAAACTTTCCATTATTCAAAGTATTTGTAAATACAAAATTACTAACAATTTGTTTCTATTTATTTATTTTAAAAAAATGGTATCAAAGTAATTTACTTTTAAATCAATTTATCAAAATAATTAAAAAATCCTAATAAAAGAAATAAATATAAATTAATTAAATATTAATTTATGAATATTTTTTATTCCAATAATTAAATATTACGAATATTTTTAATAAAATGGGAAAAAAAAGACTTTTTTCCATTTTGAATTGAAACTAGTAATTTAATTTAAAATTTATTAAAGTATTTATTAAAATTAATCATAAAGTTAAAATTTTTAATTTCAATTTAAAAATTATTAAATATTATTTTATGAATATTTTTAATTTTAATAATTAAATATTTATTTAATTAAAAAAAGTAAGAAAAAATCAAATAATTAATTTTAATAATTTAAAGAAATTATTAAATATCTAATTGATAAAAAATTTAAAATATTTTAATAAAATGGGAAAAAATGCCTTTTTTTCCTTTAGGATTGTATTTAATTTACCAATTATTAATATTAATTATAAAGTTAAATTTTTTACTTTCACTTTATTTATTAAATATTTTTTTCTGATTATTTTTAATTTCAATAATTAATTAATTTTAAAAAAGAAAGAACAAAATTAAATAATTAGAATAATTGCGAAGGAAATTATTAAATATTTGATAAAAAATAACAAATATTTTAACGAAGTGGAAAAAAGTGCCTTTTTCCATTTTGAATTAAAATTAATTTACTATTGATTAAAATATTCATCAAAATTATTCATAAAATTAAATTTTTTAATTGCAATTTACAAAGTTTTGTTATTAATATTATTTTATGAATATTTTTTATTTCAATAATTAAATATTTAATTTAAAAAAGTAAGAAAAAAATAAATAATTAATTACAATAATTAAAAGAAATTATTAAATATCTATTTAATAAAAGATTACAAATTTAATAAAATGGGAAAAATGTCTTTTTTTAGTTAATTGACAATTAAATTTTTGTCGCAGGAGAATTGCAATTATTTCTATTCTATAATAAAAATGTTTCCTCTTAAAAAATATTTTTCAAAAACAAAAAAAAAATAGAGAATTTTCTATAAATTGAAATTTCTTTCACCACTAGAAAGTTTATAGAACTGAAAAATATTTTTGAAATAATTTTTTTTTTACCTTTCGACGACACTGAATATTTTTCACAGATAAATAACTATTATTCCTTCTATACTTTAATTTTTTTCTCGAAGAAAAAAAATTGTAATATAAGCTAAACATAAGAAACAAATATGATTATTATTAATTAAATTAAATACTTATATTTTTTAATATTTCATAACTTAACATAATATTTCATTCGTTCTAAAAAATAAAAACGAATTAATTAAATTTTGAAAACGAATTAATTTTAAACAATAAATTACAATTAGAAAGAAAGAGAAAAATTACATAGAAAAGGTTCTTCGAAAAATTGTAAAATAAAAACAATCACACTGTTTGCATGTAATGTGTAAGTAATTTATTTATAATGCACGAGACATAAGAAGTAAATATATTAGATGTTTTTACTTTGGATAAAACGGAAGTTCGTTTTTTGTACCATTTTTTTTGTTGTTTAAATATTAGAAAAAAGAAAAAAATACTTTGGAATTATTTATTCTAAATATGATTACATTTCGAAATAACTTGGATCGAGTCTTTTTTCTTTTAAATGCTTCGTATTTCGTAAATTAAAAAAAATTCTAATAAGTACATTAAAAATAAACTCCACTCTTAAATCATAGAGAGAGAAAATAATAATTGAGAGAGAGAAAAGAGAATTTATAGAGAGCGAAATTATTGCAAAAAAATACTAATTTGCAAAAATTGTTTCTATTTTTAGTGAAATAAAAATTATCTACTAATATATTAAAGGAAGTCTATCTTTTTATCGAATTATATATTTAATCACAATAATAGAAAAAAATTTGTTTCTCCTCACGAACAAAATTAATTATTATTACAATATCTTTCTAGATTAAGAAAATGCTTAATTGAAAATAAAAAATTAATTTTTTAAAATATAACAGATTTTTAATATAATTTCAGTTAAAAAAAAAAAAGAAAAAAGTTCACAAAAACGTTTAGTATAATTATTATAAAAATGACGTTAACTTTATCACTAACTTTAATTAATTATAGTTTATTAATTAATTGTACTCGATTCGATGTAGTTTCTAATTTAATTAATTTTTAATTTAGTCGTTTACTGTAAATTAACTAAATGCGTTGAATTTAGTAACTAATTAACTAAACTAAATGATTATTATAATTAAACTATTAAATTAATTACATTAATAATTACAATCTTTAATTAATTTTTTCAGTAACCAATTAAATAGTATTTAATTACAATAATTAATTTAATTATTAATCATTAATTATTAATTACAGAATTACTAAATTACAGAAGAACTAAATAGTTATTAATTAATTAAACTGATCCAAATAATTAATCAACTAAAATTAATTAATTTCTACTAAAAGTTAACTTTTCTAAAAAGTTAATATCTCTAATGGATTGCATTTTTGCGCTACATTTATAATAATTCACTGTCTTTAGTCGTGGATAGAAATTAATACTAGAAAAATACTTTCAAAGAAAGATATTTTTTGTAAATTATTTTTATTTTTGAGTTTAAAAACAGTTTTTTCCAATTGTATACAGAAATATATTTAAAAAGGAAAGAAAATTATATTTCGTTTGCAAAGAACGATAGTAGAAAAGTGTAATTGAAAAAATATTTCCTTTGAATAATAAATTTTTTGAAGTATTAATTTTTTTCCTCCCCGACAAGAAGGCGAATATTTTCAACTACATTCACAACGACAAGATTCAATAAGAGATATTATATATATATATGAAAAAGATTATAAAAATATAATTCAATTTAGACTTCGAACATTCGATTTGCAGAGTATTTTTTTTTCTTTTTGATGTTTTCATTATTTTAAAGATAGTTTTATTATCACCACACATAAAACGTGTTTATTACTCGGAACGGCCGCTAAAAATTTAGGATTTTTTAAAAAATATATTACCATTACAATGACATATACATTAGAAAGAAAGAAATTCTAATGAGTAAAACTACACGAGGGAGGGAGAGAAAACGAAAATTAAAAAAAGGCCGTTAATTTAGTCTAAACTCTATCTTTTTCTTTTCTTTTTTTTTGAGAAATTTTCTCCCCTTGGAGAAAAGAGACCAAATATTATATACATACATACACAAAGCGCACGAACTCACGAATTCTAAAATGTATTTTTTTTCAAATTTTTAAATTATAGAAAAAAATTGAGTTTTAACCGACCAATTCTTTATCTCATATTTCACGCAACAATAATAGAAAAAAAAACAAAACAAGAAAGAAATAAAAAAAAAAAAAAAACTGTCAAATATCATACAATTTTTCTTACACACCATTTGACAACACCTTGTTTAGTAATTTTAATTCTTAATTCTTTTCGCTCTTCATTTTTTTTTTACTTCTTTTTTGGAGTTGGACTCGAGGCGGTCATGATAATTGCACATCCGGCTGTGAATACACCCCAGAGAAGTAAACTAGCTTCGATTTTTGTCACTGCTTCTCTAAGGAAGTCAAGAACGACTTTTAATGGTTCGTTAACGACCTTTGGTTCTGGTTTGTCTTGAATTATTTTCATTTTCGCTAAATATTCGAGAAGAGGCGGATGATCGCGACTAAACACGGGGAAATACTCGCCGACCTTTTCTCTCGTCCACCAGGCTTGACTGTTCCTAAAATAAATTTTTTTTTAAATTAAGAGACTAATTGAGACGTATTTTCAAAGTTAATTTTCCTGAACAAAAAATGCTGTATCAATTAAAAATTTTTTTAAATTAATTCGTTGGATTGATTAGATGTAAAATTTTGATAGTTTAAAATTAAAATAAACAGAAATTTAGATTATTTAAAATTAAAATTTTAAATGTTGAATTAAATTCATTAGAAAAATTAAATATTGTTAACATTTATAATTTTAATTTTACCTTTGGCTCCATGGAGTATAGTGATAGTGATAAAGACTAGCTTTCACATATTTTGGCTGACTGTTGCGGAATGGATTTTTCGAGTTATTAATTAATGCCAACACTTCTTTTTGGCCATTCAATAGTCGATAGGCAAAGGACATAAGCCAAGGATTTTGATGATAAGTTCCCAAAGAAGCGAACCACATTTGCCAATCGAGTCGTGGTTGATATGGCGCTGCAAATAAATAAAAAATAAAAATTAACTTCATTATTTCTACTGCAATTAAAATTAATCTTGTTTGTTAATAGTTGAAATTAAACATTTTATTATGGAATTTCATTAAAATTTTTAAGAAAATAATTAAATTCTTCTTAAAATTTTATTACAATTTTTTTAAATAATTTAATTCGTTCAAAGGAATTTTATTAAAATTTTTAAAAAATAATTGAATTCTTGCAACGAATTTTATTAAAATTTTATTTAAATAATTGAATTTCTGTGAAGAATTTTATTATTTGTTGTTATTATTATTATTATTATTTATTATTATTTATTTTTTATTATTTGAATAATTGAATTTTTTCGAATAATTTTTTATGAATTAAAAAATAGAATAATTATTTGTAAAAATAAATAAATTTTTATGAAGAATTTTATTAAATCTTTTTCTTAAATAATTGAATTCTTTTGTAAAATCTTATTAAAATAGTAAATATTGAAGGTAATTGAATTCTTGCAACGAATTTTATTAATTTTTTTTTTTTAAATAATTGAATTTCTGTGAAGAATTTTATTATTTGTAAGAATTATTGAATTTTCGAGAAGAATTTTATTATTTATGAAAATAAATGAATGTTTTAAAGGAATTTTATTAAATTTTTTTTTTTAATAATTGAATTTCTGTAAAGAATTTTATTATTTGTGAAAATAATTAAATTTTTGCGAAGAATTTTGTTATTTATGAAAATAATTGAATTTTTGTGGAAGAATTTTATTAAATTTTTTTCTTAAATAATTGAATTGTTTTGTAAAATCTTATTGAAATGGTAAATATTGAAAATAATTAAATTATTGCAAAGAATTTTATTAAATCTTAATTTTAATTAATTCAATTTCTCAGAAGAATTTTATTATTTGTGAAAATAATTGAATTTTTGTGGAAGAATTTTATTAAATAATTGAATAATTCTTTTGTGAAATCTTATTAAAATAGTAGATATTGAAGATAATTGAATTCTTGTAACGAATTATATTGAACTTTTTTTAAAATTATTTAATTTCTGTGAAGAATTTTATTATTTGTGAAAATAATTGAATTTTTGCGAAGAATTTTAATGTTTATAAAAATAATTGAATTTTTGTGGAAGAATTTTATTAATTTATGAAAATAATTGAATTCTTTTGTGAATTCTTATTAAAATAGTTGATATTGAAAATTATTGAATTCTTACAAAAAATGTTCTTTGAATTTTTTTTTTGAAAATAATGAAGTTTTTATTATTAATATTTTTAATTGAAAATTTTGAAAGTAATTGAATTTTATAAGGAATGAATTAATAATTGTAATAAATAATTCTATCATTAAATTTTTTAAAAATTATTGACAGAAAATTAAATTTTTTTTGAACAGTTTTATTAGAGTTTTCGTAAATAATTAAATTCTTTTGAAGAATATCCTTAAGATTTTTGAATTATTTTTGAAACTAATGTAGTTTTTTTTAATAATTTTAGTTAATTATTTCAAAAATAATTGAATTTTACGAAGAATTTCTTTTATCTCTTTAAAATAATCGTTTCTGTTAATAATTGTAATTAAAAATTTGATTATTAAATTTTATTAACATTTTTTGTAAATAATTAAATTCTTCCTAGAATTTTATTACAATTTAAAAAAAACTGAATCTTTTTAAGAAATTTAATTAAAATTGAATTCCTGAGAAGAATTTAATTATTTATCAAAATAATTTAAATTTTGCGAAAAATTGTACTATATATAAAAATGATTGAATTGCTTCGAAAAATTTTAATAAAATTTTAGAAAATAATTGAATTGTTTCGTAAAATTTTGAAGATAATTGAATTCTCTCGAGAAATTTCATTAATATTGCACTGAAAATAATTTAATTCCAGCGAAGAATTTGACTAATTATAATGAAATAATTGAGTTCTTTCAAAGAATTTGATTATTTATGAAAATAATTAAATACTCCTAAAGAATTTGATTATTTTTGAAAATAATTAAATTCTCCCAAAGAATTTAATTATTTTCAAAAATAATAAACAATAATAATTACTTATGCACTTAATAAGTAAACTCTTTAAATTTTGATTCTGAAATTATTCAAAAATTAAAATTGACATTTGAAGATATATAAAATAATAATTAGAATTCTAAAGATGTTGTAAAAATAAAAAATTTTTTAAAGTAATTTTAAGAAACTTAATTTAGTTATTTATGTTATGTTTTGATTTATTCCTCTCACCGACAAATGGCATCGAGTTATTAACATTTCCTGGCTTATAAAGGAATTCATATTCCTTCCACGGTCCATCAACACTGTTACTGCCTTCGATAATAACCTCTGGTCTTCCGCCCACTCCAGTCATTCGTCGGAATAAACCGTAACTATTAACAAGATGTAATTGATCCACTTTTGCGTGAAGTTTCTTCAGTTGCATGGGCACAGTTTGATTGTGAGATGGATGCAAAGTCGCGTAAGGAACCTTAAATAAAAAAGAAAAAATTAATTTCTTACAAAAGAAAACAAACTGAAACGAAAAAAATCCTAACAATAACAATATAAATTAGGTATTAAAGATTAAAAGAATATTATAACAAATAATAATTATTTTTGGCCAATTCTTTTCTATCTAAATCGAAATTGTCTATCAATTGGCCAATAAATAATAATTCATTTGATTTTAAAATAATTAAAAATATTTAAATATAAAAAGGAGAAAAAAAAGGAAAAATAAATCAAAACAATTAATGAAATTAACTTACGACACTGATGGCAAAAATTGATCCAACCAAAACTGTATACATAATTGTGACAAGCGTAGTCGAAACTTTCTTTTGAACTCCCTTGATATTCAACACGGAATTAGTGATCGCATCGGCGACAGTAAATCCAAGCGAGACCATCGCAATATAAATCGAGATTGGAATTACTTTGCCAAGAATTTCGTCAAATTGTTTCTGTGTAAAACCTAAAGGGAAAATAAGCAAACGATAAAACAAAAATTCTTAATGATTATAATTATGTTTTCATAATTATAATTATTTATGTAATGAAAATCGTCATTGGAGAGAAAGAATTCCCCTTCCTCCTTAGAAAAATATAATATTTATATTAAATTTAGTTGTTATAATTACCTATTTTCGTTTCAATCGTCCAATTTTCTGCGAATTTCATGTTATAATAAATGTGCGTTCCATAAAGAATTGCCAAATAGACAACAATACACGCGAGAATTGAAAGATAATTAAAAATTTTCGATGATCCAGCCTTCGTTCGTCCTTTATAGAAAAATTGATCGTCCAAGAGCGAAATGCTCAGGCATATTGTCAATAAATTGAAAAAGTTATAATTTCCCGTTGCTATTATGTTTACCATCAGGAAAAGCTGCAAACAATTTAGACTTTTAATTTTTCTCAATAATATTTGTATAATTAATTTGTATATAATTAATATTACTAATAATATTGCCACAATTTTATTATAATTAATAAAATATTTACTTTGTGAATATTTTTTATTTCGAAGTATTTGCATTTGCATCATAAAAAAGGTAAATTACATTTAATTAATTTATTTATTTAATTTATTAAACTATTAAATAAATTAATTAAAAGTAATTTACCTTTTATATATTTTTTATTTCGAAGTATTTGCATTTGCATCATAAAAAAGGTAAATTACATTTAATTAATTTATTTATTTAATTTATTAAACTATTAAATAAATTAATTAAAAGTAATTTACCTTTTATATATTTTTTATTTCGAAGTATTTGCATTTGCATCATAAAAAAGGTAAATTACTTTTAAAGAAAAGTAGATCAAAAGAAAAAAATTTAATTTGTGAAAATTTACCTGCCAGTAAAATGCACTTATTCGAAGTTTCCTTATTGGCGAGAAGAATAAAAATGGAATCACAAGTTCGGAAATATTTGCATGAACAGTGAATAATCTTAGAAACCAGGTTGGCAAATGATGTGCATACCATGCCAAAGGTGTAGGAATGCACTGCGACTCAAAGTGAACATTTAAAGCTGTAATTAAACAAAACAAATGGAAAAATCAACTTTTAGATTAAAATTTCAATAGAATAATTAATATTGACTTCTAACAATTAAAATCATCTTCGATTTCATTCACCTTTGTAATAATTAATTAAGAATTCCAAAATAAATTTTATTTTCAAAATCAATTTATATTTTAGCCTGAAAATATTGGTTTTATTAGAAACAAAATTAATTCTTTCTATTAGAATTATTTTTATGTCTGAAAATTAAAAATTTATTTCACTCAATTTTACTTTTTCAAGAGCAAATAAAATTTTTAAATAGAAGAAAAAATTGTTAAAAATAAAGATAAAATCAGTGAAGCAATAAAAATTTCTGATTCGTAGAAAATTGAGAACTTTAAAATTAATTAAAAAAATTTAACCAAATAAATTCAATTAAAGAAATTTAAATTTAAATAAATAATTTTATACTTTTTGTAAAATAATTAAATTTTTTTTTTTTTTTGAAAAAATGTTACCTTCTAAATTCCACCAAGTTGGACATCCAGAAGTTAATTTTACAACGCCACTGGAAAACATTAATCGAAAGCAGAGCCATCGAACTGCCCAAAATCTAATAGAATCGCTGGGAGTTCCTGCTTTTACTTGTTGAGTGTACCAAAATGGTGCTACGATTATACACAAAAATCCTGTTTCCAATAAAAGAGCATCCCTAAAATTGCAAATAATAACAATTTATTTTTTTTACTACAAAAGAATTAAATTGAAATTTTAGTCATTTTTTTCTCAAAGTTTATTTTTAAAAGATAAATTTTAAAAATTAACGAAATATACTCAAAATATTGAAATTATTTTTGAAATTATAATAATTATACATATATAATAATATATTCATATAATAATTATATTTATAAATTATAATTTCAAGTTGAATTCAAAATTAATTTAAAAAATAATTTTTTAAATAAAAATTTACAATTATAAAATAGTTTTACTTAATAGGTACATATATAGATTTTACAATAATTTGCTAAATTCAAAGCGATTATGTCCTGTCTATAAATAAATAAATAAATTCAAAATACTTAACCACATATATTATAAAAATAAAAATTTCGAAATTTCTCATTATTTTGAAATGCAAATATTTTTTTCAAACTTAACGTTTACTTTATATACATACAAGAAAAATAGAGTAAAATATGTTGAATAATTTAATTAAATAACAGAATTCCAGTTTTTCAAGGTAAATAAGAGAGAATGGGAGAATTCAACGAGAAGCATTTATAGTTATCAATTTTAGTATTCATTCGACGTGTAAAAATTATTTCTAGTCTAGTAACTTGAGTCGTAAATCGTAAAATTATTCTCCGAGAGTTTAAACGGATAGAGCCAATTTTGAACATCCTCAAACGTAACCTTTTCTTTCTTTTTTTTTTTAGATCGATATCGAATTCATCTGGACTAATAACTAATAATTATTATTAAAGTAATTAATGAGTAATAACGGAATTAAATTTTATTAATTTATTTTTAGTTATTTTCTATTTTTTAATATTAATAAAATGTCATAAAAAGAAAAAAAATTTTTTAATTAAAAACATCTTGAATTAAATAATTTAGAGTAATTTAAATAAAAGATAAAATTGGATTAAAAAAATTACGTCTCGACGATAAAAATGTTGTACGTACAAAATAAATAACGTGATAAATAAACATTCGTATTTTTTTATTCAATAGAATGAACAAGAAATTGCATATTAAATATTTATTTATTCTTACGGAATTTTCTTCTCATATTTACAAAAATATTTTAACTTTAATAAAAAAAATTACAAACAAAAAATGTATTTTTAAAAAATGAACACATTTCTCGATATAATTAATAATCCTTGACACTTTTTTTTCTGTTAAAAACTAAAAATAAATTTTCTTATTTCCTGCGAAATCAATACGAGAATTGATAATAACAATAATATTTGATATTATTCGATTTGATACTTGAGATATCGAATTATTTGTTTAAAAAGAAAAAATAATAATAATTCACAGTCTTATGTAATAAAGAATAAATAATTGTGCGTTACAATTACAATATAACCTTGACTACCAAGACAAATTGAAAATATATTCTCAGTAAGTCAATTTTATTGGGCGTTTGATAAGTTACAGATTGATCTGCATAAATATTAAATAATACAATATATTGAATCACTTACCACTGAAACCACATAAATGTTTGTCCCACTTGATACAAAGAATAATAGAGGGACCACAAGGCAAGAAATAGTGGAGCTACACAGTACTTTTGTGATATGAATCTGAAAATATAAAAAATTTTTCATGTAAATAATTTTTTAAATATTTGAAGTTTTAAATTATGAACAGTTTCTTTCAGTTAGTTTTTAAAATAAAGTTTTTAAAATTATCGTGTTTGTTAATAATCGAAATTAAAATTTAATTATTGAATTATATTATAAAATTTTAGAAAATAATTGAATTCTTTTGAAAAATTTTATAACAAATTGAGAAAAAATTGAATTCTTTCGTTGAATTTTTATGAAAATAATTTTACTATTTATAAATGAAATTAAATTATTTTGAAAGATTTATTAAAAGTTAAAAAAATAATTGAATTTTTGCAAAGAATTGAACTATTTATAAATAAAATTGAATTGCTTGGAAGCATTTATAAAAATTTTAGAAAATAATTGAATTCTTTTGAAATATTTTACAACGAATTAAGAAAAAAATTGAATTCTTTCGTGAAATTTTTTTGAAAACGAGTTGAATTTTTTGCAAAGATTTTATAACGAATTAAGAAAAAAATTGAATTTTTGCAAAGATTTTACTGTTTAAAAAAATAATTGAATTGTTTCGAAGGATTTTTTAAGATTTTAGAAAATAATTGTATTTGTTCGTGAAATATTATTAAAATTTTGTTTAAAAATAATTGAATTTTTGCAAACAATTTTACTATTTATAAAAATAATTTAATTTTCATGAAGAATGTTATTATTTATGAAAAAATAATTGAATTCTTGTGAAGAATTTTATTAAAATTTTTGAAATTAATAAACAAAAATAATTAATTAGTAAATTAGTTAATAATTGAATTTTTTTAAAGTTTGAATCTGAATTTATTCAAAAACTCATATTTGAAAATAAAAAATTTTATAATTTGCATAATAATAAATTGAATATTATTTGGTAGTTTTATAATAAATTTCTCGAGTTTTACCCCAAAAAGGAGAGAATAATTCCGAGTAGAGCAAGAACGTCGAGCATGTATTCAACATTCAAACCCAAGAAAGAAGCGAACCAAACAAAAGTCGGTTTTTGCATCAACTTTTGAGACAATGGCACTCGGGATTGAAGGTCCATTTGCGTTTTTGCCGGAAGAATTCCATTATTGCCGTAGAGACCTAAAAAAAACATTTTTTATTTCCTTTTCCAAGCAAATAGTATATTAATAACACTAATCATTTTTCTTTTACTTTTTTGAAATTATTTATAATTTTTCTCCATTTTCCCAATAAATTTTAATTCAATTCAAAATACTTTAACAATTTTATTACATAATATTTTGAATAAACAATAAAATAATATAACAATAATAATAATAATAACAACCCTTGCAACTAAATAAATAATTGTTTTCAGTATTTTAATTCCTTTCAAATTACAAGCAAGAGAAAAAGATGGAAAAATGCATATTTTTAAAAATAAAACAAATAAACCGACTTATTGAAAAAATAATTACACAATTCTTGATTGAGTGATTTAAATTCAGCAAATAAGACAAATTTTTTATTACACAACAAATTTTAATATAAAAATACAAAAAGGAAAAATGCAACTCTTGAAGTATTTGAATTTTTTTTAATAAAGTAAGTTTATTTATTATAAAGTTTATTTTATTAAAGTATTTAAATTTATTTAATAATTTATATTGAAATAAAGTCATAAAAATATTCAAGAAATACTTTTTTTCAATTCTATTCATTGTTTCAATTCGATAGAAATAAATAAACGAAAAAAAATTCAAAAGCTTCAAAAGATTCAATCAATTAAAAAAAGAATAAAAAAAAAAGAAAACCGCGGAAAAATAAAAAAAATAGGTTAGAAAAATAAAAATTCCATGACGAATTATTTATAATATTTAAAAACCCGTTTGTCACCGTTAGTTAAATGAAATTCCAAGTGGGGAAAAAAATACCATTTGACCTCTAATTATAAAGGAAAAGTTGCAAGACGAGTAAATTGGTAATAAAAATTTTGTCGCACATTTAAATAGGGACAAGAGCCGCAACTTTCGACATTTTGAAGATGAACATTTTTCCTCCTCTCGCAACAATGCGAGAGAGGGAAAAAATAACAATCGAATGATGAATTAATTATAGAACAATTTATAAAATTGATTATAAATTAATAATAGTTGATAAATTATTGAAAATATTCCATATAAACTCACCTGGTATTTGGATATAATAACTGAGAAATGCAAAGAGGTAAATAGTGCACAATCCCCGAAGGAATACATTGCGTGTGTAGCGTACTTGAACCATTTGAGTTTAAAAAACTACAACTTTTTCCCTAATGAATTGAGTTCATTTGACGATTAAGAGAAAAAAAAGGAGTGTGTAAAAAACAATTGTAAATTTTACTTATTGACGCGGTCTTTCACTGATGTGCCGCAGAAAATTTTTGTTAAAAGAAATACTCGTCGTTTGTGTGCGTGTGCCGCTCGACTAGTTTATCAATTGTTACCAACCGTACAAATTAAAAAAAAATTACAGTGGGAATTTTTGACTATACTAATCTGATTGGAGAATCAATTTTAGTCCACAAAGATGTTTCTTTACCTTCACATCTCTGGTATTGTTTGCGCCTAAAAAAAAACCCCCGGTGGAAAACATAACCTAAAAATTGTTTTTTTTTATTCGAAAAACCAAGAAGACCCCTCGGACGCTAAAAAGAAGTAAACCGGTTATTATTTTTCATAATTCTTCGTAATTTTTTCCATAAATTGTGAAAAATGGCAAAGAAGCATGTGCCTTCAGAATGGAGAAAACGAATAAAATCGGAATACATGCGTTTGAGATTAATGAAAAGATATAAACGTGCGGATGAAGTGAAAATATCATGGAATCAAAATCGCAAACTTCTCAAAGGTTTGTGTATATTGTTTTATAGCCGCCAATTTTTTTTATTCTATAAAGGATATTTAATTGTATTTTTAAAATTCTTTCATAATAATTAAAATTCGAACAATATTAAGAAAATACGTGAATTATAAATTCATAATAAGAATTCTTTGAAAGGAATTCGAAATTCGAAAAAAGTTGAATTCAAATGATTTTTAAATATTTTATAGAATAATTTTGGATTTTTTAAAAAATTTGTACTTGATTTATTTTAAAACAGATTTTCTCAATGAAAAAAATAAGGAGTGGACCGATAGTAGTGCAATGTGGTTTGCTCTACAGGATATTCCTCCTCAATCGTTGAGTAAAAAAAAGGCAGTAATCACTAGTGACGATGGCGAAACTCAATCACTTAATATTAAAATAGTAAAGTCCGTGTCGCCGATTCCAACGGCTTACACATGGGCACCGATAAAACAAAATTTTATGGTCGAAGATGAAACTGTTTTGCACAATATTCCATATATGGGAGACGAAATTCTCGACAAAGGTGATACGTTTATTGAAGAGCTTATTAAAAATTACGATGGCAAGGTATGTATAGCAAATTTTCACATTCATTAAATTCATTAAAAAAATCTGCATTTTTGATTCTATTTTTTCTAATTAATTGAGTTTTTTTGGTACTATTTTTTTATTTTTATTGCTATTTTTTTCTCATTACAGGCTTGCCACAGGTCAGAAAAAAATTTAATTTAAAGAATTCCAAAGAAAATTTTGAATTTTGGTGCCTTTTTTCTTTGCCTTATAAATTATCAAATTACCACGAATTCTACTTCAAAATTTTCAATTTTTTTTATTTCTGACAATAATTTATTTTTTAATAACTTAATTCTTGAAGAACTATCATGAAATTATTTAAAATGAATAATTTTACTAAAATACTTCAAAATTAATTGAATTTTAAAACAGTTGCGTTTACAATTTTTATAAATAGATGAATTTCAAAAGGTTTTAATTTGAAATTCTAGAAAAATTCAATTCTGAAAGAATTTAATTAGAAATTTTAAAGAACTTGGATTTTTGAAAAATTTTAATAATTAAAATTCTTCTAAAATTAGTTGAATTTTTTAATATGTATTTAATTAATTATTAAAAGTAATGGATTTATAGAAAAATTTTAGTTAAAAACAACAAAAAACATTGAATTTCGGAAAAAGTTACAAATAATTGCAGAAAATCAATTATTTTCAAAAGTAATAAAATTCTTCGCAGAAAATTTAAATTATTTTTAGAAATAATAAAATTCTTCTCCTAAACTCAATTATTTTCAAAAATTTTAATAAAATTCTTCGCAAAATTCTAATTATTTTCAAAAATTCCCCTCAATTCAATCATTTTCAATATATACTACTCTAATATAGTTTTTCAAAAGAATTCAATTATTTAAAAATAATTTTAATAAAATTCTACCTAAACATTTAATTATTTTCATAAATAATACAAATTTCACAGGAATTCAATTATTTACAAGTTTTTTTTATAAATTTCTTCGTAATGATTCTATTATTTTTATAACTAATAAAGCTCATCGGAGAAATTCAATTATTTTTAATACAATTTTAATCGAATTCTTCAAAAAATGTAATTATTAAAAATTTTACTAAAATTCATCAAAAGAATTCAATTATTTGAAAATTTGTTGATAGAATTCTTTATGAAAATTTAACTTTGATAAACATTCTTTAAATTCAATAAATTATTTATTTTTGTATTTAAATAATTGAATTCTCGTAGAATTTTCTAATAAAAATTTATTAAAAAATGAATTTTAGTTAAAAACACTAGAAAACATTGAATTTTGGAAAAAATTATAAATATAATTGCAGAAATTCAATTATTTTCAAAAGTAATAAGACTCTTTGCAAATATTCAATTATATTTTTAAATTTCCGTCAAAATTTTAATTATTTTTATAAATAATAGAATTCTTCTCCAAATTCCAATTATTTTCAAAAATTTTAATAATATTCTTGGCAAAATTACAATTATTTGCAAAGAATTTCATCAATTCAATGATTTTCAATATCTACTATTTTAATTAAGTTTTCCAAAAGAATTCAATTATTTAAGAAAGAACTTAATAAAATTCTGCACAAATTTCTTTGCAATAATTCAATTATTTTCATAAATAATAAAACTCTTTGCAGAATTTCAATTATTTTTAGTACCATTTTAATTAAAATTCTTGAAAGAAGTAATTATTCTTAAAATTTTCATTAAAATTCGTCAAAAGAATTCAATTATTTAAAAATTTGTGGATAAACTTCTTTATAAGAATTCAATTTTAATAAATATTCAATTATTCAATAAATTATTTATTTTTGTATTTAAGTAATTGAATTTTTGTACAATTTTCTAATAAAAATTAATTTCTGTTAAAATTTTATATAATAATTGAATACTAAAAGCATTATTAGCGCAAATTTTTAAAAATAATTAATTTTTTTGAAAAAGTTTAATTAAATTTTTTTTAAATCATTTGAAGTTTTTATTTTCTAATATATATTTAATTAAAGAATTTCTGAATAGTCGAAATTTCGTAAAATTGAATTGTAATAAAATAGATTTGCTAATTCTCAAAGAACTTTTTGAAAAATTGTTAATAATATTTGATTTTAAAAGGAATTTTAGTTGGAAGTTCTAGAAAATATTAATTGAATTGAAATAATTTTTTTGAGTATCTAATAATTTTTAGACAGAATCAGAATATTTTTTATGATCAGAAAAAATCAATTAATTTTGTCTAGAAATCAGGGAAAAGTCATTAAAAATCAAAATTAAATTTTTGTGGCAACCCTCTATTTTTTATTTTTATTGATATTTTTTGTTACTATTCACATACTTATTTTTTATACAAAAAATAAATTTTTCCATTTTCTAGGTACATGGAACTGGAGATGCAAATTTCATGGACGATTCAATATTTTTGGATTTAGTTAATGCTTTATTGACTTATGAAAAAGATGAGAAAGTGACGGACGATCAGAAAAAGGAGAAGGATAAAGAAAATAAGCCAAGTGATAATGACTCTAAAAGTTCATCTAAAGAATTAGCATCATTTCCATCGATGCAAATATTTAATGTAATTAATTTATTTAATGCAGATAAATTATTTTCAATTCCCATCTCAAATAGGAAGCGAACAATTTTTTTGTAACTTTTCTTTTTATTGTTTCCTTTTAATTAATAATTTATTTATTTCTTAATAATAGTTTATTTTATTTCTTTAAAGGCAATTGCTAGTGTATTTACCGATAAAGGAAAACCTAGTGAATTGAAAGCAAAATATATAGAATTAACACAAAGAAATAATCCAAATGCATTGCCACCAGAGTGTACACCAAATATGGATGGAGTTTATGCGAAAAATGTTCCAAGAGAACAAACAATGAATTCTTTTCACACTCTCTTTTGCCGACGATGTTTCAAGTACGACTGCTATTTACATCGTGAGTATTTTTTTTCTCACAATTTCTTTTTTATTTTTAAAATCAGTAGTTTTTGAAAAATGTTATTAATTAAATAAATCAATTAATTGAATTTAATTCGTTACTAAAGTATTGAAAATTTTGTTAATAATCATTGTCTAGGCATTGAGTTTCATCAGGAGCCAAATCTTCAAAAACGAAGAGGTTCCGATATGAGAAGATTTACAGAGCCTTGCGGTTCGGATTGTTACATGAATTTAGTAAGAATTATAAAATTTAAAATGAAGATTAAATTTTTAAAAAATGTTTAGTTTCAATATTTACATAAATTAAAAATTGAGTAAATTTTATTGTTGTTACGTTTCAGGAGGGCGTGAAGGAAAAACTTGCAGCTCAAGTTGTTGAGATTAAAGAAGAAGATGTGAAGACAAAAAGACCAAGAAAAGTCAGAAAACAAATGAGTGTTGACTCGGGAAACGAAGACAGTGACGAAAGTAACGACAGTAAACAAAGTAGTCGAAGTAGTTCCCAAGGTAATAAAATTATTTCAATTATTTTCCAATTATTCAATTTCAAATTTCCCCCTTTGTTAGCATTCAGTTTTCGTTCAATTTCTAATAAGACAAACATCCGTTAATTTAATTTTCAATATTAAAAAAGAAAGAAAAAAAATAATTTCCAGTACAAAAAAAAGAAAGAATGAATAATAAATTTTAATACTAAGAAAGAAAGGAAATAAAATCACTTTCAATATTAAGAAAGAAAGGAAATAATTTCCAGTAAAAAAAAAAGAAAGAATGAAAATTAATTTCAATACTAAAAATGAAAGAAAATAAAATAATTTCCAATATGGAAAAAGGAAAGAAATAAACAAAATTTTCACAGTTGAAAAAAAGAATTATATTATAATAATTTTCCATATTCTTTCTTCTGTTTCAAGACTTCAAGTTGAACGTGAATAGAAATTCAAAGTCGGAAAAATTACTCGACGAGGGACGGCAATTAATTAATTTCTCACCATTTTCATTGGATTTAAAGGAGAAATGTGACGAGACGAAAAAAAGTGATGTTTGGACTGGTTCGGAACAAAGTTTCTTTCGTGCATTACATAAAGTATTTCCCGGCAATCCTTGCGCTCTTGCACAAGTAATATTGACGAAAAGTTGCACTCAAGTTTATCAATTTTCGCAAAAAGAATCCACCGAAATACCAAGTGAAGAGAGTTCCGAGGATCTCACACCACCGCGAAAAAAGAAAAAGAAACATCGTCTCTGGTCAATGCATTGCCGTAAAATTCAACTTAAGAAGGACTCTGGTAATTATTTTCTATTCACACAAATAAATAAGACGTAAAGAAAAATACAAAATTGTTCATTTTAATTTTAACTTTTAATTGTAAATTGAAAATTAAAAATTGAATTTAAATAATTAAAATAAATTTAATCACTTTAAACAATTTAGACAATTAAAATAATTTAAACAATTGAAAGAAATTTAAACACAACAAATAAATTGAAACAAAGTAAATAATTTTTAGTATATTTTTGCAGTGATGAGAATGTAGAAATAATTAAAAATAACAAATAAAAAAAACAATTACAAATGTTATGTTACAAATGTTAAATTAAAGAAAAGTATATTTTCTCATTTGTTTCAGTTGCAAATCACGTGCACAATTATTCTCCATGCTCACATTCAGGACGTCCTTGTGATAAATCGTGTCCCTGTATAAAGGATCAAAATTTCTGTGAAAAATTTTGTGCGTGCAGTAGCGATTGTCAAAATCGTTTTCCTGGCTGTCGATGTAAAGCGCAATGTAACACAAAACAATGTCCATGTTATTTGGCAGTGAGGGAATGTGATCCAGATTTATGTCAGGCCTGCGGGTCGGATCAATTTGACGTTGCAAAAATATCGTGCAAAAATGTTAGCGTTCAACGAGGACTACGTAAGAGATTTTTTATTATCCATTCAGATTCTTTTTTCAAATTTATGCACAAAAAAAAGAAATTGAGTAACTTTTGCAGTAAAAAAGTAAAATACGAATCAATTATTTATATATTTTGTTCTTTTCTTTCCTTATTCTTTCAAATTATGTTTTTCTTTTATATATTATTTATAATTTGCTTCGAAAGTGCAAATATTTGTATTTATTTATTTATTTATTACTGATTTTCATTCTATTTATAACTTACTTTCTATTTATTTAAAACTGATTCTTATTATTAAAAAAATTTGTAATTTTCAAATATTAATTTCGAATTTGCAATAACTTCAGATTCAAAATTAGAAAAATTTAATTATTAACAATTATTTTCATATGAGTAATCAAATTCTTCGCGGGAATTTAATTACTTATTTTAAAGAATCTTAATAAAGTTCTTCGCAAAAATTTTATTATTTTGAAAAATTTCAATAAAATTCTTTATGAGAAAAAGATTTAATTAAATACCTACTTTGTAAAAATTTAATTCTTTTCCTAAATAGTAAAATTCTTCGTAAAAATTCAATTATTTTGAAAAATGTTGATTAACTTCTTATCAGGTTTTCAATTATTTTCATAATTTATAAAAATCTTTGCAGAAATTTAATTATTTTACAGAATTTTAATAAAAATTTTCGCAGTAATTCAATTCCATTGAAAAATTTTGATAAAATTATGAGAATTGAATTATTTACATAATTAATAAAATTCTTCACAGGAATTCAATTATTTTAAAGAATTTCAATCAAATTTTTCTCAAAAAATTAAATTATTTTGAAAAATTTCAATAAAATTCTTTTTCAGAAAAAAAATTGAAGTAAATACTTTGAAAAAGTTTAAATATTTTCCTGAATATTAAAATTCTTCGCAGAAATTCAATTATTTTGAAAAATTTTGGTAAAATTTACTTATTTTTAATATAATTTTAATAAAATTTTTACTAATATTTCAATTATTTTCATAATTAATAACATTTCTTAAAAGAATTGAATTATTTTAAAAGAATGTAATTTAATTTCTCGAAAGAATTGAATTATTAAAAAAAAAATTTTAAAAAAATAAAAAATGTTAACATTTTTCGCAGAAATTCAATTTTCAAAAATTTTTGATAAAACTGTATAAGAATTTAAATATTTTAAATATTATTTTAATTAATTACATTTCTCGTAGGAATAAATTAACTTATTTTTAAAGATTTTAATTAAACTCTTCGCAAGAAATTGAATTATTTTCAAAAATGTTGATAAATTGCTTTATAAGAATTCAATTATTTCAGATTTTGAAAATTATAAAAGAAATATTTTTAATTGAAAACAATTCAGTTTAATTAATTTAATTAATTTCTTATTTGTTTATTATTATTTTTTTAAAATTTACTGTTTTATTTAATTTTGCAAATAAATGGATATTGGATTTTAATTTTTTGTTTTCGTGAACAGATAAACATTTGCTGTTGGCTCCATCGGATGTCGCCGGTTGGGGAATTTTCCTCAAAGAATCGGTAGCGAAAAATGAATTCATCTCGGAATATTGTGGCGAAATTATCAGTCAGGACGAAGCCGACAGACGTGGCAAAGTCTATGATAAATATATGTGCAGCTTTTTGTTCAATTTAAACAGCGGTGAGTAAATTTTTTTCCATTTTTTGTTTCTAATTTTTATATTCTTTCCGTTCAATATTTAATATTTATTTCTTGAATAAGAAAGTTGAAAACAAATGGTTAATGTATTAATTCAAATATGTATAAAAAAAACAACATTAAAAAAACAATTACAAAAAAAATTAGATAAATTTAAAAAATTTTGTTTGAAAATTTTTTAATTAGTAATTGTTTTTCTATTTTAAATGATTTACGAAACTTATAAATTGTTTATTACAAAAGAAGAATTTATGAAAAAAATTTATCTTCCGCAGAATTTGTTGTTGATGCAACTAGAAAAGGAAATAAAATAAAATTTGCAAATCACTCGATAAATCCAAATTGTTATGCTAAAGTAATGATGGTGAATGGTGATCACAGAATTGGAATTTTTGCAAAAAGAGCAATTCAACCGGGTGAAGAATTGTTCTTTGATTATAGGTGAGTCTCTACAAAAATTTTTACCTTATTTTAAATTAATTTTCGTCGTTAATACTAATTAACTAATTAAATAAACATTACAACAATTTTTAACATAATATTTATTCAATTATAATTAAAATTATTAGTATAGTTTATAATTATAATAATAAATATTTATTATTTCTATTTTCTTTGAGTTTTTAATTTTAGATTACTAATTTTTTGTTTTGTAATATTTTCTTTTTTTCCAATAGATATGGACCAACGGAACAATTGAGATTCGTTGGAATTGAACGTGAAATGGAATTTATATAATAAGTCAAATATTTTTTCACTCGACTTAAATGTATATTTAAATCAAAGGTGAGTTAATAACTAAAATTAAAATTTTAATAGGCATTCAATTACATAAATATATATTAAATGAATTTAATTTTACAGATTTTGCCTTTAAAAAATGCTGCAACAAAATTCCTTACTCTCTCGATATTTATAAATAAGGAAAGTCTGATTTTTTTGTACTCTATCAAAATATATCATATTAAGAAATTTTTCAATTATTCTAGCCTAAAAAAATTAATTAAGAAAAAAATTTTGAATTTAGTTTCGTTCTATCTATAAACAATCGTGAGTATTTTAAAGTAATAACTTCTATTAGTTGATTAAAATATATTTCCTACGAATTTAAGATTATTATATAAAAATAGATTTTCTTTAAATTAATTAAATTAATTAACTTTTTAATAATATTATTGTGCAAATTATTAATATTTGTATTAGAAAAAAGACGATTTTAGATGATTTAATGGCGGGTTTATTTACTCGAAATCCTAAAAGAGTTAATTTTATTTATGTTTATTAATTTTTATATTATACGTATTCAAAAAATAATATATTTTTGTTTATTTCCTAGAACCTCTAACTTTTAGAATGTTCATAAAACATCGAAAAACTAAAACTTTTGTTTAAATATAAAAAAACTCTTAATTATTATCAGATGGAAATTAGTTTGAAAAAATGTCAAATTAATTTATTTTACAATATCAATTTCAATTATTGAATAATTTCGGATTGAAAATTTTTAAAAACTTCACTTATTAACTGCATAATTAATTATTATTTATTATTTTCTAAAATATTAAAAAAAAAGTCACAGCAGGAATTCAATTAATTTTAATACAATTTTAATTAAATTAATTAAAATAATTCAATTATTTTTTAAATTTTAATCAAATTCTTCGGAAGAGTTTAAATTAATTATTTTGAAAAATGTTAATAAAATTCCTCGAATAAATTTAATTATTTGTATAAATAATTGAATTCTTTACAGGAATTCAATTTTTTTCTTTTATAACGTTTCTTGAAAAAATTCAATTATTTTTAATGATTTTTAATAAAGTTCTTGATAAGAATATAATTATTTTGAAAGATTTTGATAAAATTCTCGATAGAAATTCAATTATTTTGATAATTCAAGAATTTTGACATGATTTTTGATGAAGATTCAATTATTTTTAATACAATTTTATAATAAAAATTCGCGAAAGAATTTAATTATTTTTAACGATTTTAATAATCAATTTTTAATAAAATTCAATTACTTTGATTATTTTCAAAGATTTTGATAAAATTCTTGATAAGAATTCAATTATTTATAAAAAATGTAATAAAAATATTTCTGAAAAAATTCAATTACTTTAAAACATTTTTAATAAAATATTTTGATAATTCAATTATTATTTTTAATTTTCCATTTTAAAATCTAATTCATTTAAAAACAATGATTTAAAATGTTAGCATTGAAACAAGCAAAAAAAACTTTTTAAACTACGAACAGAGATCCGAAATGCAACAATTATTAATTATTATTATTATTAATTAATTAATTTATTAATATTTTGTTCTAATTACTTATATTCATATACTCGATTTACTTTTTAATTTTACCGCCTTAATTCAAAATGAATACGCATGCGTGGTTCAATGTTCCTTGTTTCTTAAATTCCATTTCCGTTCATTCCGGTCAATGTCTGTCGTTTCCATGTGTAACACGGAAGTTTTTTGTGTCATTTGTCGGGTTGTAATATTTTTTATATAATTCGATATTATACAATAAGTAAATTCATTTTGTGTTAAGTGTTATTGTTTTCATTTAGTGTGTGAATCTAGAAAAAGCAAAATGCCACGAATTATGATAAAGGGTGGTGTTTGGCGGAACACGGAGGTAAGTTTGCTGAACCTAACCTCAAAATTTATGTCTCTCTAAAACTTTTTTTAATTTTTTACGGAAATATTTAAACAAATACTAAAAATTCAGCTCAAAAGAACTATTTATTACAATATTTGATATATTGTTTCACTGAATTTCTATTTCAAGGTTAATTTTATATTATAGAGATTTTGAGTATTAAACCTTTTTTAACTTGTTTGCTAAAAACGCTAAAAACAATTTAAATCTTTGTTTCTAAGTATTTCTTTCGTTTCTTAACATTCTTTACATTTCTTAAAATAAATACAAATAGAATACTTTTTCTCAAAATATATACAGGGTGGCTACATGTCAGTAAAGTCAGGGAAATTTTTATAGGAAATCAAAATTTTTGTTATAGTAAAGCCAGGGACGACAGAAAAAATTTGTTTTCAGGGAAATTAAGAAAATTTAGACTTTTTTCAACTTATTTTCAAAAATTGCAAATTTTTCGTCATTTCTTCCAAATATTGCAACAAAATACCATAATTTTTACTAAGAAAAAGTGCAACTTATTTTGATTTTTATAGCATAAAAAATAACTATAAACAAATCTTTCAAAAATTATTTTTGAATCATTTTTTAAGATAATTATTAATTTTTCAAATATATCTATAATAAAAATAGTTTAAAATAATTGAAATATTTTAAAATTAAATTGAAAATTTTAAAAAATAAAAATTTTAATGAAAAATCTATAAATATAAATTTAAAAATAAAAATTAGCTTCTAATTTTTAAAAATCCACTATTTTCAATAACATATTTCATACAAAAAATAATAGCATTTTAGAATATTATTTTTAACATTTTGGAGAAAAAAATCATTCATCAAAAAAATAATTAATTTTTTAAAATTATACAAAAATTCTTTTAAGAAATTCAATTATATCAATTAAAATGTTTTAAAAACTATTTTTTTTGACAAGTTTGACAAAATTCTTTTTAAAAAATCATTATTTTCAAAATTTTTAACAAGATTCCTTCAAAAAATTTAATTACAATTAGTTTTAAAAATATTATTTAAATTCAATTATTTTCAAGAGTTTTAATAAAAATTCAATTATTTTCAACAATTCTGATAAAATTTTTCGAAACAATTCAATTATTTTTATATAAATTGTAAAATTCTTTGTAAATTTCAATTATTTTAAAGAATTTTAATAAAAATCTTAACAAGAAATAAATTATTTTCAATACAATTTTAATCACATTTTCTCGAAAGAAATTAATTATTGAAAAAAATTTTGATAAAATTCTTGAAATGAATTCAGTTATTTTCGAATTTTTTTTTGTAAATACTTTGAAAGAATTCAATGATTTTCAGTACATTATTTTTTAATTTGAAAACATTTAAAAAGGAATATTATTTCAAAAGTTAGGAGGCAAGAAAGTAAACAGCAACTAACAACGATTATTATTATTTTTAAAAAGATAATTGTAAAAATTTCTTTATTATAATATTTTGAAAATATTTTACCTAGGAGAAAAACATGGACAGTTACAATTATTATAAAAAATTGAGTTTTTGTATTTAAATAATTGAATTCTAAAAGAATTTTCGGAAAATTATTTTTAATAATTGGTTTAGAGATGAAGTTTAGTTGAAAATTGTAGAGAGTAATTGAATTCAGGAATTGCTATAAAATTGTAATTTTTAGAAATTATTAAAATTCTTAAATTTTACTCATTTTCCGTTAAACTTTCATATTTTCCTGTAAAAAGAATTTTGTCAGGAAAAATAATTTTAATGTCAGGAAATTGATAAACTGAAAGTTGTGGCAACCCTGATATATAAATTTTTTGTTGGTTGGAAAAAAAATGGTTAAAAATAGTTTGTTTATATTTCCAAATTTTTACAGGATGAAATTTTAAAAGCGGCTGTTATGAAATATGGCAAGAATCAATGGAGTAGAATAGCTTCATTGCTTCATAGGAAATCGGCGAAACAATGTAAAGCCCGTTGGTTCGAATGGCTAGATCCGAGTATCAAGAAAACCGAATGGAGTCGCGAGGAGGACGAGAAATTATTGCATCTTGCAAAATTAATGCCAACGCAATGGAGAACAATTGCGCCAATTATTGGAAGAACAGCCGCCCAATGTTTAGAGAGATACGAATATTTATTGGATCAAGCGCAAAAAAAAGAAGAGGGCGAGGATGTTTCGGATGATCCACGTAAATTGAAACCAGGTGAAATTGATCCAAATCCAGAGACAAAACCTGCACGTCCCGATCCCAAGGATATGGACGAGGATGAACTTGAAATGCTCTCGGAGGCGAGGGCAAGATTAGCGAATACACAGGGTAAAAAAGCGAAACGTAAAGCTCGCGAGAAGCAATTGGAAGAGGCAAGGAGACTGGCGGCTCTGCAAAAAAGGCGTGAATTAAGAGCTGCTGGAATAACTGTGAATCAGAAGAATAAACGAAAACGAGAAATGAATTACAATTCGGAAATTCCATTTGAGAAACGTCCAGCGTCTGGATTTTATGACACTTCAAATGAACATGTTGATCCACTGGCTGCTGATTTTTCACGATTGAGACAACAACATTTGGATGGTGAATCACGTCAGGAGGCTGAAATGATGGAGCGAAGGAAGGATAAGCAAAAACTTAAGCAACGTAAGGAAAATGATATGCCAATGGGTATGTTGAATAATGAGGAGCCGGTGAAGAAACGCAGTAAATTGGTTTTACCGGAGCCACAAATTTCTGACAGTGAATTGCAACAAGTTGTTAAACTCGGTCGTGCTTCAGAGGTTCGTTTCTTTTTTCTTTTTTGGATTATAATTTTCTATCATCAGAGTGGAATTGAAAGTAGACAATAATAATTTTCTTGTTAATTTAATCAATAATTTTCCATTATAGGTGGCACGTGAAATTGTTTCTGAAGGAGGGGCAACGGATAGTTTGTTGGCCGATTATTCTTTGACTCCAAATACAGCCGTGACTCCGAGGACGCCGGCAGTTCAGGACAGAGTTCTCCTGGAGGCTCAGAATGTTATGGCTTTAGTTAATGTGGACACTCCATTAAAAGGTAGCTATTAATCTCAGAATTTGTAAAAGTGATGGAAAAATTGGAAATCTTGGAATAGACATAGAATTTTATTTTGTTTCATGGAAATTTCATTAATTTAATTGAATAAGGTTGCCACAAAAATTTGATTTTATTTTCCCTTGACTTTCAAGACAGAACTTTGACTTTTTGTCCTGAACCTTAAAAAATATTTTACTTCCCTCTAAAAATAATTAGATACAGTCAGTTTTTCTTTGAAAAAGGTCCTTAAAGTCCATAATTTGATTGAAAAAGGACGAAAAGTTTGTAAATTGTACGATATAATTTGGAGAATTTTAGAAAAATTACAAAAATGATTGCAGAAATTCAATTATTTTCAAAAATTCTAATAAAATTCTTGTCAAAATTTTAATTATTTTCAAAAACTTTCTTCAATTCAATGATTTTCAATATGTACTATTTTAATAAAATTGTCCAAAAGAATTTATTTAATTTCAAAAAAAAATTTTAATTAAATTCTAAGCAAAAATTTAATTATTTTCAAAAATAATAAAAATTTCACAGAAATTTAATTATTTACAAATTTTTTTATAAATTTCTTCGAAATAATTCAATTATTTTTATAAATAATAAAATGTTTACAGGGATTCAATTATTTTCGTAAATAATAAAATTCTTTCTAGGAATTCAATTATTTTCACAAATAATAAAACTCGTTGCAGAATTTTAATTATTTTTATTACAAATTTCTCGAAAAGTGTAATTATTTTAAAAAATTTTATTAAAATTCGTCCAAAGAATTTAATTATTTAAAAATTTGTTGATAAAATTTCTTTATGAGAATTGAATTTTAAGAAACATTCAAATATTCAATAAATTATTTATTTGTATTTAAATAATTGACTTCTAGTAGAATTTTCTAATAAAAACTCATTTAAAAATGAATTTCAGTTAAAATTTTAGATAATAATTGAATATTAAAAAGATTATAGCCTGAATAGTGAATTTTTAGAAATAATTGAATTTTGAAAAGGTTTCACATTAAAATCTTTGAAAGTCTAAATTTTTCATATTTTTAACTAACAATTCTGTAATATTAATTATTTTGAAAAAGTTTAATTACGGATTTTTTTTGAAATTATTTTAATTACAGAAATTTAATTATTTTCAAGGGAATTAAAATTTTTCACAGGAATTTAATTATGTTCAAAAATAATAAAATTCTTTTTAGGGATTCAATTATTTTCATATAAATAATAAAACTCATTGCAGAATTTCAATTATTTTTAATACAATTTTAATCGAATTTCTCGAAAAATGTAATTTATTATTCTTAACAATTTTATTAAAGTTCGTCCAAAGAATACAATTCAATTCAATTCTCTAAAAATTTGTTGATAAAATTCTTTATGAGAATTAAATTCTCATCTCGAGCGAAGAATTTTATTAAGTTTTTTTTTTAAATAATTGAATTGTTTTTGAAGAATTTTATTAAAGTTAAATTTAATTAAATTTAACTTTAATAAAATTCTTCAAAAATTGAAGTTGATTTTTGAATAAAAGAGAATTTTTGTCAAAAGTAGCTGAAAAATTTTCAAATTTCTCGAATTACCACAAGAATTCTGGTGTTATGTATTCAAAAAACAATTTTTGAAAAACAGTTGCAATTTTAAAAAATAAAACTAAAATTTTTCTAAAATTTCAATTGTTGTGAAGAAATCAATAATAAAATTTGTTAAAGAATTTTATTAGATTTCGAAAAAAATCGAATTTTTAATAGATATACATAATTTTATTTTTATCTAAATTAAAAATAATTTTCCATGAATTTAATTAATTTTGTTATTATATTAGAGTTTTCGAAAAAAATCCAATATTTTTAAAAAAAATTTAATTTAATAATTGATAAAATAATTGAATTTTACAACGAATTAGAATCAAATGCATTCTTGTGTTTATTATACAGTTTATTATTATCAAAAGCGCTAATAAAGATTTCAAATAGCTTCTAAAATAAATTAATTTCAAAAGAGTTATAATTAATAGAAATAAATGAAATATTTTTAGATGTTCTAACTCTGTTCCTATTTAAAATAAGAAAATATATATTTTAGAAAATAGTAGATTCATAATATTTAATGAATTTGCTTATTTTTAACATATTGATAATTTTGTTTCAATGGTAAAAATCTTATTTTTTGTTTACAGGAGGATTAAATACGCCGCTTCACAATTCCGATTTCAGTGGCGTGGTTCCCGTTTCCAATGCTGTCGTCACGCCAAATACACTTCTTGCTACTCCATTTCGATCTCAACGTTCCGATGGCACTCCAATTGGATCGTTCACAACTCCTGGCTCAGTGCGAACGCAAAATGGTGTTCTTGCACCGACTCCAATTCGCGACAAACTTAATATCAATTCTGAAGAAGCTTTGGAGGGTTCAGAAACTCCAACGCTTAAAAAACAGGTCAAAAGAAATTCCAAAAGAATCTGATAAAAGTTTATTATTATTTTCTACTATTTTTTTCTCTACATACATATTTGAATTTTCTCCCTTAATTTTGTCTTTTAAATTTAATCATCAGGCGAAGGAACAATTATGGGCTGGACTTCGTTCCTTACCGACGCCACGAAACGATTATGAAATCGTCGTTCCTGAGGACGAAACAGACGAAATTGGCCAAACTTCAATGAACGATATTATTGAAGATCAGGCCGATGTCGATGCTAGAAAACAACAAGAAATTATTGAACAGAGTAAATTGAGAATTAAACAAAATTTCTAATTTTAAAATTAATTCTGAATTTTTTCTGAAATTAAAATTTCTTAAATGAAGTTTAAATTTCTTAATGAACTTTTTCTTCCGAATTATCTATTTTTTTTTGTACTTTTAGAACAAAGAGAATTGGCGAGACGTTCACAAGTTATACAGAGGGAGATGCCACGACCAATAGAAGTGAATCTTAATATATTGCGACCAACATCGGATTCTTTGAACGATTTACAGAGAGCTGAGGAATTAATTAAACGCGAAATGATAACAATGTTGCAGTACGATGCACTAAATAATCCAGTGCCAATGAATAAACGATCGAATAATGCAATGTCTCAGGCTCAGGGTTATTTGAATTCTCATCCTTATAAGAATTTCGAGAAGGATGAATTGGAGGAGGCGAAAAAATTAGTTGAAAATGAAATGAACGTTGTGCGTAAAGGAATGGATCATGGAGATATCAGTTTGGAGGCTTATTGCACCGTTTGGGAAGAGTGTCTTTCACAGGTAATTTAATATCTATAAACAAAAAAACTTTATTATATTTTCATATTTTATTAGTTGTATGTCTATAAAAATCATTGACAAAATTATTTTTTATAATACATTTCCATAAATGTTAAATTAATTAATAAATAAATTAGCAAATAATTCGCGCGGAGCATCAATTTTTTAATGATTACAGATTTAAAATTTAAAGAATTCACTTATTAAGTACATAATAAGTATAATAACAATTCTGGAAAGAATACAATTATTTTTAAAAATATTACTTAAATTCAATTATTTTCAAGAGTTTTAATAAAAAATTCATTTATTTTCAACAATTCTGATAAAAATCTTCGAAAAATTCAATTATTTTCAACAATTCTGATAAAATTCTTGGCAAGAATTCAATTATTTTTGTAAATAATAAAATTCTTCTGAGAAATTCAATTTTTTTCAATATATTTTTATTAAATATCTGGAAAAAATCCAATATTCAAAATAATTTTAATGAAATTTCTCTAACAGGTTCAATTATTTTTAAAAATTGTAATAAAATTTTTCTAAACAATTTAATTGTTCTCAAAAGTTTTTAATAAAATTCTTTGTAAATTTCAATTATTTTCAAAATTTTCAATTAAAATTACTTTAAAAAATTACGTTATTTTCAAAAAATTTAATGAAATTCTTCAAAAAAAATTACATTATTTACAAAAACTCTAATAAAATTGTTTAAAAGAATTGAATTTTCTACGAATAATTATAATATAATTTAATATGGAAGTCTTAAATTACAATTTTAATAGAATACACGATTATTTTGAAAAGTTAAAAGAAATTCTTCTTCAAACTCAATTTTTTTCAAAATTTTCAGTAAAAATTATTTTAAAAATACTTCATTATTTCCAAGAAAATTGAAATAAATTCTTCAAAACAATTCAATTATTTTAAAGAATTTAAAAAAAATGTTGCTAAGATTTAAATTATTTTCAATACAATTTTAATTACATATTTTCGAAAGAATTCAATTATTGAAAAAAATGTTGATTAAATTCTGGAAATGAATTCAATTATTTTCAAATTTTTGATAAATACTTTACAAGAATTCAATGATTTTCAATACATCGACAATTTAATTGTTTCTAAAAATAATTAAATTCTTGAATAGAATTTTTAAAAAAATTTTCAATAATTGAATCCCTGCGAAAAAATTTATTATTTCTACAAATAATTGAATTTTGTAAAATAATTTTATTAAAATTGTATATTTAAAATAATTGAATTCCTGTGAAAAATGTACTATTTATTGATATTATTAAATTCTTTCGGAGAATTAAAAAAGAAAATGTTTAAAAATAATTAAATTTTCCTGAAATTCAATTAAAATTGTATTTAAAATAATTGAATTCCAGCGAAAATTTCATAATTTTAAAAATTATTGAATTCTTGAACTGGATTTCATTAAAAAGTTTTTTAAGCAATTGAACTTCTGTGAAAAATTTAATTATTTTTTTTAAATAATTGAATTTTCTCGGAGAATTTTTACAAGATTTTTAGAAATAATTGAAATTTTCGAAGAAATTAATTAAAATTGTATTGAAAATAAATGAAATCCTGATAAGAATTTTAAATATTTGATATAAAAATAATTGAATTTTTTACCAAGATTTTTATTATTTATAAATTGACTAAAGAATTTTATTACTATTATTGAATTCTTCATAAAATTCAATTATTTTCAAATTTTCTTATAAATTCTTTACAAGAATTCAATGATTTTCAGTACATTAATTTTAAAATTGAAAATATTTAAAAGGAAAAGCTTTATAAAAAAGGTAGGAAACAAAAAAGCAATTATTGACAGGTAACATTTTGAAATTTTACAGATTTTGTACTTGGAACCACAGAAACGATACACGCGAGCAACGCTCGTATCGAAAAAGGACAGAATTGATGCGTGCGAGAGGAAATTGGAGGAAAATCGAATGCTGATGACGGGCGAGGCGAAACGTGCGGCAAAAATGGAGAAAAAATTGAAAATCTTAACGGGTGGTTATCAAGGTCGTGCTCAAGCATTGGCAAAGCAATTGAACGATACGTGGACGCAAATTGAACAATTGAGATTGGAATTGTCGACATTTAAATTTTTAAAAGGCCAGGAGGAAGCTGCATTGCCAAGGAGAATAAATGCATTGGTTGAGGATGTTAATCGACAAAAGGAACGTGAAAAACAATTGCAAAGTAAATTTGCACAATTGCAAAATTTATTGCCAGAAAGAGTGGCAAGAATTGAGGATAATGAAAGGTCAGAGGAGAATTTTGGTTAATATTTAAATTTATTACTACGTACATTCTTTTAGAATTCAATATATATTTACTCTTAAATGATAATACAACATGTTGTTTATTACAAACCCTTTGGTGAAAATTATCATTTTCAGTTTAAAATGATAAACACAATTTTTTTGATACTTAAGTATTACTAATTACTGAAAATATATCAAATATCTTAAATTACTAAGACTTTTGATTCAAAAATCTTATTAAATTATTAAGACTTTTGGTTCAAAAATCTTAAATTACTAAGACTTTTTATTCAAAAATCTTAAATTATTGAGATGTTCGGTTCAAAAATTAAAATTAATTTAATTAATTCATTTAAAATTAATTAATTTTAAATATATTTCAATATGTTTCCATGTATTTTACATATATTTAAACCGATATATAAATGTCTTTTAAATTAATTAATTTAAAATTTAAATATTTAGTACCTATTTTACTATTTAAAATACCATTATTATTAAGAGGAAACTTCGACTAAATTTTTAAATATATCAAAAAAATGATTTAAATCTTCCACAAAATTATTTTCATAGTAATTTTCTGAGAGGAAATCAATGGACTAAAAAATAAAATAAAATTGTGAAAATCAATTTTTTTATTCAGTATTTTTTTTCTTTTTTGAAGATACAAAAACATATTTTCTGCAAAATTACAGATGGATTTTAAAATCTATCAATTTAAAAAAAAAATAGAAATCCAAAAATGGGCAGAATATTTTTTGCCATTGATTTTCTCTCAAAAATTACTATAAAAATAATTTTATAGAAAATTTAAATCATTTTCCTGATATAATTAAAAATATAGTCGAAGTCTTCATTTAAAGAATACTTTTTTTTAAACCTTATAAAAACTTAATCACTAGTTAGTCATTAAACACTAAACTATAATTTATAATTTATTTAATATCAATAATAGTTTTCATAATCTTCTGGTACCATAAATATTTTTCATCAGGCACATGAATATATTTCAAATGAACTTTCCAAACATAACCCACGTCTCTAATAGTAACAAATTCTCTTCCTTCTATAGAAAATTTGCTTCCCGGTAATAGAATCGTCTTAGGATGTACAAAGCAGAGTTTCTGTTGTATTTTTGCTCGTAGATAAGTTTTCGAAAATTCCATATTTAGCAAAACGTATTCAACGTCTTTCCTATGGTTGACAGGTTTATTTACAACCTTCTTGTCTGTAGTGGTAAATTTTTGCAAAATATATTCAGATTGATTGGAAAATAGTTTCTCTATAGATTGCGTACGCATGAGTTCAAGACTTGTTAGGGTGAGATCAAAATTTTCAACAGGATCGTCAGATTGTCTGATTGCCAAATTATAGAGAGCAATTTTCATCCGTTTCGCTTCGTTCGTGTCGCGATTTATCCTCCTGTGACCAGTTGTCCCAAAATTTCGCAGTGCGTAATAATCTTCAAAAGTCGCTGAAAATCGTTCATTATTGTATTCGTATTCCTCGACAATACTTTTGAATGTCATTCTCATTTCAATTAAATTTCTCTCTTCGTTTGTGTAAATTCTGTTTATCCTCGTTGCCAGATGATTAATTTTTAAATTTTCTTCGTCCAAGTACTCACTGTATTTCAATTTCAAAAAATCGTCTCTATGGTCTATTATATACTTTTTCGCAAATTGGGGAATCGAGTAACTCTCTGCGTCCTTCCAAAGTAGAAAAAATTCATTTACGTTAAAATTTTCTTCTGGAAAAATGTAATATTTTAATATTTTCGGTAAATCTTCCTTTGGAATGTGTGGCATTTGAATCAATGACATGTTTAGAATTTCATTTTCAATTAATTCTTGTTTCTCTCTATTTTTCAGTCTCCAGCATTTAGGAGTCTCTTCCGTTTTGTTTCGATTGCATTCGATTAAATTATAATCGGCGACATCTGTTCCGGAGAATTGAAGTCTTCGTAAACTGTATTGAAATTTCTGGTCAACTTCATAGAGAGTTTTATTTGTCGCTTTTAGGGTAGTTCCGTTAATCAGTTTGAATTCCTTTTCGTCTGGTGAAATATTTTTATGTAAAAGGAACAATTTCGTTTTCAGCATTCCATGTTCGTCGATAGTTCTCAAAGATGCGGCTCTTGATTCGTTTAGGACAATAAATTTGTAACCATAACCGGAATGACCGTATGGAGAATTCGACATTACGTGTAGATCCAGATTGGAATAATTAGGTTTGCCAAAAGAAATTATTTGATATTCGACAAAGAATTTTTCGATATTTTTCAACATTCCAAATATTGATTTGTAGTCCAACGAAGTTAGAATTTTCAAACGACGAACATTATCCTCGAGGATGTTGATTATGTACTTTACTTTTGGCTCCGAATCATTCCAAAACTTGGATAAAATTAAAACTTTTTCTGAATTTAAAATCAGTTGGTTTTGAAGAACTTTGGAATATCTTTCGTACTTTACGTATTCGTGAAATGTTTGTAAATGTGATTTTTCATCGCTTTTCATTACTTTTCTTATTAGCTTTTTTAGACTTAATGTTTTTATACTTGTACCCATCGCAGTAAGAAGATTTCTCGTTTCTTTTTCAATTAAATTTAAAGAAATATGATCCTTTTCTTCTTTTTGAATAGGATACATAGTGAATGTGTCGACTTTACATGGATCTTCCTCTTTGTATAATCCATGCAACATTTTGCCTGATAAACATGGATAAAATGGTACCAGAGACAAACTGTATTCCTGCCACCAATTATTTCTCAAAATTTCGTGTGTATTTAGAATTAGTGCTTTTAGTCTATCACATCTATTTTGTACAATTTTATCTGCAATACGATCTATTTGATCAAAAATAGAATTTTTTGGATCGAAATTTCTAATAGAAGTACGAGGAATCGGTTGAAAAATTTCAGGCTGTTCTTCAGTTCTAATAACTTTTGCATCGTAATTCCCTCGTAGTAGGGTGAGAAAAGTAATGTTATTATTGTTAGGGAAATAAAGACCAAATAAATCGTATGAGCCTTTAGTTACATTTTTCAAAACACTAGATGTTGAATTATAGTCTACTAATATTATAAGCACTTCAGTTTTCGAGTCCCATGATTGAAAGTAGTCCTTTAATGTTACTGTGATTAATTTCTTTTCAAACTTTCTATAGGCCTCAATAATATTATTAATACTGTCTAAAAAATAATTTTTAAGATTTGGTAAAGTTTGTCCAATTTTACATTGAAATGTATTGGGTTTCTTTAGATAGGTTAAAATTAATTGATACCTTTCGTCATCTGTTTTTAATTTACAAATAGGATCGTCATCTAGAAAATATTGAGCCAAAATGATACTTGTTTTAAATTGTGATAATTCGAAGTGAAGATTATATTTAGTGTCAGTTTTTAGAAGAGAAGTGATTTTATTGTATGTCGAATCTAGAAATGAAAAAAGGAAACTGTAGGCTTTACGCCAATGTTCTGGATCTGTGATTATATTTATTGTTTTTTCTCCTTCTAGAGTCAATCTTTCTTTGTAAACATAGAGGAAAAGTGCTGAAAGTGCAAAAGCGGTCACATTGAAAGGATCAATCTTCTCGGCAATTATTAATTCTTCAAGTAAATGTCCTGTTAATAAATATTCATCAAACAGGGTTTCATTACCAATGACAAACTTTTCGGTGAAAAAATTTGAATAATAGGTAGCATTCAATCTGCCTGATTTGAGTAAAATTGAACCCGCTTGTGCGTAAATGTAATCAAGGGACAGCAATTGGAAATTAGTATTCGATTTTGGAAATAAGGGCGAAATTAGATCGGTAAATATTCGATCGACAGCTAAAGGAGTTAGTGACGAGATGTTACCGTTTTCATTCTGAAATATTGAGTTACTAAGACTGGTCTTAATTTTCTGGAGCAAATCGTCTATTATTAAACTGTCCGTTTTTCGAACAACTTCAGCCAGAAAGCCGTAAATATTTCCAAATTTGCTAAAGACAAAAGAACTGATTATGTGGTCGAACATGGTGTTCACAAAAACTTCGTCTAAGGTTTCATCACTTTTTTCCCCATACAAATCGCTACCTTGCAATAAACTTCGAATTAATTCTTCAGTATTATTTGGACGTTCTTTGAAATACTTGTAAAGTCCATTAACGACCGGAATTTCTCTTTGTCGATCATCGATTGATAAATAATTTTCGCTGAATAGAAAATCGCTGAGTAAATTGAAATAAGTGTAAATTGGAATCAAACTCACGGCTTCTATTGGATTTGCTAAATTATCGAACGTCATTTTAGGTATTTTCACTTTGCGTCCTTCAATTTATTGAAAAATCTCTGCAGATTGAAAAGAACTTATTTTAGAGTACATTTAAAATTTTATTTAGAAATTAATGATTAATTAACTATAATTAAATTTAAAATATAAATTTTTTAAATGAAATTACTTTTTAGATTGTTAATTCGATTTTTTTCGATTCGAAAAGTTTGAAGTATATTGAAATTTTTTTTTTTATATTCGTGTTTCTTTAAAATATAATCAATCAAATTCGAATTATTGTCCTCCAAGAACAGTTTCGAAAATAAACAAAAATTTACGTTGTATTGACAATTTTTTAATTATTTGGAAATGAAATTGTCTTTGAACAGTAAAATTTTATATTACTGTCACGTTTACATTATCTAAAAGTTATAAATTTTTTCATGAAATTTACAACTTTTGAAATATTTGAATTTTATATTTTTTGACAATCTTCACTTTTTAGAATCTGAATGACATATTTTTTATTTAAAAAAATATCAAATTAAATTCATTTATTAGAATCAAATAATAATAATTTTATTACAAAATTTACAACCAAATAATTTATTAAAATTAAATTAATTATAAAATTAATAATAATTAATTGACAATTTTAATATTAAATTATGGAGAATAATTTATTAAAAACATATTAAAAAGACAAAAGTTTTACTTGACATTCGAAATTTTATTACTTTGCAAAATTACATGCTTTTTAGTTTTGCTTCAAACAAAGAAAAATATTACAAGTCGCAGTTATTATAATCAGTATTAAAAAAATGATTTAAAGATCAATTTCGACAATATTGTTCATAATATTTTTATACCCTGAATATACTTCATTATCCGCATAAATATGTTCCAATCTAACACTCAAAATATAACCCAGTCCAGTTACATTAATATATTCTGCTGTTTGAATTTTAAATTTTGTCCCCGGTAAAAGAATCGACCTCTTATGTAAAAAGCAATTTTTCTGTTGAACTTTTGCTCTAAAATAAAAATCCGGAAATATCATTGTAAGCATAACATTCACAAAACCCTCTCTATGATATGTAACTTTATTGACAATTCTTATACTCGTGATGGTGAATTTTTGTAGAGTATATTCCGATCGTTCAAAAAATAATTTCTGAACAGATTTCTTGCTGAATGATTCCATGACACGTAAAAGGGTTTCAAATTTTTCAAGTGGATCATCAGATTGTCTAATTGCTAATTTATAGAGGGCATTTTTCATTCGTTTTGCTCCGTCGGTGTCGCTTTTTATTCTCTTATAACCAGTTGTTGCAAAATTACGAATTGCATAATAATCATCGAATGTTGCCACAAATCGTTGATTATCGGATTTGTATTTGTCAAAAATTTCCTGTAATGTTGTTTTTGCTTCAATTAAATTCCTCTGCTTTGGTGTATACATTTTTTTAATTCTCTCTTCCGCTTCTGAAAATTGTAAATCATCTTCCTCTAACCATTCGCTGTATCTTAGTTTAAACAAAACCTCTTTACGTGGAATTATATATTCTTTATTATATTTTGGACTTAATAAATTTCTTTCTTTAAGCCAGTTTTGGATAAATTCTGTAATATCGAAACCTTTATTCTCTGGAATCACATAATTATTCATTATTTTTCGCATAGGTGGGTCTGTCATATTTGGCATTTCGAATATGCATTCATTAATTGTGTAATTTACCAACCGTTTTTGGTTTTCCCTATTTATTCTTCTTGGACATTTATCAAATTTTACTCTTTCATTATTGCTGCAGTCATTTAGATTAAAATCAGCAATGTCTATTGAATCAAATTGGAAGGAATGAGGAAATTTTTGTAGTCTGTTGTCAATTTCGTATAAATATTCATTGGTTGGTTTTAGATTCGTGGAATTGACTATTCGGTATATTTTTTCGATTGTTGAGTCAGTATTGTTTTGAAGTAGCAGTACTTTCCTTGGTCCCGAATAATAATCGATTGTACGTAAAATTGCAATGTTGTAATCATTTAGAGTGACAAATTTATAACCAAAGTTGGAATCTAGAAGACTGGTTTGTGATAATACGTTTATTTTGTGTTCATAGTCGTTAGGGTCGGATTTGGAAAAAATTATAATAGTCATTATGTATTGCATAATATTATCTATCAAGTTCAATACATTTGGGTATGACAGGCTTGTTAATATTTTTACTCTATTGATATTCTCCTTAAGAACTGTTAGTAGTTCATTTTTCTTGAGAAGAATATTGTTAAGAGGCGTAGAGAAACGTATTAATGATCTTCGATAAAATTCGATTACATCGTTGGTAAATTTCGAAAGTCTTGAATATTTCAGATAATCTGTGTATATTTCGAACTTTAGCACTTTTTCTTCCTCAATAATTTTTGTTAATAATTTTTTCATATTTAGTGCTCTTATAGTTGTGCCAGTGGATGTTAAATTCGATTTTGTATTTTCTTCCAGTAAGTACAGGGATATTTTTTCATTGTTTTCATTTGAATAGAAAGTGAGTGTATCAACTTCAGAATCTGTATTATTGTCAATTTTGCCCGATAAATATGGATAAAATGGCACAAGGGATAAACCGTATTTCTTCCACCAATCAGCATTCAATGACTGATTTTTCATTAGTAATTCTTTTAGATTTTTACTTTTTTCTTCAACAATTTTATCTCTTAAGGAATTTAATTCTTCTGTGAAAGAGCTTCTTATTTTCTCGTCAGGAGCATGAGTAGTTCTATTCAAAAGCATTCCAAAAAGAAAGTTCTTTTTTACTATAGATTTGTAGTTTTCTCGTTTTAAATGATAATACATTGTTGTTTTGTTTGGAAAATAAATTTCGAAAATATTTGAGGAAGGAAAATGAACTCTCATGATGTTATGAATATCATTCATGCCCAATAATCTTATTTTTACTTTCATATCACGAATTGTAGATGGAAAATAATTGTCGAATGCATTGTTTATTGATTTGGTATCAAAAGTTTTATAGGCATAAATTATATTGTCAATATTGTGATTGAAGTGAGATTGAATTTTTTCTGAAATATTTGCACATTTTTTGTCGGTATTAATATTTTCTGGTTGACAATCGGGATCAATGGTTGTGTAATATTTGGTGAGAGAGGAAAGTGTTTTATAGTTTGATAGAGCAAAGTGTAGATTGTATTTAGCGTCGACTTTTAGATATGACTCAATTTTACTGTAAATTTTGTCTAGATGTAAAAGAAGAGTGTTGTAGGCTCTTAACCAGTGTTGTGGGTCGTAAATAATGTTTATTGTTTTCTCTTGTTCTAGCGTCTTCTTTTCATTGATAACGTAGACGAAAAGTGCTGGTAGGGCAAAAGCAGTGACATTGAGTTGTGCAACTTTCTCGGCAATAATTAATTCTTCAAGTAAATGACCAATTAATAAATATTCATCGAATAGGGTTTCTTCATTATCGATTTTATTTTTTTCAGTGAACTCGTTGGAATAATAGGTGGCATTCATTCGTCCCGGTTGGAGTAAAATTGAACCTGCCTGAGCGTAAATGTAATCAAGTGACAGCAGTCTGTGATCAGGATTTTTCGATTTTGGAAATAAGGGCGAAATTATGTCATTAAAAATTCGATCAACAGCTAATGGTGTTAGCGTCGAACGATCACCGTTTTCACTCTGAATTACCATTAAGCTAAGACTTATCTTTACATTCTGGAGAATATTGTCTATTAGTAAACTGTCTGTTTTTCTAACAACATCTGCCAGAAAACCGTAAATATTTCCAAATTTGCTGAAGACAAAGGAACTTATAATATAGTCAAACATTGCATTAACGAAAGTTTCATCGACTGATTCTCCAATTTTTTCCCCATACAAATCGCTACCTTGCAATAAACTTCGAATTAGAACATCAGTATTATTTGGACGTTCTTCGAAATACTCGTAAAGTCCATTAACGACCGGAATTTGACTTTGTCGATCATCGATTGATAAATAATTTTCGCTGAATAGAAAATCGCTGAGTAAATTGAAATAAGTGTAAATTGGAATCAAACTCACGGCTTCTATTGGATTTGCTAAATTACCGAACGTCATTTTAGGTATTTTTTCTTTACGTCCTTTAATTTTATATCGATAAAATTTCTGTTGAAAGAAAACAAAAAAGAACTTTTTTTTAGAATGTAGGAAGCAAATTTTTGTTGACAAATAATTATGTTTTAAACCAAAAATGAAAAACAATTAGCAATTTATCAGTCAGGTATTAAAATCTTTTGTTATAGATTTATAAATACGTATTGATACATATTCCAAGGGATAAATTCTTCAGGGTTGCCAGAAGTCAGGGAATTGAGGAAAAAGTCTGTGAATTTTATTAAAAGTACTGGAAAAATATTAAATTTTTAGAATTGATAAAAAAAGTTTTAGTTTTTTGTGTTCAGCAATCTTTGAAGGTATCAATCAACTTTAGAGTGAATCAGAATTTTCATTCGGATCAGGGAAAAAAATCAAATTTAAAAAAGTTGTCTTTTTTATAATTATTATTTTATTATTTTAATAATTATTGGTAAAAATTGTCCTTGATGATCGTCAATTCGAATTTTTTTTAATTAATTAAATAAGATAGATAAAATTAAATTTAATAATATAAAAATGTTACTTTTCTCACCTGATATTGATGACGTTTATTTTCTTAGAAATAAAGTTGTGGTAATTTTTAGTAATTATTATTTATTTGGCAATTAAATTAAATTATTTCATAATAATAACTTTCTGTTGCATTCTTTAGAAAGTACTACTTGATGATTGTCATTTTTTCGAAAAGACATATTTTTTTAATATAGGAACTTATTTATCGTCTTCAGTTTTATTTCTCTATCATGCAAATAATTTTCTATCTGAATTTTTTGTACAAAATTAAATATCAAAACTTTTGAAATTCTTGTCACGCTCACATTATGTGAAAGTTATACAATTTATTTATCCAAAACATTTCAATTTTGCAATAATTTAATTTTTCTAATAGATTTATTTCTATTTTTTCTATTTCTTAATTCTTTTTTTTATTACTTATATGACATAAATTTTTTATTTTTTAAAATTAAAAAAGAAATCTAGGATGTAAATTTTATGTATTTTGAGAATTAATCAAAAATGCAGCATAGATTAAAATAAGTAATAATTTTTTTTAACGTTACAATTATTTTCTACTTTTGGCATTAATATGACAATGTCAATAGAAAATTTTTAAAAGCAAACGGAAATTATTGAGGAAATTATTGAAAAAACACAAGTTCATTTGTCATTTAAATTTTTATTCAATTGCGTAATTACCAAGTTTTGAACAGTTTTAGAAATATAATTCACTGGTTAGCTATTAAAAACATAAAAATGATTTATATCTTAATTTGCGATATAGTTTTCATAATCTTTTGGTACCACAAATATTTATCATCAGGCACATGGAAATATTTCAAATCAATTTTCCAAACATAACCCACGTCTCTAATAGTAACAAATTCTCTTCCTTCTATAGAAAATTTGCTTCCCGGTAACAGAATCGTCTTAGGATGTACAAAGCAGAGTTTCTGTTGTATTTTTGCTCGTAGATAAGTTTTCGAAAATTCCATATTTAGCAAAACGTATTCAACGTCTTTCCTATGGTTGACAGGTTTATTTACAACCTTCTTGTCTGTAGTGGTAAATTTTTGCAAAATATATTCAGATTGATTGACAAATAGTTTCTCTATAGATTTCGTACGCATGAGTTCAAGACTTGTTAGGGTGAGATCAAAATTTTCAATAGGATCGTCAGATTGTCTGATTGCCAAATTATAGAGAGCAATTTTCATCCGTTTCGCTTCGTTCGTGTCGCGATTTATTCTCCTGTGACCAGTTATCCCAAAATTTCGCAGTGCGTAATAATCTTCAAAAGTCGCTGAAAATCGTTCATTATTGTATTCGTATTCCTCGACAATACTTTTGAATGTCGTTCTCATTTCAATTAAATTTCTCTCTTCGTTTGTGTAAATTCTGTTTATCCTCGTTGCCAGATGATTAATTTTTAAATTTTCTTCGTCCAAGTACTCACTGTATTTCAATTTCAAAAAATCGTCTCTATGGTCTATTATATACTTTTTCGCAAATTGGGGAATCGAGTAACTCTCTGCGTCCTTCCAAAGTAGAAAAAATTCATTCACGTTAAAATTTTCTTCTGGAAAAATGTAATATTTTAATATTTTTGGTAAATCTTCCTTTGGAATGTGTGGCATTTGAATCAGTGACATGTTTAGAATTTCATTTTCAATTAATTCTTGTTTCTCTCTATTTTTCAGTCTCCAGCATTTAGGAGTGTCTTCCTTTTTGTTTCGATTGCATTCGATTAAATTATAATCGGCGACATCTGTTCCGGAGAATTCAAGTCTTCGTAAACTGTATTGAAATTTCTGGTCAACTTCATAGAGAGTTTTATTTGTCGCTTTTAGGGTAGTTCCGTTAATCAGTTTGAATTCCTTTTCGTCTGGTGAAATATTTTTGTGTAAGAGGAACAATTTCGTTTTCAGCATTCCATGTTCGTCGATAGTTCTCAAAGATGCGGCTCTTGATTCGTTTAGGACAATAAATTTGTAACCATAACCGGAATGACCGTATGGAGAATTCGACATTACGTGTAGATCCAGATTGGAATCATTAGGTTTGCCAAAAGAAATTATTTGATATTCGACAAAGAATTTTTCGATATTTTTCAACATTCCAAATATTGATTTGTAGTCCAACGAAGTTAGAATTTTCAAACGACGAACATTATCCTCGAGGATGTTGATTATGTACTTTACTTTTGGCTCCGAATCATTCCAAAACTTGGATAAAATTAAAACTTTTTCTGAATTTAAAATCAGTTGGTTTTGAAGAACTTTGGAATATCTTTCGTACTTTACGTATTCGTGAAATGTTTGCAAATGTGAATTTTCTTTAACTACTGTTCGAATTAACTTTTTTTGACTTAATGTTTTTATACTCGTGCCCATCGCGGTTAAGGAAGTTTCCGTATCTTTTTGGATTAAATATTTTGAAATGTTATCTTTTTCTGCTTGAATAGGAAACATGGTGAATGTCTCAATTTTACAAGGATCTTTCTGATCGTACAAACCATTTTGAATTTTGCCTGAGAGACATGGATAAAGTGGCACCAAGGACAAACCAAATTCCCTCCACCAGTCATTTGTTAATGCTTCGTGAATCGTTGATAGTAAAGATGAATTTAGTCTATGACATAAATTTTCTACCATTTTGTCAGCAATAGGACCAATTTGATCAAAAATACTTATTTTATGATTGAAATTTGTGATCGAAGTACCTAGTATTTGATGAAAAACTTCAGGTTGATCGTTAGTTGCAATTACTTTTACATTGTAGTCAGTTTTTAATAAGGCGTAAAAATTTAGACTACCATTCATAGGGCAATAAAGACCAAATAAATCATATGAGCCTTTCATTACATTTTTCAAAACACTAGATGTTGAATTATAGTCTACTAATATTATAAGCACTTCAGTTTTCGAGTCCCATGATTGAAAGTAATCCTTTAATGTTACTGTGATTAATTTCTTTTGAAAATTTTTATACGCCTCGAGTATATTATTAATATTTTCTATAAAGTATTTTTGCAGACTTGGTAAGACGTGTCCATCTTTGCATTCAAAGCTGTCTGGAGTTTTTAGATAACCGGAAAGGAGGAACAATTTTTCTTCTTTGGTTCTTGAATTACAAAAGGGATCTTCGTCAATAAAATGTCGAGCGAGAGTGATAAATGTTTTGTACTGCGTTAATTCGTAGTGAAGATTGAACAGAGCGTCAGCTTTTAGAAGAGAAGTGATTTTATTGTATGTCGAATCTAGAAATGAAAAAAGGTAATTGTGGGCTTTTAGCCAATGTTGTGAATTTGTGATGATATTTACCATTTTTTCTCGTTCTAGACTCACTTTTTCTTTGTAAACGTAGAGGAGAAGCGCTGGTAGAGCAAAAGCGGTCACGTTAAAATTTTCAATTTCCCTGTCGATGATTAATTCTTCAAGTAAATGGCCAATTAGTAAATATTCATCAAATAGGGTTTCATTATCAATGTCAAGCTTTACGGTAAAAAAATTTGAATAATAGATAGCATTCAATTTGCCTGATTTGAGTAAAATTGAACCCGCTTGTGCGTAAATATAGTCAAGTGACAGCAATCTGTGATTAGTATTCTTTGATTTTGGAAATAAGGGTGAAATTAAATCGGTAAATATTCGATCGACAGATAAAGGAGTTAGTGACGAACTGTTACCGTTTTCATTTTCAAAAGTTGATTGTTTGAGATTATTCTTTATTTTCTGGAAAATATTGTCCATTAGTAAATTGTCCGTTTTTCGAACAACTTCTGCCAAAAAACCGTAAATATTTCCAAATTTGCTGAAGACAAGGGAACTTATTATGTGGTCGAACATGGTGTTCACAAAAATTTCATCTAAGGTTTCATCACTTTTTTCTCCATACAAATCGCTACCTTGCAATAAACTTCGAATTAGATCTTCAGTATTATTTGGACGTTCTTTGAAATACTTGTAAAGTCCATTAACGACCGGAATTTCTCTTTGTCGATCATCGGTTGATAAATAATTTTCGCTGAATAGAAAATCGCTGAGTAAATTGAAATAAGTGTAAATTGGAATCAAACTCACGGCTTCTATTGGATTTGCTAAATTACCGAACGTCATTTTAGGTATTTTTTCTTTACGTCCTTTAATTTTATCGCTAAAATTTCTGTTGAAAGAAAACATAAAAAAGAATTTTTTTTAGAAGGTAAAAAGCAAATTTTTTATGAGAAATTATTCTTTAAACCAAATCTGAAAAAACAGTTAGCAATCTGTCAAAGTCAGGGAATTCAGGGAAAACTCAGTGAATTTTATCAAAAGTGCTGGAAAAATATTAAATTTTTAGAATTGATAGAATTGAACTTTTTTAGAATTTTTTATAAAATTCTTCTGAATAATTAAATTATTTCCATATACATATATATAACGGAATTTGACGCGGGAACTTAATTGTTTTTGAGTAATTTGAATTTTTTTTTTTAATTAATTAGGTAAAGAGGCAGTAAATACAATTTAACTTTAAAATATAAAATTGTTACTTACTCACCTGTTAATGGTGAAGAAATTTTTAGCATTTGTGAAAAGAATATCGAAATTATTTTTAATGTTTATTATCTTATGTCTCAACTTTATTTATATTAGGCAATTTTTTTTTATCTTTTTCAGCTTTATTTTTTTGTCATATCAAATGCTTTTATTAAGAATAATATCAATATAACTATTAAAATTTTGCAATTTTCTGTCACGTGTGCATTACGCAAAAGCTATAAATTTTATTACTTCAGAAAGTTTTAATTTCACGATTGTTTAATTTTTTTAATCTAAAATAATATCAAAGTTGAAGTTTAAGTAGGATTTTTTAGAAATAAGTTAATTTCAAAAAGTTTTTAAATTTTAATTTACCAAAAAGAATAACAATGTTGAAATAAAAGATTAATAATTTGTTAGTTCCCTTAAAAATTAAAATTTTTGGTTAATATTATTCAAAATTTATAAAAAAAAAAATTCGCACAAAACTAATACCTTCTCATATGATGAGAATGTAAAAATTGATTTTTTGAATATTGCAGTTAAAATTTTTACAAATAATATTAAATTTCAAAAAAATTTTACATTGAAAATAATTTGAAATTTTAATTCCTGTGGGAAAATAAAAAACAATTTTTAAAATTTAAAATTTTAAATATTTGTTTAACAAAAAATTTTTTAACTTTTAATAATTTAATTTGTAATTTCTGAAGAAAATTAGATTTTTAAAAAATAAATTTAAAAAATTGAAACAGTTGGAATTTTTGTCAAATTTCATTTAAATAAATTTTATAAATTTTATATTTTGAAGAATTTCATTTTTTCACTTTTAAAAATTATTTTTAAATATAATTCTATTTTTCAAGAATTGTTACTAAAAATTTAGAAAATAATTGAATTTATTGCAAAAATTGTTCTATTTAAAAAATTCAATTTTCGTAGTCGAATTCCGATAGGAATTGCTTTAAAAAAGTTCAGTTAAAATTTTAGAAAATAATTAAATATTTAAAGCATAACTGAAATTTTAGGAAATAATTTAATTTTAAAAGATTTTTAAAGTAAGTTCTTTGAAAACTTTAATCTTTGTGAAAATATAAAAAATATTTAAATGTTTATTTTAAAAATTATTATTAAATATATGTATATTATTTTTCTATAAAAATTATTTTAAAAGTTTTGAATAATCTTATTCAAAAATTCTAAAAAATAAGTGAATTTTGAAAGAATTGCAGTTGTAATTTTTAAAACAAATTTCAAAAGGTTTTTTTTTTGAAAAACTTAATTTAAAAAATTAGTTTAAATTTTTATTCTTGTGGAAAAAGTAAATAAGTTTTTAAATATTTGTTTTCAAAAAATTATTGAACTTTTGAATAATTTCATTTAGAAATTCAGACAAAAATTTTTTTTTTTTTTTTTTTGAAAAAATGTAAATTTTTTAAAGACAGTTTAATTCCCGAAAATAATTTTAAGAAATTGATACAATTGGAAAGGACAAATTTCATTGAAATAAATTTTATATTTTAAAAGGAATTTTATTTTTTTTGTTCTTGACAAACTTGTTATGAAATGTAATCGTATTTTTGAAGAATTCTAATTGAAAACTTAGAAAATAATTGAATTTTAAAAAAATTAGAATTGAATTTATTTATATATTCTACACGAGTCGTTGAAATAATTCTTAATTTTTTTTTTAATTAAACAAAAAAAGTTGTCGAGAAATTACATTTTGTAAAAAATCAAGAATTTTCATTAAATTACAAAAATAAAATTTTTTATTACTGGCTGTTAGTATTTCACGCGCGTGTAATTTTCTGGTTTATTTGAATAAAACGCTACATTTTTTTTATGAAGTTTAAATTCTATTTCTTTATTCAGTTACATGGGCAGGTAAAACATTGATTTTATTTGCGTAATCACAAATTTTTTTACAGTCAAGTTTAGTTGAGTTTTACTAATTCTTAAAAACTAGTTATTAAAAACAATTAAACATGATTTACATGATTTGCATTACAGTTTTCATAATCTTTTGGTACCATAGATATTTTTCATTAGTCTCATGAAAATATTTCAAATCAATTTTCAAAACATAACCGACTCCTGTTAGATTAGTGTAATTTATTTCTCCGATTATAAATTTACTCCCTGGTAATAGAATCGTCATGGGATGTACAAAGCACATTTTTTGTTGTATTTTTGCTCGTAGATAAGTTTTCGAAAATGTCATATTTAGCAAAACGTATTCAAAATCCTTTTTATCGTAAGCAAATTGATTTAATAGATTTTTATCCGTAATGGTAAATTTTTGTAAAGTGTATTCAACCTGATCGAAGAATAATTTCTTTACAGATTTCTTCCGCATGGGTTCGAGGGTCGTTAGCACGAGATCAAAATTTTCAACAGGATCGTCAGATTGTCTGATTGCCAAATTATAGAGAGCAATTTGCATCCGTTTCGCTTCGTTCGTGTCACGATTTATTCTTCTGTGACCAGTTGTTCCAAAATTACGAAGTGCGTAATAATCTTCAAATGTCGCTGAAAATCGTTCGTAACCATATTCGTAGGCGTTGAGAATTTGTTGCAATGTTGTTTTTACTTCGATTATATTTCTCTCTTGCTGTGTGTAAATCGAGTTTATTCTCAATGTCACGTCTGTTATATTTAAATTTTCCTCTTCTAAATACTCGCTGTATTTTAATTTCAAAAAATCCTCTTTGTGATCAATTACGTATTTTTTCGCATACTGTGGAGCGAGATAATTTTCCTCGTGCTTCCAACTTAGGACAAATATTTCATGACTAAAATTTTCAGTCGGAAAAACGTAGTTTTTAATTTCTTTCTCTAGGATATCTTTTTTCACGTTTGGCATTTGAATCATTGACATGCTTAAAATTTGTTTTTCAATTAATTCGTACTTTTCTCTATTTACCAATCTTCTGCATTTGGGAATTTTTTTTGTCCTATTACCCCTGCGGCATTGAATTAAATCATTTTCGGCAACATCAGTGCCGGAGAATTCAAGACTCTTTGAACTGTGTTGTAATTTATGGTGCAATTCATAGAGAACTTTGTTTGTATATTCCATGGGACTGACATTAATTACTTCGTATTCTTTTTCCTCTGGTGAAATTGTATTATTTAGTATGAGTAGGATTTTATTTGTCATTCCACGTTCGTCGATTGTTCTTAAACTCGCAGCTTTCGTGTAATAGAGCATAAAATATTTATAACCATAACCCGAATCACCTGTTTTGTAATTCGACAATACGTATAAATCTATATAGGAAAATTCACGCTTGTCAAGGGACATTATAGAGAAGTCGATGAAGAATTTTTTTACATTTTTTAACATACCGAGTATCGATCTGTACTCCAAGGAAGTTGTAATTTTTACATAGAGAATATTATTCTGGAGAATGTCAATTAACTTTTTTACTTTTGGCGAAGACTCGATCCATAGATTCGATAAATGTAATAATTTGTCAGACTGTAAACTTAGTTCGTCTTTTAAAGCAGTGGAATATCTTTCGTATTTATGATACTGTTGAAAGTTGGGAAAAATTTCGGTTCTTTCGTCTTTGATTAATTTTCTAATTAAGTATTTTAAACTCAGTGATTTTATACTCGTGCCTATTACTCTTAGTATAGTTTCCGTATCTTTTTGGATTAAATATTTCGAAATGCTGTCTATTTTTTCTGTTTGGAGAGAATACATGGTGAATGCGTCAATTTCGCAGGGATCTTTCTCCTCGTATAGAATATTTTTTATTTTGCCTGATAGACATGGATAAAGTGGTACCAAGGATAAACCGTATTCTTTCCACCAGTCTGTTGGTAATGTTTCGTGTATTGTTGTCAGCAACAGGGCTTTTAATAGAAAATTTCTATTTTGTACTATTTTATCCGCAATTGGAGCAATTTGGTCAAGAATATTTTTTTTTCGTTCAAACTCTTGAATTGATGTAGCGAATCCTTGTTGAGATATTTCAGGATGAATTTGAGTTTTCATTATTTTTACATTGTAGTCACTTCGTTCTAGAGAGAAAAAATTTATTGTTCCATTGTTAGGGAAATAAACTGCAATTAAATCGTGGGTGTATTTTATTCTATCTATGAAAGGACTAGACGTTGTATTATCCACTGTCACTAAAAACACTTCAGTTTTCGGGTCCCATGTTTGAAAGAAAATCGTCAATGCTGATGTGATTAATTTCTTATCAAATTTTTTATACGCCTCGATTATATTAATAATATTTGTCATAAATTGTTTATTCAAATTTGGTAAGACGTGTCCAACTTTGCATTCAAATTGGTCCGGAGTTTTTAAATAACCAGAAACGAGGACCAATCTTTCATCTTCAGGTATCAGTTTACAAAAGGGATCTTCGTCCATGAAATATAGAGCGAGAGTGATAAATGTTTTGTATTGCGTTAATTCGTAGTGAAGATTGTACATAGTGTCGATTTTTAGAAGAGAATCGAGTTTATTGTACGTCGAATCTAGAAATGAAAAAAAGGAATGGTAGGCTTTTAGCCAATGTTCTGGAATTGAAATGATATTCACCATTTTTTCTCGTTCTAGGCTATTTTTTTCTTTGCGAACGTAGAGGAGAAGCGCTGGGAGAGCAAAAGCGGTCACGTTAAAATTTTCAATTTGCCTGTCGATGATTAATTCTTCAAGTAAATGGCCAATTAGTAAATATTCTTCGAATAGAGTTTTTTGATTAATTTCGATTTTTTCGGAGTCTCTGCTGGAATAATAAGTAGCATAATTTCTGCCTGATCTCAGTAAAATTGAACCTGCTTGTGCGTAAATGTAATCAAGTGACAGCAGACTGTGATCAATATTCTTTGATTTTGGAAATAAGGGCAAAATTAGATCGGTAAATATTCGATCGACAGCTAAAGGAGTTAGTGACGAGATGTTACCGTTTTCATTCTGAAATATTGAGTTACTAAGACTGGTCCTAAATTCCTGGAGTAAATCGTCTATTTTTAAATTGTCCGTTTTTCGAACAACTTCTGCCAGAAAGCCGTAAATATTTCCAAATTTGCTGAAGACAAAAGAACTGATTATGTGGTCGAACATGGTGTTCACGAAAATTTCGTCCAATGTTTCATCACTTTTTTCTCCATACAAATCGCTACCTTGCAATAAACTTCGAATTAATTCTTCAGTATTATTTGGACGTTCGTCGAAATACTTGTAAAGTCCATTAACGACCGGAATTTGACTTTGTCGATCATCGATTGATAAATAATTTTCGCTGAATAGAAAATCGCTGAGTAAATTGAAATAAGTGTAAATTGGAATCAAACTCACGGCTTCTATTGGATTTGCTAAATTATCGAACGTCATTTTAGGTATTTTTTCTTTGCGTCCTTCAATTTATTGAAAAATCTCTGCAGATTGAAAAGAACTTATTTTAGAGTACATTAAAAATTTTATTTAGAAATTAATGATTAATTAACTATAATTAAATTTAAAATATAAATTTTTTAAATGAAATTACTTTTTAGATTGTTAATTATTTCGATATTTTTGTTGATTTCAAAAGAAATTGTTTAATTCTTTTTGTAAATGTAACTGATTCGAAAAGTTTAAAGTATATTGAAATTTTTTTTTTGTATTCGTGTTTTCTTAAAAAATAATCAATAAAATTTGAATTATTGTCCTCCAAGAAAAATTTCAAAAACAACATAAAATTTACGTTGTGTTTACCATTTTTGAATTATTTGGAAAAGAAATTGTCTTTGATGGACGTTAGTTACAATTTTTATTGATTAATTGAAGAAATTTAGTACTAAAAACCAAATAGTAAAAATTATGTAATTAAAATTAAATAGTAAAAATTATATTCTCATAAAAATTAAAAAGAAAAAAATAAATATTAAAAATTAAGTTGTAGAAATTAAATAGTGAAAATTAAATAGTACCTGGCCATCTGCTATTGACGAAAAAGTATTTAGTTCTTAAGAGACAAAATCGAAACAATTTCTGTGGATTCTTCAGCAAAAGGATTTTATTCTAAACGTGAATTTCTCGGATAAAATTTTTTTTCCATATTTACATAAGCACTGATTTATTTTCTTTAGTTTTTATTTCTTTGTCATATTCATAAGTTTTTTCCCCAATATTATTAATATCAATTTGAACAGTAAAATTTTACAATTCTGTCACGTTTAAATTATCTAAAAGTTATACATTTTTCATGGAATTGACTACTTTTGAAATATTTGAATTTTATATTTTTTGACAATCTTCACTTTTTACAATCTGAACGATATATTTTTTATTTTTCAATCCGAATTCTATATTTACTTGTTGCAGCTAAATAGTATTTTTTTTAATTTCTTTTAATTTGAATAGTATATATTTATATTTAATTCAAATCGTATATTTTGTTTTTTAATCCAAATAGTAAATTTGTTTTTTTTTTTAATTCGAATGGTATATTTTTTTCTTTCTTCAATCTGAATACCATATTTTTTAATCTGAATAATATATATTTTTTATTTTTTAAAAAAGTAAAACGCTTTGTGAAAACCAATTTTTAGATATTTTTAAAATTTTTAAATGGAAAATAAATTGTTGAATATAATAGTTTCTGAAGATGTTGCCATTTTTTGAAATATTTATTAAAATTTAAAAAAAAAACAAAAAAAGATTTCTTAAAAGTGAAAAATATTTTTATTCAAAGATTTATCAAATTTATCATTTAAATTAAATTCATTTATTAAGATCAAATAATAAATTTATTACTAAATTTACAACTAATTTATTAAAATTAAATTAATTTTACAAAATTATTAATTAGTTGGTAATTTTATTATTAAATTATGGAAAATAATTTACTAAAATTGTATTAAAAAGACACAATTTTAACTTGAGATTCAAAATTTTATTAATTGCGTAATGACATGTTTTTTAGTTTAGTATCAAACAAAGAAAAATATTACAAATCGCAGTTATTATCATCAGTATTAAAAAAAATGATAATTTACAAATCAATTTCCGCAATACTCTTCATAATCCTTTTATACCCTGAATATATCTCATTATCCTCATACATATATTCCAATCTAACACGCAAAATATAACCGAGTCCAGTTACATTAATATATTCTGCTCTTTTAATTTTAAATCTTGCCCCCGGTAAAAGAATCGATCTCGTATGTAAAAAGCAATTTTTCTGATGAATTTTTCCTCTAAAATAAAAGTTCGCAAATATCATTCTAAACATAACATTCACAAAACCCTCTCTATGGTATGTAACTTTATTGACAATTCTTGGACTCGTGATGGTGAATTTTTGTAGAGTATATTCCGATTGTTCAAAAAATAATTTCTGAACGGATTTTTCGCTGAATGATTCAATGACACATAAAATGGTATCAAATTTTTCAGGTGGATCATCAGATTGTCTAATAGCTAATTTATAGAGGGCAATTTTCATTCGTTTTGCTTCGTCATTGTCGCTTTTTATTCTCCTATAACCAGTTGTTGCAAAATTACGAATTGCATAATAATCATCGAATGTTGCCACAAATCGTTGATTATCGGATTTGTATTTGTCAAAAATTGCCTGTAATGTTGTTTTTGCTTCAATTAAATTCCTCTGCTCTGGTGTATAAATTTTTTTAATTCTCTCTTTCATTTCTGAAAATTGTAAATCATCTTCCTCTAACCATTCGCTGTATCTTAGTTTAAACAAAACCTCTTTACGTGGAATTATATATCTTTTAGCATATTTTGGACTTAATAAATCTTTTTCTCTAATCCAGTTTTGGATAAATTCCGTAGTGTTGAAATCTTCATCCTCTGGAAATACGTAATTGTCGATTATGTTTTTAGTTTGTAATTTTGTCATATTTGTCATTTCGTATAAGCATTGAGCATATACGTAACTTGCCATCCATTTTTGATTTTCCTTATTCGTTCTTCGAAGACATTTTTTAATTGTTACTTTATTCTTACTGTTGCAGTCATTTAGATTAAAATCGGCAACGTCTATCGAATCGAATTGGAAGGAATGAGGGAATTTTTGTAGTCTGTTGTCAATTTCGTATAAATATTCATTGGTTGGCTTCAGATTTGTGGAATTGATTATTCGGTATATTTTTTCGTTTGGTGAGTCAGTATTGTTTTGAAGTAGAAGAACTTTCCTTGGACCCGAATAATAATCGATTGTACGTAAAATTGCAATGTTGTAATCATTTAGAGTGACAAATTTATAACCAAAGTTGGAATCTAGAAGACTGGTTTGTGATAATACGTTTATTTTGCGTTCATAGTCGTTAGAATCGGATTTGGAAAAAATTATAATAGTCATTATGTATTGCATTATATTTTCTATCAAGTTCAACACATTTTGGTAAGATAGGTTTGTTAATATTTTTACTCTATTGATATTCTCCTTAAGAACTGTTAGTAGTTCATTTTTCTTGAGAAGAATATTGTTAAGAGGCATAGAGAAACGTATTAATGATCTTTGATAAAATTCGATTGCATCGTTGGTAAATTTCGAAAGTCTTGAATATTTCAGATAATCTGCGTATATTTCGAACTTTAGAACTTTTTCTTCCTCAATAATTTTTGTTAATAATTTTTTCGTATTTAGTGCTCTTATAGTTGTGCCAGTGGATGTTAAATTCGATTTTGTATTTTCTTCCAGTAAGTACAGGGATATTTTTTCATTGTTTTCATTTGAATAGAAAGTGAGTGTATCAACTTCAGAATCTGTAATATTGTCAATTTTGCCCGATAAATATGGATAAAATGGCACAAGGGTGAAACCGTATTCCTTCCACCAATCAGCATTCAATGACTGATTTGTCATTAGTAATTCTTTTAGATTTTTACTTTTTTCTTGGACAATTTTATCTCTTATGGAATTTAATTGTTGTGTGAAAGAGCTTCTTGTTTTGTCGTCAGGAGAACGAGTAGTTTTATCCAAAAATAGTCGAAATTGGAAATTCCTTTTTATTTTAGCTTGGTAGTTTTCTCGTTTTATCGAAAAATACCTTGCTGTGCCGTTTGGATAGTAAATTTCAAAAATGTTTGAAAAATTTAAATACTCTTTCAATTTGTAATGTACAAAATCCATGTTCATTAATTTTACGTTTACTTTTAAATTACGAACTGTAGATGGAAAATAATTGTCGAATGCATTGTTTATTGATTTGGTATCAAAAGTTTTATAGGCATAAATTATATTGTCAATATTGTGATTGAAGTGAGATTGAATTTTTTCTGAAATATTTGCACATTTGTTTTCGGTATTAATATTTTCTGGTTGACAATCGGGATCAAGGGTTGTGTAATATTTGGTGAGAGAGGAAAGTGTTTTATAGTTTGATAGAGCAAAGTGTAGATTGTATTTAGCGTCGACTTTTAGATATGACTCAATTTTACTGTAAATTTTGTCTAGATGTAAAAGAAAAGTGTTGTAGGCTCTTAGCCAGTGTTGTGGGTCGTAAATAATGTTTATTGTTTTCTCTTGTTCTAGCGTCTTCTTTTCATTGATAACGTAGACGAAAAGTGCTGGTAGGGCAAAAGCAGTGACATTGAGTTGTGCAACTTTCTCGGCAATAATTAATTCTTCAAGTAAATGACCAATTAATAAATATTCATCGAATAGGGTTTCTTTATTATCGATTTTATTTTTTTCAGTGAACTCGTTGGAATAATAGGTGGCATTCATTCGTCCCGGTTGGAGTAAATTTGAACCTGCCTGAGCGTAAATGTAATCAAGTGACAGCAGTCTGTGATCAGGATTTTTCGATTTTGGAAATAAGGGCGAAATTATGTCATTAAAAATTCGATCAACAGCTAATGGTGTTAGCATCGAACGATCACCGTTTTCACTCTGAATTACCATTAAACTAAGACTTATCTTTACATTCTGGAGAATATTGTCTATTAGTAAACTGTCTGTTTTTCGAACAACTTCAGCCAGAAAGCCGTAAATATTTCCAAATTTGCTGAAGACAAGGGAACTTATAATATAGTCAAACATTGCATTAACGAAAGTTTCATCGACTGATTCTCCAATTTTTTCCCCATACAAATCGCTACCTTGCAATAAACTTCGAATTAGATCTTCAGTATTATTTGGACGTTCGTCGAAATACTTGTAAAGTCCATTAACGACCGGAATTTGACTTTGTCGATCATCGATTGATAAATAATTTTCGCTGAATAGAAAATCGCTGAGTAGAGAAAAATAAGTGTAGATTGGAATCAAACTCACGGTTTCTATTGGATTTGCTAAACTATCATAGTCCATTTTCGAAAATTAATTCTTTTACCTCGCTTAATTTATTGCAGAAATCGCTGTTAATAAAAAAGAAACTTATTTTAGAATCCAATGATTAAATTGATTTTCAATGGAGTAGAATTAAAAATTTTAGTATTGTTAATTATGATTTCGAATACAAATTAATTCACGAATTTTAAGGTATTCCGAATAGGTGAATTTACATATTTTCAAACTTTCTTTACACTTAAAATTAAGAATAAAATCAGTAAAAGTTTTAATCAACTTAATTTTTTTAAATAAATCAAAAGAGTCAAAAGTTAATATTTCGGAATCAATTTTTGGATTATATAGGAATAAGTTCCGAATCGAGAGTTTTTTAATTATTAAGAAATATAAATTATTTTAAAATTAAAAAAAAAATTTTTCGACAAGTGGAATTAATAATTTCTAATTGTTAATTATTGAAATAATTTTTAAATTTGACGTTTTAGAGATAATTTTTTGATTTATTTGAAATAAGTTCCCCTGGCTGTTGTGAGTTGAAATTTTTACTGATTTATGACAAGGAAGTGAATAATATTTTAATTAATAATAATTAATTTAATTATAAAATAGAGAAAAACAATACTTTTCTCACCTGTTATTAGTGTAGTGATTTTATTTATCTAGTATTATATTTATTTAGATTTTTATTTATTTTATTTATTTAGTTTTTAAGAGAGAAAATCGATTTAATTTCTGAGATTATTATGCAGTTGGCAAATTAATTTATATCATTTATTGTATTAGGATCACTTTCGTGGTGTTTTTCAACAAAGGATTATTTGCTGATTGTGAATTTTTCAGATAGAATTTTTTTTCATATTTACGTAAGCATTTATTTATCTTCTTTGCTTTTTATTTTTGTGTCATATTAATAAATGTTTTTGCAAATATTAATATCAATTTGAACAATAGAATTTTACAATTATGTCACGTTTACATTATCCACAAGTTATACATTTTTTCAAGGAATTCACTATTTTTTTAAATATTTAAATTTCATGTTCTATTACAATCTTCACTTTTTACCATCTGAATGATATGTTTTTTATTTTTCAATCCGAACTGTTTTATTTATTGCATTTATTTAAATTGTATATTTTTTCCTTTCTTCTATCTGAATACAATTTTTTTTAATTTTTTTAATCCGAATAATATATATTTTATTTTTTTAATCTAAATAATATATTTTTATATTTTTTAATCTGAATAGAAAACTTTTTGTTTTTATAATCTGAGTGCTACCTACATTATTTTGCCTTAATCGAAATAGTCTATTTTTCAGTTTTTGAACCACGAATTATATTTTTTATTTCCTTAATACGAATATATTTTTCTTTTAATCTAAACTGTAAAATTCAGGTAGAAAAAAAAATTTTTAAACGCAAATTTCAAATATTTGAAAATGTATTAAAAATAATATAGCGATAATAGAAAAATATTATCGCTTCAGTTTATTATTTCTTGTGGAATTTTTAATTTTAAACAACCAAACGTAAAAGTGGACGAAAAGCTAAAAGAATGATACTAAATTTTTACTGACACATAACATTTTATTATTTTGAAAAATAATTACAACTATTGTTGATTTTAAAAAAAAATTATGAAAAAACTTAGTAAAATAATTTACGATAATACATTTTAGATAAAAATTATTATATTATAATTATGATAATTGCATAGTTAATTATTAATACAGATAATTATTCATTTTGTTAATGTTTAATTAATTAATTAAATTAATTAAATTAATTTGTTTATTAATTTATAATTAATTAATTAAATTGATGTTATTATGAATGAATCATTAATATAATTATTAGACTACAATTTAATTTCCGAAATAGTTTTCATTATTCTTTGGTACCACTTGAATATCTCACCTCTTTCGTGAATATATTGTAACTTGATTTGTAAAACAGTGCCCAAAATGTTGTGATCGTAATAACGTCGCTCAGTAAGTTTGAATTTACTTCCAGGCAAAAGAATTGTCTTCACAAATGACGCTGTTGTATTGAAAATCTGCTTTATTTTCGCTCTTAAGTAGAGATTCGAAAAATTAATCAGAAGTAAAATATTTTCGTAACCCTTCTTCTTGACAGTCATTCTATTTTTATTAGTTACATCGAGCTTTTCTGTGAAGGTAAATTTTTGTATTGTCAATTTCTCACGATCGTAAAATAATTTTTTAACAGATTTCGTTGGTACTGATATCAGTTTTGATAGAACAAAATTAAAATTTTTAATTCGGTCATCAGATTGTCTGATTGCTAATTTATAGAGGGCAATTTTCATCCGTTTTGCTTCGTTCGTGTCATACATTATTCTCCTGTGGCCAGTTGTTCCAAAATTTCGAAGTGCGTAATAATCTTCAAATGTTGCTGACAATCGTTCCTTACCATTCTCGAAATCTATGAGAATATTTTCTAATGTTGTACTCATTTCAATACGATTTCTCTCCTCTTGATTGTAAATTGCATTTATTCTCGTTGTCACATTTGATAAAGTTAAATTCTCCTCGTCTAAATACACATTGTATAGTAATTTTAAAAAATCATCTTTATTTTCCATTGTGAAATTTTTATCAAACTTTGGATGTAGAAAATCGGTTTCATTCTTCCATTTATCGACAAATGATTGAACAGTAAAATTGATATCGGGAAATACGTAATTTTTTATTACTCTTGTTAAATTTTCTTTTGAAATTTTTGGTAATTGGATTAAAGCTCTTTTTATAACTTCATTTACTTTTGATTCTTGGATTTTCTTATTTTTTATTCTTGGACAGTTGGGATTTTTTTTTAAGCAATCGATTAAATAGTAGTTTGATATTTCCGTTGCGTTGAAGCGTAATCTATGAGGTGTGTATTGAATTTTATTGTCAACTTCATAGAGGTATTCATTAGTTTCCACACGACTTTTTGCATCAATTACTATAAATTCTTTGTCGTTTGTCGAATATTTTCTAGTTTTGTGCAATATTACTTCTCTGGATGTATCGTATTCGTAGATTGTTCTCAGAATTCCAGCATCATTAAAATCTGAGAGTATAAATTTATAACCATAACCGGAATCACCGTATAAGTAGTGTGAACATACGAGTAAATCGAATACTAAATATTTGTATTTAGTGACAGGAATTCTGTAGAGATGGTTGACAAATTTGTCGACATGGTTCAACATATTAAATATTGATGTATAATCCAATGAGGTTTTTATTTTCACCAACCGAATATTCTCTCGGAGAATATCAATTAATTTATCGATATTTTCCGCTGTAAAATTCCAGGGTCTTGATAAAATTTGCAATCGATTCGTTTTAAATTCCATTTGATTTATTGTAAAAAATGTTGAGAGTTGTTTATAATCGAAGTGATCGACCAATGATCTGTAATGTAGATCTTCTTTCTTTTTGACTATTTTTTTAATCAAGTTTTTTAGACTTAACGTTTTTATATTTGTACCCAACGAGTGGAGAACATCTTCAGTGCTTGCTTCTAATAAACTCATAGATATTTCGTCAGAATTGCTGTTAATTGGATACATTGAGAATAAGTCAACTTGACAAATATGTGGATCGTCTATTTCGTGTTGAATTGCGCCTGATAAACATGGATAAAGTGGTACAAGTGACAATGAAAATTCCTTCCACCAATCGTCTTTCAATTTTGACGAAGTCAGCACTTTTCGTAGGCGATTACTCCGATCTTCTAATATTTTCTCTTTAATATTCCGAGTCTGATCTAAAAATGAAATTTTTGTAATAAAGGATAAATCCTTCAATACTTGACAAACAATTTCTTCGAATATTCCTGGAAAGCCGCTGACCTCGAAAATTCTGGCATTGTAATTTTTGCGTGTTATGGAAAAATATCTGACTGTGTTTTGCTCACGGAAGTAAATGGCGAAAAAATCTTTTGGCTCTTCCGTTAGATCGATATCGTAACTTGCTGTTAAATTATTATTTAGTAATATCACAATAACATCCATGTCTAAATTCCATTGATGAAAGAAAATTGCAATTGCTCTTGATAATGACTGATCTTCGTAACTTACATAGGCCTCAATTATATTTTCAATATTTTGATTATAGTATTTGGTGAGATTTGGTAAAATTTGTCCAATTCTACATTGGAAATTACTGGGATCTTTTATATAGAAAGATACAAATTCACTTTTCATCTCTTTTGTTTTTGATGCACAATAAAGATCGTTATCAATAAGATAGCGTGCCAATACGGAAATTGTTTTAAATTCTGTTAATTCAAAGTGGAGATTGTATTGAGTGTCGTACAGCAGAGCTTCATTTATTTTATAATACGTTTCATCGAGATATGAGAAAAATTCTTTATAAATTTGAATCCATTGTTGTTGATTGAAGAGAATATTTGTTATTTTTCCTTTTTCTAATATCTCCTTTCCTCGAGAAACATAGAGAAATAGTGCTGGTAATGCGAATGTTGTCACATTGAATACATCGATTTTCTCATTAATTATTAGTTGCTCGATTAAATGACCTATTAGTAAATATTCGTCGAATAGGGTTTCGTTATTAATTTCAACTGCTTCGGCGTACATACTGGAATAATAGGTGGTATTCATTCTGGCTGGTTGGAGAAAAATCGAACCTGCTTGCGCATAAATGTAGTCAAGTGACAGAAGATGGGTATCACTTTTTGCTTTTGGAAATAAGGGTGAAATTAGATTCAAAAATATTCGTTCGACAGCTAAAGGCGTCAATGACGAACTGTTACCGTATTGATTCTCAAACTCTGTGTCCCTGAGACTATTTTTTATCTCAAGAAAAAAATTGTCAAGGAATAAATTGTCCGTTCTTCGAACAACTTCTGCCAGAAAGCCGTAAATATTTCCAAATTTTTCAAATACTAGGGAACTTATGAGATGGTCGAACATTGTATTAACGAAAAAATCGTCTAATGTTTCGTTAGCTTCTTCTCCGTATAAATCGGTGCCTTGGAGTAAACTTCGAATTAAATCATTTAAATTTTCTGGGTGTTCGTCGAAATATTTGTAAAAGGCATTAACGACTGGTATTGGTTTTTGAAGATCATTGACTGATAGATAATTTTCGGAAAGTAGAAAATCGTTGAGCGAAATGAAGTAACTGTAGATGGAAATTACACTTACGGTCTCTACGGACATGGAGAATGTATTGAAACTCATTTTTAAAATCTGTTTCCCGGTTTCATTCAATATTGGCTCCGAAAATCTGTAAATGGAAAAATCACAGGAAAACATTAAAACGAATATTATTAGGACAAGTTTTTTTTCTTTTTTATTTGTTTAAACTTTTCGAATTCTAAATTATTTTCTCATTAGGGATTCTATCAAAAATAATACATTAATTAATTAGTACTGATTAAGAAATAGATGCAGATATAATAGTTAATAAAACAAATTTAATATAATTTACTTTTAGCATAGAATTTTATTAAAATCATTTCTTTTTGATGTCGATCACGAAAGCACCTGCTTTTAATTGAAAAAAATTTGTTTTAGAATATATTTAGAATTTTATTTTTAATAATTATCTAGAATTAAATTTAGAATATAAATTTTTTCAAAGAAATTTTTTATTAGTTCAATAATTATTTCGATATTTTGTTGATTGGAAAAGAAATTGTTTAAATTTTTCTGTAAATGTAGCTGATTCGAAAAATTTGCAGTAAATATAAAATTTTCTTTCGTATTTAGGTATTATTCGTGTTTCTTTAGAAAATCAATTAAAATTAATATATTTTCTTCAAAGAACAATTTCTGTAGTCAATGGTAATTAAAAAATAAACAAAAATTTTTGTTGTGTTGACCGTTTTTTAATTATTTGAAATAGAAATTGTCTTTGATGGTCGCTGGTTACAATTCTTATTGATTGATTAAAGAAATTGAATACTAAAAATTAGGAAATAAAAATTAAGTAGAAAAAATTAAATAGCAAAAATTAAATTGTAGAAATTAAATCGTGGAAATTAAATAGTAAAATCAAATAATAGAAAAAATTAAATAGTACCTGCCAATCTGCTGTTTGTGAACAAATGTTTAGATTTTAAGAGACAAAATCGAAACAATTTCTGCGATTAATATTCGGTTGGCAAACTAAATTATATTATTTATTGTATCATCACTAAACGTTATTTTTCCGAAACGAATTTTTCATATTTGCATAATCTCTTATCTTCTTTATTTTTTTTTATTGTTTTTTGTCATATCAATAAGTGTCCATGTAAATATTAAATGCAATTTGAACAGTAAAATTTTACAATTATGTCACGTTCGCATTATCTAAAATTTATAATTTTTTCATGAAATTTACTACTTTTGAAATAATTGAATTTTATGTTTTTTTATCATTTTTATTTTCTGCAATCTGAATGATATATTTTTTATTCTTCAATCCGAATTGATTTTTTAATTTTTTAATCAGAGTGATTTATATATTTTCTTTTAATTCAAATATATATTTAATAGTGAATTTTGATTTTTAACCCAAATAGAATTTTTTAATTTCAATTGTAAATTTTTTTGGACCTTTCTTCAATCTGAATACTATATATTCTTTAAATTTTTTTACCGCGAATTATTACATTTTTTTTAATCTGAATGTATCTAAAATTTAAAATTTACGTAGGAAAAAAATTTTGAAACGCAAATTTCAAATATTTAAAAATGTAATAAAAATAATATAGCGTTAATAGAAAAATATTGTCGATACAGTTTATTATTTCTTGTGGATTTTTCAATTTTTAACAACCAAACGTAAAAATAGACGAAAAGTTACAGGAATGACTCTAAATTTTTACTGAAACATTATCATTTTATTAATTCGAAAAATAATTACAAAACTAGTTGATATTTAGAAAAATTTTGTAATAAAATTTTCTGAATTACAATAATTTATACAACTTTTAGTTGATATTTGAAGGAATTTAAGAGAAAACTTAGGAATATAATTTAGTGTTATAATAATTATAGATAAAAATTATTTTAATATATTGTAATTTCATAGTTATTAATTAATTATTAATATAGATAATTAATAATTATTTCTTAATTAATTAAATCAACGTGTTTATTACTTTTTAATTAATTAATTTATTAATCAACTAAATTGGTTTTTTTATGAATTGATTATTAGTAAAATTAATTTTTTTTAATTATGACAATTATTAGATTACAATTGAATTTCCGAAATAGTTTTCATTATTTTTTGGTACCATTTGAATTTGTCATTACTCTCGCGAATGTAATCTAACTTGATTTCCAGAACAGTGCCCAAAAATCTATGATCGTAATAACTTCTCTTATAAATTTTAAATTTACTTCCAGGCAAAAGAATTGTCTTCATAATTGGCTTTGTTGTATTGAAAATCTGCTTTATTTTCGCTCTTATGTAGAGTTCCGAAAAATTAACTACAAGTAAAACATTTTCATAACCCTTCTTCTTGCCAATCAGACTATTTTCAAAGGTCACAGAAGGTATTTTTGTGAAGGTAAATTTTTGTATTGTCAATTCCTCACGATCGTAAAATAATTTATTAATAGATTTCGCTGGTACTGATATCAGTTTTGTTAGAACAAAATTAAAATTTTTAATTCGGTCATCAGATTGTCTGATTGCTAATTTATAGAGGGCAATTTTCATCCGTTTTGCTTCGTTCGTGTCATACATTATTCTCCTGTGGCCAGTTGTTCCAAAATTTCGAAGTGCGTAATAATCTTCAAATGTTGCTGACAATCGTTCCTTACCATTCTCGAAATCTATGAGAATATTTTCTAATGTTGAACTCATTTCAATACGGTTTCTCTCCTCTTGATTGTAAATTGCATTTATTCTCGTTGTCACATTTGATAAAGTTAAATTCTCCTCGTCTAAATACACATTGTATAGTAATTTTAAAAAATCATCTTTATTTTCCATTGTGAAATTTTTATCAAACTTTGGATGTAGAAAATCGGTTTCATTCTTCCATTTATCGACAAATGGTTGAACAGTAAAATTTATAACGGGAAATACGTAATTTTCTATTACTCTTGTTAAATTTTCTTTTGATATTTTTGGTAATTGGATTAAAGATCTTTTTATGATTTCACTTACGATCGATTCTTGGATTTTCTTATTTTTTATTCTTGGACAGTCGGGATTTTTTTTTAAGCAATCGATTAAATAGTAGTTTGATATTTCCGTTGCGTTGAAGCGTAATCTATGAGGTGTGTATTGAATTTTATTGTCAATTTCATAGAGGTATTTATTAATTGCCTTACGACTTCTTGCATCAATTTCTATAAATTCTTTGTCGTTTGTTGAATATCTTTCAGTTTGCTGCAATAATACTTCTCTGGGTGCATCATATTCGTCGATATTTCTCAAAATTGCAACATTGTTAAAATCTGTTTGCATAAATCTGTAACCATAACAGGAATCACCGGTAGAGTAGTGTGACAATACGAGAAAATCAATTGGGAAATAATTGTATTTACTGAAGGAAATTCTGTAGAGATGGTTGACAAATTTGTCGACATGGTTCAACATATTAAATATTGATGTATAATCCAATGAGGTTTTTATTTTCACCAATCGAATATTCTCTCGGAGGATATCAATTAATTTATCGATATTTTCCGCTGTGAAATTCCAGGGTCTCGATAGAATTTGCAATCGATTCGTTTTAAATTCCATTTGATTTATTGTAAAAAATGTTGAGAGTTGTTTTAAATCGAAGTGATCGACCAATGATTTGTAATGTAGATCTTCTTTCTTGTTGACTATTTTTTTAATCAAGTTTTTTAGACTTAACGTTTTTATATTTGTACCCAACGAGTGGAGAACTTGTTCATTTCTTGGTTCTAATAAACTCATAGATATTTCGTCAGAATTGTTGTTAATTGGATACATTGGGAATATGTCCACTTGACAAATATGTGGATCGTCTATTTCGTGTTGAATTGCGCCTGATAAACATGGATAAAGTGGTACAAGTGACAATGAAAATTCCTTCCACCAATCGTCTTTCAATTTTGACGATGTCAGCACTTTTCGTAGGCGATTACTCCGATCTTCTAAAATTTGCTCTATCATATTACGAGTCTGATCAAAAAATGCAATTTCTCTTTTTTCATCCCCAATTACCTGGCAAACAATTTCTTCGAATATTTCTGGAAATCCAAAAATCTCAATAATTGAAGCTCTGTAATTTTCACGCATTATGGCATAATATTTGACTGTGTTTTCCGCACGGTAGTAAATGGCGAAAAAATCTGTTGGCTCTTCCGTTAGATCGATATAATAACTTGCTGTTAAATTATTATTTAGTAATATCACAATAACATCGATGTCTAAATTCAATTGATGAAAGAAATCTGTAATTGCTCTTGATATTGACTGATGTTCGTAATTTATATAGGCATTAATTATATTTTCAATCTTGTGATTATAGTGTTTGGTGAGATTTGGTAAAATTTGTCCAATTCTACATTGGAAATTACTGGGATCTTTTATATAGAAAGATACAAATTCACTTTTCATCTCTTTTGTTTTTGATGCACAATAAAGATCGTTATCAATAAGATAGCGTGCCAATACGGAAATTGTTTTAAATTCTGTTAATTCAAAGTGGAGATTGTATTGAGTGTCGTACAGCAGAGCTTCATTTATTTTGTAATACGTTTCATCGAGATATGAGAAAAATTCTTTATAAATTTGAATCCATTGTTGTTGATTGAAGAGAATATTTGTTATTTTTTCTTGTTCTAATATCTCCTTTCCTCGAGAAACATAGAGAAATAGTGCTGGTAATGCGAATGTTGTCACATTGAATACATCGATTTTCTCATTAATTATTAGTTGCTCGATTAAATGACCTATTAGTAAATATTCGTCGAATAGGGTTTCGTTATTAATTTCAACTGCTTCGGCGTACATACTGGAATAATAGGTGGTATTCATTCTGGCTGGTTGGAGAAAAATCGAACCTGCTTGCGCATAAATGTAGTCAAGTGACAGAAGATGGGTATCACTTTTTGCTTTTGGAAATAAGGGTGAAATTAGATTCAAAAATATTCGTTCGACAGCTAAAGGCGTCAATGACGAACTGTTACCGTATTGATTCTCAAACTTTGTGTCCCTGAGATTATTTTTTATCTCAAGAAAAAAATTGTCAAGGAATAAATTGTCCGTTCTTCGAACAACTTCTGCCAGAAAGCCGTAAATATTTCCAAATTTTTCAAATACTAGGGAACTTATGAGATGTTCGAACATTGTATTAACGAAAAAATCGTCTAATGTTTCGTTAGCTTTTTCTCCGAATAAATCGGTGCCTTCGAGTAAACTTCGAATTAGATCAGTTAGATTTTCTGGATGTTCGTCGAAATATTGATAAAAAGCATTAACGACTGGAATTGGTTTTTGAAGACCATTGACTGATAGATAATTTTCGGAAAATAGAAAATCATTGAGTGAAATGAAGTAACTGTAGATGGAAATTACACTTACGGTCTCTACGGACATGGAGAATGTATTGAAACTCATTTTTAAAATCTGTTTTCCGGTTTCTTTCAATATTGGCTCCGAAAATCTGTAAATAGAAATATTACAGGAAAATATTCAAACGATTTTTTTCTTCTTTATTTATGAATATAACTGAAATCATGCGAATAATTTTATTGAAATACCTAATTATTTTCAAAATAATTGAACTCATCTGATGAATTTTATTGCTTATTAAAATAATTGATATCTGCAATTTTTTTCTACGAATTTAATGAAAATTGTCTTGAAAATAATTTAATTTTTATAAAGAATTTTTTAAAAATTTTTGAAAATAAATGAATTTCTGCGAAGAATATTAGTAAAATTTTCAAAAATTCCTTGAATTAAAACTTTACTTTGTTGATTGATTTAATTTAATTGATTTCTTTTAACGTATTTTAACAAAATATTTGAAAATAATTAAATTATTTTTGATAAATTCATAAACTTGTATTGAAAATAATTAAATAATTTTTGATAAATTTATAAAATTGTATTGAAAACAATTAAATTATTTTTGATAAATTTATAAAATTGTATTGGAAATAATTGAATTCCTTTGAAGTATTTTGTAAATTTTTTAGAGAGAATTAAGTTTGAATTTTATTGACTATAATTCAATTGTTATAGAGAATATAATTAAAAATTTGTTGCAAATAATTTAGTTTCGGAAAAAAATGTTATTATCTAGGTAGAATAATTGAATTCTTTCAAAGAATTCTATTCACATTTTTGTAAATAATTGGAATTCTGCGAAGAATTTTATTAAAATCTTTAAAAATAATTTAATTTTTTCGAAAAATTTTATTAAAATTCTTTTGAGTAATTTAGTTAAAATTCTGTTGAAAATAATTTAATTTTTATAAAGAATTTTATAAAAATTTCTTAAAGTAATATTGAATTCTTTTAAAGAATTTTAATAAATCTTTTAAGAATAATTGTATTTCTCAGGGAATCGATTCAGAATTATATTAAAAATAATTGAATTCATCTAAAGAATTCTTTATTTATGAAAATAATTAAATTTCTACGAACAATTTTATTAAAATTACAGTAGAACCTCGGTTATCCGAGCCTCGATTATCCGAGATTCCGGATTATCCGAGGCACTAAACATGCTCGGATAATGCGGAATAACTCGGATAAAACGGATCGAGCGACTAAATTTGGAAAATAAATTTTACAAAACCACTATTTGTGATCATTGCATTTAAAATTTCGTCCATTTTTGTCATTTAATATTATTCTAACACTTTAAACACATGAAAAATAATTTAAAATTTTGAAATTTTCATTGGTTCCGTGTTATCCGAGTTTTCGATTATCCGAGGTACCTCTTCCCCACATTACCTCGGATAATCGAGGTTCTACTGTATATTCAAAATAATTGAATTTGTATAAAGTATTTTAGATTTTTAATGCTGATTAGAATTATTGATTTTTTACAAATCTTTTCGACGATTTTCACTAAAACTTAATGGAAACTTAATTAAATTTTATTGAAAATTGTATCGAAAAGAATTGAATTGAGAATAATAAATTATTTATTAGAATAATTGAATTCTTGCGAAGAAATTTATTAAAATTTTTGAAAATAATTCAACAATTTCGAAGAATTACATAATAATTTTTGAAAATAATTAAATTTTAATAAATAAAGTTTATCAAAATTATTGAATATAATAATAAATATAATAATAATTAAATGAATAACAAATAGTAATTGATAAATGAATTCTTTCGAGAAAAGTAATTGAAATTGAACTGAAAATAATTGAATTTTTCTGAAGAATTTTATAAAGATTTTTGAAAATAATTGAGTTCTTTTGATGACTTTTATAAAAAATAATAATAATTTAATGAAAATAAAGTTAAAAACGTTAATGAATAATATAAATTGCATATTAAAGTTTAATATGCAGGGTCTCTATAAATAATATAAAAATAAAATATATAAGACAATAAATAGTAAATATAAAGTAAACAATTTAATAAACAGTAAATAGGAAATAAATGATATAATAATTAAAAAAATAAAATAAATAAAAAGTACGATAAGTAGAAATTATTCCCGTTGGTCCTGTCAGAGAACAAGGAATGAGTAAAAAGCAAAATAAAAATAATACAATCTTAAAAATGTTAAAAATATAAAGTTGTTAGTTTTTCTTACCTATTTCGACAAAAAGTGTAGTTTTTAAGAGACAGGCTTATAATAACAGTGGTAATTAACATCCAGTTGGCAAATTATAATTTTATTATTCAGTGTAACCAGTTTGTGTCTTCTTCTGCAGTATCCTGCAGATTTCTGGTGAACGTAAGATATTTGAAACGAAATATTTGCCTCATGCATATTAAATTTTTTATTTTTGTCTGTGATTTTATTTTCATAGTATATCTTTTAAGTACATGCTATACTATTTCTTTTTTGCATTTTTTAATGCAAAGCATAATTTAAAAACAATGCGTTTATAACCTACAAATTTTCATATTTAACCAATTTTACTGATTTAAGTTTCCCTGCGATAGTTTAAAAGTCACGTTTTTTTTATTATTTTTGTGATTATTAGAATAATATGTTTTTATTTTTTAAAATATAAAAACTTATCAGTTCCTTTTTTTTATTTTTTTATTTCTTATTCGCATTATTCGCAAACACAAACCGCACAAACATATTTTTAAAGGAACAAATGTTTAAACCGTTTAAACAAAACAAGTTATCGACAGTTAATAAGAACGATATTTTTTTTTTGTTTATATAATGTTGGTAATGTAGAAAGTTTTTCTCCATTTCCGTTTTAATAAATCTCGCCGTTAAGAGATGTCGCTTATGTATAATTTTTGAATTCAAATCATTCAAATATATTATACAATAAAAATTATTATAAACCTATTTTTAGCAGATATGGAGAAAAAAATATTCAAACAAGTGAAAAATATAATTTTACAATTTCTAATTTATTGTATAAATATAAGTAGAAGTTTATTTTTGATAAAATTAATAAACTACTGATTTACGATTTATAAAAACATTGCAAAAATTTAACGACCGTAATGAATTGTTAACAATTTTTTCAACAGCGTTGTGGGGATTGGCCAATAGATCTCGCATCTACGCCAATTTCCCATATAGATCTCTCACAAGTGCAATACGGGCTAGTCTTGTAGCATATATACAAGTTCCGAATTTGCTTCCCCCGTCTAGGGCAGGTCTCCCACTACGTAGCCTTACTGATGAGTCCAAGTAGTGGGGACCGGGACGAAACGATATAAAGTGGTCTTCATACCACTCTATGGATGATATACTTTTAAATCTCCATATTGGTGACCGCCGACGGGCCGCTTCGTGTTGCAATTTTCTGCGACGGTGTTAACGAAGAGCTCGAGTTTTCGGGGTCGCTCACAACGCTCCTTTCGTACCTTTCCTCGCACTTGCCACGAAGCGGTGAGCACTAGAAAACAGATGCCTTCGCTGTCTCTCGCTCGCAACGCGCTCCGTCTATCTCTTTCCAAAAACCTTCTGATCTGCACATTGTGCACGCAAAGTCTTCTTTCCACTCGTACATAGTACTTGAGTTTCCTGAAGCTTTCCCTTCGTTCCTATTCCTTTAACCAATCGTATCATCTACTTCGATGATACTAGGGGGGGAGTATGTGGGGATTGGCCAATAGATCTCGCATCTACGCCAATTTCCCATATAGATCTCTCACAAGTGCAATACGGGCTAGTCTTGTAGCATATATACAAGTTCCGAATTTGCTTCCCCCGTCTAGGGCAGGTCTCCCACTACGTAGCCTTACTGATGAGTCCAAGTAGTGGGGACCGGGACGAAACGATATAAAGTGGTCTTCATACCACTCTATGGATGATATACTTTTAAATCTCCATAGCGTTATTACAACTATATCGATATATCAGTAGATCTACTGAAATTTTGCTTTAAAAATTTACACCTTTTTAATTTTTAATTTTGTTTTCAATGTTATTCTGTCGATTTTATAAAAAAATTTGCGAAATCTGCCGCCAATGCTTTGGCTAAGTGGCAAGTTGGCAACCCTGTTTTACAGAATCAAAATGGCCGACCGCCGAGATTGAGGAAAGACGTGTGCAGGTGTAGCTCCGTCAAAAAGTAAATGAAAATTGTAGAATAAAAGTATAGTTTGATAGAAATACTTGTTAGAAAAGTTGAAGTGGAAAGGATAGATTAAAATTATGCAAAAAGTTTAGGAAAATGAGGTGAGATTGAATGGTAAGTTGAGAAATCAAGAATTGACGCCAATCACGCTTTGTTGGCGTCAGTAAGTATAATCTACTTTTTAATCTTTTATTTTGCTGCCATCGCATATGATATTGATTAAATTGAACACAATTGGGTCGCAATTGATCGATTCGATCAATATTTTCAAAAATCTTGACCTACGGAAACGGATATCAATGAATTGCGTTTCGCGTATACGATCCTTTGTCAGGTTATGTCGAATTTCTTTTCTTGCCCAAAAAAGTTAAGTCTGGCAATATTTCTGTTAAAATCATGTAAATTCCGGTACGATTATTGAGAATACGTTATATCTTGCAATTATCATTCTATTAGTTATCTTATTGATAACTTTTTCATGGTCGGTAACGTTTCCTATGTCGGTAATGTAGAAATTTTTTTGTAGTTGTAATACGTCTCTCCGTTAAGAGATGGCGCTTGAGTGTATTTTTTGAATTCAAATTTGTTGAACAAAAGTTATTAAAAATTCAGTTTTTTTTACAAATTTGTAAAAAAGATATTAAAAAAAACAAAAATATAATTTTTAATTTAGTGCAAAAAAACAAATAGTCTATTTTCGGTCAAATTATCGTAAATCAGTATGTTTTTCGGTTTGTAAAAAAACATTGCAACAAATTTTAACGGTCGTAACGAATTTTTAACAATTTTATCAGAAACAAAATGGCCGACATTGACAAAAGATGTGTGCAAGTGTTGTTCTATCAAAAGTTGATTAAAACAGTAGAATTAAAGTTTACATTCATAGAAATACTTGTAAAAAAGTTGAAGCAGAAGTAATTGATTGAATATAAAAAAAAAATTGAGGAAAATTGGAAACATGAGTCGGGAAGTTTTTGGTAAGTTATGAGAATTGACTTTGTGTTCATGTTTCTAATGTTTACTTTTTAATATTTACAAATATTTGCAATTTTTCTCTATTTTATAACAATTTTGACTCTATTTAAACACAATTGGGTTATAATTGATTAATTAGATTAATTTTTTCCACTAAAAATAAAAAGCGGAACGGATATTAATGAATCGGGTAAACATTTTTTGTGAGGTTATGTCGATTTTTCTTTTTTTTGCAAAAACAAAAAAAAACTCAAAATGCAAAGTTTTTATTAAAATCGTATAAATACCGACCGATTATTGATTATTTTTGCTATATTAACATAACCTCAAATTAGTTTATTTCCCAAATAATGAAAAACTTCGCTGAAATTCAATTATTTTCAATATTTACTATTTAATAAAATTTCAAAAAAAAATTCAATTATTTTAAAGAATCTTAATAAAATTCTTTGTAAACATTTAATTATTTTCAAAAATAATAAAATTTTTACAGGAATTCAATTATTTAAAATACAATTTTCATTGATTTTTTTCAAAAAAAAATCAATTATTTAAAAGAATTTTTATAAAATTCTTCTCGGGAATTCAATTATTATTTGAAAATTTTAATGCAACTTTTCGCAGAAATTCAATTATTTTTAAAAATTTTATTGAAATTCTAAATATAAGAATTGAATTATTTTCAATAAAATTTTAATTAAATTCGACGAAAAAAACTTGTAAGAATTTAATTATTCAAGTAAATAATAAAATTCTTCGCTGGAATTCAATTAATTTTATATAAATAATAAAATACTTTAGATAAATTCAATTATTTTGAATATAATTTTAATAAACTTCTTCGCAGAAATTTAATTGTTTTCATAGATAATAAAATTTTTACAGGAATTCAATGACTTAAAATACAATTTTCATAACATTTTTCAAACAAAATCAACTATTTAAAAACTTTTATTCTTTGCAAGACTTAAACTATTTTCATAAATAATAATCCGTTTCAAAGAATTTCAATTATTTTTTATAAAATTTTAAATGAATTCCTCAAAATTTAATTATTTTAAGAAATTTTGATAAAATTCTTTATAAAAATTAAATTTTAATAAATATTAAATTATTGTTCAATAAATTATATTTATTTTTATATTTAAATAATTGAATTTTCGTAGAAACTTTCTAAGAAGAATTGATTTAAAATTGAATTTCAATTAAAAATTCAGTTCATAATTAAATATTAGAAATGTTATAATTATCGAGTGCGAAGCCTGAACTTTCGGAATAACTCTATATTCATGCAAAATAAAATTAAAATTATTAAATTTTATTTGGCGCTGCTTTCCTGATTGTCAGAAATATTTTCGCTTGTTGCTATTATATATATATATATATATATATGTATTAATTCTCGTGGATGAGTGCATATCTATTCTAGGATCAGCTATAGTGCGTATAGATTTCACATAAACCAAAATTACTTCCCATACGCAGGTAAATTAAGCGTTTAATCAACCAATTTAATCAGTGACATGATTGCAACTATATACGTTTGATCTGTTTGTTTTCGATCCAATTATTTCTCATTGTTTGCCTTTATATATCTATATCTATATACATTGACCAAAAGGCTGATTTCATAACTAAGCATATATTATATAAAATATTTGTTTATATTTTGAAAAATATTTTACATATAAAAAATATGTTTTATAGTTATATTTATTATTTAGACAGACTGACACCTTTATTCATCTTTTTCACAATTATTAATTATTATTATTATAAAATTAATAAAATTCTTCACAAAAAATTCCTTGGAAAGAATTTAATTATTTTCAAAAATATTAATAACATTCATCGTAGGAATTCAATTATTTTCATAAAGAAGAAAATTCTTCTGAATAATTCGATTATTATAATTATGAAAATTATTGAAATCATGGTACGAATTTTATTATTTAGAAAAATAATTAAATTTTTACGAAGTATTTAATTAAATTTTTTTCGAATTATTCCGAAGAATTTTCTTATTCATGAGAATAATATAGAATTCTTACGATGAATTATTAATTTGAAGAAAATTTAATTGATTACTTCGAAAAAATGTAATTCTCTTTTTTTTATAAATAATAAAAATCGTACCATGATTTAAATTATTTTCATAATTAATAATCGAATTATTCCGAAGAATTTTCTTATATTTATGAAAATAATTGAATTCTTACGATGAATTTTATTAATATTTTTGAAAATGAATTAATTCTTTCGAGGGAATTAAAATGAATTTTTATTTAAAATTATCAAAATAATAAATAAAGTTTTTGTGAAAATAATAATTATAAAATTTTAAACAATATAAATAGACTCTAATTTCTCATCGAGAAAAACAAAATGCAAATCCCTCGCAATTTTTAATATTCATCTCCATTTTATAAGAATAAGAGAATATTTATCTAAAGATAAACATTCGATTTAAGTTTTTCCCCAAAAACGCCCCCTTTTTTTCTTTCAGTCAGTGATATAAAATAAATATTATCCACGACCCAAATTTTTGACCAAAACAATATTAATACATTTTCTAATAGACAAAAGATTTGTATTTAGAAGAGATAATGATGATAATAATATACCAGGTTATTATACTCTTTGTTTATATTCACTAAAGATCATTTTTGAAAATCCCGATACATATTTCTCTTTTGAAAAAAAGATTACGTAAATACGTTTTTATGATCCCAATTGTCACTTTGGCGAGACACAAAATTATTATTTTCTTTTTCGTATTCACAGAGAATTATGAAAAATTATTATTTTTTCTACAGTTTTGTATTATATATGTACATTTATAGTCATTATGATTGGGATTTTACGTATAGATTTATTGCAAAGATAAAAGAAAAGACTAAAGATACCCCTAAAAATTTCAATATTCAAAATGACCTACATTAAATATTATGTGTACTAATTAGGTGATTCTAAGGTTTCCCCAAATAATAATACAATCGTTTACGTGTCTGTAATAACAGAAAAAAAAATATAGTCTGGTAAATTTGTCCTGAAATATTAAAAACTAAAGGAGTTCAATTAAAAATGAAATAAATACAAACTTAGTTCTAAAAAAATTATATTTATTAATTAAACTACTAACTTATTTATAAATAATTAATATTTTTAAATTTAATTATTTATTGATACGATTTGCTACTATTTGGATACTATTCTTAGATTTGTGACACTAAAAGGTTTTTTTTTTCTTTTTTTGAGAATTTGTACAACTTAAAATTAGCTGAAAGTTTAAATAAAAAAATTATTCTTAAAAATGTTAATAATATTCTAAGAAACAATTATTTCCTATTTTAATAAAATTTCTTCAGAGAATTAAATTACATTTTCAAAAATTTTAATGAAATTTTATATAATAAATGAATTATTTTCAATAAAATTTTATTTAAATTCGTCGAAAAAATTTATAAGAATTTAATTATTCTAATATGTAAATATTAAAATTCTTTCCGGGAATTCAATTATCTTCCTAAATAATAAAATACTTTAAATAAATTCAATTATTTTCATAAATACTAAAATTTTCACAGGAATTCAATTATTTTTAATAAAATTTTGAATTAATTTCCTAAGAAATACAATTATTCTTAAAAGTTTTATTAAAATTCTTCGAAAGAATTCAATTATTTTAAGAAATTTTCATAAAATTCTTTATAAGAATTCAATTATTTTCAATAGAATTTTAACTCAATTCCTCGAAAAAATTTAATTATTTTTAAAGATTTTAATAAAATTCTTCACAAATATTCAATTATTTCCAAAAATATGAATAAAGTTCTCGAAAGAATTCAATTATTTTTCCTAAATAATAAAATTTTTTTCAGAAACTAAATTATTTCCAATAAATTTTTAATAACTTTCTCTATAATAATTCAATTATTGTTAATAAAATTGAAACTTAATTCTCTCCAAAAAAATATACATATTTTAAAAAATTTCAATAAAATTGTTTGTAAAGTATTCAATTATTTTTATAGATATTAAATAATAAAATTCTTGTCAGGAAGTAAATTATTTTCATAAAAAACAAAATTCTTCAAATGAATTCAATTATTTTCAATACAATTTTAATAAAATTCGTGGGAAAAAAATGCAGATATCAATTATTTTTATAAACAATAAAATTCATCAGATAAATTCAATTATTTTGAAAATAATTTAATAAAATTCTTTGCAAAAATTCAGTTATGTTCATAAATTGAAATTGAATTCTATATAAATAAGAATTGAATTATTTTCAAATAGTATTTAATAAAATTCTTCGAAACAATTCAATTATTTTCTAAAATTTTAATAAAATTCTATGCTAGAAGTAAATCATATTAAATGTATTATTATTAACTTTTATATCTGTATTTATTTCTTCATTATTATTATTTTTATTATTTTTTTTATTCTTTATTCTTAATATTATTAATTGTATTATTTTTCATAGACTCCTTAATGAGAAAATCATTTAGATTTCAAAAAGTTGGTGCAAATTTTTAATAAAATAAAAAAGAAAAAAAAATCTCGTTTGAATATATTTGTTTTAATATTTTTCTGTAATTTTTCTATTTACAGATTTTCAATGCCAATGACAAAAAAAGCAGAATTTTTCTGGTAATTCTAGAAAGAAATTTTTCCACCATCACTTTTGACAAAAATTTCTTTTTGTTCAAAAATCAACTTCAATTTTTGAATAATTTCAGATATAAAATTTTAGAGGAATTCAACTTTAATAAAATTCTTCAAAACCATTCAATTATTTTCAAAAAATTTAATAAAATTTTTTACAAGAGATTCAATTATTTTTAATACAAATTTGAATTAAATTTGTCGAAAAAATTCAAATATAAGAAATCAATTATTTTCATCAATAAAATTTTAATTGAATTTTTCAAAATTGAATTATTTTCAACAGAACTTTTCAATAGAATTCAAAAGAATTTACAGGGTTCATAGCTACTTTTTGCTACTTTTTTAAAATTAATTATCGAATGCGAAGCTTGAATAAGGGATTAAATTTATTATTATTATTTATTAAATGAAATAGTGATGTGAATTTTTTGTCTAGGGGATAAAGAAAAATAATCATAATAAAGCGCGTAATTTTTTTTGTATTAATAAAATCAGATTAGATTATAATGTTTCGTCCCAGGGAGGAGTTTTCCACTTTTTCTGTCTCAAGGGAAATCTGAGAGGAAGATATTTTTGTAGAAGGAAAAGGAGAGAAAAATTCTAGAATTCGATATATATATATATACATACATACATACAAAGACTGAGGATTTTGTGTCGCTTATTTGGAGTCATGTGACAACTGAAACCGATTCGATTGTAGCCGTTGGTTACTCTTTCATCGGTCGGGACCCGCCTGATTTCCTCCGCTCGGGGAATTTTAAATTTGATTACGAACAACACTTGTTCTCTCACTTTCTCTATTACAGTGTTGCGTTTTTGTTTTTCTTTTTTTTCTCTCTCGCTCGCTCTTTCTCTCTCTCAAAAGCCCTTTTCTTCTCTATTACCCTTTTCAAACAGCCATCTATATATGTTGAATGTGTAGCGTACCGATAAAAAAAAAAAAAGGAAAAAAAATCTTGTCGCTCGATTGCAACGAAATTATTGGCCAGGCGAGCTTATTTATGGCCTTCATTTTCCTGGAGATTGCAAGAGAGAAAAGGTAAACTTGTATTCAGAGACAGAGAGTCTATTCGTTTTTTTTCGAATTGCGATTTATGACTCGAAACACGTATTGCTGTTAATCACACACCGCGCTTTGACGTTGTTTTTAGATCAATTTTGAATTCGTTGATGGAAATTTGTCGACAAGATTTTTGTCTAGGCTTGAAAAAGTTTAATTACAAAATATAAAAAAGAAAGAAAAAAGGTTTTATAGTTTAAGAGACGAATGAAAAAATATTTGCGCAAATTGTCGTACAGTAATCGATAAATTTTCGATGAAATAAATAAATATGAACGATAAAAAAAAATTCGCCAAAAAAAAATTTGTTTCAATTACAAATATATTTTTTATTTTATCAATTTTTGACAATTTTTTTTTTCAATTTTTAATTATTTTTATTCAATATTTTATAACATTTTTGTTTTTTTCAGGTGTGGCAAGTGCGAACATTTTTTGCAATATTGCCAGATGAGAAAAGAAATTAATATTTTCGTAAAATCCTCGATTACAATCATCTTCAATGGATGATTTTTGAAGGCAGATGCTTTTTTGGAAGAAAGGATTTAATTGTGGACGAAAAATTTTGCTCAGGATGTTCATGGAAAAAGTTTGTGAGTAATTTTATAATACGAATTTTTTTATTGCATGGTAGTGAATATTTTAAAAAATATATTTAATTAAGAAAATTATTTGTGGGTTTAGATGAGCTTGAAAGTTTAAATGAATTGAGTTTTTTCGTTATAAATTATTTATAAATATATTCAAAAATTACTGAAATTGAAAGCAAAAAATAAATGTAAATTGAATGTTTGAAAATTTTTAAATCTATTTCTATTTGTAATATTTGATTTTTATTCAATTACAAATATTACAAAATAATAATAAATCATAATAGATGAAAAAGAAAATTAACAAACAAACAAACAAGATTTTTATTTAAAAAAATATAATTTTGGTAAATTTTACAATTTTAAATCTGAAATAATTTAATTGGTGCATAGAAATTTTTTTTAAATTCTTGAATATAAGTGAATTATTTAAAAGAATTTAATTGAAATTGTATTGAAAATAATTTAATTCATGCAAATTTTTTCGACGACTTTAATCAAAAATATATTCATAAGAATTAAATTATTTCGAGGATTTTAATTCACATTTTTATTGGAAATATTTGAATTTTTACGAAAAATATAATTAAAATTTCTGAACATATAATTTGAAATCGCTCGTATAATACATTTGCGCTTGAAAAAATAGTGAATTAAAAATTTGAAAAAAATTCATTACATGATTTATTAATTAAAATATTTTTATTTATATAAATTTTTTTTAAACGAAACATTTCGTAAAATAAACCAAATATTTAATTTCGAATAAATATCCATTTTGTATCCACTTACAATCAATTTACAGATTTTAAATTTCCATTTTAAATTAAAAATTTTTTATTTTCTATTCATTAGGAAACTGAAAATTGCAAAATATATTTTTCATTTATTAAAATCATTGCTTTAATTACTGATAAGAATAGATATTAAATTTATATATTCTTACCGCGGGTGATAATTTATTACACAAGCAGTATAAAATTTAAGCGTTTCTTCCTGATTTATATAATCTTTACTTAATTCTTTAACCATTGAAACATAAATTTTTTCTGACAGTTTTAAGATTCAATAAAAAAAAAGAAGAATAAATAAATAACTTTCACCGTTAGAAGATATTTGAACTTTTAAATATATAGTTTTTAATGGTTCATATTTGTTATACATATACAGAGAGACGAAACTTTTCTCCCGTTAGGATAACATTAAATTTTAATGCACATTGACACGCATTTTCTATTTTCATTTAATATTAACAAATTTAACTTCCGAAATTACTGCTTTTTAATTTTTATTATATATTTAGTGTACATTAAAAATGTACTTAAAATTTTAAGTACTTCTTAACAGTATATTACTTATGGATATAATGATATTTTGAAAAGTGTTTTTTTTAGGTTTTTTTTATGTGGACTGAATAAAATGATTCATATCACTGTTAATTATCGTTAATGTCAATTACTTAAATAATCAATATATATGATTTTAATCAAGGTATTTTTTGTATTCTTGCGAGCAATTTTATTAAAATTCTATTAAAAGAAATTGAATTCTTTCGAGAAATTTTCTTACAATTTTTTTAAATAATTCAATTCTTTCGAGAAATGTTATTATGAAAATAATTGAAATCTTGGAAAGAATTTTATTCAAAATGTTTAAAAAATAATTTAATTCTTATAAAAAATAAAATCAAAAATTCTTCGAAATAAGGTGAATTTCTGCGAATAATTTTATTATTTAGGAAAGGAATTAAATTTTTTGAAAATATTAAATTAAATTTTTTTTCTTGTAAACAATTTTATTAAAATTTATAAAAATAATACAATTCTTGCAAAGAATTTTTATTTTTTATGAAAATAATTAAATTCTTCTAAATGATTTTATCAAAATTTTTCAAACTTATTAAATTGCAGTGGAAAATTTTATTAAAATTCCTGAAAATAATTAAATTTTTGCGAAAAATTTTATAAATTTTGAAAATAATTTAAATTTTGTTGACAATTTTAATTTTATGTTCAAAATTAATTTAATATTATTCGAGCAATTCAATTAAACATGTATTGAAAATAATTGAATTATATATTGTAAAGAATTGAATTTTTATAAAGAAATGTATCAAAATTATTGAAAAGAATATATAATTCTTACAGCTATTGAATTTTATTAAAATTCATAAAACAAATAAATTCTTTTGAGAAATTCAATTAATAAAGTTGTATTTGAACTATATTCAAAATCATCTAATTCAAGAAGAATTTTGTTAATATTAAGATAATTGAATTCTTTTGAAAAATTTTATTAACATTTCTTTGATGAATTTTGGGATAATTTTGTTACAATTCTATTGGAAAAAATGGAATTATTATTAAAAATTATATCAAGATTGTTGAAAATAATTGAATTTTTGCAAATTTTTTTTTACGACGAATTTAATTAAAATTATATTTAAAAAAATTCAATTCTTATATAGAATTTTATGGAAATTTTTAAAAATAATTAAATTCTTTCGAGAATTCCAATTAAAAGTGTATTGATAATATGTAATTGAATTCTCACGAAGAATTTTATAATTTATGTAAATAATTGAATTCTTGTGAAGAATTTTATTATTCATTGAATTAATTATAAAAAAATTTGAATTTATCTAAAGTATTTTTAGTATTATTATTTATGAAAATAATTGAATTTCCGGGAAGACTTTTATTATTTATGAGAATAATTGAATTCTTAAAAATTTTTCCGACGAATTGAATAAAAATTGTATTAAAAATAATTTCTTACATTGAAATTGTTTATCTAAAAATACAATTCTGATACAGAATTTTATTAAAATTGCATTCAAAATAATTGAATTCTTGCGAAGAATATTATAGAATATATAAAAATTAAAGATCAGGAGAAAAAGAAGCATCAGTAATTACAAACATCACAGATGCAATTGAATTGAAAATTAATTCTATTTCGAAATATTTTCAGAAGCGGTGCGGGACAATAGATCGCTTGAAAACCATAAACATTTGACCACAATTTTCGAAACGAAATGGTCAGAAAAGTTTCGATAGTGTGGAAAGTGTATGTATATATGTTGACATATGGGTTTTCTAAGGTTTATATATCGAACTGACCCATAGGGATTGTACGTTGTTTTGCGGGGGTGGCAAATGGTGTGTCGTGGTGTTAAATGACCCTGATTCTCGCGTATCTATTCAAAGGCATGCTCCCATCTCAGCAGGCCAATTCTTGTGGCTAATTTCTAGCGTTATTTGTTTAATTGCTCGACTACCACCTGGACCTCTCTCTGTATTTCGATCCCATTCTCCGCAGTTTAAATCGAATAGTCAGTGATTTACAACGAATAACAGATCTTGTTTCTATATCAATCTTGGCGAAATTCCCTATTTACCAATGATTAATATATCTATATTATTCCTCATTCACAAAATCCATTATTTTTTCTCTAATTATTTCGAAACTGTAAATACAATGGTTTCCGGTATTTTTTCTCTTTATTTATTAAAACGAGCTATTATTTTTATTACACATTATCTTTAAAAATATTAATAAAATTCGTTGCACCAATTCGATTATTTTCATAAATAATAGTATTCTTCAGAGGAATTTTTAACTTAATTTCAATAAAATTTCTGGATAGAATATTCAATTATTTTTAAGAGAATTTTAAACAAATTCATCGAAAGACTTCCCAGGAATTCAATTATTTTCATAAATAATGAAATTCTTCCTAAGAATTCAATTAATTTTTATTAAATTAGTCCCAAAAATATCAAGAATTCAATTATTTTCAATACAATTTTAATTAAAATCGTTCCAAAAATTCAATTCTTCTCATAAATATATTATTTCGCGAGAATTCAATTATTTAAAAATATTTTCATAAAATTGTATATAATAATTGAATTATTCTAAATAAAATTTTAATTTAGGTCGTCGAAAAAATTTGTAAGAATTCAATTATTTTCATAAATATTAAAAATTAATCTCGAGAATTCAATTATTTTCATAAATAATAATAAAATACTTTAGATAAATTCAAATATTTTTATCACAATTTTAATAAAATTCTTCGCAGAAAAACAATTATTATTTTTATAAATAATAAAATTCTTCACAAGAATTCAATTATTTACATAAATAATAAAATTCTTCACAGGAGTTAATTTATTTTCAATATAATTAAAATTAAGTTCCTTAAAAGAATTTAATTATATTTTTAAAAATTAAATAAAAATAAAATAAAATAAAAAAAGAATAAAAATTCCCATAAAATATATGCTATAAAAGAATAGAATTTTTTTTCAATTTTATTTAATTTCGTCGTAAAAATTTTCAAAAATTCAATTATTTTCATTAATAGTAAAATTCTTCCTAAGAATTCAATTATTTTTATAAATATTAAAAATTCTTCTCGAGAAATCAATTCTTTTCATAAATAATAAAATACTTTATTTATGTAAATTCAGTTATTTTGAATATAATTTTAATAAAATTCGAAAAAATTCAATTATTTTCAAAAAATTCCATAAAGTTCTTCGCGGCAATTCAATTATTTTCATAAAATATAATAAAGTACTTTAGATAAATTCAATTATTTTGAATATAATTTTAATAAAATTGTTGTCAGAAATTCAATTATTTTCATAAATAATAAAATTTTATGCAGGAAATCAATTATTTTTAATACAATTTTAATTAAATTCGTCGCAAAAATTTTCAAGAATTCAATTATTTTCATAAACAATAAAGTTCTTTGCAGGAAATCAATTATTTTCAATATAATTTTAATTAAATTCATCGCAAAAATTTGCACGAATTCAATTATTTTCACAACTTTTGATATAATTTTTTATAAAGTTTTAATTATTTTTCAATAGAATTGTAAAATTCATCAAAAAAAATTTGATAAAATTCTTTATAAGAATACAATTATTTTTAAAAATTTTAATAATATTCTTCGCAAAAATTAAATTATTTTTATTAATAACAAA